GCAAGGCATGGAAGGTGGTCTTCCCAAAGGCGCGGCTGAAATGCTGCAGAAACTAGCGAAAGGACAGAACAAACCCGGCCAACAAGCCGCGAGTAAAGGACCACAGGGAATAGTAAACAATCTGAAAGGTGGACTACAGGCGTCCATAAAAGAGCTACGAGCCACCAGGACCGCAGCAGGGGTCCACCCCGGAAGTGGTAGTACTACAGCCGGGCAACAAGGCCAAACTCCCGCAGATGACCAATCTGCAGGCCCAAGTGTGGATTTTTTTTCCGACAAGTTTGCCGCGTTTTTTTCCTTCAAAAAGTACGCAGAGATGCTGGACAGCTCGCTGAAGCAGCCGTATATGCAATCCGTGTTCTCCGCCATCGAGCGACTCGACGAGCGGATTCTGAAAGCGCAGAAGTACCTCTCCGCCCGGGTCCGCTCCGAGCCCGGGGACGTGATCACGCCAGACCTGCTCCCCACGTTTCTCCTGGAGTCGCTGGGGCCGGAGTTGAAAGATTTGAAGAAAACCGACGTGGGAAAACCCACGGACGACAAAAAGAAGCACGGGCAGCAGTTCCAGGACAGCGAAAGCGGGCAGGTCGTCGTTTGGGCACGCCCGCAGATCGACGTGGTTTTGGAAGCGGCGACCCACGCGAAGGACTACCAGAAACAGAAGCGCGTCGTATTGCAGTGAAAAATGCCCCCACCCCCAAAGTTGCAAAAATTTGTGATGCGAAGTTTCCAAATGAAAACTTTTTGCCATGCATGAAAGGAGTCGTGTGAATCTTTCTGATGCAGATTCTAGGCGGTATCGCATCGCTTGCATGACGAGCGCCACTCTTGCTGGAGTCTTTTGCAATGCAAATTTTTGCTATTCACGCTTGGAAATAACCTGTGATGCTGATAGATGCAAGAGGGCGAGCGTTTCATTTGGAAAGGTTTGCAATACAAATGCTCCCAAGTTCGGGGGTGGGGGCATTTTTCATTGTAATACGTCGGGACGACCCCAGTGTCGGGTGCGGTTCCGGGGGCGCCGCCGGAACACAGCATGTGGAGCTTGCACCTGCACCGCGTGCACCAGAGTTTGATGCAGGGCCTGCCCTTCCAGCCGAACTTGCTGCGGTCGGATTGGGTGATGTGGATGGGCGACAAGGAGGAGATGCACCCGTTTTACCCGTTGCACTACCAGAACGAACAGGATTTACACCACAACGCGTCCGTCATCGCCGAAAGCGACTGGAAAGCGGCCGGTATGTTGGATGAAAAGAAGCTTGTTTCCAGTGATAGTAGTGGAACTACAGCTACAACTACACCAAAAAGCTTCACGCAAGTTGCGAAACAGAAGACGGTGAAGGATTGGCTGCAGGTGCCTCCTTCTGAGAACCTGGCGTACGACAGTTCCCGGATCAATGCGGGCGCGACCTACGGGGAAAAAGTAATTCGCATGCACAAGCAGCCATTCGACTACGCCCTGAAGTTCGACCAATGGCAAAAAGATTGGAAAATTCCGCAAAACATAAAGCAGTACAACGACAGCAGGCGAAACCAGAAATTCCGGAAGAGAAAACTGAACCAGACCTCGGTCCCCTTGTACGGGGAAGCCGACGCCTTGGACGCGCAGGAGATGTGGTTTGCGCAAAAAGATAGTCCGGAGGCGGGGGTCGGCGGGGTTCTTACCAAGGAGGAGTTTACCCAACTGTCTGCCGAAGAGAAGTTACAGTACCTGGAACGGCGAAGAATGCGGGAGGCCATTCTCCAAGCGATCGCCGAATCCCGGAAGTACGGCCAGGCGGTAGGGCGGTTGGAACACTACTCCGCATTCCAACCGGAGGTAGAGAAACCGGACCTGGAACGAGAATATATTACAGAAGGTACTTCTGCTGCTGATGCAAGAAGCCAGAAATCCGCTGCGCGGCTCCGCGAGAAGCAGCGCCGGGAGCAGGGAAAAATGAAATCAGTCGACGCAGCTCGAAGAATTTTCCCAAAACGACCAGAACAAAGTGTAGTAGCTGTCCCAACCGCGGCAGCCGTAGAAGAGGCCTGGATGTCCCAAAGTCCGGCCACAAGTTCCGAACGAGACCCGCAGCCCTCCGAGGCTTCTCCTTCGGCCGAAGTAGAAATGAGGGAGGACGCCGACGAGACCACGAAGATGCAAGTGGATGATCAGGCTGCAGATGGCCCTGCAGCTTCTGGCGCCGGAAGTAGAAGAACCTCGTCTGTGGCTGCACATGAAAAAGAAGGCAGCTCCTTCTATGCCGCGGACTTTTTGAGAAAAACCAACGGCGACGTGGACGCGGCCCTACAACTCCGTGGTACCGGTGAAGTAGAAGTGGACGGCCGCCAAGCCACACTGACCAACGAGCAGTGGGCGCAGATGGAGGATTTTGCGAAGGAGCAGGACGAGTATGAAGTGAAGGTCTGGTTCTGTCTGCAGGACCGGTTTCTGCTGGACGAACGGATCTACGTGTCGCAAGTAGTGGACGAGGGAAGTGATCATGTCGATAAAAACAAGATGGACCAGCACCCGATTGCGCAGCAGCTGGCCGCTGCCAAGCAAAAATCCACCGAAGTTCGTCCCGCGACGATCGGAAATTTTAAGACTGTGGTCAATGAAGCTGACACCTCCATGGAAAAATTCAACGGCATGTACTGGGTAGAGATGACCTTCCCGCCCAGGACCACCTTAAACCAGATCAGGGAGGAGCTCATCGTCACGCGCATGGCAATATGCACTGCAAAAAAAGTAATATCGTGCCCGTACTAATTGCGACATGGCATGACATTTTTATCACGACAAACTACATTTTCATGCTTGGAAGATAAGATTCTTCCAAGCATGAAGATGGAGTTTGTCAGTCTCTACTGGTAGAACTAGTGCGGTATACTGTTGCAATGCATAGGTGACAGACCCGGAACTTTTTGTCGACACGAAGGAGCATTTCGACTTCACGGTGGAACACCTCGAAGACGACTTCTCGGCGGGTGGTCAAAATGGAGGTGCTCCTGCCATTTCAACTAGTGGTGTTGCACCTGCTTCGTCGGCGGCAGAGCAAAGTGGTGCAGCTGCTGCTGGCCCCGCGTCAACAGGAGCTAGTACACTTACTGGCACCTCCTCGACGCAGCTGCCAGCAACCAGTACTTCTACGACCCTTACAGCGGAAGAGACAAAAAAACGCGTCAGTAATCTCCTCGATGGCGGGTACGGACACGCGTTTTCAAAGGGTTCCTCTGCCGAGGTTCTCGAACCAGCTGCAGGAGAGGATATGAAAAATGTTGGTGCTGGAGATGAGCTGCAACAGAGTCGAGCCGCAACTGCAACTGGTGCTCCCATTTCGACTGCTCCTTCCGATAGAAATAAAGTAGTTCGTGGTGACATGAATTTACTGCAGCTTCTGATCGAGATCGACTGGAAAATACGCGAAAGGGAACAGGACGAAGCTGCTGCTGCCGCAACATCCCCAGCAGGCCCTTCTGACCAGGCGGGCAATCAGGCCAGCAAGAGGAGGCAGGAAAGAAAACTTCTGAAAAAGCTGAAAGACGAAAAAATCAAGCATTCCTGGCAAGCGCTCACGTTGGAACTCGGGACGAGAGCTAGTGGTAGTGGCTCTGGTGCTGATGTTGAACAAGGAGACGATTTTTTCTTCTCCCCATCCGACAAGAAGTCGAAAGAAGAGCTACTTGTTCCTGAGGTAGATCTGCTGATTTTGATCCAGGAACGAACTCCAGACGCGAAGAAACTGCAGCTGAAGTACGAGTTGCAGACCAGAGTGCTTTCCGATTTCCCGGCAACGAACTCGAATCTCTTCCCGGACTACTTCATGCCTTTTTCCTTCCCACTCAGCGAATCTTGCAGTCGTATGGACGTGATGCACGCACTCCAGCGGCACAACGAGCAGACGTGGGGCGCGTTCGACTTCGAGCGGGAACTGCGACGGTTCGGCGTCACTTCCGGCATCGACTCCCAGCTGAACCTCTCACCGCCCAGCATGATGCCCGAGGAAGATGATGGTGCAGCTCGTCGTCCCTCCACAGGAGATGAAATGCAGGTGGAACATCATCAACAAATCTCGGAACAGAAGACGGCGGAGCAGGCGGAGCTTTTGCAAACAAGAAGAACAGCCTTGGAGACCGGTCTCGGCGTCGGGTATCAGGTGGTGCAGCAGCAAGCGGAGAGAAAAGTGAGCTCACAAGCACGCGATTTTTTCTCCTTCATGCAGGACGCGATGCCGAAACTGTCCCCGAAAAAACGGGATTTGTTGCAGCAGCTCGGCCTGGAAAACGCCGCTCGGCATTTTTTGCAGCTGAAACCGGAGCAGCAAGCGAAGTTTAAGGAAAAAGTACAGACCTTGGATGACGAAGCCTTTGAGGAGCACATCGATAGAATCGCAGCAGTAACCGCTGCAGAACTGCAGGATCATCAGGAAAAAACTCTGCAAAAATCTGGCGGGAAGATTACAACTTCCACGGGAGGTGAGAAAGGATTTACAGACTCGAGCTTCGCCGCGTGTGAACAAATGCGATTGCTGAAGAGAATCCAAGCTCAAGAGGGAGCTTTGTTTCCAGACGAGGTAGCCGGTGGGGTACAGATCAAGCAAGAAGCGCTAATTAGCCACGCAGCCGAGCTGGGTCGTCAAAGCATGGCGCAGCTTTCCGGTCCGCAAAGACAGCAGGTGGCCGAGCTGGGTCGTCAGTTCCGCGCCGCGCTGTCCGAGGAGGACAGACGGCAGATGGATAGGATGCAAAATGCGGTTGAAAATGGCGGTTCTTGCTCGTCCGGCGAGGACCCGCGAAGTACAGGTAGTACCAATTCTGCTAGTAGTACTACTCCGCCGGCGGGCGTTCGCATAGAATGCGGCACGGACATCAAGGATGCAGCTTCAATGGAGTTTCTTCTCGGTATTGAACACCGCATCGCGCAGCTTTCCGGTCCGCAAAGACAGCAGGTACTCGAACTGGGTCTGCTCGAGGTCACCATGGGAAAAGACGCGCTATCTGAGGAGGACAAAAAGCGGATGGACAGGATTGTCGGTGCGGTTGAAATATCAAATCCAAAAATGTCTGGGTCTGGAAGACTGCAAGTTTGTCATGCTTGTCTGGCATGATTCGAGAATCTGTGTTGCATAGGCACGAAGAGGCCCGCTTACCTGTCATGCAACAACGCAGTTTGCCATGGCATGCGGAATACGTAGAACATGGGAGCCAAAAAATTTGTCATGCATAGCTGCGTATTGCAATTGCAGTGCGTCTCCTATTCACTTTTCGCATGACATGTTTCCAGACCCAGACATTTTTGCAATCCATATGAAAATGGCGGTTCTTGCTCGTCCGGCGAGGACCCGCGAGCGCAGCTGCTCGAGATGTGGTGCCGGGCTCCTGGCGAAGTTGGGGGGCTTCTTTTCGACGACAAAACGTGGGAAAACAAGGATGAAGAGACGAGGTGGTTTCTTCTCAGCGCGAAGAAGCGGGTGGAATACCTGTCCTACGCCCAGCGGCAGTTTATGGTCCGAAATTTCGACTTTCTCGCGGCTAGCAACTTCGTTCTTAGCAAGGATAAAATGACCGAGGAAGAAAAGGAACACATTACAGCGATGCTGAGTGCGGCAGAAAAATATTGTGCTACGACTGGGGATGAAGAGGTGCAAGACGTCGATCAAGGTCATGACGTTGAGATGAGCAATACTGCGACATCAAAGCCGTGTGATGATAAGGAAAAGGAGCAGCAGGTTGTTCCCGTTATTCCTACTTCCGACTCATCTTGCAAGATTGTGATCAAAGGGAAGGAAGACCTGAAACCCGCGGATTTGGACTGTCTCGGAGGTGAGCCTACTCCTCCTGCTGAACCAGCGTCGAGAGAAAAAAGCACCCTTGATGTAGTACCCCCTCCGCCCGACTATGCGCCGCCGTCCCCGCCAGCGCGCTTGAAAGGAACATTAGCGGGAGGGAGCAGTACTATCGTCGATGCTGATGCAGATAATGTAAGAGACAGGGACTGTTCTTCTGCGTCTGCCTCTGCGGATGTTCTTGTGCCAGCATCTTCGACAGGACAAAAATGTAGTCCAAGCGACGCGGAGCAAAATCAAAAACCTGGGTCATTCGGAATGGTTCAGATTTCCCCGACCATGCCGCTCAACACAACTTCTGTTCTTCCAGGTGGAGTCGATACAACGATCATAAGCACAGAAAACTTTCAAACTTTGTGTGGCCGTCGTGGCACAAGAACTAGCACCGCACTTACACCAGTGGCAGGACTGCAAGACCAGGATACGAGCATGGACGTGGATCAAGCAGACGCGGAGATTGAGCTGGCGAACGGGATTACAGAGGGCTTAAATGTCGCGTCCAGGGAGGTGTTATCGTCCGCCGTGTCGAAGATAGTCAGTGGGTCTAAGGAGAAGGAGAATTCAATATCTTGTGGTGGTTCTCCTTCTCACGATGCTGCGAAATTTGGTGACAAGCATTCTGTTTTTCGTTCGGTTGACTCCTGTTCATCCTCGGAGGACGAAGACGAAAGTGGCAGTTCTTCTTCATCTTCGAGCGAAGAAGACACACTGGAGGGCCTGGCGGCGATGGCTCAGTGCGCTGCAGCCGAAGCTGACCGGATGAAGACGGAGTTTGTGAAAAAGCAACTGCCCCCCACGAACGAGGGCAAGTCTGTGGAGATGCAGCGGAAGGACAAAGAGTGGGAAAAACAGATTCACCGCAGCGAAGGAGATTTACCAGCGGTGTTACAAAGAGCAGGTCGTGGCAGTACTAGTTCTGCTTCTTGTAGCGCGCGGAAGAAGAGATCAAGTTCTTGTAGAGGTGGAGCCGCGAAGGCGAAGGCTACGTGCAGCTCCCGGAGCAGTCAGAAAGGCACGACTGCGAGCGGGACTGCGCAAGATGGTCCGCTGGAACAAGATGCGGGTGGTCCTTTCGTTGAGTACACAGAGGAAGAATTCATGAAGAAGATCATGGAAGGGGCCTGTGCGGTGGACCAGCTCCTACCGGGTGGAAAGAAAAACCACGAAGAGCATGTGAATCAGGAAAGGGAAAACTTGCTAAAAAACCTAAAAGCCACCTGGGACGCCAAAGTTTGTTCTTCCGATGGTGCTCCCGCCCCGCCTGTCATGACGAATAAGGTGGACCGCGATGTCATCGCTCAGGACAGAAAGGAGCTCGCGGCCGCCACCGGAGAGACTGGCTGGACACCGTGCGGAATGGAATTTCAGTGCCCTCTGTCCGAGGTGCTGCAACACGGCACCGCTGGCACTACGCCGAAAGTGGACGTTAAAGAGGCCTTGAAAGCTGTGGCTCAGAGCAGATTTGGAAAAGAGTTTACGGTCGACGTGAGCTCCGATGGCGAGACCCTTCGTTACATTGAGCATAGGAAGGACGGCAGCAAAAACGACCTGTCGTGCAGCGCGAAGCCAAAGGAATTGCTCGAAAGCGAAAAGGCGCTGTGCGCGAGGCGCAAGGAGTTACTTGATTCACTGGAACGTGGAGGTGAGGAACATCCTTCGCCAGCGGGAGTAGAGAAAGAGGCTTCAAGAGGTTGGCGGGATGTTTATGATGACAATGCTGACCCTCCTACTTGCCGCGCGGGAAAAGAAACTGCTCCGAAACAATCGCACCACAGAACAAAGTACTCCCAGGACGTCAGAAAAGTCGAGCCCGGAGAACATTTGTACGACGAGGATGAGGAAGCACGGAAAGACCGCATGCAGAGACAGCACCGGAAAGAAGTCGCACTCAAACTGCACACCAACATGGAACGTATGGCGATGAAGGATCCGGTTTTGCTGGCGCTGGCGTCCGGGGGCTATCTGGTGGACCGCGACGCCTTGCGCACGAACGGGCTGATGAAGGCGATCCAGATGCTCGCCGAGGTGTACTCGGAGCACTTCGGGGCGATCCGGGATTGGTTCGCGCTGTTCCGCAAAAATGAGCTGAAAAAAGAAGTTTTCGAGGAGTTTTCCGCCCTCTCCGCCGCGGAGCTGGAGGAAAGGAAAGACGTTGCTTTCAACGCATACGCAGTTTCCGACTGGCCGCTCCCCCGGAATTTACTCGATTATACGTCGGGGGAAGAAGACCACGGTGGACACACGCTGCTGTCCCACGAAGAGAGGCTGGAGCGGCAAATTGCGAACGTGGACGCCACGACCGACTATTCCATCGAGACCTTCTACGGACCTGCGGATAGCACCATTTTCACGAAGCTTGGCGCTTCGACCGCGACCCGCGTCACGCACAGATTGACCATGGTGACGCACTGCAGGAACCTATCGGGGCTCAGCCTCAAGGCGCGCCCGTATAGGTTCGGTGATAAAGAAGACCTTGATGGCGGAAAACCAGGGGCACCAGGTTCCAAGAAGGTGGACGCGCACTGGCTAAAGCCCGAGGAAGACCGGAACGGAAGCGTGGTACAGATAGATGAGCACGGCAACCGAGTTTGGGAAAAGGGGAATTTGCACAAGTGGGCGGCGCCGGGTATCCAAGAAAAAATTATGTTGGTGCCAGCCTGTTGAGAAGTGACGCCTGGCAATAAAACACCATGCACGTGTTATGTTGAACCACCTTGATAGGTTTTTGCATGCAGCTTCTGCGGACGAGCAGCACAGTTGTGCTTGTGATGGTGGCAGTCCAAGAAATACTATACGCCAATACTATACGCCAACGCAGTAGTTTTTCTCTTGGATACCAGTGACGGAGCAGCAAATGCAGTATTCCACTGAGCATAAATACGCCGATATCATTGAGCAGGAGATGTTATCTTCAACGAGGTCGACAAAAATTTCCGGCGACATCAGATACAGTCGCACGGAGCAACGGGCGGCTCTATTGAACTACGGCATGGATCCCCACGACGTCGAGGCCATCGTCACCGCCGGAGACTACGATGTGCACAAGCGGTTTCTGGTTCAAAAATACCACACCCCCGGGGAGTCCGGCCAGCCGCCAATCGTGCTGGCGAAAGTTGATGAGGTCGTGGAAGAAGAAGACACAGTAGATGAATTCGCCGAAGGTCGTGCAGGAGCGACGTTACTTCCTAGTTCAACACCTACTTCACCCGGAGGTGGAGATGAAACCAACAAGAAAGAAGTCTTCGGCTCCTACAAAAAATACAACGACCAAAAGGCATTCCAGGAGGAGGGGGTCTTCGTCTTGGAGAATAGAAATCTGCCCAACGTGATCGTGGATCCGTTTGAGAAGAACTTCCTCTTGTCCTTCCAGCAAAAGGACAAGTCCACCGAGAAAGTCAGCGACGACGGGAAGGACGTTATCGCATACGATATCGACAACCTGTCCCACGAAGAGCACGAGCAACTCCAATCGGCGCGGAGGTTGATGCAGAAAGCGCGGCTGGCCTACAATATCGCGAAAGAACAGACGGAAGCGCAGCAGAACTTCGCGCTGAAGACGAAGTTGATCATTGTCACCTCGCCGATCCGGAGGACATTCACTTCGGAATTGGATGCTTTGCTGAGATTCAAGGAACTCTCCGCGGAGCTCTGGGACGTTTTGCCGATGATTGCGGAGGAAGCGGTTGGGGTGGATTACCTGCAATTTTTCAAGGCCCGCGTCCAGTCCTTTTTCGCCTTGTGGGACCGACAGGCGTCGCACACGCTGCAGCAGTTGCGGGTTTTGGAACGGGCGGATAGTGACATGGAGAAAGCGGTCAAATCGGTCGTGGAAACGGAGACACTCTCTGAAAAAGCGAAAGAAGTGCTGGAGAAACAGAAGGCCAGAACGATGCAGATCATCAAGCAAGCGGGATCGTTTGACACGTACATGCACGACCAAGCCCAGTACAATCATTGGAAGGCGAAACACGGAGGTGGTGGTCCTGATGGGGGACGCGAGAGTGATGGAGAAACTGAAGACGATGATGATTTTGATGAAGCGATTTACGATACAGGACATCAAGCTGCTGGAAAAGATGATGACGCCACGAACGGTGCTTATAGGCAAAAAGTTGAGAGCTTTATGCAAAGAGCCGATATGCTGGACCAGCGAAAGATCGCGACCACCAAGAAGCTGCGAAAACGGCTGAAAAAGCACGCGTTGCTGATCGACCGGCAGCAGCACTACTGGATGGAGGAGCTTTTGCCACTGTTAGCCACCACCGCGGAGGGCTTGCGGAGTTCGATGCGCGAGGTTTTCCAAGTGCAGCAGCAGGTGCAGAACGAGCAAACCAAGTTCGGCATGCAGTTGCACTTGATCCTGCAGCTAAAATTGTTAAAGAAGCACTTGCTGACCTACTACGAATCGGAGGAGACCAACGGGTATTTGCTCCAGCACTCCAGAGTGCTGAAAAAGGAAGACACCTGGTTCGCGCTGCGGGGGAAGTTCCGCGCGATGCAATTATCGGTCGCCCAGCAGGAGTTTGTGTTGACGAAGCACGAGATTTCGGTAGTTGCGAAGGCGTTTTTCGATTCGGAAGTGGAGAAGTGGAGTAATTCGGAAAAACAGATGCTTATGAACCGAAGGAGACAGAACAGCAAGCCTCTTTCGAAGGCGGAAGTAACGAGTAGCGGCGCTGGAACAGCCGCACAGCAAGCTGAGGCTGAACCACAAGCGGCGCCGGTAGGTACTGCATCTGTTCCGAAGGCAAAGGGGAAAGGGAAAAAGAAAAAAGGACAACAAGGTAGTGCGGGGGGAGTGTTAGATCAGGACACACAGGCGGCAGCCGCTTCCGGAGCCACTTTCAATGCTGGCGCTGTCCATGCACCCTCTGGCGCACCAAAGCAACAACAAAACGGCGGCCAACAGCAGCAACAGCAGCTCCCTGACATGCGCGAGATCTGGTCCAGTTCCCTGGTCGCTCCAGAGCAAATAACGAGCCACGCCTCGAAAAAGCCGTTCTTTTCTTTCACGGAGCGGGCGAATTTCAAGAAGTTCATCCTGGACCCGAACACGGACGCGGTCGTTGAGTCTGTCTTCAAGAAGTTCCGGAAGTCGAAGATTTATTGCCTGTTCATGCTCGTCGATAAGGAGATGGAACAGCAAAAGAGACCGTTCCAAAATCTCCGCCCAGAAAACCTGAAGAAAACGCTCTGCGACTACACAACGAACAGTGAGGCGAAGGAAATTTACGAAATTCTCAAATCGAAATTCCCGTTTGAGAAAATGAAAGCGTATGTGGAGAAGATTCACACCTTTGCTCTGAACATTTTCCTGTCCCAAGTTCCTCAGCAGGTCCATTTGCTCATCAAAGAAGCCGAAGAATTGCGGGAAAAACGGATGACGAAAAAGGAGAAACAAAGAGCCGCTGCACAACAACTTGCAGCTGCGGCGCACGTAGCGGCCCAGCAAGTGGCCGGTGGGACGAAGTCCCCCGCGAAGGGGGCATCCGCGCCAGAGGTTGAGGCAGCCGAAGATGACGGCGACGCGGAGATGGTAGTACTAGAGCAGGACCAAGCGGCTGTGCAGCCGGAGAAGACCGAGGAAGAGCAGGCAGAGGAGGAGGAGCAGGAGCTACTCCAGGAGTTCAACCTGCTTTCAGCTTCCACCGATCAGCAGAAAAATTTTTTCGAGGAAAACCGGTTGATTCTGAAGCGGGACAAGAAGAAAAACTTCACGTTCCTCCTGGATTTTGTCAACGTCATGGGCTTTTCCGTCGTCCCGGTCTTGGAGCAACTGCAACTGGAGGTGCAGTCGGTGTACCGAAACGTGATCAAAACACACAGCCAGGAGATGGAGGACCTGCAGGTGGACATTGGCAGGTTGGAAACCTACCACGTCTTCTTGATTACGAAAATCGACGAGGCGAAATCCTTGGCGGAAAAGATCGGCATTCAACAGCGACTGAGCACTAAACATCCCAATGCCGCGGGGGCCGCTCGCGTCATGAGTGACACATTGGTGCAAGACGTGCAGGACGCGATTCAGACTGGGGACGGTCGTGTCTTGGGATCTGCATCGACTGCGTCAGCAGCTCCAATAATGAAAATGGATGTCCTCGAGGACCACGCGGGAGCCTCTGCTTCTGGTTCTGCCATGCAAGTGGAACATCTTCGACCGGACAGCCGCGACCGCGCTATGACGGCTTCCAGTCTGGAGTCCACCACCATTCCGACCTCGACTTCCCTACTGTCGATGAATACCACCACCGATCATAGTGGTCCCGACACGTCACCGATGCTCGCTGCGTCAGGGGCGGCCGTAGATCCAGATGCACAACAACACCAAACATTCGCGACTCTTGACGATCTGTCCATTCCTTCTGGTAGCTCCGTTGCTGACTGGATTCCGGCAGATGTGCGCCCGATTATCCACCAGGACAAGGACCTGTATCTTTTTCCAACGGCAGCAAAGGATCATTTCTACCGCTTTGGTAATTCGGTTGCTCCACCTGGTCCCATTGAGACTGGAGCCACGCCCTCGTCCGCACCTTCAGTTCTACCAACTGTGCCTCCAGTCGTGGTTCCGGCCGTACCGAAAATGAACGCAACAGGAGAAACTTGTGGTGGGGAAATCAGTCCCGCGATGTCCCAACTGCATTCTGCGTCCAGTAGATCCCATTACGTTTCTTCCGGGGAAGAGGGGGAAGCGGCGAAAGCTTTGCAGGGATTGGATTTGGAAGCGTTCAATGTGCCAAAACCATGCGTGGCTGCCGCAGCCGCAGCCCCAGTGGGTATTTCGGAGGAAGTGCCGGCTGGTGGGGTTTCGAGTACCGACGTTCCCGATTCTCGCGTGGGGTCAAAAGAGGGAATCAGCACCAGTGAAGAGGAAGGAGTAGTTCCTGCGTCGAAAGAAGTAGATCATGCGCAGGAACAACACACCGCGACTGTACGAACAGCTGAGATAACGGCTGTGCAGCAAGTAGAGCCCCCGCAAGCCATGGAAGTTGACAGTGTTACGCCTGCCGGCCGAGCGTCTGGTGCGGACGTAGTTCCTCCACCACAAGACGCGGCTGCCATTTCCGATATCAAACAGCCATCCCGCACTTCTGCATTTTCCACGCCCTCCGCCCCATCCCTTGAGGACATCGAGGACGAGAAAACGAAAAGAGCCATGACGGCGCTGCTGACACAAGTTCAGTACGTGCGAAAGTCAATGGTCGAGCGGCTGGTGCTGCTCCGCGCCCGCATGCGCCGTATCGACGAAGCCGCGAAAGACGTGCACCAGCTTGCTGCCGAGAGCGGAACGGGGATGTTTGCGGAAATGGGGCTACTAGCCGGCGCGGGTGGGGGAGGAGCCGCGGCTTCGAAGCAAGACAAGCAAGACAACGGAAATAGTAACCCTTCCGCAGGCGCTGGAAGTAAAAGCCAGAAGCAGAAACCAAAGCACATACCCTCAGTTGGACACCAGCAGTCGCAGCAATCCAAGCGGCGGACCCTTTCCGACGAAATTTTAGATGCGGGGCAGGATGTGCGAAAGAAGATTGTCGACGTGGAAGCAGCGTTGCAGGCTTTACTTCGTACTGGCAACAACAAACAGGCTGGCGGGAAGACCACCTTCCAAGACATCGAAGCCACCACCGCGCACGCGAAGACCTTGCTCGCCGAACTGGGGAAGAAGTTGGTGATTCCGGGGGAGGTGAAGGGGGAGAAAGAGATGAAAACCTTCGTCGATGCGTTAACAACAGCAGCAGCTGGCGCATCTAAAGCGAAGGCAAAAGCAAAAGCGGAAAATGGAGGAAAAGCGAAAGCAAAAGCCAAAGCTGGTGGGGGTGGTCCACCATCCATCTGGACCGTCTTGCAGGACCATGTTCCGCTTTTGAAGGCCGAAAACCCCACTTGGGAGCTGCTGCAAGGCGGTACTAGTAGTACACCGTCTTACACGACGTTGGCCGCGTTGAGCAGCCCACAAGAGCATTTGATCCACCAGCAGGAACTTCTACCTCCGACGCCGCTGTCGTCTGCAGCAGCTGCGGCTAGTACCGACCCCGTTCTTGCGGGCGAAGCAGCTGCAGGAGCCCAACAGGCGGAGAACATGATCAAACCGCAGCAGAAAAAGAAGCCGAAGCTCTCCCCGCAGGAGCGCAAAGCGATTGAGCTAAGGGAGAAGGAGGAGACGGACCGCAAAGCCTGGCGGGATTTGTCCCGTTTGCTGGAAAAGATTGTCCTGAAGATCATCTCCAAGCATTTAGACCGCATCGAGGACTTCGAGCTATTGAAGAATCTCAAGGAAGAAACGCAAAAACTCGTAAAACACGACCGGCTGTTTCTCGATTTATTACAGAAGAAGCGAACTACCACATCAAAAGCGGCACCGGAAAAAATAAAACTTGAGTTCTTGCAGGAGGAGTTTGAGGGGAGGAGCAAACTACTAGCTGAAACGAAACAGCTGCACGAAAAGGCCAAGTTGGAATTCTTCGACCAACAACTGGACCCGCTCGCGGACCTCCACGAGCAAATATTCGCGGGCATGGAGAAGAAGACGCAGGAGGGGGAGGGGAGTGTGGGCAACAGGTTTTTCTTCATTTGGCGCACCAAAGTTCAGCTGGCGAAAAAGTGGGTGGAGGAGATGGAAAACAACATCGACTTCGTGCTGAAAGACCGGAACATTGTGCTCGAAATCAAGGAATTACTCTCAAGTAGAGACAACGACAGCAGCTGGAGTGGATCGGATTTTGACCACAGTTCCGACACGTGTTCCACGGTGGATTCCGTGGAAATGATGACCATGCAGTTCGGACAGATGTCCTTCGCGGCCGGCGGAGATCAGCTGGTGTCGTGCGAGCCGGGAAATAAAGCGACCGGAAGTTCTTGTTCTGCAGGCAATAGCAATGGAAATGGAGGTGGTACTATTGTTGACTCCGCGGCAGCAGCAGGTGGACAGGGAGGTACTACGAGTGGCAAAAAGAAAAAGCCAGGCGGTGGTGCTGGTGCCACTCCTGCGTCAACGTCTCAGCAGCTGCAAACAGGTGCTGCCCTCACACAGCAGTTGCTGCAGCAGATTCCAGTGATTACACTGGACCGCTTGAAAAAGACACTGCAGATCGTGGATGAAGCGCAGACTCGGTTGCGCAAGTTGAAGCAGCAGTTCCTGATTCTAGACGACTTTTTCGGCGAGATCGTGAAGAGCAAGGAGGGGATCACGGAGAAGCTACGGGGGTTGGCGGAGAAGGCGCACCAGGAGCTAAAGCTACCGCTGAAGGATTTGGAAAGGGGCGTGCAGGGCAAAGTGGAGGAGTTGGGCTCCAAATTGAAAAGCTTGAACATTTCAGTCGAGCTGCCTGGGACTAATATTACAACGAGGGAAGCTGCTGATGTCCAGGAACAATCAGCCCAACAAGCTGCTCAACAGGCTCAGCAATCGAAGAAAAAGGACAAACAGCAACGACCGGCGCAACAAGCCGCTTCGTTGCAAGAATCATCTGTGATGACGTCGCAGCATCCTGCTCCTTCTGCGCAGCCAAAGACGAAGGGAAAGACAAAACAAAACACTGCATTTTTGGCTCCGCGGAACGATACAGCAACCTTAGCAGGGGCTTTTTATCATGAGCCAGCTCCTGTAGCAGAACCCTACATTCCGGAAATGAAGGAGTACCCTGAGCTAGGTGCTGCGGTCACGGCTTCTGTAGCACAGCCGGCCGGAACAATTTTCGGTCGCCGGAAGAGCACGGCTAAAAGCTCGGAAAGTTCGCCGGCTGATCCGGAAGGGAATGAAGAGAGGCAGCCTGTGGAATTGAACCTTCCAGCGGGGGTGACTGAGAAAAAGAAAAAGCAGAAGAAAAAAAAGAGTAAAGCTACAGACGAAGCTGTTACTGGCTCGCAGACGAATGCAACAGTAGAAGTCCTCCCGGAGCAGCCGCCCGAGACTATTCTAGCAGGACGTCTTGCCCAGCTCTCCCTTTCAGATCCTGCAGCGGACAAAACAACGGGAAAAATCGAAACGATCATTCCCGATAAAAGTGCGTCTTCTGTTAGAGCCGACGAAGCAGGGCCAGAACAGCAACTTGCAGGAGAGCCTCAAGTAGTTCTGGCGACGATGTCTGATCATGTTCCTATTGTTTCATCATCAGTGCCAGCACATTCTCCAAAGCCCCCGGCTGTAGTCAGGCCGATATTAACTACTCCCCATCCACTGCCGAAAACCAAGTCCAAAACCCTTCTGCCGGAGCGATTTTTGGCAACTCTTCTAAACGAGAATCACCTGTCGGAAAAGCAACACCAGGAAATCAAGACTGTGGTAAAGCAGATGGAGCAGTTCCTTTTCGTCACTTTCGATGAGATGTTTGGCGAGGACAGCTCGGTGTTTCTACAAACCGAGGAGGACCGCGTAAAGCTTTCTCACACGCGCCTGCACTTCCGGAACACGATGGAGTACAGGAAGCAGATGGAGTATCAGCTGCAGTTGTTAGAAAGCGAGAAGGAAATGAACCTGCAGTCGTCTGTAACGAACAGCAACCCGTTTGTTCTTGGAGGTGCGGCTCGAGCAGGTGGAGCAAATAATGCAAAGCCGAATCAACAAAGTCCGAGTGAAATAAACCAGAGGGCCGCGGGGTCTGTTCTACTTCCCGTTGGCGCGCAATCTACTTCTCCAGGACCACATCAAGGCATGTTACAACCCAGTAGCAGTGCAACAGCCCCGTTTGCGCTTTTCGAGGATTTGCAGCCCATTGACTACTTGGCGGCCGCGACGGATCTGCGGTTGAAGCAACAACAGATGCAACAAGCAGAGGCAGCCTCTGGAACTACAACACCGACCGGTGGTAAGAGAAGAAAGGGAAAGAGCAAAGCCACCGCCACTGGGCAGCAACAGCAGCAGCAGCTCAGTGTTGACACGATAAACTTAGCTTCGCAAGCACACGATTTTGCAGACCAATCAGGAGAGATGATTCCCGTGAACAAGATTCGCACCGAGAAATGCACCTCGAGTCTGGAATTAAGCAAAAAAGTCCTCGATCATTTGCCGCCGGAAAAGATGAAATACCTACACATGCTGCTGATTCGCGTGGCGCAGGGGCACTACGGGATGATGGACCAACAGCAGCACAACCCGTACAATCCAAACGCACACCACCAGAAGTGGGCGGAGTTGTTCCTGTGGCTGAAAAGTTTGAACATTCTGTACATCGAGGAATTTCTGCTCCTAGTGCAGCGGCAGGAGTTAAAACTCACCAAGGAGCTGTATTCCTCCTACCAGAAGCACTTTCTGCTCTTGCCGAAAGGCAGCGTCGCGCAGGAAACCGTGGTCGCGAAGCATTTTGACTTGGATCTCACCCTCTATCTGAACGATAACCGGGGCGCACTGGTGCACATTTGGCGAAAAATTTACACCGCGATGAAGCACTGGGACCGGGTCGTTTTGGATGTGACAAAATCCGAAAGATTTGAGGAGGCCTTTCAGTCCGTGACGTCCTTCCGCTTCCTGCACGAATCCCAGTCGCCGTCGAGCTTCACGATCGACATGTCCCTCGTGTCGGTACACGAGCTGGTCTTGGAGAACAGCAGTAGTAACGATCATGATAAAATAGGAATGCGCAGTAAATGTAAAATAAGTGGCACTTCTTCTACTCCTACAACAGCTACACCCTTGATAGCGCCAGAAGCTTACTTCCCCTTGTACCCGCAACTCGCGCTCGCGATGCAAAAGCCGGGCGATGGCACCACCCAAATATTGAACCCGTTGCAGCAGGCGGTCGAAGGACATCGGAAAGTCGCGGACCGGGACGTGTTACTGAAGGGATTGCTGAAAAAGCTCCGCCCGAACGTCCAGCAGACGATCATCTTGGCAAAGAGGTGGTACAAGGAGCGCATTGCGGTGCTGGGGGACAGCACGACCGGACTGAATTCGATTTCTATCGCGTTTTTGGTCCTGTACACACTGGAGAAATTGTGGGAAGCCGGGAAAATCGACCACAGGCTCGTTTTGCCAGAACAGCCAAAAGCGGCCGCTGCGGCGGGAGTAGAGTTCTCGCCGGTAAAAATTCCCAAAGTCGATTCCGGGTTTGTTATCGGCGTGCTATTCTACGAGTTCCTGGGCGTGTTAGCAAAGCAGTTTGAGCTGTTCACCATCGAGGGCATGAGGCTGAAATTGAGACTCAAGGTGTTTAGAAGTGGTACAACAAGAACATCTGACGGCCCAGAGGCAGGAAATTTTGGGGAGGCGGCGGCGGAAGGTACTTTTACCAAGCATCAACTTCCCTACACCTTCGACGTGAAACAAGTGGAGAAGATCCAGAAGAACCCAGCGTTGCAAAATCGCGACGCCAACCAAGCGCCGTTCTTCCTGATCGATCCGGATTCCATCAACAAGCCGGAAGACCACCAGCACACGCTGCAACTTTCCGATCAATTTTACAACACCGCGACCGCGGAAATCGGCACGGTGGCGAAGATTACGACCGTCGGGAACCAACACCCACCCTACGTCGCGGAAACGGATTACGTGCAGAAAGTCCAGGTCGCGTATACTAGCAGTAGTGCAAGAACGACTGGAACAAGTGGAACCGCTGGAGCGCCTCCTGCTCCCCCAACGACGAGGATGCAGGACCATGACATCGAGGAATTGACGACGTCTCGACTATTCCAAGTGAAGCAGGGCATTCCTATAAGCGGCGAAGCAAACAACGTAGGAGTAGGACATCAATCCACCGGGCTGCCGCTGTTTGTCGTGGTCACAAGCAGCAGTATGCAGGATCATCACACTTCTCTCACAATGGATCATATTCACCCAGGGGATGGAATCTCGACGACTTCTGTCGCGGGCATGCTGGGCCTCGGGTCGGTGCTGCAAGTGTTCAGCCTGACGCGCGGAGAGGAGCTACACACGGATATTCTGCCGTTTCCCGATGCTGTCAAGGTGCGGGTGGTCGAGGCAGTGGTGCCCGACGAAGCTGGTACTGGTGTAATGGGCACTGCTACAATAGACGACGGTAGTGCTCATGGTGCTTTTTATCAGGGCGGGACCACTTTTGAAAATGCAGCTGCGCCTGCCGGGTGGGCGGCCTGGCCGGCAGCGACTGCTGCGCACGAGCAAGCAACAACGACGACGACCCATCATGCCTTGAACCCTGCCGCCGCGGAATTTCAGCCAGGCCAAGCGATTTACCAGCATCCACAGCAAGAAGCGGAATTACTCGCACCTCAGCCAAAGATGCTCAATGACCAGCTGTACGGGGTGGTTGGCTGGGTCGCGAGAACTGCGTTGGAAAAGTTTGTAAAAGAAAAGGAAGTAGATGACCAAGATCACTTCCTCGCCGGAACAGCAGGCAGTGCCTCCTCTGCGTCTCTGCACTACCTGCAGCAGCAACGTGGACGGAATCTGGTCCGGGCGAAATTCGATTTTGCTAAATTCAGACAGATGTATTTGCACGCGATGACAACCCGGGGGAACATCCTAGAATTCTTCGCCACACAGTCCGGCCGCGTCGACGTCGTGGCTGATGAAGCTGCTGTGCCCCCACAACCTTCTCAGGGCGACTTGACAGCGTCACAGATTCTTGAGAACCAACAACAAGCCTTCTACCACTCTATCGAGCTGGCGTTGGAACTCTCGCCGCCTTACTTGCACAAAGAGGACGTTGCGGAGCTGTCAGACTTCAAAGAATTCCAGGGTCTAAACGAACGACTGGGCGGGAAGTTGCTGAAAAAGTGGTCGGAATACGGAAAAGGGATTCACGTGAATCCCGTTTTGTTGCTAAGAGAGGACTTGAAGAAGATGGAGTTGAACGAGCAGCAAACTGGAGGACAGCATCAAGCTTTACCTGCACCCGCAGCTTATGGAGCCCCTGTTCCTCATGATAGTGCAGAAGGAGTGCAACAACGAGATGCTACCGGTTCTGTATTGACTTCCAATCGTCCTGGCGACGAGGAATTATACAGTGAAAACGACGAAGAACTCGATCTCACCGAAGGGGTGGACCACGCAGCAGAAACAGCAGAAGCAATCGAAGCACGAGAAATCGCGGAAGGGTTTGAGGCGAAACTCAAAGCCATTCTGAACCCACCTGCTTTGCCGCATGGAGGAGTGTTGAGACTCAACCGAGAAATGACGTTAAACAACCCGAGATGGCGTTTCTGGACGCAATTGGCAAAGGAAGAAAAAAGCCGTGTGGAATTTGTCAAAAGCTGTAAGAGAGACTACGGGCGGAATTTTTATCCAGAAGTAGTCGATGATGGATTTCAGGCAGCTGAAGACAATCCTTTCTGCGACGACGACGGATCAGAGGTGGAAATTGCACAGCATGATCAGCTTGTCACGCCGTCCTGGGGGTTCCGCCTTCACTTGTTGTCCCAGAGTTTGATTCAAAGCGAAGAGGGAGTGAGGGGCAGCTGCCACCCCGATAGTTCGACGGAGATGGCGCTGTTGCGTTGCTAGTTTACCTTCATGAATGTCTTGTCGTCATGCATGATACACATAATTGAACGCCGGGAGTGACTGTTCTTTCATTGAGTTTACCGTTACGTATAGCACCGAGCTTATAGTGAGCTACTATCATTTTTCCCTTCTTTTACAATAGACAAAATGCATCGAGCGCCGCTAATATGAATATCAACTGCGCCGACTCATTCGAAATAAAATGTATGTCGCTGTCGTTTTCCTGGTCCCTCCTTATGTGCTAGAAGGCCGATACAACAACTTGCACAATTGTTCGCAACTTTTTTGGGTCGTGTGGGAACAAAACGAAAAAAGATAGCTTAGTCAGTGAAAATTAATGAAGTACGAAGCAAATAAAGAGTGGCGCTTAGCTTTTTTATTTTTTTTTTCCTGTTTCTGGTTTCGAATCCGATTCCGAATCTCAAAGTTTTCCAAGTCAAGTACAAAAGAGAAGAAAGTCCTAACATTCGCGATCCTGTTGTCGCAGGTTCGAGTGTTGGAGTTTTTGGCGAGCGAAAGGCGGCTCGCCCACCTAGTGCCATCGAGGCGATTAGCTGTACAGACGAACAAAAAGTGGCCGCTCATTTTGGGCCCTGCTTTGGTTTCTGAAACGATAATGAATGTTGTGGGAGAGTACTAGAAACAGTTGTGAATGCATCCTAAACTTGTGTTGTAGCGCTAGCGCATTATACTTATTTGATTTATACTTTCTCTTGCACAAGGCCCAACAACACCTGTACAGCGCGTCTTCTACGAGCAAAAGTAAGTCAAGCTTTAAGCTCGTGAACATCTTCTCTGTCTTTTGTTGGCCCCCCCACCCCCCCAACAATTGACGGGTCCGCTCCCACGCCGCTGCCACGCCGTTGCCGCTACCATGCTGCCGTTGTTGTCGCTGATGCCGTTGCCAAGCTGCAGCCGACGTTGCCGCAGCAGATTTTGACACCAAGAAGCTGCCGATGATGACGAAGTTGATTTTATGGCCATCATTTGCAGCTGCATGAACAAACTGTACACCGCATGATGCAGTACAAAATGTACACCGCGTGATGCACTTCAAACAGCAGTACAGGACTCGTTACACGCTGCTACGGAGAACAAGATCATGGATACTCAGATTGACCAGATTGGCAGCCGCAACACAGCAGCCAGCATCCGAAGAAGAGGGTCGAAGACAAAGACTCGACATTTTGTAGAATAGCACAAAAGATTATTTATAAAAAAAAAATAAAAACATACACGATAGACAGAACTAGTTCGCGGATATAATAAGAATAAAAGAAACTCGAGTTGTTGTTGCGTAAAATCCGTGTTGCTTCTCAAAGTTGATATTCCGGTCTAATCTCGTATCTTCGGTTGCCTCGTATATCAATCGGTCGTTTTATACCAAACAAACCCATCGGTATGATCACTTTTTTATCCCTCGGACCAGTGTTCTTGTGACTACATTTCGGTCTGAATCTTCTAATCGGAATCTTTCAATTGCTTGTGTTGTTCTCTCGTTGTTTGTACAGTTCTTTCATATAAAACAAAAAACAAGACAATCAAAAATGAGCGCCGCCAACCCCGGGGAAGTATAACAAATAAATAAATTTTCCTATCTCAATTGATTCCATGGATGAATGACATTATGTAAAATTTTCTTTTCTCAAATGATTCCAAATAAGAATGACAATTTGAAAAAGCAATTAATGAATGATTTTCTATGCAATATCATGGGTGATCTGCTGTCATGGCACATAGGTATCCACTCTTTCTGTTTTTATTCGATGCAATTTGAAAAACAAAAATATAAGGCACTCGACCTGCGTCTGTTCTAGTTTCTTGTTTTGTGTATGTTCGTATCGCGATCTAAATCCTCTCGATCTAGAGCGCTATCGGTTATGCCCGTCAACGAACTTTATTGTCGATTCTCTTTAACGTCGTAATCTCGGATTTAAATTAGATTTAGATATCGACATCGTTACATATATACATCGTGCAAAACTCTCGTCTACCAGCTAAATAATCGTCTCGTAACAAGTGCAAGTTTTCGCTCGGGTCGTAAAACGTTTATCTCTCCCTATTCGTTCCTTAATCGTATAGACTTATCGCTTATGTCGTCTTCTCGATCGATTATGGGACCATCGTATAAATCGTATAATCGTTTTCTCGATCGTTATGTCCTTCCTGACCTCTCTAAAGCGCTTTCTCGGTACACATCGGTCCCTTGTCTGCACCCTAGATCCCTTCTTCCCTGGTTTGTTTGTGTGGTGTTGTTCCGTCTTCTTCTTCTCTCTCCATATCTCTAACAACACGTTAAAACTATGAGCACTTGGATGGTGGAGCCGGCGCCCCTACCCGCCTTGTGCACTGGGATCATAGTTTTAAGCGAGCACCATCGCACCACTTCCACCTAGGGCTGCTTTCCCAAGCAGCGTGGTCGTCATGCTTTGGACGGTAGGGGCAGAAGTGTTGTCCTTTTTCCTCTCTCCATTTCTTTGTTTCTTGATTGCTTTTGTAACGTAAATTCGGTCTATGAATAGTAACTAACAAATAACTTATTTGATTTATACTTTTCTTTTTGCATTAATTTTGGGTTCGAATTCATTTTTTTATTTTTTTTTGTCGAAGTCGTCTGGCTTCCGATGTGGACCTAGACGCAGTGCAACAAATCACTTGGAGATACAACATATAGCGACAACTTTTTTTGTGCCCAAGATGAGAAAGATGAGCAATGCCATGACCTTGATATTTTTTTTTGCTTCACGTTTATCACTTCGTTCTAGTTCTGCTTATCTAAAAAATGCTAACTTCTAAAAGATAGAGGTGCTTTTTTTTGAACTTTTTTTCGACACAAATAATGACCCATCTTTTTTTTTCGTACAGAATGCGAATGAGAACATAAAAGCATCAAAACTACTGTACTACGATACTTTGCTCGTATGCTAATGGTACAGAATAAGAATAACAAATGCTTGGGCTTACTGCCTTGTTTCGACGCGCAGACGTGGATGGTTTTTTGTTGTTTTGTTGCATGAAAATTTAAGGACGTAGCTGTGGTAGTATTCAAACTTCAAAAAACTGAAACATTGATTGTGGTGATCTGGTACATTTTCGCGGGCGACGCCCGTACGGATGTGTAAAAGTAAAAGTTCTGTTCTTTGTACCCTGTTTTCAAAAGTGGCGAAATTAATGCGTCTTTTTGTCGGTAAAACACAATTTCGATTTCCTCCTGCAGTTGCTTTCCCGGGTCCGGGTGGGGGCTCCAATTCTTATATCAAAACGAAAATGATCACAGACTCTCTTGTCGTTTGCGTTTCACAAAGGGCAGTATTTTTTTTGAGCGACTTATCATCTTCAGAAAGTTTCAGTTTTGGTATGCTATGTCAGTGCTTTTTCGCAAATAAAGCCGAGGAGCCTAAAGGGGACGACCCTTCTCCTGATCTGGCCATTTGTAGCTGGAAAAAATTCAATTTCATCAGTCGCATCAAAAATAAGTATGCAGACGAGTGACCACTAGTACCCACGTTTCTTTACCAGCCACACGGTGCTTAACACCGGCTGTATGATCAGTACAACAGCACAAAAAATGAACACAAGTGAAAAACGCCACACCACTGTAGCCCCCTCGTCCAATAGATATAGTACATAAAGCCAAAAAACAAATAGTCCAGAATGGACAAGATATCCCGCGGCAGTCACCTAGGTGACATTCACAACCAGGGGCTTCGCGTGGCCACCGATGTGAACATGCACACCAGCAACCAGCGCGGCACCCACGTGTCTTCCAAGGACACCTGCAAGCTGCACTCTACGGGCGTGCGCAACGCGGCCAACGAGCACCACCATTCCACCCAGGCGATCGGATCCGGGGGGCTGTACAACTTAAACTCCACCGTCACTGCGAAGGTGAAGCGCTCCTCGGGGCAGCAGCAGTTAGCAGGCTCCGCGAGCAGTTGGTTCAAACACGACCACAACTTGGCAAAAATTGCCGCTGCCCGGGGCAGTCGCGGAGGGTTTAGCAACGCTGCGGGTTCATCCTCTGCAGCCTCCCCGCGTGGTCCTGTGGAGCACGACCAACCGGTGCACCTCCGCGGCGGGCACACGCACGACAGGAGCCACGTCGCGAAGAATGACGCGGATCACGCACGGTATCCTAATGAAAAACGTCCCCACCCCAGAGTCAAGATGGGGATTTTGCAACACAAACCTTGAAGTTTATTTGGGAGCCACGCATGACAAATTCCTAGCTGTAGTGTAGTGCAGTTTAGAAAGGGAAGTCGCATTACAAATCCATCTGCCTATCCTGTTTACAGCATTACAAGTTCCAAAACACGATCGGAAATGCCTATCATGGGGATGCGCATTACAAATGCTCTTGCGCTTGCAGATCTGCATGACAACTCTGTGGTGGGGATGCTTTTACACAGGATACACGGTTCGAAAGGTTCAGCGCCAAGTTTTGGCGAAGCTGTGCGGGAAACAGCCCCGCGCCCGCGGCCAACCCGGTCCGGTACGAGGAGAGGAAAATGAAATTCGAACCGGCGGGCAGGGTCAACGCGGTGGTGACGGGAAGCATGTCGGGGGGAAACGAGGGGATGGCAGGTACTATCTATGATAATGATTGAATTTTGATTTTATCTACACGAACGGAGTGAGAGTATACTAGTAAATCAGGAGGTGCATCATGGGTAGTAGAGCCGCTGAGCGGCCCTTCTTTCACTCACCCGAGTGAAAAAAGTTTTCGTTTTTGATGCGATCCAAGAAGCATGGATTCTCTCAGCTTAGACCACACGACTGAATCAAGAATCAAAAAGCACTTGACTCCACCTATCAGCCGCCGGCGTTCCAACCTCCTCCCCCATGAAGCCCCGGGTGACCTCCTACAGTGCCTCCTACCAGTCACCGCGGTTACAGTCACGACAAGTAGACATAACGGGGTCGTCTACCTCTTACACAACGGGGGCTGCAAGCGTACTCCGATCCACCCCGGAATTGTTATCTGCGAACTTCCTCGCACAGTCGCCGCGGCCCAACAACCGATTTGCACGACGAAGCATCGAGGAGAAATCGCACACAAGCCACAGAACCACGGCGGCGAAGATGAAGGAGCAGCAGGACCACTTTGTAGACCTAGGATCCGCAACGCAGAGTGTGAGTGCTGCCGCTGGTGTACCCCAAAAACCGCAGACTGTTGTTCTCTCGAACAACCCGCCCCAGCTCCTCCCGTCATCTAGCCTAGGTTCTCGGCAAGAAGAAAATCAAGCCACTCCCGCCGCCGGCGTCCCCACCGGGTCCTCGGTGTATCAGGACCACTTGGGCAGCGACTGTGCGGTATTTCTTCTATCCGGGGCAACAGTAAAAACATTATCGTGGTCGTGCTAATTGGAATTGCAGCTCCAGCTGATCTGCACCATAACAAATCTGGTTATTTATATTTTTCTACCCTTAATCAGCATGGCACACGCATGAATTCTGTTTATCCTTCTGAAAGAAGGAACGTTGCAATTCCGACTGAAAAATCGATGATTTTGCAATGCATATTTTCCGGAACAGCAAGGCGACTCCACGACTGCGACGAACGCAACAACCGGCAGAAATGGGGACATCACCTCTACCACAGGAACTACAACACGGTCTTTGAAACATCAATCGGGGAAATTCAACACCTCCGCCCGCTCCTCCCCTACGTTTCGCGGGTCCGCAAACTGGATGGCCTACTCCAGTCCGAGACAGCAGCACCGGGCGGTTCGTGCCGATCTGGTGGCTGCTCCGAAGCTGAGCCCCCGACACCGGGCGAACCCAGATCTGGACACGGGCAAAGATCACCACAGTGGCAGAGCGGTGCCGCAGGGCAAGGAGTTCTTCAACCCAAGAGAGGGGATCAAAATCGTATTTCTATTTTTTACACTATGCATTTTGATTTTCCTTTTTGCAAATATTGATTCGTGGTCTTGTTGGTCTGGAAACAAAGTAAGACGCAACTTTGGGTTCTTCACTGCGCCGCCGGAACAATCAAAGAGCTAAAATTTGTGTTGCGTAGACACCAACAAGAAGATCGAAAATGAAAATCAGGTATCCTCTCCGGCGAAACAAGAGAAATTGAATCACGACTACATTGGCACCCAGGAGGAGTTCGGTGGGAAGAAGTGCCTTTTTGTGGAGGAGGAGGTGCCAAAGTTGAAGGAGGTCTCGAACATGGTGAAGGAGATGTCGGCTGCCCGAAGTTCCGTAAAAGTCCCGCGAAAAAATCCGCGAACCTCCGTCGCACACGAGGAAAGGCTGGTGAAAAGGGACAACGCGTACTGGCTAGGAAGTTTTTTTTTCCTATAACCAACTGACAGACAGTAGCTCGCTTACGCTTTTTATAGAAAGGCGATACTTGGAAATGAAGTACTTGCTTATCCTCATGAGGTACTAGTTGTGATGGTGGGGTCGCGTGTTGAACAAAATCAAAAAGCCAATATAAGAATAAAACACTCAATTGACAACCATCACGACGTAAATGCATTAGGCACGAAGCTGCGACCGAGCACTGGTTTAGCCGAAAGTCAGCGCACATGATGACCACGAGCAGTGAGGCCACGGCTACCAACCTCGGGAGTTACAAAGCGCCACCGTCCAACAAGGACCTCTACATCTATGACCAGACCACGCTCGCGCCCTCCGCGGGAAAACGCCGAGCGAGCGAGTGCATCAGTTTCACGCTGCAGAAAAATCAACCCAAAATGGAGGCAGCGGGTACAACTTGTTTGATGTGCGGTTTGGATTTAAAAGGCGTTACTATTTGTGCAGTTTGAGTTTCTGAGGACCAAAAATCTTTTATCATATTAATGATCCACAAACAAGGTCGCGAAACGCGCACCCGAGAACACGTGGACGCGAGGTACTACCTGCTGAAGAAAGAGGCACGCCCGGTGAACACAACGCGACCCATTCAGGATAAGAATCCCGGCGTCTTCCACCCGACCCGTGTGTTGCAGCGGAGTCCGCGGGCATGGCGGTGATGTATTGGACGGCGCTCGGCTTGCATTTTTTTGTCAACTAAAGAAAATTGAAATTGCTATATTGATAAACTTTTTTCATTCATTTTCATTGTAAAATGCCGATACTCCAACGCAAATGTCTTTCTTGAAATTCAATATGTGGAGGCACAGATGGTTTGTTTCTTGTTGTCACTTCTCAAACAAATAGCTTGCGATCAATTATGTGTGCGACTTCTGGAGCTTGCGTGTCACTTTTTTTCTATCTATACCATTGATTTCCCCCGCCCCTCAATGTATGATGTATTTTCCGATTGAAGAAACTGGGGATGTCCATATGCATGTTTGTCATAAATACTCTGTATCTGTTCTTTTGTAAAATTTAAAATAGAGTCAGAGTCTGAGTCAGATACTTCTCGTTTTCAATTTGATGCCAAACACTTTCCATACTGCTTTGGCATTCGACGCTGGTATTGATTGATCTTTTTGTTTTTGCTTCGCACCACCCATCAAGGTCACACGCAGGCGGGTGCGACATCAAGACTTTTCATGGAGCACGTTTTCCAAGTTGATATCAAGTTTGATAGAAACCGCCGAATGCTAAATGTTAATGTTTTTTTGTGAGCAGAAGGCCACAACATATACTGACCCGCGCAGATGAAGGATGAAAATCAGCGAGTTTAATGAATTCTAAGGCGGGTAGTTTTTATTGTTCCTGATCCTGCAGTTCACGTTCTTCTTCTTCATCTTCTCTAGCTTTTCGTGAAACCTCAGTTAGCAGGTCAAGCATAGAGTGATTTGCGAAGAAGGAATACAGAGTTGAGTTTCTATTTCGTGACTTAGGAGACGAGCGTACGTCGAGAGCATCCAGTTGACCTTGACCTCCACACGAGTTGAGTCACTGCCTCATTATGCGTGAAGATGCGCCACCGCAAGTACTAGTCCATATCAAGGGACAGAGCGTGCAAGTTTAGATCCTCAAAAATTTGCAACGAACTACGAGAGCCGGAAGTTCTAGCTACTTTCCTGCATTGTACGAAGAATAAGAACTACATCATGGAGCATTCTCCGCATCATGTCTCTGCCTCGGCCAGTCTGCGCAGCGCTGCAGTGAACAGCCTCCTTCCCACGTCGCCCGCTGCGGCTGGTGCGAGTGGCGCAGCTTCCAATAAAGTGAGTGGCATTTGTTCTACTTCTATCACCACTCCCACATCAACCGGCACGGCGGTAGGACCTTCTGTTGGATCATCTGGCGTTGTTGTCTCCGCGTCCTTGCAGCAGCAAGCAGGAGCTGGAGTTGTATCAGTTTTACCCGCATCATCGGGAGGAGGGAACCTCAACTTTTATTCAGCTGCCCACCCTGCTGCTGGGCCGGCCACTTCCGCTTCCCAATCTGCGGTGCTCGCGGCAGCAGCGTCCCCGAAAACGTCGATTTCGTCTTCGAGTTGCACTTATCAACTGTAAAAATGTCTGGGTCTGGAAGGGTGTAAACTTGTCATGCAGGTTTTCCATGACCCATGAGGTCCGAAATGCGGGACTTCGCGTGACAGACTCTGTGAGGTCTCTGCCATGCGTATCCTGCATGAGAAACTTCCTCCCAACTTGGTCGAAAGTGGAGAGCTTTTGGGAATTATGCAACACAGATTTTTGCATGATTGAGATTTAGCATGACAAGTTGGAATCTTCCAGACCCAGACATTTTTGCATTTCGTAGCACTTCGACTGGAATTATCCAACCCACCCCAGCCTCTACTACCAGTCCCTCCCGCGGCGCGCCGTCCCACGTGTACACGACCACCAGCTCCGTGAATAATTCCACCTCCGCATCAGGAGCAAAGCTCCCAAATTTGCTAACCTCGTCCTGGTCATCCGGAGCAAATGCTGGCCTGGTTTCTACTTCTAGTGGGGGTGCTGCAACAGCAACCGGTGGTTGTGGTGACCGTGTACTAGTTGTTGACCACGGGGGCCTTGTCCACACGACCTCCTCGAACGGCTCTTCGCACAAGCCCAGCATTCACACCACCACGTCGAAAAGCGGCACGACGACTGCAAAGACCTCCATCGACGAAACAAACAGCACTACCGCGCCGGGACCAGCACCGGGGGATAGCACAAATTTCTTACAGCGGGAAACCTCCTCTTCGTTGCATCACCACCAGAGTGGTACAACTACTGCAACGACCGCCCAGCTGCACCTCCAAGGTGGCGGGTCAACGACTGCTGCTGCGCCAGGTGTAGTTCCTGGCTCGTCGGCCAGCCTGGCAAATCCGTCGCAACATCAACAGCAGCTATTGTTTCAGGAACAGCAGAATAAACAGCTGGACAAACAGATTCACTACTACAACCAAGAGGTGGCGAAGTTGCACGTTTTCAAGCAGAAGATTCAGCACCAGTTTGATGTGGAATTCAAACACATGAGCGAGAAGCTCGAAAAAATCCAGCAGGAACGTGACGATTTACTGCATCAGGGTTTGTATCCAATGTGTACAAAAGTTCATTGTACTCGTACATGAAGTAGAAGTGCAGTCTATTTTGGCATGATGCGCATGGGGGATCTGCTCTTTTACTACGAACTGAATCTGCTTCAACATGAAAAAAGAATTTGTCCTCTTGTTCGACATGCAATACCATTTCAGTACCAGTACGTGCTGTACAGCATGTTTTTGCACTGCATAGTGTGGATGGCGAAGAGTTGACGCAATCGCTTCAGAGGCGGCTAGCCGATGTAATGAAGGAGATGTCAGCCATGGCGGAGATTACGAGCGAGCAGGACAAGGCGCTTACCTGGCTGATTCAGTACCGCTTGAAATTGGAGGAGTGGGTGGTGAAAAAGTCCGCGGAACTTGAAGTTCTGCAGGAAAAAACTTCTACTGGAACCATTGCTGGCCCAACCAAATCTTCCCCAGCATCACCACCAACCTCGGTGCTCGACGCCTTGAAGAAAGAGGTCGGCAAGGAGCCGTTGCTCGCCTCTCCCGATTGTCTGGAGGAAACCAACAGCAGCAGCACCAGCAACGCGGTGGGAGTGGCCGCTGGGACGAATCTCCTTTTGCAAAACCAGCACGGGGCAGCTAAAAGTGCTATCACCGGAACTACACCAAATCTGAATAGTCTTGCAACAGGATTGCAGCAAGGTAGTACGTCTCCTACGTTGAACAGCAGTCAACTTAATAACCTCGTCAACAACCGGTCGTTTTCGAAACAGAAAATGCTCTTGCTGGACAGATATGGATTGCAAAAGTGTCTGGGTCTGGAGGGTTGGAACTTGTGCTGCTAACTTTGGACTCTAAAAAATCTGTATTGCATGACCAGCAAGAGGAGTCCGGTTTGTGCTACGCGTGGAGGGCATTCGTCATGCGGAATAGGCATCAGGAAGGTAGGCCTCTAAAAATCTGTGATGCTAGGGCTTCTATGACCGACATTCTGTGTCATGCAAATAAAACAGCATATACAAATTTCGGATTCTTCCAGACCCAGACATTTTTACATTTGATAAAAGAAAACGAAGCAAGGAGAGTGACCTGTCGATTAGCGCAAAGAACGGCGATGCGGAGGACGACGAGGAGGGGGATGCGAGAAGTGTGTAAAGCGTGATGTGTTGGGGGGGTTCATGGTGTTGAGTAAAGCTGTGACTTCCTCACCTTGCGTTCCCGCCACGGTTGGAATACTTTGATTTCTTGCGCTTGGAAAAACTGATACGCTGACGCTCTCTATGAAGTACCTGATCGATTTCTTATTTTGGATTTTCGGGAAACAACAAACACAAACTCCAGTAAATGGAGAAAAAGAGAAAGAAAAAGTAGAGCTATGCATCTTGAGTAAAGTGACAACGAGAAAGGACTGTGACTACTTTCGGAAGATTCATTTCTTAACAAGCAAAGCCTCAGATCGAGGATCCGCCCGAACAGCAAACAAGGGACGAAATGAAATCGGGTACATGGACAGAGAGATATGGACCCTCGCTCCCTTGACCTGGTCCTGCTGTTATACTTCATCTACTGCTGCGATCGCTCTTGGGACCGAGGTGCAGCAGCTCGAAAAATGAAATCCCCGACGAGTTGCTGTTGTGCAGCAACCCAAATTTCGCTGCAAACGGAAGAAGAGTGACGAAAGAGAGAAAGCAAACAGCATGGGCATGCTCAAAACTGCAGAAAAGTCGCTGTGAACTTCGAGAGATCATATTGGAGATTTGTTTCTTTTGTTGTTGCAAGTTGCCAACGTTATTTTTAAGCATTGACCTAAGATTTGTACGTGCCCATACGACGCTTACAAGTCTGTCTTTAGTAGGCGTTTTGATGCTGTTCTTATTCGGTTCTTGTTTTGGTTTTACTTTATTCGCAACCGTGCGGACTCTAAGACATTGACATTATGGCGCCTTCTGAAGAGGGACCGAACTTGCTTGACCAGCTTTTGGGAATCAATCCCGTGGCGGCTACAGCAGCCTCTAGTGCCTCGCAGCAAGGTGTAGTTTCTAATTATCCCTCTGCTCCGGCGGCCAGCACGACGGCGACCAACCCGTATTCTGCGGCAGCCACGTCGCCTGCCCCGGCGTCCGCGAAAGCCACGGGAGGTGGACCTGCGTATAATACTCCGCAAGCAGGAGTTCTTGGAACATCATCAAGCCAATTCTCGTCCTATCCGTCCGTGCAACAACCCGGCGCGGTATCTTCTGGTGCGACCCCGCGACCCCCGGATGCGCCACGCACGACGACCCCACGCCCTGTCATGGGCGGAGGTAGCAGCACTGCGGCTGCAGCGCAGGGACCTGCAGGCCAACAAAATGGTGCCAGTAGTAGAGACACACAACTCGGCGGCGCGGGCGCGGCCGCCCAGGTACCACCCGTGAATCTAGCGCCGATTACATCAACAGGTCCGAGTTCTTCGGTTCCTGGCCCACCTGCATACACAACAATGTCATCCGCGCCGGCCGCACCAGCACCCGGACAGGGGATCATGGGATTGCCCTCCGGTCCGCAGCAGCAAGTAGGAGCCCCAGGAGTACTTTTTCCTCCCCCACCTTCAGAGCAGCAATCCCAAATCCGCCCGACGATCCTGCCGCAAAACGTCAACACTAACCGTAAGTCCACCGTTATCCAAGAAAAAAACTGTGTAAGTGTAAATTTGTGTTGCAGAAACTGCAAAACTGTTTCACTTGTCATGCTGGACATGCATCAGACTCAGAGGCAATTTTCTTTTTCGTGCGTGTTTTCACATACTAGCTATGCATGACAAGTTTTCTGTGTCATGCAGAAACTTGTGTGCTGTTCCTCCAAGAAACTTACACTTATAGATACATATACAGTTATTTTTTCCCTCGATAATCGTGGATCAACTCCCCTTTCTTCACATCGAGTCGACCACCAACTCCCCCACCGTCGAGAACAAGAAGCGCGGCTTATCAAAAGGAAAAATCCCCCCTCCCCATATCGAAAACCACATGTGTGTTGCTGTATTTGAGTACACAAATCACATTTGTCTTGCAGTAAAGGACTGCACGCAGATCGTACGCCAGAGGGGGGGCCTCTTGGTGTAGGGACCTAGCATGGCAGACGTCAGCCCTATAGGCCTTGCAGCATTACAAATTGCCTGCATATCGTGGCGGAGTCTCTGAATTTGCCCTCTTGCAAGAGAGACAGGATTTGTGCCCACGAATCAGCATCACAAATTTTTAGAGCCGTGCCCTTTCAGTATGGGGAGGGGGGATGTTTCCGCTTGATGCGGCTTGCTCTTCCAAAACCAGGTGGATGGGAACGCTGGCAAGCCGATACCCGAGCAGGTCGCCGCGGTGCAGAAACTGGCGAACAGCAAGGTGCGGGCACTGATGACGAGTGTGGACAAGTTGAAGAAGGAGAATCTGGAGCTGAAGAAGTCCTCGCAAGAGCACAAGCGGACAAACGTGATCAAGCAGTTGCAGGAGGAGCTGGGGAAGCAGGACGCGATTATCGGGGGGCTGTTGAAGAAAATTGCGGGGGACTACAGTACGAACGGCGAGCAGAAGAAGTTGCTCGACGCGGTGCTGAAGGAGAACGACCAGAAAGCGCGGGCGCCGGCGCGGGTCAAAATTTTGTCAAGGACGGAGCTGCAGTTCGAGTCGGAACGGTTCAAGAACGAGCTGAACAGGGAGAAGCACGACCGCATCCAGCTGGAGAAGCAGTTGGAATTGCTGCAGCAGCAGCTGAAAAAGGAGAAATACGTGTCCCAGATGCTGTATCCACTGCAAAAGTATCGTACTCGTATGAATTGCTATTGCAGGTATGCATGACAAATCTGGCTTTCTACCCAAATCTGCATTACAAATGCCAATTTTGTTCCTGATAAAATTTGTCATGCGATTTATTCTAGTACGATACTTTTGCAATGCATATGCTGGAGCAGCAGATGTCGGCCGCCGTCGAGGACATGCAGGACGTGGTGATTCGGAAGGAGCAGATGCACAGCGAGAAGGTGGAACTCGAGTATCACACAGAAAAAAACTGGCAGGTCACATTTGTAATGCAAAAATAAATACACAAAAAAATCTGTATTGCGTATCCTAAATAGCATGCTATGAGGCCGCCCATGACAAGTTTTTCTGTGTATTTATTTTTGCATTACAAATATCAATATGCCCTGCCAGCTTTTTTCTCTGGGATATCGAGCTGAAGCTGAAGAAGGAATACGAAACCACCATTCAGCTCCTCGCCACGGAGTGCGAAGCAAGCAAGCTGCGGGTCGAAGAACTCGAGCAACTGCACTCGGATATCCTTGGTGGAAAGTCGTACAAGCCTCCTTGTTCCAAATACTTCACTAGATCGCATTTTAGCAGAAAAACAATTTTGAAAATAGAAGTAGAACGAAGCTTCCGCTTCGTCTTCGTGTCCTCGTGCAGGTGAGTGAACAGCTAGGAGAAAATGGAAAGATGTTCATCTGCACCCCTGCTGCTACACGCGGCGCAAAGTTAGCTGTACGCGCAACATTAGTTGTTGTCTTCCTTGGAGAACCAGGCGACGTTTTTTTTCCCCCGGATATCCGAAGAAGAGAAGCAGAAGAAGCTGATGGCGGAGGTGGCGAAATTCAGCGAAACACGGCGAAAGAAGGAGGAGATGGAAGCGAGATGCAAGTTGATGGAGATTGAAAGTGACAACATGATGCAGGAGAAGGCCGCTCTGGAGGAGAAAGTGAAAGTTTTGGAGAAGGATAAGGAGGACATGAGTATAATTCATCTACTAGAAGATTTATCACTCTTGTGCTGAAGCAGACCTCGGTCGTGCTTGTGCCGCGTGTCGTGCTGCTGCGTGTCGTGCTGCTGCGTTTTTATCCTTGCGTTCGCATGTGCATGGGAATTCGAATTATCTAGATTTCACTCGAGAGGAACTTCTAAACTTCGCCTTTACCCTCCCCTCGTTAAGTACCGGAATCCCTCGTTGCACTTGGCTCGCTGCCCAGTTGATCGCTATACTATCACCATTTCTACCTAGGTCGCGAGGCCGCTCGTCTGACGGACTTGCTAGACGCGGAGCGAGGCCGGTTTAATGAGCTGCTGGACCTGAAACAAAAGAAGGCACAGGAGGACGAGGTGCAACAGAAGGAATTGGTTCTCCGTGAGAAGCAGATTGAGGATTTGAAAAAAGAGCTCAAAACCGCAAAAGACGAAGCCGCATCAGGAGAAAAAGCGGCTGCGAAGAGTGCTGCGGCAGGGGAAAGGAAACGTATCTATTTTATCTTTGTTCGAGCAAGGCTCGCCCTTGTATGCGTTTTGAATTTCACTGATCATGAGGAACCCGTCTTGCATTTTACGCGATAAGAAGAGGATCTCGCGCCGGCCGCGTTTCCAGTTCGTCTGTTGTTTGAGATCCCATCTGAAATTTGTGTCACATGATGTTGAAAATCCCACACAACTCTACCAGCGCCTCCCGCGGCCCAGAGTAAAACCAAGGCTACACACCCACACCAGCACCACCACATGCACGCGAAAGTGCAAAATTTTTCCGCCCAGTTGAAAGAAATCGACGAATTAGCGACGCCGCGAACCACGGACACACTCGAATTGAAGAAACTGAAGGAGAAAATCAAGTTTCTCGAGCACGCTCTCGAGGACGCGGACGCCGGTATCAAACAGGGAAGAATTTATACGTAGAACATAATTGAACCGAAATTTTTGTCCTCGTGCATGTAATCGCCGGAATCGAATGTGCATGACACGGAAATACAAGTAGCATCAGCATCTTCAATCTATGTATCTTGTCGGCCGCCACAAGATCCATGCTAGCTGCAGTTCAAAAGGAACACAAGGCAGTAGGACACGTGCAACTTCTTCTAGGAGTGCTGGCCACGGCTGCTGGGTTTGGCGAGCGTTCAGATTTCCTTTGCCTTTCGCACTGCACTTGCATAAGGCAATACGGAAAATGATCCTGTCCCAGCGTAAGTGTTTTTTTTCCCTCTTGATACCGGAGTTAGAAGATTTGGAGGACGAAATCGACCATCTGGAGGAAGCTCTGGGCCACGCACAGCAAGAAATTGACGTCCTCAAAACCGGCACTACTAACACGTCCTCTGCGATGAAAGCGAACCAGGGCGCTGGAGGTGCTCTCGCGAAGCCGGAGGGCGAGGCTGCGGAGGGCGATGAAGCAGCTCCGGTGGTAGAAGTGGAGGAAGGAAATACTGCGGCAGAAACCGACGTTGCCGGCGGCACCACAACAGGAGGGGTTGAGCAAGACCTGCCGGCGGCACCACAACAGGAGGGGTTAAAGATGAGCACAACTGTAGCTAGTAATGCTCCGGACGCAAGTAGTGCGAGTGCAGCAGGTGCAGTCGGCCCTGCGGAGTCTCAAGCAAGTCCTCCGACGACTACCGATGCTGCCGCGGGGGAAGTCGAACTCGTGCAGGTGAAGCCGAATGAGGACGAGCTGGGCACAAGAGCATCTGCCGCAGCAGCCTCATCCACGACCGCTCCGGCCGCCGGGGAAGCTACAGCCCCCGCAACTACAGGGGGTGGTCTTGCCGTCGAGAAGGACAATAGTATTGGTGCGACTACCAGCGCCGTTCCTGTCGCTGCCGCGAACGCAGAGGGAGTGGAGCAGCTGCAGCTACAAGAAAAGCCACCCGAGCTGCCTGCAGCGCCGCCGGGCGCAAGCGCCAGCGGGGCGGAACCGACGGCGGTCGCAGGCGTACCTGCGGCTTCGACGAGCTGATGAATGACATAGTTAGAAGGTGGTCTTTTTTGATGAGGTCTGATTCTCTTGCCCGATTTTGGAGGTTTTTTGACGAAAGTAGATGTTGTTTGTTTTTGACAATGATTGTGATTGAAAGGAAACAGCAAGACCAAAGCGTGATTTTAGAATGAGGAAAAGCGCCGGAAGGCACCAACACGGAAGCACCTGTCCTCAAGGAACCACCTACGGCTTTGAAGGAAGGCAACGCTGGTGTTTCTGCTCGATCGCACCATTTCGGCAAGAACGTTGGTTGTCTATAGTTGAAAGAAGTATCCACACACGCGCCGCGCCCATCCTAGCTAGGGTCAATTTAGAATTCCTCTTCGCTTTCTTCTCTTCAACCCAACACGACAGGTCAAGCATTCTAAACCTTGCAGTTCGCACCGGCTACAGTGATCTACTCAAACTTCATTTTGATTTTACATTGCAATGTAGTTGAAAGAAGTCCTTCTGTCTTCCGCGAGTGTTGTCGTTCGCGAGTGAGTGAAGGTTGTTGTCGAGGCTGCAACCACTTCTTGTCTACTTCGCACATTGTCATCGCGACGTAAGTTGAGAGTAAATCTGGTTGGAGGACAATGAACTACGTCTACATCATCGTCGTGTGTTGGAACTAGCTTCAATTCGTCTTATCCCATCGACGTCGCCGCTGCGATCGGTTGTCAGCAAAGAGAGGAGTAGAGAAACCATTTCTGCTACAGCAGGTATTGATCAGAATGTATTCCGTGATCCATCGTCCAATGTCTTTTCTGCCAATACGAAAGAGCACGAGCAGCTCATGCAGTCCTAACTGAGCAGAGCAAGACGGAAAAAACACTAGACCGGAGACCGAGTATTTCCTTCCGCCAATCTTGTTAAAAGAAAAACACACCAAAGCCATGACGGGTCGCGTGTACGTTCCGCCTGACATAGCGAATGTTCCGCCGCCGCCCTTTCCGGCGACCCGCGTCCGGCCAGACCTCCGGTACAAGTTGCAACTGGAAGACGGGGCTGACACACGCTTCTACAACTTTGACGCACCCCCAGAGCCGTACTACCACGCCTTACCGTTTAGGAGCAAAGTGCACCGGTTGCAGCGATCCACCAGCAATCCAATAATAAACCAGAGCATACAGGTACGATACTTTACTACGCCTATATGGATTCGCGATTATTTGTCTTTGATATTGATTTGGGTGCACTGCAATGTGCGGGTGAGTGACCACTAGCTAGCAACAACAATAAATCGTTCCTCGAACTACAAACTACAGTCCGACAACTTGGCTACAATCAAGACTTTGGTGCCAGAGCGACAGGATTGGAAACACACCTACCACCGGTACCACCTAAACGACGGGTATCTATGACACAGAAAAATACTGACAGCATGTCAAAATATTAGGTGGTTTTGTGTCAACATGAAAAAAGTTTTGGAAACATCGTCCAGGCAAAAGCTGTACTACAGAGGCGAGGGACGATGACGATCGAAATAGAGGAATCCACCGGTCTACGTGCGATTTATTGCATGACAAAGGTGACAGTTTTCTGTGTGATAGTGTGCGGTACAGGACCAATCACTGACTGTGGTGGAGTCCAAAGACGAGTCTAAACCCACCACCGTCGGTACCCACATCAGCAGCAGCGGGCAGGTTATCTTGAGTGAACTTAACGTACCCGCAACCCAAAGTAATAACACTCCATGTCGCGAGTTTCCATTGCCATTCTCAGAACGTTTCTCATGCGAAGGAGCTTCTAAATCGTGTATCAAATTCAAATTATTTCCCGGTTGTCGTGATGTATCAAAGAAATCATTTCCCATCGTGTTGACTATGAATCACTGGGGGTACTGGTGCGTTGATTTTCCTCGGGATGCATTTGATCTTCTCGTTTCGCGACCGCCAGGTGGCACAGCTCGACGCCGAGGACCTGCTGCGCATTCTTCAGGACCGACCCAGCCGGGGAAAAAGCACAAGCTGGAACGTATTATTTGTTGGAGCATAAACAGAAGATCTTGAGGATTTTCTTGATGGTCGTCATCTCTACAGTTGAATACAACACAATCACAGTTTTCCTGCGGAAACTTCATTACAAAATTGATACGCGTCGAAAAAGTGAAACGTGCTTTCTTGTTACACCAGATCTATGCTCTCGACGAAGAGTTCCGCAGGAGGTGGGGCCGCAACGGTATCTGGCACACCAAAAAACTCGAGCTGTGCGTCTTTTTGTCCTGCTTCGAGCAAACCTTCCACGTTTTTGGGGACCAGCACCAATTTGTCAGGTAAATAAAGAACACGATCTGAGTCATGCATGAAAATTTTTACTTTACAAAAGCACGGTTACCAGTTTTTCGGGAGTCTGCGGCGCTTGTCGTTGCTCACTCATTTGTTTTCCACTGTGCGTTGACCGAAGTTCATTAGAGTTTTGGTTTTGTTGCATACTCTGCCCACAGTAAGCAAACATTCGCAAAGTAAATAGATCGAGGGCCGCGTTTACTTACATGGTTTGATCCAAAAACGCAACTAGGTGTCGACAAAACAACGGGAAAATCAAGGCAAAGATGGACCGCGTGATGATCAACCTGGCAAGGTGTACTAAGCCCTTGCTCATCCAGATGCAGAATTTATCCGGTGTGAAAACGTAGTACTTACCCACGAGCACGACCCCATAGTCAAGGTTGGATGAACAAAGTCTGCGTTGGATAAATCAAGAAGTTGTTCTTGTAGAGATTGTTTACACATTCACATGTTGTTGACTAAGTACACACCCTGGTCCTCGTCTCAGTCACGATATGCGCGGGTAGCCGCGGCGTTAGTACTTCTAAACCACTTGCTTAAGTACATACAAACTCGAACTGCCGCCCAACACAACGACCAGATGAAAATAATTGCCTTCGATGTGGATTTTGCTGTATGAATGACATTTTGGGCATGCAAATCAATCTCCATGACAAAGAACCCAACGGTGGTGGGTATACCTACGAGTTAACACAGCATACAATTATCGACTGACGAATACGAGGAGTATCAAGGGCTACGACCTCCCCGACACGGCGTACCACAATTTTGCCGTCGATCTTCAGCTGAAGCAGCCAGTGCCTTTTATGCCGTGTGAAAACGTCGTGCCTACCCCCCGGCCAGAGTCAACATGGACATGCAATTTCTGCAACACACATCCAGAAGTTGAAGTTTTAAGAGTCACGCATGACAAGTTGTTCACAGGATGTTACAAAATATGCCTGTTATTTTTGGGAGCTGGATGATCTATCACAAGCGTTCGTCTTCCTGCAAATGTAAATCTGCATGACAAAAAAACAAGTCTGGGTAGTTGCACGCGTTTTTACACAGGACACTTTTCCAGTGCTTTTCAAGCGAGGAGGCCGAGAAGTTCGGCGGCCTGCGCCAGGAACCCTTCCCCCGGGAGGAGGTCGGAGTGTAGTACTTCGTCGTGGAACTAGGAGTGTAGTACTTAAAAACAAGTATAAACTGTTGCCATGGTACTTTATGATTCTCGTGGTAGTTTGTCACAGAGCTGTTGTAGTCATGTTGGTTCGATCGACTAAGCTGCTATAAATATGGATATAAACAAATGTAAAAAAACATCTAACAGTCACAGTGTAAATGTTTGACAGGCAGTTGCAGGCATTCCTACTGCTGCAGCCAATGAATGCTCAATAAATGTGCATCTCCCTGAAGATCGGTGTTGACGTACTACCTAGAAGTGTCACCGCCATCGCGGCTTACGCGTGCGCGTCACGGGATAGTACAATTATCTTCGTAATGGTTATCGTATTCGCTTCCTCCTAAACCTATTGCTACTTAGTATCACCTTCACCCTTATCTCTTTTGGCCTTCGTTTCCTCTCCTGAAAGAAAAAGTCAACGAGATGGTATATAATAATCGCAGCGGCAGACAGAAAAAGGAACGCAGCGAAAAGATGAAGAACCATATGTATAAAACGCTTTTATGTCCTGACGTGACAATATCGGAACCGGAAGGACAACATGCAATGCCGACCCTGCACCTTTACCTAACAAAAAGGGGCGGAGCTACAGGAAGTGTCTTTTTCAGCTGGCGGTCCTCAATCGGAGTCGTATGCTTCCCCGATATTTCCTGATTGATGAACATCAAGATCTCGACTTGTCGTGCCACTTTAGTTTTTTCTTGTAATTCAAATCAGCACTGTGGAATCAAGAAACGACTACTCAGTCGCTTTTTTCATTCGCTCTACTGTCTGACAAATATCAGTTTTTCTGTAGCTTCTGTGTCCTCTCGCGTATGATGTTCGCTGTTATCTCGTTAATAGCAGGTCGCAGCGTCCTCGCGGGTGCTGTCGTAGGAAGCAGTGCGACAACTACGCTTGTGGAATAGTGAGATAAGTTTGAATTAATTTTTTTTTTGTTTGAGCAGCAACCTCCAGTGCGGATAAGCATAGATTGATTTTTATTGTAGACGCACGGCAATGAATAGCAGTAGCTTTTACTTTTTCGTTCCGCCTGCTGCTAAGTAAAACAAGAGCATTCCATTACAGCTCCAATACCCCTCCACCCAAAACAACATGAGCCTGCGTTTCGAGCCGCCACTGATTTTTGATCCGCGCGATCTTGTTTGCTTTGACTTTGATGGCGTCCTCCATTCAAGTGTCAACAGCAAGGGCCAGGCTGCGCTCCCCGGAAAGGAACAGAGGCAGGGCAAGCAGGTCGCGTGCGAAAAGGTGATCAGTTTTGCGAAGAGTATTTTGTGTGGACGACGACGAGAGAGTGTTGATTTAATACATTTAAAAGCGTCTGGTGGTCAGATGAAGAACCACAAAGTTGAAGCAGGTCGCGGACAAGAGCCGGAGAACGCTCTTGTTCAACACTCCTCTCTGATCGTCATCACCGCGAATAAAGAGGAAAATGTCAGGGCTTTTCTAGCACACCGGTTTGATTCTGATTCATTTGAAATCATCCGAGCTGGCTGTTGCAGCTCCGGGAGCGGACATCGCGGCTTGAAAACCCGGAAGTTCGAGGTTCTACGCCAGTTCTTGGACGGAAGTTCTCGACAACCTGTGGTCCTGCCGGAGAGTTCTCGACAACCTGTGGTCCTGCCGGACGGGACGAGATTTTCTAGTTGCACGAAGCAGGTGACGAACCCCAAGATTCGTGACTCGGTCGCCCCTGTGCCTGTCGCTTTTCCCCCTGAAACTGGAGCTACAAACTGTGGACGGCCACAAGCTCAGAACCGTTCGCGCTCTCGACTTTCAAGAAGGCAGGGGACCGGTGCCTGTGGTGAGGGCAAGAGCACCGGGATTGCGTCGTTGACGAGAAGCGCAGAGTCCACCAGACTTTCAGTTTCAACCTCACCTTCACGCCCCTGCGGAAATAGAATCTTTCTTCTCGATGACAACCTGCGCGTTTTACGGCAATGCAGCCGGCAATTGTCACCCCAGGAACGAGAGCGCATCAAGCTGGTTTGGGTTCCGCTGAAAGGAAGGGAAGACGGAGATTATTATGGAGAAGGTGCAGAGCCTGCTGTGCCGGAGAGGGATAAAAATCACGTGGACTACATATTGCGACGGTGAAGTAAGTAAGTAGGTATTGATATTTCTCAGCTGCCAACAAGGAGAACAACGAGAAGGATCGATACGGATGAGAGCAAAAGGATGAAGAGCGGACTCGTCCGCTTCTACGCTGGCAATACCTTTGTCAAAGCAAATTGATGTCTCTCGAACCTTGATTGCCGTGGTGCGGTCGCTGGGAAAGCGCTGTTGAACTTCGATTTGCTGTTGGAGTGCAGATCATGGACAGCTTTCCTCTCGCTTTCCCTGTTCGACATGGACAGACGAAAACAATAGACATTGGAGGCTCGTCGTTTAGGCACGTTTTTTGCGCAGGCATGAAGATCCTGTTCAATTTTATTACGCGGACGCCTATATTCCCAGCTCTTGCTGCAACTTTAGTCCGAGTTTAGTGCTATTTGTCTATGTCTTTTCATCAATATGAAAAAGTCGGCTTTTGAAAAAGTCTGTTTTTTTTTTCGAGAGGCCTGTTTCGGTTTTTCTCTTCGTGAACTTTCTTTGAGGTATCGGCTTTTATTCCAGCGTTTTGCGTCTCGGTTAGCCTATAGAGACATCGGGTTCTGCTATCGGTACTACGACTCCAACGTCACGTGAGTACCCATCTACGGACTCGGTCTCGTTCGTCTGCGCGTTCATAACATTGAACGAAAGGCAAATAAGGTAAAGAAGGAAATAAAGCCGTCTCGGTTCGTCCAAATTCCTCGTACACCTGAAGATTGCTCATCCGTAGAGTCGTGCGCATACGCATTTCGTTCGTGCCCCTGCGAAGGGCTTTCTCGTACTGTCGGTACGTTTACTACTAGATTTAGTAGTGGTAGATGGCCTTCTTGCGCTTCAACATTACGAAGAGATGAACTCACTTGACTTGCCTGACGGCCTGCCTCGTAAACCTCAAGAGTGAATCCTCAACTGCACGCCAAAAACTTACAGGAGCTCACCAAGGTTTTGACCAAAGCTTTTGGTTGCCTCTCAACAACTACTTACTCACTCTGAAAACACCACTTAAAAAACTTGCTTTCAAAAGTACCACAAGATACGAGAAGAACAAAACGATATCCAAAAGAAGAGTTGTTAACTCTCTAACCTATACCATCTTCATCTTGAAACTAAGGACGAGGAGACTTTCGGCCTGAACCAAAACTCATCAAAGAACAGAATCGCGACGAAACTCCAGAAGGAAAGGAAAAAAAGCGCAACATAATCTTCGAGACGAAAGGGCAAACTAGGTGCACCAACATCAAGAAGAGCCATCTTGCCAACAGAGACGCGACGGCAAAGGTGCTTTAATATCATGAATTACATTGATCATCAAGATTGACGGAGGTGTTGCACGCCGCTGGCAGAGGCGGTCTCTTGCTGAATCTTTGCTGATTTGAGCGGTGCGGGCATCTTTCTTTTGCATTTGACGTCGCTTCCGTCTTACCTCTCATCTCGACATGCATGTAGGCCCTTATTGAGCGAGACGCATCACGTTTGACCTCTATTGTCGGCGTGGGCACCGCTTACCCCTGTGCCTCCGCGTGCGCAGTGTGGGACCGTTTCCATTCCAAAGTCGATGTTTGCCTGCCATTATTTCGAGAGCGTTGCCCTTGCCTGCCCCATGCCACTTCATACCCGATCGTACCTCTGTTGAGCTTGGCTTTTCGTTCTCGTGTACACTAAAGCGCTCTAGGGTAGTTTAGGTAGTGTGTGGGGGCAAACCGATTGTGGTGCCAGCTCGTTCACTTCGTGCTCGCACACGCACATCAAAATCCGTGGGGACTCTTCGTGGCTGCTCGCTGCAGCAGAGCAGGATGCTCAGCAGCGTTGTAAAAGAACAGTCTAGAAGACCTACAGTCCGCCAGGCTGTTCGTCGTAGTGCCTGCTCCCACTAGCAGAATAGCGTTGCCTCCAATCGCGTCGCTGCGAGCATTTCCAGGAGTGGGCTGGTCCGTAGGACTTCAACGATGAGCATCGCGCTTGTACTGGTCCTGTTGTACAGACCTAGTAGATTGAGATCCGCGTCTGAGACCGGGCCGTACCAAAAATGCGACAAAGGGTTTATGGGTCATGAATAAGAATTTAGACCTTAGAATTTAGTAGAAATACTGATAAGCGAGACTGGCGGAAACCAGTTCAAAGCCGGCGCATCAATCTCACTTCAGGCACCATCACAGGACCAGAGGAAAATCATTGTAACGCGCGACGAACTGGATCTGGATTTACAAGCAGACTCGCTCTCGTCGTCTGCTGGGACAGGGACACACACCATCTCAAGAAGCAGTACCGCTTCCGGTTTCTTTTCGAAGAACAAGACCGCCTTTACGACTACAACTCCGTACTCGAGGCAGCGACGACACAAAGTCTTCAAACCGAAAAAGCGGACTCCTGCTTGGCAACCACTGAGCGGAAGTCAGCGGCTTTTTTTTAAGAATTAAAAGCAACGGAAGAAGAAGAGGAACGAGAAGCAGCTGCGACAACTCGTCAGTAAAATATATTGCAACACCACAAGCGGAAGGGAGTTCGCATTGTGCTTGGTACCCTACTTACGCGTGCTCTGACGTAAAAATCGAGACTGTTGTACAAGGACAACCCGAACGAGCCGGACGAGGAACATTCGGGCTTGCAGCCATCTGCTCTAGTTTCTCGCAAGTTGTTGGAACAAGAAGTTCAGTGTCGCAAACTCGGCACGGCATCCGGTTTTCAAACTTGCAAAGAGACGAAAATAAAGGCCTTCATTAGCCACATTCACCAGAACCTGCAAAGGAGAATGGCAGGTCGTGGCGCCAAGTATTTTCTATCCGCGTCGGTTGGCTGTTTCTGCATTCTCGAAGCCGAGTCCGTCAATCTCTCTGAGCATCGCAAAGCTACTGCTGGCGTGATGCAGGCGGGTGATGAAGTGCAACGGGAACGGCCCGGCCTGCTTGCTTCGTCCGCTGGGGCGTCTGCGGCCTTTGTTGAAAAGCAACGCCAGCACGAGCGGATGCAGGCGGCCATCCCGCCAAAGAAGATCTTCGACACGGGAGACGACAAAACCGCCACAAAAACGGACGTGCAAAACAACTTCGACGTGTATGGTCGAAAGGGCTCTGATCGGCAAACTCCAACGAAGCCGCACGCGTCTACTACAGTGCAGGTGTACCGGCTCTATCGAGTTTTGCACTGCGACAACGACATCTCGATGTTTCTGCAGATCCCAGCCGGACACCACGCTGCTCAGCACGACATACTGTACTTTACGACGACATCAAACTCAAACGGCGTACCGCCCGAGAACTTTGTCGAGCAGGACAATGCTGCCGATGTGTACTTTAAAGTTTTCACCCTCGACGAGGAAGCTCTGTACAAAATCGAGGAACCTTTTGACGACAATGTCTGCTGCAAGTCGGAAGCTCCTCAACCGTTTCGAGAGAGTTTGCGTTTCGCTGTTTCTCACGACGCCGTCCCCAGAAACTATCCAAAGGCGCTGTTCATCAACAAGCGGGTGGAACCGAACACAATACTGACAACTAAGAGACGCTCCGATGGCAGCATCAGCCACCACAAAGAGTTCTACGTGGCGACAGCGGTGGAGCAAAACCCAGCAACGGAACATGTGGCCATCTTTCCTTCGAATCGGGATCCACCTTATATTGCGTATGGCGAAGACGAATATGAAAATGGTCAATCATCATGGTCTTTATTTCGGCCCTCGCGCGGAGGCACGCGCCCGGAGGTCCGCTCTCTTTATTTCCTGGACTACCCAAAACGGACGGAGGCGCCGACGTATCAAATGAAGATCACCCCCTCGAGATTCCAAGATCACCCCCCTCAAGATTTAGGGCTTCGGTGGTGTCGTCTAGGCCAGCCGCCGCGACGGCGCCGGCGCGACAGCCGCCCCAGACGGCTCCTGTTTGCGCCTCCTTGCTCTTTGGGGGGTTTTGCCCCGGCGACCTCGTCCTCTCTGCGCGCGTGCACCCGCCCCTGGACCTCCCCGCCCCCCTCCCGCCCGGCCGGGTTCCCCCCTGGGCCGTTTGCCGTGACCTCGCCCGGGGTGGGAGGGTGCGTGAGCCACACTGCGCCGCCTGTGTTGGCTCGGGGCGCCCGGCGCTTCCGAACTTTTTTGGGTAGCTGCCCGGCCCCGACAGATCTTCAGACGGCCAGGAAACCCATTGGGAGGCCTCGCAGCAAATACCAACAGCGCCCCGCCGCGCCCTGCGTGCCTCGGGGCACCGAGAAAGCAAGGCGGCGCGGCCTGCCCCGCCCTGTCCCCGGTGTGCCCCCCGGCTCCCTTCCGCCGGCCCCGGGCCTGGCTGCCTTGCCCCAGCCTGACTGCCTGCCCCCGGCCTCGCTCGCTTGCTACCCCCTGCCTGCCCCCCCGGTCCATCCATAACCCCTCCCCCCCTTCCCCCTGCATCTTGAGGGGGGCCACCCTCTGGGGGATGATCCTGCCTATGCCCGCCAGCATTTACAGGGGGGTGGCCCGCCGCCGCCGCCCGGCGCTGTCCACGTGTTTTCGGCAATGACTTTGCCGCAGGAAGCCGGCGGCCGCAGCTTTCTCAGTCTGTTTCAAGAGTCGATCTTCTCTGCGACACCGTCGACCGCAAGCAGACACCCTGTGGTGTATGTCTGAGCGCATGCAACCTGCTGTCTTGTTGATTGTCCCGACACGCATTTGCTGTGTGCCGACATCTGCTACATTTTGAGAAGGCTGGCGTAGGTTAGTTTTTCGAGATGAAATGAATGAGCCGCGGCGAAGATGGTCCTCAACGGCGCGCGCTTCATCTGTGAGTTGCTCCGTACTTATTGTTTTCTAAATGCATTTTTTTTTTTTTTGTCCTCCCTCCCGTTCCGGTCGTTTTCACATACTATTATATACTTAAACAAAGTGCTACAAGACTCACCGGAGAAACTTCACTAGGCAATTTTTTTTTTTTTACCACTTATACTTAAAGAGCCGCGTAATAGTAATGACGACAAAGGATTCTTCATCTCTTTCTAGCACCGAAACCGATAATGCGCCCAATCTATCTCGATATCTTTGTCTTTCTTGCGCACTTCGTTCAAACGTTTTTTGCTCTTTAACAAACTCCTTTACATTTTGCTTTATCAATCACGTATTTGACTTTTCTCCTTTTTTCGCTTCATATTATTTTTTTTTCTCTTGCGAGGTGGTTCTTACAGTGCAACACTTTGGCACCCCCAATAGTGTTCGATGCTGTAATTTAGTGCAGGAGCAGAACAGAGTCAGAGTATCTATATGTATTTCTTGCGGCTGTAAACTTAATTCTAACTTGCACCTTCAGAAGATTTAGGTGACAAAGCAAGGCGGGAGTGAAGCAATCGATTTGATCACGGCGCTTGGTGGCGTTTGTATAATATCAATATTTTTATTAAGCCACTAGCAGCCTGTGGTCAGGCTCAGTATTGTTCTTCTGTTCAACATGATTTTGCAACGCCGGAGACGAAGTAGGGATTAGGCATCTGGTCGGAGATTGAAGTAAGCTCCGCGGGTGCTCCGCCTTTCGGCTTTTCACATGTTCACAGCATTTCGCTCACCTAAAGTAGAGGCGTGCACGTATCAAATTGCTTTCCTTTTTTATTTTCATTTTTCATATCATGTTGACTTTTTGTTTTTGTAGGACTTAAAGAAGCTCGCAATATCGATAAATCAATGAGGACTTTTCTCGCACCACTCCCATCACTAGTCTCACTTACTCCGGCCCTCGCCTTTCTTGTTCTCTTTCTTGAATTTTTCAAAACATCGACATGGATATTTTCCACTACGAACTGTATTTCATTACCGATTCTCATCATCCGCTGCGCAGGTGTGGAAGACGCGCCTCGTTGGCTCTTTGAGCTCACGGATTTACATTTAGACCCGGTGTGTTCCTGATTCAATAGTCGAATTGGGGATAGGCAACTGTCTGCTTTTGCAATTTATTGAATGTAGTTGTGCAGATCTGAGGAGGCAGCTAAATGGCCAGTTTTTTTATCTCGGTCGTTAGGAATCTGTGACCGGGAAGGGAGAGAGAGAGAGCGAGAGAGAGAGAGAGAGAGAAAGAGAGAGATTGACACTTCTAGGAAGAAGAAGTGGCGAAGCCTTCATGAAGTCTCCATCTTCAGTCTCAATCCTAGCATAGTGCAGGGAACGACATGTAATTAGTGCAACTAAGAAAAAGGCAGCGGGTAAGCGCCATTCATATGAGAGATTCAATTTGAGTGCATCGGCCTGTAGTTTCAGTTTCACCCGCAGTGCGGCAGAACGGATGTGGTAAGGGGGGGTCCGTGTTGCATACTCTCTCCCAGCCACGATTGTTGGGTAGTACGAACGAGCGCAGAGGGGTGTCCTACGGAACATGTCAGGAGGATCCGCGTTCAGATCCGTTCTGTCCGCGGCGCAGGCACAGTGATGAACCTGTACGGACATCAGCTCTGCTGCTGTGTCCGAGAGATCACGATCGGGAGTGGAAGTTCATATTTTTCCACAGAATCTATCAGGAGAGATCACCAGAGACGAGAACAAGAATTTCAACAACATTTACGGCGCAAATGCAAAACGTTTTTCCCCCTCACAATCCGCGCAAAACCGAGAGAGGATTTCGCACAGCAAAGCGGTCGAGGTGTTTTTTCCGCAAAAACGAAGGGCGAATTGTTTTATCTCTTCCGTCACGGTGTGATTTCTATGTTTTTGTGGCACCACCTAAGACAGCAGTTGTGCTATCACAATTGTCGTTATCTCTGGAGCAACATGACCATGCGCCCGTTTCGTGTCATCTAGGGCAACTGCTACTAGAGCAAGCCATACCTCGTCTGGAGAGCAGCTCCTCTTTGCTGGCCAAGATGTCGGACGACAGCTACATTATGTCCGACGACGGGGACGACTCGGAATTCGAGGTTCTACGCCAGTTCTTGGACGGGACTTCTCGACGACCAAGACTTTCTAGTTGCAAGAAGGTAATGAACCCCAAGATTCGTGACTCCGACTCGGTTGCCCCGGCGGTGCCTGTCGCTGTTCCTGAAACTGGAACTACAAACTGTGGACGACCACAAGCTCGGAAGCGTTCGCGATCTCGACGTTCAAGGAGGCAGGAGACCGGTACCTGCGGTGAGGGAAAGAACACCGGGATTGCGTCGTTGACAAGAAGCGCAGACTCCACCGGACTTTCAGCCTCAATCTCACCTTCACGGCCCTGTGGAAATAGAATCTTTCTTCTTGATGACAACCTGCGCGTTTTACGGCAATGCAGCCGGCAATTGTCACCCCAGGAACGAGAGCGCATCAAGCTGGTTTGGGTTCCGCTGAAAGGAAGGGAAGACGGAGATTATTATGGAGAAGGTGCAGAGCCTGCTGTGCCGGAGAGGGATAAAAACCACGTGGACTACATATTGCGAAGGTAAAGTATCAGTACGTAAGTACCAAAAGTACTTAGCTGGTGCCAGTGTCAACAAGAAGAAGAACGCGAAGGATCGATAGCGATAAGGACAAGAAGGAAAGCAGACTGATCCGCTTCTGCGCTGGGATATGACTTTGTGAAAGCGAAGTAATTACGCTCGACGCTTGATTTGTGGTGTGGGAAGTCGCTGTTGATTTTTGCCCTGTTCGGGGCCGGAATGGCTATGGACTGCTTTGCCGTTTGCCTTCTTTCTTCGACCTGGAGAGAGAAATATAAACAAAGCGAAAGTATACATCTGAAGGTTAAGAATAAGAAGCACGGCCTGCGCTGGAATGATCCTACGTGTAAAATTTTACTTTTGGTCGAAACCGTTCCTGTCTGGTCTCGAACGGAGCAGGAGACTTTCCTCTTGCCGTCAGCTACGAGGTCATGATGGATGGGTTCCGATCAGGACGAGGTCGATGCAAGCTGCGGATTTTCGAACGGAAACTTTGTGATGTTCTTGCACTTCTACTCCCGCAGTTCGACTTCGACTGGTGCGAGCAAGCGCATCAAGTGGAAGCATTAGCTACAGCTCGCTGTGGAAGTTGGCGTTATCATGTAGTCTTTTTTGACATTACAGAAAAGGAGTAGCAGGACCAGGAGATGGAGCGTTTTTATTCCTTGGAACTGGTGAAATTCTAAAGTCTAAACTATCGTCGCGGAACTGCAGCCTAGATTAGGAACGGGTCGACCACAAGACCGAAGCCAGTCCTCGTGTGGTGTGTGTTCTTAACCCAGCTTTAGCCCCCACTGCAGTTCCAACTTAGCGCTATTTTTCTTGTCGTCAAGAAAGCCGCTGTTGCACTGTCTTTCTTTTCGTTGATACAGCCTTCAGCTCTTCGATAGATATCGGTTTTTCCAGCCTTTCGTGTCTCGGTTTGCATATCCACCTGCTTTGGCTTTCGGCAATGGAGCGTCATGATTGTATGTAGAGAGGGCCCATTTGCTTTTGCAAGCGAATCATCTTCGTCATCGTGCCGGTAAAAGATAAGAATGACAGCAGTGAGTGTGTCGGTTCGTCCAAATTTCTCGTACTGATTGCAGGTCATGTGTAGAGTCGTTCGCTTCTCCTTGACTTTGAACTTGTCATGGCGTTCCGTACTAGCGAAGTGGTCAAGTTACTTATTTTGCTCTTTCGGTTTGCGTTCGTACCGGTCATCCTCATCTTCCTAGCTTTCGGCCCCTGCTAGTGATCTGCTCCGTCTTTAGCGGGAAGAAATGTCTTTGTTTTGGGTTTACCTTTACTACTACTTCGTCGTGGTGAGACAGCTCGGTCTTGAATTCAAGGAAGTGTTGGGCTTCTTCGCGGCGTGGCTACCAACTTTTCTTGCAATCTCTTTCAGGAATTTATCATTATCAAGAAATGGTAACGCAGTACCAAAAGCAAAAACCCCTTAGTGCGTTGCGCCTCCCCGTTCGCACCGAAGGCTTGTCGCTCCACGGTACAACCCCGAACAAAATTTGATTTGTTACGTTTACTTCGTCACAGCTACAAGTATAACTTTTTATCTCTGCACCAGGTAGCAACCAACTGTACGTAGGTCTCTGAGAAGATCAGGAAAGGATTCCAGACTTCATCATCTTCTCCAGCCTAAGTGCCACCACCCGCCGCACCACGAAGATGCCACCTGCAACGCAAGCCCCGCGGAAGAAGAAAGACACGCTTGACACTCTCCAGCCAGCACCGCAACCGCAAGTAAGGCGTACGGAGCAGGCTGGAAATGAGGTCGAAAAGATGAAAATCCAAGCCGGACGAGTAGGTGTTCCACCGAAAATTCGGAACATGGCCGCGCAAAATGGTCCACCACGACCAGGAGCAGGAAAAGCTAGCATGCGGGTTCAAGATATTGGCGGGAAGCCTACGAAAGACTTCGCAGACACCGCTGTTGCCTGTATGAACAGCATGAGCGTTAAGAGCACGCTGCTCAGTTCTGCGAGCAGTTCTAGCGTGAGTAAAGCCAAGGCGAATCCATCCGGACTATCGACAAGCTCGGCGCGTAAAAAAAACATCAGAATTGCCGCACGCGCAAAAGCGGCAACGAAGGAGCGCGGGCCAGAGAAGAATCAAACTACCATCGCATCCTGCGCCACTAGTCCTGTTTTGAAGCATCCCAAAAGCATTCCTGCAGCAGAACCAAAAGAGGGCAAAAATAAAAATTCTGGCTGCAAGAAGAAGACCAACGCCAGTGAAACACAGTCCGGCTCTCGTTCGATGCGGAACACGCCCGCTCTGCCCGCTCCGGTTCCTGACGAAGACTCTGACGAGCATGCGAACAAAATTACCGACACGGAGTATCAAAAAATGACAAAACTTGGCGTTAGTGGGTGCCCATGTTGATACGTCTTGACAAGTTCCGTACTCGCCATGCAGATTTATTTTTCGTTGCATTTTCTCGACGCATAATGCGTCGAAGGAAAAAGTGCCATTCTTCTCGAAGCTGGATGCGAAGGAAAAAGTGCCATTGGATACGAAGGAAAAAGTGCCATTCTTCTCGAAGATGGATGCGGATGCGCTTTCAGATTGAGAGTCAGGAATGTCTTGGCATCAATCCATTGCGTACTAGAGAGCCCACTGGGGTTTTTCGATGGCTGCAAAGAAAAAGAACAAAAGTAGTCACCGGACTAAGTAGGCAGAATGCATGTGGGAACAGAAGATGACAATGGAGTTCAAAATATATACTTTACTAGACGCTTCTATGCATAGTGTGTGTACCAATACTAGCGCTGCAATTTTCTGCTCTAGACGAAAGACGAGGAAGATGAGAACACAATCCTCCTCGCTGCCAAATGGCGAGGCTTGATGACGGAAAAGCAATTGTCGCAGCACCATTCGCTTTCGCAAAATCGTCCGGAGCGCGAACACCAAGAGCAAGTGTGTGGGAGGAGCTCTCTCTGGAGCCGACTTTTCTGGCAAACATCTTCAGTAGACAAGGCACCGACCACGCAAACTCATGCGATGCAAAAAGAAGAGGAGAGCGAGAGCAACAGCAAATCTTTGTCTTCCTCAACGTCAAGCAAGTGCGTCCTTTCTGCGGGAGAAGACAAGAACGGCGACTTTGAACAGATCAGGTCCGCTCTCCTTGTTCCGCAAGAAAATAATTCGACCACTAGTTGTTTGCCCGACAAAGAGGACAACAGCAGCACCAGCAAAACCACTTTGGTCTCGACATCGCGGCCGGGCGAGGACTCCGGGAATGAGGCGAGCCAATCCAATGGCATTTTCCCCTCCAATGAACCTGCGACCCCGTCGAGATCGGCGTCGAAGCGCGCCGAACCGGAGGGAACGCGTTCTGCAACGCCAAAGCGGATTCTAGTACTGTCCGGGGTGCTGGTGGTCGCCACGGGGAGCGTCAGCTTTTTGGTCTGGAGATGCACTGCCGGCTGGCCTCAGGTTTGGACCGCGATGCTTCTTTTTGGTTGTTCCTTTCTTGATCTTGCGCCATCAATGAAGTGCCAGTAACAAGTATCGTAAAACATAATCATGCAATTGCAACAATCTTCACAGACATTGTATTCCTTGAATGCTAACTTACTCCTAAACCAGATTGCTGCCTGGACGACGTCACAAGAGCGCACAAGTGTGCAGTTCTCCGCTGCCTCGCTTGAGCTGGATCCTTTGTCACGAACAGTGAAAGACACTGCTCAAGCAGGGGGCTCGCTGATACTAGCCAATGGTGCGAAGATAGGGACAGATGTGACTGGCAGGCAAACAGGTGGTATGGGGATCACGAGCGTTGCTGCAGAATCCTCCATGTTTCAGCTTGGTGCACAGCAGGGTGGAGAAGGTTTGATGGGCGGCTTGACTAATTGCCCGGAAGGGGGGTGCTTAGAGCAGTTTCTGCCGAAGAATTCCCACGAAGTGTGGTTTGAAAATGTGTTATTCGAGAAACAAGCACAGGAGTTAGTGGAGCTTGACCCGACGCACCCGCTTTGTGGTGCGTACTTTTTCGATGTCCACGGAGCGATTCCGCTAAGCGATAGTAATGTATTCACAGTGCCGTCGTCGCGGCGGGGCGGCACAGACTTCAATCTCGTGCTCGCAAGTCTTCCCGGGCATGTGTTCCGAAATGCTGCAGAGGCGCATATTACTCAAGTGGCTTCCACGGTTGTTGGTGGCTTGACTCGAGACTGGAACAATTCCAACGGTGACGACAGCTTCGCCGGCGCGGACTCCTATGCCCAGAGGATAGCTCGTTCCCTAAACACGCACTTCGGGGACAGTGACCAGTTTGTAAATGATATCACAACCAGGAACGAGCAGTACCATCGACAGGTTCGCCCAGCGCTTTATGCCTTCATCAACGAGCGTTTACATGCTCATGCACCTGGGAGCCCCTGGTTTTGGCATGTTGCCACAGAAGGAGAAAAACCAGACGAACACCTCGCTATAGCCAAGAACGAAGGAAAGTTGTGCGTTTACAGGTGGAAGCGCAATAAAAGTTCCGATGCGGTACAGCCAGTGAAAATTGCTTGCGGTCCGAGTGGTGTGCTCCCCTCAATACATGGTCGAAGCTCGTCGGTTCACCTGAAAGGCTTTACGCTGGCACAAGCGGTCACCTGGGTTCAAAGCACGCCTGACATATGCGAGAGACATAGACGAACGCTGATCAGTCCTCATTGTCGGAGCTACGACGTCTCACCGAGCGACTCGTCATCAGGAGGAACAACGGCTTCGAGAAATCTGCAAAATCAACATCGAGCTGCAGCTACTCGCCAAACCAGTATCGAGAATTACGTTTATGAAAGGACAGATTGCAAAATCCGCTAGGCGGGTTTGCTAACATAATCCAGCAAAAAAGAGAATGCACTCGTGTGTATCGAAACACCACCCAGCCTGCAGGCTATTGACCCGAATTAATTTACGCGCCCAAGCGGGTGTCCCTGGCAATGCCCCCCAGGCGCGGCTATAGCATGTGGGGGAGGGTTCCAATTTGGATTCAGACAGTTGGCGAGCTTTACTAGCTGCGATCTTGATTGGGAGGCAGCCGTACCAAGCCCCAGCTGCCAATCAAAGGCGCGGATTGGCGTGACCCCAAGCGGCATCTTGGCTGGCTACAAAAATTGCTGGCGTTCGTAGAATTGAATCCCCCTCGTCGATGCAATTATTTTTGTGCCCGGCAGGTATTCCAGACAGAGTGAATAGATTGTTCTGACGACTTCGCTTCGCTGGAATGCCCGAGAGCGCTAATACCTCCAAACAAGAGCCGCCGCGGCATCATTACCTTCGCTTAGGCGGCTCCTAGTGGTAAGATATCAGCTCAACAAGGGTTAGGGTGCACGCTTTGCTATGAGAATGAAGCGCTGAAAAAATCAAATAGTACAGATCGATAGGGTCTTCTAAAGAAAGTAAGTAGTGGGTTGCAACTACTGGGGCTAATCCACCTGAGAACCCAGGCAGGCTCGTGTTTGCAAATTGTTGAAAATTTCGCAGCCCAAACCTTTCTATGACGAGAGAAATGAGTTGCATCCGACTTCGGTAAAGCGCGTCAGCTTCTGGCTTTTGCAATTTGTCCCCCTCGACCTATTTGCACAGTACTCCGCTAGAAGTGGTCCGGTGAATCAGAATCCAGCAATTACGACGCTTGCACTAGCTATAGCAGAAATTTTCGTTTGGTTGCCGTCACGTCGGCCAGGGACGGGTCGCGATGATGGCACCGCCGTAGTGAACTTTGCCTACGACACGCACGAGTCTGATAAGCTCTGTGACGACCCTGGTTTACCCTTCGTGACATTTCGTGCGCAACGGAACGAGGGGGCTGATTCCGCATTGTGTTTCCCAAGTGGAGAGATAAAACTGCAAGCGCTCCAGGCACTCGGCGAGGCAACGGATACCGTTCGCAGAGCATGCGAAGCGACGGCACGGCAACGGCAGGTATCTCTTGATCTCATTTCCAAAGAAGGGAGGCAAGATCTCGACTATCTTTGGAACATTTCGCCTCCACTAGCGAACGGCCAGAAAAAGGAATTATTTACAAAATTAGTTTCACAACATCCAGATATTAAGAATTCGAATCAGCAGCTTTTTTACCAGTGGCTACGACGCTAACAAGAAGTAAGTAACTAAGAGAGTCGCTTCAGGCTGAAGAAGATGAAATTGTGCGTCGTCCTCGGACCAGATCGGCAATCAGCAAGAAGTGTACCCAAGAAGGGAGGTGGGGAAAGTTTTGAAAGATAGAACAATAATTTTTTGAGCAAGTGGTCAAAGCGAAGCGCATACCTATCTATGCATAGTTTGACACAATAAACAGCATAAAATCAACTACTCTCTCCCCTCTTTTCGTCTTCGCGAAAAATGGAAGTTTTCCAAATCGTTTAAAATGTTTCTAAGTAACAAGATGATCATGGTAGTCAATTATAGTAAACTTACTTCCTGTTCTTGTACAAGTGGAAGGATTGTGGCAATGCCTTTCGCTTCAACATTACTACTAATCTCTATGCCCTTTTTTGTTTTGTTTCCTTTTTCCTTGACACTTCACCACAATTATTTTACATAGAAGTCTGAAGTCCCCTGTCCTCTCTGCTTGTGCAGACAAAACTGTGGCCGAAAACGCAGAACCTTCTCGAACTGTCTTCACTCTTAACCGCGAGCGATTCATTGAATGACTACCACAGTTTGTTTCGCCTTACCTTATGTCAGCGGGCCAGCGACAACGCGAAGAGGAAGAACAGAAACAAAGAAAGTAAACGAGCTCGCGCTAATGCTTCCGCTGAGGCGTCGCAGAGGAACTGCGCAGATCTGCGGGTGTGTCTGCGAAGGGCTTTTCTTTTGTTCCAGTGTGCATCAAACATGTGCATGTCCGGAAAAAAACACATTTATACTTCTTGGTTGCGGTTCTTGCCCTACGTACTGCTGCCGTCTTTGTGTGGACGACGAGGAAGTGGTGAGTTACATTTACACGTGTCCGGCAGCCAGAGAATCAGAAAGATGAAGTAGATCGCGGACAAGAGCGAGAGCCGCAGAACACTCTTGTAGTTCAACACTCCCCTCTGATCGTTGTCACTCCAGTGGACGCATCTCGCACGAGGTATTGATGGAGGAGCATGGACCTATAAGTTGCTTACGGCGGCACCTAATTCACGCGTGACGAAACGGATTCAAAGAGGGCGCGTAAACGCGGTCGTGGTGTTTTTTTCCGCAAAAACGAAGAGCGAATTGTTTTATCTCTTCCTTTATGGCGTGATTTCTTTGTTTTTGTGGCACCATTTAAGACAGTAGTTGTGCTTGTGGGTGTGCCATCACAATTATCGTTATCTCTTGAGCAACATGACCATGCGCCCGTTTCGTGTCATCTAGGGCACCCGCTACTAAGGAGATCAATACTTTGTCGGTCCGGAGAGCTCCTCTTCGCGGGACAAGATGTCGGACGACAGCTACATTATGTCCGATGACGGGGACGACTCCGAAGAATTCGAAGGGAAAATCAGCGAAGCGTAATTATGGTTATTCCTCATGCTGTATTTCGCATAGAGATAGAAGCATGGCTTCACCGTGCCTGTCCCGCATGACAAAACGATACTTAATTTTTAACATTCTGTCAGGTATGAGAAGCACCAACAGGAAATGTCTCAGCGGCCGATTTCCGCCCTCAGCCGCCCGGAGTCGCACCACAGTACTCGCTACGCAGTGCAAATTAGATGTCTGGGAGATCTGGAAAACGAGAAACTCCGAAAAATACGAATTGCAGTTAGGATGGGGCTGGCTCTCCTGCTACCTTTTTTCAGGAGACTGATTCAATGGAGACGTACTTCTATTGACGGCAAAAGTGAGCTTCAACCTTAATGAATGAAGCGTCCCCTGGCAAAGCAAATGCTTCACGTCGTAGGCGGTTTATATGCATGACAGATCGTGATCAACATCAAACAAAGTGGTGGGTAACCGGTGACTGATGCCTGCAAGTTTCCAGACATGATATGATTTGCACTTGACACCCGCCCGGACTCTTCAAATCCACGGGGGCGGCCGGAATCGCACCGCGGCCGACCAGAGTCGCACCGGGGGAGGCCGGAGTCTCATCGTGGCAGGCCGGAGAGCAATCAGCTCGAGGGCCGGGTATAGAAGGATTGACAGTAGGGGCTTGCTTTCGTTTATTTTGGGTGATAATGGTTGCACATGTACATGTGAATGTGTAATGAAGTAGCGTGCCGCGACGCAAATTCGATTCTGTAACGCAAGCGCAGCAGCACACGAGTTGAACTCCTGATCTGTCACTACAGATACCCTACGCAGCAGCGAGCAGTGCGGTTTCAAGTAGTTCTACAACCGAGCTTAGATCCACCTCTATCGCACAAGAAAATTGTCTAGCATGCCATATTTCAAGAGAGACACAGAATCAAAAATCTTGATTTCGACGGGAACAGGTTGGTACTCCGCCCGCCCCTTGTGTAGCTCTTGCTTTTTTGAGGCAAAAATACCAGCCCTGCGCAAGAGCACACACATTCACTCGATCAGTTCGTGCATGCGAAGATGAAACGTCACATGCTAGCTTTTTTCTGTCTCATCACGTCCAATGTTTCCCAAGCTCTGCGGAACGCCGCAGACCGCGCAGCGGGGCTGGCCACCAACCGGGCGTAACAGAGGGGAAAAGCTTACTTACTAGTATCAGAATTGTGTTTGTATCATGTTCATAAATATATTCGTGAAGCCAAGTGGTCATACTCAACAGCCCCGAGTCCTTGTGTGTTTGTTTCAATTGTCCATATAATTACGCGCAGGACACCAGGACCAGATTAAGAGTTACGTACTGGCGCAAAAAATCGAAATCGAAACGCATTTTCCGGCAAGAGCTTTTTCCACTCTCATAGCGAAGTAGCGGGAACCACCACGACCGCAGCAACTACCCCAGGCAATCCTGGCGCGATTCTACCAAACGGAGCCGGGGGCTATCCGCAACAAACCTCTGATCTCACCTCGGAGCTCTCTTCATCGACAAACCAGAATGAAGCGAACGCGGTGGAAATGCTCTCGACGGTCGGTAGCAGCCATATGAGCTTGCACAACTCGAGCTCTCCCACACAGTCACTTGAAGGGCATGAGCACCAGCAGAAGCTATGCCACACATGTAGCTTGTTCCGCATGACAAGTTAGTCCACGACGGATTGCAGTAATGCTTGGGATTCCACAAACTGGCATGCAAAGTAAAGTGCTTCAAGGCAAGTGCAAGTCATGGTCTGGAATATTCGGCAGCTTGCATCACAAATGACAGGGAGTTGCGCGCTTTCATAAGCCAAGCCGGCACGACAATCACCGAACTGGCGGGGAAGATGGCGCACCGTGTCACGGCCTTTGGAGCGAGCGGTGGCGGCGCACCTGGTTCCGCACTCTCTTCGGGCTCGAGTACCCCGAATACCGGCGTTGCCACGGGCGGTAAAGGCCAGCTCGCGTCGCACCAATTTCCGGGCGGAGCAAATGCTACGCCGAGCGGGGGGAGAAGCTGCAACACGCTCCAGCCGGAGCAGCAGTTGGATGAGATCGAAGAGGAAATTTTCAATCCACAACAACCTCTAGAAGTTTCGAACGCTAGTGCAGGGGAGCAAACACGGCGGGGGATTGGAAGATCCACAAAAGAAGATCTTCATGTCGCGGCCGTCACTGCGACAGCGAATCGGTCACCCCGCGATCCGAGCAAGCCCGTTCCGTTCGAGCCCGAGCGGCTCATGCGCGAGTTGCAGAAGGGAGAGATGAGAGAAGAAAACCAGGTAGAACAAGGAGTTCCCGCTGGTGCATGCACATCCTCCTCAGGTGCGAACAGCGGACCGAACAGACTTGCGGAAGATGAAGGTAAATCTCCGCTTCTGCAAGATCATGAAACCGGAAAGACCGCTCCAGCTGCTGCAACGTCACGGCCACCTGCTGCAGTTGATCATGAAGCTGAAGCGGAGCCGGAACAACAAAGACCCGTGTTGTCGCAGCATCAAAAGGAACCCGCCACCTCGGACATCAGTGTTTCAACAAATAGAAACAATGTGATCCGCGATCTGTTAGGCGCGACCAGCGGTGCTACGTCTACCTCATCCAGTGCAACTGGTTCCCGGGCGAATTCTATCAAGAGGAAAAATTCCCCCTCCCCATATCGAAACGAAGTTTCTGATGCTGGATTTCCGTACACGAATCAGATTTGTCTTGCAGTAGAGGACTGCGGGCATATGTCAAGCCTCGGCCGAGAGGTTTTGACGTAGGCGCCTAGCATGACAAACGTGTATGCTCTAAGCCCAACAGCATCACAAACCGCCTGCAAAATGCAGGGGGCTCTCTGGACTTCCCTTCTTGCAAGACAGACAAGATTTGAGGTCACAAATGCGCATCACAAATTTTCAGACGGATGCGTTTTCAATATGGGGAGGGGGGATTTTTCTTTACGATAAATTCTCGCAAACCGTCTCTGACGAAAGCTGCGGATTTCTTGAAAGGGGACGCTCATCTACTTTCCGGGTCGTCGCAAGTCGTAGACCCACCAGTTACAGCGGCTGGCTCTCGAGGTGGAGCACCAGAGGATGTCGCCGGAACTGCTGCCTCGGGCAGCGGTGGCGGAGGAGGAGCACGCAGTGGCCTGTCGACTTTAATCTTCAACCAGGAACTGATCACGGAAGGGAAACCCTCTCAGCCTTTTTCAGCCAGAAGCGGAGCGAGCGGCACTTCGAAGCAGCAGCAGGGGAAGAACGCTACTTCCTCCGCGCGGAGCAACAGTCGGCCGGGCAGCCGTCCCGGCAGCGGTGGATCTTCGCGGGCCTCGGGGGGTCGGGCGGAATTTTTAAGTAGCGGCGTCAAGGACAGCACTGAAACGACAAGAACGGGTGCGCCAGTGATGGAGACAGATGCAAAAACAAGAACAACTGCAGGAGAAGCAGGTCCCACCCCACCGGAGTACAAATCCGGAACTGACGCTATTCGGCCCGAACTGCGGGCCTTGTTCGGCGGCGGGCGCCCGACTAGTACGGGGAGCCGGGGAGGTAGCGCGAGCTCCTCTAAGCCCGGATCGACGACGAACACACCCCGAAAGGGAGCAAGTGGTGGAGCTACGAGTGTCAACATGTTATCCTGGGAAGAAAATGTGATCTCCTTGTCCATGCGCCGTGTACGTGTAAGTAGAACGAAGCGATACTAGTAGAGAGGAACAGCATGACCTGCGTAGTGACTGTTTCCTGTTTGTACTTATCTGACAGTAACAAACGACGATGGCGAAGGCGATTCCGATTCCCGTACCTCCCCGCCCTGGCACGACACCTACCACTTTCGGACGCGCGACCATTCTTCATCACAAAGCGTTTGTTTGATTCTTTTGCGTAGTACACATTTCTACAGTAGCTCGTAGCTAGGTGTAGAAGCAGCTGTTGCGTCCTCTGCGTACTACTGCACGTAGACGGTGTTGTTTTTGCAATGCATGCAGCAAAGGGACGAATCAAAAACCGGACACCTCCATCAACCAGCGACTCTCGTCCTCCTCGTCCTCGGGCAGCAGCCACAAGACAAGCCTGTTTTTCCAGAAGAACTCGCACGCCCTGACCTTCAGCATGAACAACAGCCACCTGCCGTCAACCGCTGCCGCCTCCGCCCGCCCGCGGACCCGGCCGCCGCTCAGTGCGACCTTCGGAGGCTTCGGGTCCTCCTCGGCAGGAGGACCTGGTAGTGCAAGAACTTCATCGGCAGCTACGGGTCTCAACGAGAGGGACACATCAGCGGAGGTCGATCCGACTAACAAGGGACCGCAGGGAGCCGCTGAAATATTTCCGAGCGGCGCGAGGAACAGTGGTATTAAATTGAATCCCGCCGCGCAGCACCAGCAGTCTTTGGTCTCCACGTCTTCCGCCTTTGGCCGCAGCGCCTTCTCGCTGCTCCCGGAAAACAGTGCCTACGACCAGAACAGTATGCACTGGGAAAAATAAATATTTACACGTGCGTTAGTCGTGGAAATTTGCATGGCAGAACTTGTGGTGCAGTAGCAGTACTCAGTTTTTGACTACGTGGTCTGCAGTTCCGGTAAATGACAAGCTAGAGAGAGTTGATCTTTTGGTTGCATCGCACCGCAATTTTTTATTCACTGACGCACTTAAAGTTTTTTCCCGCAATAAAGAAGTACTTCAAGATGGGAAACAACCACTTCAAATACTACACGGATATCGCACAAGAAGAGGGAAGAAGTCTTTTCACTGTGACGACGAGCTTTCCGCATTTGGTAGGAGAGGTTCAATTCTTTTGGACGACAAACAAAGAGAATAAGTCAGAAGTTCTGCAATTTCATCCACGGAGTGCTGGAGTGGTTTCTTTGTAAAGAAAACTGAAATCCTCCTTGCAAATACGTGGCACGAAGTGGCTAACTTTCGATACAGTGAAACAACTTTCTTCCTTGTCCATAGCCGAAGGCGGAAACGCAATGGCTTCTTCTGCAAGTGCGTATCCTGTGCGAAACTCGTGCCGTGTCTGTCCGCACAAGATGCCGCAGTACCGGAACATTGAATGATCTTAAGTAAATTTAGTAGAAGCACTTCAACCTGGCGAATTGCATTTTCAATAATTTGTCATGCAAGTTGTACGTGCGAATCCGAATGCGAAACGGAAACACGCACACAACGACTTTTGCGATCCATAGTGCAAGCGAGGACGATGATGATTACTTCGGAGAAAACGCGGGCGCGTCGGGCAGCCCGAGGACCAGAGTATCGAGTGCAAATACAACATTGTCATTGTCTGGAGGGATCAGTAGAGGCGGTCAAGCTTACTGAAGACGCTTTGTGTTGCTGCTTCACGAAAAATGTGTTTACGGTATACAGGTAGAGGACGACCAAAGGGACGAATTCGATGAGTATATAATACATTCGGTCATTCCCACCACTTTTCATGCGTGGGCACACGATCCCACTGGGACTGGTGGTCCTCCAAGTGGTTTCTCCCCATCCAGTTTGGCGAATGCATCGACCCAGCTATGAACAAGTATTTGCCCTTCTCTTGCATACACGACCACGAGCAGCAGACCACGGGGGCAAAGTTCATCAAAAACGTCGTCGCAGCACAAAAACCGGCTCTCCATGCAGAGCGAGCTTGGGACCGCGGACTCCCGGGCCAGTTCGAACGCGGCGCCGCTGCTTATGGCGTTCTCAAATGTTACATTCTCAACTGTTACATGATTTGTCATGCAAAAGCACCATGATCATCTACACGATCAAGCTGCTCTGCATGACAAATCCTGGAAGGGCCAAACAGGATGATAATCTCTGCCAAATCTGTCATGCAAGACGCGTAATGCCCCCCCTTTCACTTTTCCCATTCTTGCATCACAAGTCCATGTAACAGTTGAGAATGTAACAGTTGAGAACGCCATACTGCTGTTTGGCCAGCTCTTCAAGCACTCCGCGAGTAGCAGCGGGTTGGGTGGTGGAGGCGGAGGTGCTGGAGACAGGAGCAACAAATCGCTGCGACCAAAGACGGCCGCCGGGCACTCCTTGGGAGAAACGGGCTTCGAGGAAGTCAAGGCGCGGGCCGAGCGGATGGTACAGATTTCGATTCTCATATGTGGTGTGCCTTGCATGACTTTGACTTGCTTGATGTTGGCGGTGCTTGATCTTCATGGACTCTTTTTAGTCTTTTTTTGGTAGGATCGATTGCTAAAAAACATCAAAAAGAAAGGACCTGGGTTTCAATCGGGCATGCATCAGTTTACTTTTACATCGCTCTGCATGGCCTTCATGTGCAACATGAACTATGTGTTTCTGTGTTGCAGGTAGAATAGAATTGATATGATACTATTTTTGATCTTCTTTCCATCAGGCCGAAGCGAAAGAGGCCGGGAGCAAGCGGCCACGTAGTGCAGAGGGGCGGCCCAAATCCGCACGGCAGCACCTGATTGAGCAGCGGAAAACGCGCGAGGAGAAGGAAAAAGAGGAGAACAAACTGATGCAGTTGAAAGTGAAAGAGTTGGAGTACCACATCCTGATCAAGGTACGATTACGAAGAAGCTGTTGATAGATGTCCGGCGAATTTTTCCAACCGATCTTTAAAATGTTGCGTCAACACCAATGCGCAACCACAAGGACGAACGGACGGAGCTGTAGAAGTTGTGGATGTGGTCACAACTACTTCTTCTGGTTGTCTTGTCTCATTTCGATTCGCCCTCACTCACCAGCAACGTGTGTCCCTGTTACTTTCCTGAGCGAGTTCTTGCCAGGAGCAATAGAGTATGGACAATTTTTTGCACAGCTACAGATCAATTAATATCTGGCTCAAGAGAATACAGATTACGGTCGCAAAAAACTACAGCTTTCCGAGATGAACCAGTGGGCGCGCGAACTGAAGCTGGGCATCAGCTACCGTGTGCAGTTTAGCTCGGAGCAGGTTGAGCGGAACCGGCTCGCGGTCTACTGCGTGAAGTTGGCCAACGAGACCGAAATGGAGCACATTACCCTGACAATTCTGGACAAACGGTATAAGGCCCTCAAGTCCCGGTACGAGGAGCAGCGCGACCCGTTTGCCAAACCGGATCCGAACAGTCCCGCGGAAAAGCTGAAGGCCAGGAAAGCCAAGAAGCGACGGTATTTTTAATATACTTCTGTAGTTTGTACAACTCGTCGTCGTCCACACGCATTGAGATTGACCTTGCGTTTGCAGTTTTGTCCGTTTCTAGGAATTTATGAATCGGCTGTCTAAACAAGACTGCAAAGGAACACACAATCAATCGACAGGTTTTCCGCTGCCCCGGGCGACAAGCCGAAGAAAGAAAACCCGTGTTGGCTGCCGGTAGAAACGGAGCGGGCGCGTAAGATATGGCATGGGTTGCAAATAAAAGAGCAGACGCAAGAACCAGTCGATGTTGAGGATGGCTCTAGTCTTTTTTCCTTTTGGTGGCAGCCGGTCTTGTAGTAGAAACGCGCTCTTGTCGTGGATGATCCTCATGGAGCCTTCTTGAACGTATCGTATTAGTATGTTGTTTTTCTACGTTTTACTGCAAAACGAGAAAAATCTGTATCACCGAGATAGACTAGATATCTGTTGCGTCTGATTCACTCTGTTGCATATCGTATCGAGATCCACGAGGCATACCAGTTCGCGAAAAAGTTGGAGAACAAAATCCGCGAGCAGCTGGTAACCCTGGCGGAAGTCAAGCAGACGATACATCCGGCGAAGGGCGGCAGCGGTGCAGGAAAAAACAAGGGGAATAATAACCTGCGACGACGGGCCAGCTCCGCGACGCGGGCGAAGTGAAGCAGCAAGGACCGGCGTCGTGCTTCAATGATAGTACCGTGCGAAACTGTAACTTCAAATCATGCTCCTGTAGGTGGACGTGGACTATGAGAAAAGATACTGTAAAGAGATCCTCTTTGCATGCAAGGAGAACAAAGAAAAAGAGTGAAAGATCGTACACTATGCAAAGAGCCAACCCATCTAAATCATGATGCGATTGCTTGAAATTCTAGTCAGTTTGACAGGTAAGGGTTCCTCCAGTAGGACTTGGAATCATAGGAAATGGAAATCAAAAATCCTGAATGCAAGAAGCTATCCGAAAGTCATTTTTCACGCAAAGTAGAGTCAGTACAGTAGTACTTCTCCGAAGTAGAAGTAGCCTCAATATACACTGTGAACAAAGCTCGATGTGTGTCGTCAACAAGATTGACTACAACATTTTTTTGCAAAGATTACGCCTTTATTCTTCCCACAGGGGCAAGGCTGCCCGCGCAACGAGGTTTTTGATGTATAAGAGCGAAAGAAGATTCTTACCGCGGGTATGATTCAGATTTCCTGGTATCGGAGTCTGAGTCTAGTGCTCCGTTCCTAAGGTAGTACTCCTCTGGAGCTAGGGGTCCTTTTCAAGAACATTGTTTGGTTTCGGCCACCAACAGATCGGTTTTTACTTCAAGTTCTACGAGCTGCAGTTTCAACTGTTGTAGACACCAGTTTGCATGCGAAGAGGTTGTACTGGCAAGTATCCATTCTGTGTGGATGATCCTAAAGGAACAGCACCGCGCAATATGATCTCCTCGAGAGCAAGATCGGTCCTATTTCCCATCACGAGAAACAGGCAAGAGTGAGAGTACCTTTTTCACAACAACAGATCTAGATCCTCAGATGTTGGTCATGCTCATGTTCTTGGAATCGCGTTTTCCATTGACGTCTCCTACCTGGTCTCGCTGCAATTTTTCTTTTTGCAGTCAACCGCGATCGATCCCAATTTGTAGAACCCTTCCCCTCGCTGGTAAAACGTTTTTTGAAGTTTTGTTTTTGGTAAATGCCACTACATGGATTCCGATTGAGAGCCAGAAGTAAATACCCAATTCTATCACCACCCTGTTTCAACGCTTGCAGCTGCGATGATTTGCTTTCACACTGTGGCTGCAGATGGTGTCCAGGAAAAACAACTCTAGTGATTTTTAGCTCTTGTCTGTCGATGCCGCAAGTACAGGAAAAGACCCTGGCTATCAACACCTCGTCCAGCAACGCCTGCTGTGCCTGTACCACGGCGGCGTTTTGCTCTGTCGCGCAACATTATAACCCGCGTTGGTTTGCTGTAGTCAAGACGTTGGCAAGCGGGAGCAGGAAACAACCAGCACTACTAACGCTCTTTATTCTCTTGAATCTGAATCTGCTTTCGCAGCTGCGTTTTTCGTTTAGCCAGCAAATAACGGGCGTCGAGGCATCTGGCGCCCTTGAAGAGGCAGAAGAACTGTTTCTCTTGAAAGGGGAAGAAGCAGCTGCACAAGCCCAAGCAGTTCCTGCGACGACTCTGGACGTTCCGGTTCCCTCTTCTGCCGAAGTAGAAATTCAGGTGGACGTCGTCGGTCCGGCTGCTGCACCTGATTTTTTCCCATCGTCATATACCTCGGATGAAAAGGACCACGACCACGAGATTGTTCTTCAATTAGGTAAAAACAAGGAAAAACACGATATTCAAGTGCAAGATAGCGACATGATTACCAACATCGACGAGATCATCCGGCGCATGTTCAAGGTGATCGACCGAATACCTTATCACGATGACAACGGAAAAAACGGCATTCACCCGGTCTCGCTGATCACCTTGGACGAAAACGCCTTCCCGAGCTCGTATCCAAACTGCAAGATCTTCTTGCGTCGTACGGTTGTGAGTGTGAGGAACACAAATACTCTTTCGTCTTTGTATTGAATGCGTTCTTGCAGAAGAAGATGTGCTTGGATTTGTACTACTTCTTCCTTGAACAAGTATCAGTGAAAACAGGAACAGTCCCAGTTGCAGGAGCACGTGATATTACCCTTGCTACCCGGAGAGAATGGTTGTTCTCGCAGTAGGATCACTGTTGACGTGTATGAGTAGAACTTGTTGTAGGGACGCCGTATGTCCTCCAGAATAAAGTCGTGCAGATAGAAACGAAAGAGAAACAACATTTCATCGTCTCCTCCCGCTCTACTTCACACTCGCTAGATTTTTTTTTTCCCTCCATTACTGAAGACTCGTCGTCCCGCGGGGGATCTCCAACGATTTCACCAGCATAAAGCTGAACACGCGGACCAACACGCGCAAGGTGCAGGAAATCACCAACAACAGCAACAAGGTTTCGGTCACGTGGGAGGACCAAAAGGGGAAAGGCGGGTGGATCGTCGCGAAGGGCGTCGCGGTGATTGTACCCTTGGACCAAGCGCGGTGCGACATTCTGGTAGACGTGGTCAAAGTAGAAGTCATGGATTATGGCGTTCTCAACTGTTACATCCTCAACTGTTACACAGATTTGTAATGCAAGAGTAGCAAAAGTGAAAGGAAGGACCTTGCGCGTCGTGCATGATAGATTTGGCACAGATTCTCAGCCTGTTTGGCCGTCTGAGAATTTGCCATGCGAAGCAGCTTGGTGGCGTTCATAGTCAAGGCGATTCTGCATGACAAATCATGTAACAGTTGAGAATGTAACAATTGAGAACGCCATATGGATTACAACGAAAAGCTCATGGCCGACACGGAAGGGTGGAAGCCTTTGGTTTTAGAAAGAAACGTATGGGTTGCAAAAATGTCTGGGTCTGGAAACTTGTAATGCTGCGCTGGGGGAATAATGAGTGCTCTGTAATGCACAGGCAAGCATGAGAAATATCTGCGCTTCTTTGTGCTACGTTTTTCGCATGACAGACTGCGGTTTTGCATGACAAGCAAAAGGGTCTCTTCTTGGACACGCATCACAAACTTTTTGGTCATGCCAGACAAGCATGACAAGTCTCGCATTCTTCCAGACCCAGACATATTTGCATTCGATAAAACGCCGGGCAGATGAAGAATACAACAGCCGCGGGGGCGGGGGCGGCCACAGTGCTCTCTGGTATGAAAACGTAGAATGTATCGGCTGTGTCATCTACTTCAGTTGATAATATTCCATATGTGTGTTTGCGCTGAATTGCTTACTTGCATACAACAACTATGCTTTTGTAACCTGGCGAAGAAATGTCAATGTGTGATCATGGGCGAATGATTTTCACACCAAAGCGGTGATTCGTGATGCAGTATGTATGCGGAAGACCTGACGAAGAAGATGTGTTCATCTTGCGGAAGACACCTCCTGAGACGATTTTTCTCCATGATATTCCGCGCCGGCGCCTGGCGATTGGTGTCGACTTGATCTTCTCCCACACAAGGCTACCGCTGCGGCTTTTTGCCATCATTTCGCTTCCAGAGGACGATTTCTTACCACGACGACAAGTAGAAGGACAAGCTCGTTCATTTTCCTCGAATAGCATCGAATTGTGTCCAGGCAGTCGACTTTTTTTCACTGGCGGATTGAAAAAGAAACCTGGTCTCTGACTGAAGCTGCTTCGACTTTCTCGGTCGAGAAAAAGACAGAAACAAAAAGAAAACAAATAAAGACGACATTGATTGACAAAATAATATCTTCTCTATTGATTCAACATAAGTTGACAAAATAATATCTTCCATCTTGACGCGCATGTTGTACAGCAACTAAGCTCCTTTTGTTTATTCGTGCTGAAGTTTTAGTTTGTGGGTCCGCGTTGCCTCACAGATAAAGTTTGTGGCGTTCGCACCGAGCAAGCCCCTACTCTGGTTTTGTTCGAAGGTAGACATGATTTCAAAAAATTTCAGGTGAACAAGCTTTGAGAAAGATCGTGAAGGTGAAGATCGCCTGATGTATAGTTGATCATGATTATTCCTATTCGCATGAGCATGATCCTCACTCGACGTCGAGCAGATCCCCCTTGATACAAAGTTACCCTTGCTCCTTTTTTTTCCTATGGGCTCCCAGCATGACGATCGTTTGGCTCCACCAGCGAGAGCTAGTTGTCGTGTTTTTCATTTCGTGTCGTGACGAAGACGATCTTGAAGAGAAACGCTCCTTGGTGCTCGTTACCTGCTTTCAGGAAGGGCAAGTACTTTACATCACGCGTGGGCAATTGTGATTTCAAAAACGAGATCGGACCAACACGCGTCCTCCTTTTTTGGATCATTTTCCAGCCTCCAACTTCTGCGGAGGATATAAATATAAAAATCCCGCCGCCGGCGCCCGCGCCAGTAGTCGGATGATAATAGCTGGATGACATTCCCACTCCGCGGCCCCTCTCGGGCTCGGAGGCGGGGTCGCTTGTTGTATCGAGAAGAGCACGACAAGGGTCATGTCTCCGGGTTCGAACTCCGCCAGCACGGATCTTCTACCTCCGCCCTGATCCTCTCCTGCCTCGCGCTGACGTTTTCTTTATTTTCCTTCAGCCGCGGTGACGAACAGGATGAACAGCAGGCCTCCATTAATATTACAATGAAAAATGCCTCCACCCCGGAATTAGTTTGCAAAAGTTTCTCATGCAAAGTTTCCAAATGAAAGCTTTTTCTTTTTGTCTTGCATGAAAGGACTATGAGCCTTTCTGATGCAGAATCTAGGCGCGCAAGGTATCTTTTGCATAACAGATCCGGCTACTGTTGGGCTCCTTTGTAACACAGACTTGAGCTATTCAGCATGGGAAATTTGTGATGCTGATATACGCAAGACGGGGAATCTTTCTATTGGAGAGGTTTGCAATACAGATGCTGCCAAGTTCTGGGGTGGGGGCATTTTTCATTGTAATATCCGTCCGAGAAGATCAAGACGCTATCCCGGACCACCCCGCGACCCCAGGCCACAAGCCGGTCGATATCCTGTGCAAAAGTATCGTATTCGTATAAATGCAAGTCTTGCATTACAAATATTTTTGTGAAGGTAAATCAGCATGACAAATTTTATTTCTCATGTTGAGAAAATTTGTAATGCATTGATACGAGTACGATACTTTAACTTTTGCAGTTCATAGTCGACTTGGACTGGCAAGAGGTGCAGGAGACGCTTCTCGAGTACTTCCCGCTGGATGGCACCAAACCGAAAAAGTTCCTTTCTGGGGGAGGAGAGGATGACGAGGAGGAGGAGGATGACGCTGATTTAATGTTTGACGCACCGTCGACAAGAACCACATCAGCCGATGGATCTTCACATCAGGCGTCTACTTCCAGCACATCCGCCAAAAATTCCGCTGCGGGCAGCGACACCACGGAAAATACACCACGACACCCGCCAAAGAGCAAAGACACGACGAAGTCCCTCCAGTCGCTCTACGGCCGGTCACAGTACCGCGATTTCTACATTTGGTACCAGCAACAACCGCACCTCTTCGTCTCGTACCAGACGCATTCGAACCCGCTCGCGGTGCTGGCCCTGCAGGCCTTCATCATGTACACCTCGAACGACTCGGAGCGGTGCATCCAGATCCGCGAGCACTCGGCTATGGTGGACCTGATTTCCATTCCCTTCGCGCACGTGGTCCGGAACAGCAAGTGGCCGATTTTCGGCATGCTGCACGAGATTCAGCAGCAGTTGAGGTCCACGTCCGGCTTCCCGCTCTACAACTTTTGCGATTCCCTGGATGCGGACTTCTCCGACAAATTCCTGCACCAGCTGAATGTGTTTCTAGCGGAATCTGGCCGGGAAACCCCCGTGATTGGTTTGGAGACGTGGAGCAACGCGAAGCGGCACGAAGAAGAAGAGAAGGAAGCCAGGAAAGGCTCTGGCCCTCTTGCAGCTCCTGCTTTCACGGGGGCAAGTAAGGACGATGAAAATGTGGACCTTCATGCGAAAGAACGTAAGGCCTCCTTGACCAAATTGGGGAAAATGTTACAAGCTCTGAAAAACCGGCTGGCACACTATCGCAAAAGGCTTAGAGATGAACCAGGAACAACGTCGACAAGCGCAAAGCCAACCTCTAGAAGCGTAGAAAGAGCAGTAGACGAGCAACCTGCACGCACAACTACGGAAGTAGAGCTACATCAAGAACTTGTGGAGAGCATAACGGCAAATTTGAGGTTACTCGAAAACATCCATAACCACAGCTTTCTCCTGCATCCCAAGAAACCCTACGTATCTCCGAAGCTGCGGCTCTCGAAGCTGGCAATTTTTCGTTACATGGCCAATTCCATCGAACCGCCGGGAATCAATCAGAACGCAGCTGCTGAAGCGGATGGAGATGCTGCAGCAGACTCCTCGAGGAGTGGTAGCACGAACAGCAACAACGCGGCTCTATTTTGGGAGAAGAATTGGTGGCACCTGGGGAATATGCAATGCAAAAGCATCGTACTAGTATAAATTGCATTACAAATTAGCCCAGCATTACAAATTCAATTTGTAATGCTGATTTACCTTGAGAAAAAGATTTGTAATGCATAAATGCAATTACTACGAGTGCGATACTTTTGCACAGGATAGGGAAGTGCCCGTTTGGGAAGGCGAGCGCGGCTTTTGCGTTGGCCCTAGCGGCGGAGTCGATCGAGGAACTCGAGGAGCTGTTGCAGGAGGGACAGAAGCATCTCATGAACTACAATCTGAAGGACAGTTTGTACGATCTGATCTCCACTATGGCATTGTTCTCAAGCGGGGTTACATTGACTGCTGCTACGTGTTGATTTGTCATCCACACAAACCACTATCGATCTCCACACGACGATCGAGCGACTTCGCACGAAAACTTTGCGAAGCGCTAGAAATAAATAGCCTGGAACTACTGCGCGCCAAATTTGTAATTTTGCAAGACGCGCATGCGCAAGAAAAACCTCCCCGCTTTGGCATGTGCCATGCTTGCGTCGCAAAATCATGTATACACAAAACAATGCAACCAACGCTTGAGTAGAACCCCATATCTACCAAGTGGCCCGTCTGGAAGCTGCTGCACCTAATCCAAAAAAGGGTCTGGACCGCACGGAAAATAGAAGGAATACGGAAAGACATCGCGAACGACTTCAGAAAGCTAGATGCGGCGTTGGACGAAAAAAACTCGGCAGCTAGAAGTAGAGACGGCAGAAGAAACCACGAGCACCCCGCAGATTCAAGAGATTCTCGCGCAAGCGCCTCTGCCTCTGACCTTGGAGAGCAGGAGGACGTGCATCAGGTCGTCACCTCTTTCGCGCTGACCCTGCGGCCGGCTTTGACCCGCGCCGACCACCCGGAATCTGTGTTCCACGAGGCGCCAATTAGCCCCTATTTTCCGTACTTCAAAGGCTGGGGCGAGCCGCGGGATCTGACGATCGTCGTGGTGTTTTTCCCGACCTTGGACAAAAGCGGACAAGAAGTAGAGCTGCGAAAGGCCCAGGTGCTGGCGGATAAAATCCGGCAGTACCACGTACGGACGGTGCTCATGTCGATCAGCTTTGGCAGTACGAAAAACATTGGTTCATCCACCTCGTCAAGAAGTACAGCCTCAGGTTCGAAGAGTCCTCCCTATCAGATCGAGTTCATTTCAGAAGCCGACAGCGATTTTTACCAGCTGGATCGTGACTCGCCTGTTTTGTGTTTGTTCAGCGGGGCCGTCTCAAGCGAAGTGGTCGGAGGTGAATTTCTGCAGCACAAAGGGCCGGATACGACTACGAGGACGGCTATTGACGCAGCAGAAGAGCAGTCTTCACACCAGCAGCGCGACGCCGTCCCAGTGGACGATCCTCATGATCCCGGTTGGACGGAGGATTTTTTGGGTATCGCTGTTTCCACGGCGCTCCAGCAACTCTTGGAAGAGAAAAGCGTTTCTGTAGTGGGTTTCCCGATCCTCGCGGACTACGAGACCGGGTTGAAAGCCGAAAGAGCGAAAGCGGGAACGTCAGCCGACGGCGATAGCGAAGCTGCCGAAGCAGTTGCAAATCAGTCAGGTTCTTACGGGGCTGCTGTATCTCCGCCACAGCGTTACTACCTCTGGGAGCCTCGGAAGATCCGCGACCTCCATAACACACTGCAGTATCTGCCCTACCCGACGGGGTACGCGAAAACCTCAGGGAAGCTGTGTTTCCAGTCGGAAGGCGGGCACTCTGCCGCACGGGTCTTTCGGTCGGGAGGGCTGTTCTTGAACACTGTGGAGAAAGCGGTGCAGCTCGTAGCGATTACAACGGCAGACGATGGTGTAGGTGTTGGTGACAAACACAAAATGTTGTTGGACAGTGCTGATCGCAACAGCGATTCGCGCAAATCGCGGTTACAAGCGACGGGTGCACCATGGGCGAACCTCGCGGTCGCACTGGATGTGGTACTGAAGAGCAGCGGCACCCCACAGCATCTGTGCTTCAACAAACCCGCACGGGAGCGGGTCAGTTATCTGCAGGTAGCCGACTTGCGAATACGGGAAGCCGTGTACTACGCGAAGGAGAACCAACGGCTGGACTGCAGGGAGTATGAGCGAGCGGCATTGGCAGCCGTGGAGGCGGTTGTTGGGCGGGACGAGCATGATATTGTGGAGGACGTTGCCGAAGTACTAGACAAAGCCCAGGACGACGAACGGCGAGTGACGCCAGGGGAAGAGCAGCACCTACTTCTGAGGACCAAGAACCGCAAGCCGCTATCCAGCACCAAGCCCTCCTTTTGGTGTTTCCAACGGGTGCTGCAAGTTTTGCTAGGTGGATTGACGGAAAGTGGCGGGAGGACTGCAGCAGAAAAAACGCAACACCTTCCGGGTCTCCTGGTCGGGCATCCAGGTTACTTTCACGAGCAAAAGCAAGACCGATTCTCAACGGGGGCTGCTCCGCCCCCCGCTGCAAACCTGGAAGGTCTGTACCTGTCCAGAAGCATCAGCGTCTACGTCTATCAGAGGAAAAGTAGAGGGAAAAAGTTGTCGCAACAGCCGCACGATCATCCCGATAAATCCGAGGCGCAAAGAACAACAGCGAGCACTACTAGTGCTGCCGACAATAGGTTACAGCTCCGACTCTCGCCACACCAGTCGATCACCGTGGTGCCGCACTCTTCTGCCATTGTGCAGCGCCGATTCGACGGTGCGGTGATGGTGAAGCTGCGGTTCAAGCAGCCGAGCAGCCTGGACGAGGCGTCAACAGGGATTCGAAAGAAGGCCGATGACCGTCGACACGAGAATCTCGGTTCCCGACCCGGGGAGCCCGCCGTATTATCGGTGCGGTGGCTCGCAGTGGACGACCAAGCGCAGAGCGGTGATGCCCGTGGTAGAAATGAAATCGTGGCACGCGAGGACTCGTCGCAAAGAATCAAGTTCCACTTCCTCGTTTGCGGCCGGACCGATTGGCTGCACGAGGAGCTGGTTCCGAGCGGGATATCCGTAAGTTTCTTCGACGAGGAAAGTTGTGCTGCTGGGATGCGGGAATATGCGCGTGATCACGCGACGGACCACGATCTCAGCGACGGTGGCAAGAAGAATACCTACATCGTGCTCGTCTTTTCCCGGTTCCTGTTCGACCACCGGTGGCGCTTTGCGGAAATGGAGAGCCACGTGCGGAAGACGGTGGAGAGCCTGCAGCAGGACGGAGGACGAGATGGCATGGTAAATTCGTCGGGCGCCCGCCATGCTGGTAGAACAAACCGAACAGCGACGAGAAGTGCAACCGGCCGCAAAGGAGATCGCGCAGCAGAAGATCCGAACGAAGATCCAGCGACTTCTTTTCCCAGCAGCAAAGTCGACGCGATCTTCTATCCGGCTGTGAATTCAGATGGCGAGCGAGTCGAGACCTGCCGGCAGTTGCGGGTCCAGTACTGGAAAGCCCTTTACTACACCAGCACATTTAGCAACAGCCGCGCCCGCCGGAAGTCCTGCGCCGCCGGTTCTGCGTTTCGGGTCTACACTGCGGAGCTGTACCGTCAGCTGGCGAACAACGTTCCGGATGCAACAATTATTAGTGCTGCTGGTGGAAGTGGATCCTCTTCCTCGGCGGACACACCGACGCTCGCATCAGAACAAGCTGGAAGCGAATCAACTAGGATCTTGTTGTACCTCGATTTGCTGCTGAACGATATCACAACCAGGATGTTTCCGGTAAATGTGCATTACGCCAGCACGCAACTGGTTCCCGAGGACGTTTTGTATTCGGACTACCCGGTACTGGACGGAACACTGGCGGACCAGTTTCAAATCGAGGTGATTGCGGTGCACAAGAATTCAGACGACGGCGATCAACTTCTTCTACACAGCGAGGATGAAACAGCAGGCCGCAGTACAACACAGGCAAGCGCCGCTTCTAGTACTAGCAGTAATTATCGTTCCCCCGCCCCGGGCACGAACATCCGGAAATCGCAACACTGCATGCCCGGGCTGAATTGGTTCCAGATCAACACGCGCGGCGTGATCGGGAGCTACTGCTTCCGGGAGCAGATCGAGAACCACTTCCGCTACTTTTTGGACTGGTGGGTCCGCGAGAGGGGGAAGCAAGCCGTACCGGAGGAGGGATCACTCCTGGCGCTGTGGCGGAACGGCGCGGTGGGACAATTCCCCTGGGACAGCGACTTTGACTTGAAGCTCTACACGGACGAGGTCTCTTCCGCGAGTCTGAACCGGACCAAGGAGCAGTTTAACGAGTTACTGCAACAGAAATTTTCCTACGAGCGGACCGCGCTCAACGACGCGAGCAGGACGACGCAGGCGTGGAGCTTCCTCGGTTGTGGCGACGACAACTACTTCCTGATTCGCATCCCCAACATCACGCACCACATCGGGGACGTGTACTACCAGCATTCAATCAAGACGGAAAATCACCCCTGGCGGGTATCCTGAGTAAAAACGTACCCACACCAGAGTCAGGATGGGGATTTCGCAACACGAGCCTAGGAGTTTTGTGAGTCACGCATGACAAGTTGCGCTCTGCAGTGTAGTGCAGGTTAGCAAGTGCAGCCGCATCACAGATTCATCTGCTCATCCTGTTCACAGCATCACAAATTCCAAAACACGACTGGAAATGGCTCTCATGCGGATGCGCATTACAAGCCTTCCTGTCTTTGCAAATCTGCATTACAACTCTGGTGTGGGTACGTTTTTACTCAGGATAGCGGGCCCGGATGCTGGGGATGGAACGGTACGCGATTTCGCTGTCCCAGCACCACTATCAAATGTAAAAATGTCTGGGTCTGGAAGAGTCATGCTGTTTTTGCATGACATAGAAGGTCTGGCATGAAAGCTGTAGCATCACAGGTTTCGAGAAGCTTCCGCAATGCCGAGCCCGCGTGAGAAATCCCCCACTTTGGTGACCGAGAGTGGGAAGCTTTTGCGACCTATGCATGAGAGATTTTCATTTTTCTGTGTTCTAAAATGCGCATCACTTCCAGACCCAGACATTTTTACAGTTGATAACCACATGGAGCACATCTTTTTCGACCGGTACCACGCACCGGTCGAGAAGCTGTTCGGCGACCACGGCTCGGTGCTCCAGTGTCTCACGGATCACAACGCGTGTCTGCCGGACTGCAAGCGGGCGGGTGGGACGAGCGGGTGCGAATTCGAGGACAATTTCGTGCACGTGAATGTGTGGGACCTACCCGAGCAGGAACCGGCATTCTGGCCGAGCACGCTGTACTTGTGAGGCGGGCGCCGGAGAGCGTCTGCTGCTGCGGGCGCCGGAGAGCGTCGAACTGGAAGTACTGTGAATTAGACGGGGAGCACTTGCACCTTTTCATATCAAAATGTTACAATGCTTTATGCCACGCAAGAATATCAAGATGGAGATTGACAAACTAATCATTTATCTAGATGGTGATGGCCTAGCGCTAGGGCCAGAGCCCAGACGACGTCGACAAGAAGTAAGTGAATTTCGAATGTTGATGCGGACCGTGTTGCAGAAAGATGTAAATTGCGATGAATGTAGAAATCATATTTGGTTGGACCCCCATGCAATTATCCGGCTCGTTGAATCATCCATTGTGCTCCGAAACGGCACTAAAAAACAAAGAAAAGCAGGAGCAAGGCCCTTCGGGAGCGGAGAAGAAGCTTCACACCTCATAATTTTCTCAAAACTATCATTCATTTTCATATACTTATGTGAAGCTGAAACCCAGTGGGTGTGTGTACACGAGAAAGGCACGAGAGAAACAAAAAAATAGATGAGGTGGCTTGTAAACCTTACGTTGAGTTGAGAAAAAGTGTGGTTTCCCGTGCGTGTGTGTGGCGTGTTCTTGCACCTGTGTGTCTTCTGAATTCACGCCTCGTTTTGTGGAGATAAGAAAAGCCAGCGTAGCAGTGCCACTTGAGCAGCAGCAAGGCCTCCTGATATCGGAATCGCGAAGAGATAGACTTTTAAATTTCCCCCCCCTCCGTGTAGTTAGATGAAGATGTTGATATTAAGTATTAGAAGCGCGTGCAGATGAGGAGAAGTGATTGCCCCCAGAGCGTGTACTGGAAAAGAGATTGAAATTTTCACGAAAAAAAATTTTACATTTTGAACAACAACAACCGTAGGGTCAATTTCATTCGTTCCTCGGAACTACCTCTTATGAAAGACGAAAGAAGACTTGTCAAATTTGTCTTGGACCCGCCAACCCTGAAGGCAAAGCGTTCATGGTGTGGCCGCGAAGCAGGCAACGAGCAAAGCCCAAGAGCCAAAATTAAAGCTTTGTCATGCGGAATCGCAATCGGAAACCATCCATGAAGAGCGAGGACTTCGGCTCTTCAGGAAAGGAATTCGGTTGTCTTTGCCCGGGGAGGCCAAGCTGAATTAAAAAGCAAGTCTTCTTTCGCTTTCATGCTCCTTTAAAGAGACCGGAACAAAATGTCCGCTGGCGCTCCGCAGATGATGATGCCGCCGCAGCCCTTGACGGCTGGTAAGATAAGTTTTTCGCGATTATGAAACTGAGTCGCATGTGGGAAGAGGCAGCTGTTTTCTTGTTCAGCGAAAAACGTCGATTATATTCGATCGGTTCTTTCTTTCTCTCGGGGGGAATTTATCCCTTAGCTTTTGATTTGTCTGAAAGTGATCAACGCCGATAATTGTAATTTTATCCAGGCATGCCGGACCCGGCCACCATCGCCAAGCAGAAGGACGCCTACATGAAGATGTTGGACGAGCAAGTCAAGCAGGGCACCCAGGTCTTGGAGGCTGTATGCAAGGAAAACTGCGTTTCGTGACAGCGGTGCATTGAATATGATGAAACGTGGTCGTAGAAACGTTTAGTGAGTTTTTGCAGAAATATCTTGCACTCGGCGAGAATGCAGCTTGACAGAAAAGATGAAATTGGAATCCACCAAAAAGATATGAAAACAACATGACAATAGCAATACAAATTCAGTTTTCCCTTTCCATAGTTGCAGGTGAAGCACCAGAAGGAGTACCTGTTGGGCCAGGCCGACCAGCAGAAGAAGCAGTTCATTATGCAGATCGACATGGAGGTGAAGCAGCAGGAGATGGCTCTGGACCAGCAGCGCATGGAGCAGCTGATGGCCCTGCAGCAGCAGGCCGCCCAGCAGAAGGCCGCTCTGGAGCAGCAGGCCATGCAGCTGACCATGGAGTACCAGCAGAAGAAGGCCGAGGAGGAGATGCAGAAGCAGCAATACGAGATGGAGAAGAAGCAGCAGGAGATGCAGGCCAAGATGCAGGAGGAGATGGCCAAGTTCCAGGGCGCCGGAACCCTGTTCAACGCCCCGACTTTCAACGCCCCCAAGTAAATCAGTTTTATCCAAAGTGAAATGTTTGCGAGTCACCCGTAGAAATAGATTCTCTTTGCTGCGGCAACAAAATTTTGTCATGTTGGTCAGCACGTGTCTGTTCCCGTAAAGAACTCTTGTCTTGACCTTGCCGAAGGCACTGCTTTGGATTTCACCTCCCTGGCAGGGCCACCAGGTTGGTTGTGTGCATGTATGAAAAAAATGTTGTCAGAGACATCTGCTTCACACGTATCGGATCGCTGTTTCCCTTTGGATACGATGGTGATTGAAACTGTTTGGTTGGAAGTTGATCTTCGTCTCCGGTGTCACTGAAAATTCGCACTGACCTTCGCGCCTTACCGCAGCCTCGTCTAAGGACATTTTGGTTGATATTCCGGAGATACTGACGATCTTCTAACCGCACCTAGTAAGACCACACTGAGTATCTTATCTAAACTACCGGACGTTAGTACTTCGAAGATGCGTAAAAATTTCCGATATTTTTTACGTAAAAGAGATATTCTTTTTGGCTGGGTTGAGATTTTAGTTGCGGCGGTGCTCTCTGCGCCGTCGCAGTAGAATGGCAATTCTCCGATGGGGAGGAGGGGGAAGATCTACTATCTTGTTTACGTCTCAATATATCATCTTTCACATACGATCTTCACGTAAAAATTCCAAACTTTACACCGCATATTATTTGAGGTAGGAACGTATGTTGCTTTGTGCAAATTACGGCGAGCTTCAAGCTGAGTTCCTTCTTCTCAACGAAGTGGAAATGTTTCATCATTCACCAGCAGCTGCAGGTAGAATTCGCTTTTCTCTTCTAGTGTATCAGCTTTTGTCAGGGAAACTTCTTTTTCTGGAAGCTTTCTACTAGTTTATCGTAAGACCATGCTCGAAACAAGCTACCTTGTAGTTGCGAACTTTTGGGATGGCCGAGGGAATTGCCGCAACGCGTGTGGACGACAACCACAGACGCCATTGCTGGATGTGAGGACAGATTCTAAGTTCGTGAGGGGACTCGCAGCTCACCTCGTTCCCATGCATATAAGAGAAAGAGACAGCTTGAGGCGAGCGCGACTCTCAAGAGGATCCGCGAGCCGCATCAGCTTGGCATGAAGCCTTTAAACAAATCTCGATGTGGCATGGTGTTCCGTGATCTAGAAGTGGAGCAGCGCCGCATGAAACGATCACTGCCTCTTTTCTATTTTGAATGTACCGGATCGATTTTCCAAGCATAGATCTTTAGATAGCTGAGCAACTTTGGCTATTTTGTTGGATGCTGAGCAAAAGCTATTTTGGTCGATGCTATATGACAGAAACAGATGCGAAGAGATCATGAGCAATACAATAAGAAAGCTGCCTAGAGCATAGATCTAGGCGCATGATGTGTTGTTCTGACGATCAACACGCCAACGGACGCTTGACATGGTTCTACCGCATATTTTTCTCCAAACAAAGGATAGTATAGCTTTTAGAACACCTGCTGTAGCAGCTAAGTACGATCCTAAAAGGAATTCATTGGCATCCGCGTAGAAGCACGCATGACGTGCAAATCGATATGGTACAACTAGTACAAACAGACACAAGCGCGTTCGTACATAGTAGATCACCTAGCCTTCTGAATAGCAATAGAGCCTCGAGGCAGAAAATTCATCGGTCCTGCTCTTGTTCCTCGAGAAAGAACGGAACTGTTTCGAACAAAAGAAACTCGATCGGTTCGTACACAAGCATTCCATATCGTCGTTGCACTTCGTATCGTACAAGGGAAAGCACAAACGAGATTAGTAGCATCTAGGCACTTCGTACAAATGACTTCTCAGCGACCGATGATGTGTAACTTTGCTTCGCAAGAACTCGATTTTCGTATTTGTACTACCTGCAGACCATGACAAAAATGATAACACTTTCCTGAAACCTCCGCAGTATTCCAACTTGGACTACGCCCCACTTATTTTCCCACCAATTTATTATCATTTCCACCTCGTTTTCACGCACGCCAGTTGCACGTCGCAATTTTTTTGCCGCGAAAAGACCCCGGTACAAAGAAAACAACGCGAGTAAAATCTTCGTGCAACGACCGAAGTAAAAATTACAAACCACAACCAATACTGTGTTGCTTCACAAAAGCACATCTGCGATTCTGTGTAGTACGAGACAACCAGAACTACCAGCGGAGGAGAAACATCAGCGGTTCGGTGTAGAAGGCGCGCGAAAAAGAAGCAACCCGGCCGGATCAGACGGAGGCCGTGGCGAGAAGAGAGACGAGAGTAAAGTTTTTGAGCACCTCCCGCTGTATAGATACCACGGAAGAGACGTTTTCTCCCCGAAGATGTCCACGTACAACGCAGCGACACAGCACGCCACCGTGCAGGGAGCCGGTATGGGCGTGAAAAACCAGGTGGTGGAAGAGTGTGACGGCGTCCCATTCATCAGGCCAAGGTACCTAGGATGATATAGAACTGTCGTTTGTGTTTCTTTGTAGTTTTGATGCAGACCACCAGTCGCGGCGCGGCGCAGTTCACATGTGTCTTTCGCAGATAAGTGTGGGTCGATGCCTAGAAAATAAGCTCCACCTAGTTTGCAGCCTCTCACCCATGGGAGGTTCTAGCTACGGTGCGGACTTGTGCCATGAAGAACATGAGGAAGATGATGTGAAAAATAACAGGTATTACGGCGATGTGAACGCCAAGCGAAGCAGAGACTACTGGGACTACGAGAATCTTGCGGTGAACTGGGGCAATCAAGACGACTACGAAATCGTGCGCAAAATCGGCAGAGGTACGTGATTTTCCAATTAACATGATCGACAGGGCGAGCAACTTTTACGACTTGCTGAATGTGCTAGTTTCAACATCTTACTTCTTCGCATGCCTTGTCCTGTGTGAGACTGGCACTGCATCTAAGGTTCTTGTACTAAGCTTGGATACAAATTTTACGTGTACCTATACTAGCAGCTAGATGTACATAATAATGACTGGCCGCGCGCGTACCAACCCAACTATCCCGGTATCAGGTAAATACTGCGAGGCGTTTGAGGGCATCCATGTGAAGACGCAGACGCAGATTGTGATTAAAATCCTGAAGCCGGTGAAAAAGAAGAAGATTAAAAGGGAACTGAAGATCTTGCAGAACGTGTGCAGCGGGCCAAACATCGTTAAACTGCTGGACTACGTGCGGGACAACCAGTCAAAAACACCATCCCTCATCTTCGAGTACAGATTCATTCAGACACAACTTCTTCTTGGTGTGATTTTTTTATACAATGATCGGCACCAGATGTTCTGAACGCATGGCAAACTTGCTCTTTGAGCCAGGTTGTAGTTCTTTCGCGATGCAAATTTTCAACATCCAAATAAACTCTTCAACATCACAGGTATATCAACAACATCGATTTCAAGCAGCTCTACCCGACCTTATGAACTGCAAAAGTGTCTGGGTCTGGAAGAATGCAGGAGTTTGTGATGCTGATTTTGCATGACCCAGGATTGTGTGTGATGCATGCCCTACCATCACAGACTTTTAGAACCCTTCCTGATGCCTACGGCGCATGACAAATGCCTTCCCCGCGTGGCACAAACTAGACTCCTCTTGCTGGTCATGCAATACAGATTTTTTTAGAGTCCCAAGTTAGCATCACAAGTTCCAACCTGCTTCCAGACCCAGACATTTTTGCATTTGATAGACCTTCAAGGACTACGATATCCGGTTTTACATCAGGGAAGTGCTCTATCAAACAAAAAAAGTTCGTCACGATCACTCGTGCGCATTTTCGCAATACAAAACTTTCTGTCATGCGTAAAAAGGCATCATAGCCAAACTTCACTAGGGATTTCCCTAGTGTTTCTGCAATACAAGGAAAATTTGTGATGCTAAAAAAATTTGTAATGCAAAACCTGCAAGCTAATGACTGTGACAAACTTTTTTCTCTCCATATGCTCCGCGCCCTGGATTTCTGCCACTCACAAGGCATCATGCACCGCGACGTCAAACCCCACAACATTATGATCGACCACCAGAAGAGGCAACTGCGGTATGGAGTTTTCGCTGATTTTTATGTTTATCGTTCTACAGCTAGTACGTACGAAAGAGTCTCTATTCCCCGTGTCACGCGCGTAAAAAATTGGGCACTTGCGGCTGACAGCTCTGTCATGATGCCCACTGCGCGAAATCCTAGCAGTGAACACCAATGTAGTTTGAAAAAAAACGGCACTACAGCAAGTAAATCGATTTTGCTTTCCACACAACTATCTCAGATTGATCGACTGGGGTCTTGCGGAATTTTACCACGTGAACACGCCGGTGAATGTGCGGGTGGCCTCCCGGTACTACAAGGGCCCAGAACTTCTGGTGGACTACCAACTCTACGACTACTCTCTGGACATATGGTCCCTCGGCTGCATGTTCGCAGGTAAGGAGAAATCTTGTTGCCATCCCATTGATTTAGAGATCAGGAATTTGAGGTTTTGGTCTCGGCGAGGAGACTCCGGAATCGGATGAGTGCTGCGATGGTGGGTACTACGTGAGTAGTATTGATGTATCACAAAAAATGATTACAACTTCAGGTATGATTTTCAAGCGGGAACCATTTTTTCGAGGCAGCGATAATTACGATCAGTTGGTGCGGGTGGCGAAGGTTCTCGGGTTTGACGGGCTGCAGGCTTACTTGAGTATAAAAATTTGGACATGTTTCATTTATGTACCGTAGATGTTCAGATTTTGATGTTCTTGGTTCGTGCAACTAGGTCTAGCCGCGGAAGAAGAAGATTTTTGGATGCATCCGGTCGTGGGTCACATTAAAAAGAAAGATGAAATTCGTCTTGCATGACTACTATCACTACAGACAAGTACCACCTGGAACTGGACCAACACTTCGACGACCTTCTGGACCGATTCCCGCAGAAATCCTGGACCAAGTTTGTGAATTCCGACTGCAGCCACCTGGCGCACCTGGACTCGATCGACCTCCTGGACAAGATGCTGGTGTACGACCACTCGCAGCGCATTCTCCCCCGGGAAGCGTTCAACCACCCCTACTTCAAACCCGTCGAAAACGACAAGGGCGGGGCGATGGAAAGTCAGCCGCCAACGATCGCCGTCCAGCCCTACACGGCGCCGGTCAAGCAAACCGCGTGATGACAACGAACAACTTCATCCACCTCGATCATCATGGGTTTATTTTGAAGAACCAAAAGAACAACGAACCTATAGCAGTAGCCTGGACTGCGGTAAGCAACAAACTACATCTTCATCCGTAGCTGCCGGACAATCTAAGGCTTAGAGTCGAACAGATTTAAATCATCAGCTGCCGACAAAAATCACAATTCACAATCTACTAAACAGGAAACCAGACGAGAAACAAATTTCTGATCGTATTTATAGCTTTTTCTTATTTTTCACATTTTATAGCAACAAACTCTCTAGGTCTAGTATCGTTCTCACCTTTTGTAATAGTTTGACACCAGATTATCTCAGTTCGACCGAGCGAATCAACTTGAAAATCGACACAACTTTTCATCCAAAAAATGCTTTTTCGACTTCGTTTCTACAACGACATCTTCGCAGTTTATTTGAGACTATATAGCAGCACATCTTCAAAATTGTTCGAAAATACAGATAAAATTTGCTGTATGAAGCTTTCTTGTTAGACAAGTAGGAGTTCACGTTCAACACGTGAGCGGCACGACAACACAGTAGTTTCTCGAGACTATATAGCGGCGCGCGCAAAAGAAGTCTTTGCGATCTAGGAAAGAAAATTCGGACACGAGAACAAGAACGATCCGAGTGCACGGCTTACCAAAGAAAAGTTTTCATCACCAAAAATTATACGATATTCCTCTATCCTCGGCAAGCGGGGGCGCTCAGAATAGTAGAATGCTTTCTAAAGTTTTACGAGCACGGGCGGCCTTTTGACTTTACGTATCAGATTTTTTTCAAATTTATCACGCAGACGAACCATTCGAAGAAACTTTTCGTTCAGCACGCAATTTTCTTTCGCACTAAATTTTTACGACGACTCAGCAGTTGATGTTTCTAGGATGGTCTCAACATCTGCTGTTATAATTTCTCTGTAGTAGCGTGAGGGCGTCACGTTATCATCGCTTGCAATTGCAATTATACACGAGACTACAGGAAAATCTTTCAGGTTTCAAAATGTACAACATCAACAGCAATAAATATTAGTCAGTGCAGCTACAAGCACGGCGTCGCACAGCAGCTTTTCGAATCGATTTATTGCCAGCTAGCCCACATAGAAAACATGCGCCATATCAGGAACATAATCAGACGGCAATAATAAAGACGGTGCAGCTGCAGCTACTGAGAAAGCAAAATTTTGCTGTTAGATCTCTCGAAATTTAAAGTGAAAACAACTACGTTGACTAGCAGTAAAAACTACGCTTAGTAGTTCGCGCCGGAGAAGTAAAAAAAGATACTGGATAGTGGCGCAGGAACAAACTCGGGAAAGAGCAAACCTATATCAGCAAACTAGTAAATGCAGAACGGGTAGAGTTCTAGTTCTGCAGTAGTTGTTTGTCAATTATTAATTTTTCAATGTACCAAAAAGCTTTTATCACCTGCTGTACTATAGCATTGGATAGAAAATTTTTGAGTATAATAGAAAACGACTCTGTAGATGATTATGAACTACAGGGTTGCTTCGCAAAAAATCATGTTGTTTTGTACACAACTTTCTTTGCGACTGCGATCTTGTTCTTGGGCGGTTGTATTTGGAAAAGCCACCTACAACCGACACCGTAGCCGTAGAACTATCCTTTTGCTTCCAAATTTGTACATATAGGCTTGACCGCTTTATTCGAAACAAGCGTGAGCGATTGGCTCAACGAGGAAAAACCTCTCACGGCAAAAAAACCAAGAGAATTATAAAGCGACCCAGTTGAACAAGTACGCGACAACCACAGAATTTGCTTCTGACACGACATTGAATCTCACTTGTATGTGCCCTCGGTACCGATAGTGCAACGACGTAGACCGCGACGTCAACTCGTCGCGAGGCCAAAATTGCTGTGCTGCTGCTGTACCATAACATTTGTAGGAAATTTTTCTCTCTGCTCAATGAAAGTATGCTGAGATGAGATGTGGCAGAAGAACAAAGTCAGTTGTGATCGGGTAGAAGTCACTAGCCGACTAACAGCCGAACGTCGATTGGAAGCAGGAGGCGCGGCAGGAGAATTTGTGTTCGTGATGTGTTGTTCCTTTTTGTAATACAGTCGCTTTTCAATGTTTTGTACGGGACTTACTACGTACCGGAGGGTTAGCCGAATGAAAAGCTCACGATGGCTCAGTAAAGAGGATTGGAGATGAACATCGATGCGCTTCTTGGGGAGGGCGTGTACCAAAATCGTCGTGTTGTTTTGACCTAATATCAAATCAATATTGCGCACAATCAAAGAGGCGAGGAAGTCTGCGCGATAAGTACCACGACGACCACACATGAGCTGACGCTTATAGCGCGGTTTGGCTTTTCAATGAGCAGTAGTAGATTAAGGAAGTAGAAGGAATGGGCAACGCAGAGCGAGTTTTTTCTTTTTTTATCCCCTAAGGGCAGGATAAATGATGATGATGATGATGATGATGACTGTCGTGTCTTTTTTTTTCGCTGGAGCGGTGTAAGAAGGTCGTTGTTTGGCGGCAGTGGGATTTCGTTCCTGGTGGTGTCTTTTCTTCCCCATAGACACTATGCAAGAGAATAAAATAAATCGTAATCGGCTTCAACATCTATTTTTTTTTGTGAGTCGTTGTCGTGATAGATCCGGCAAAAAAAAAAGATTGACAGGGAGAAAAACAAAAGCACCGTACAACTATTGAAGCCACTTCTAACACAGGCACCTGGTCCCTCTGAGCTTTTCGGAAAGGACGACAGAGAGGTTGGAACACTCGTCGTTTACCACGACGAGAGTTCTACTTCTAGCATGATGAAGCAATTATTTGCATTGCGCAAGTAGTTGGATAGAGGAAGTATCAGATCTTCAAGATTAACCAGACGGACGGTCTACTTTCTGCCACTGCGACAAGCTCCTGCTGAATTACGAACCCTGCTGTGGTGTTGGAACCACGCTAGAAGGCGGCCGCGCTCCGGCAGCATTCTCTGCCAAGAATTTCTAGTTGCCCAGCACCATGGAAAATTACGAACATTTTGGCTCCATAGACGAGCAAAGAACGATACGAAAGAAATTGGAAAAGCGGGTATTAGAAGCCTGTCCATCTTCTCTCTGTCTGCGACTGGGTGCATCAAAATCGAGGAAACGAGGAGACTTGTTGTTGTTGTGTAGCATGGAAGGGCGTGGCATGATGCTCAAGCCGTTGCTGCCTGCCAGAAGTGATCTTGGCCAACAATGCATATTTATAAATATGCAGAGGAGCAGCGCGAGCACTTGTTTGTACACAAATTATGCTAGTAGCGAAATCGATAAATCTGGTAGTGTTGATAAAACTTCACCCGTTTTCTCATCTTCGTCCCGTGTATAAACGGCCCGCGTGGCGTACGAGACGAGTGCACAACCTCTCCCTCACTTGGAGTGCCAGCAACGCAAGAGAATCAGTGCCACAGATCATGTTTCTGTAGCTTTCGCATGGCAAATCCGCGCACGGATTTTTTGTAAAAGTAGTTCCTTTCTTCGGGGCTGGGGCAGGGACTCGCGTTCGCCTTCCGAAGCGTTTCCTCATGAACAGACTGCTTCGAAGAGCAGACTGATTTGGCCTTTTGCACGGCAAATGTACGAGGTCCTGCGGTTGTGCACTCTCATAGGGCGGAGCTGAAGAGGAAGTTTTGGTGGCACACGGCTTCTATCCTGTGCAAAAGTATCGTACTCGTATAAATGCAAGTCTTGCATTACAAATCTTTTTATCACGCCAAATCCGCATGACAAATTCCATTTCTCATGCTAAGGAAATTTGTATTGCAATTTATACTAGTACGATACTTTTGCAATGCATAGCTTCGACCGTGCTCGGCCCGGTGGTCTTCATCATCCTCGTATCCACCGGAAAAGAAGAAGTATCGTGCTCGTATTAATCCCAGTACTGCATGAGGAATGTCCATGTCCTTCCTAAGCCAAATCAGCATTGCAAACTGCTTTTGAAAATTAGTTCGCACTTCTCCGCAAATTTGTTCTGCGATTCCTACAAGTACGATAATCAATTTTGTAATGCATACCACGTCACTATTTTGCGAGGTAAAATGAAATATTCGCTGTAGTGTTAATGTTAGAAGTTTTCAGCTCGTTCACATAGGCTGCTTTTGCATATGCGTTGCCCCCTTCTAGTACACTCATCGCCAAATAGAAAACGGGTACGGGAATATCATCTGTTCATAAATAGGCAAAGGTGAAGGTTCTCGGGCTGAAATAGAAATGAATTCCCACCAACAACCCCGGAACAATGCGAATTACTTAATATAAAAAGTCAACTTCCCACCCAAATAAAAAGCCGCCAAAATAAGCTCCTGCAGGTCTCGGCCCCACGTGCGAACTGAACGACGCGGGGAAACTAGCGCAGCACATGCTGACAGACTACGATTATTCGACGCTACCCAAGGACGAGAAGGTTGCGGTGCCGACGAGCTTCCTGTTCGCGGCCTTTCATGAGTATGGCGTTCTCAAGCGTTACATTCTCAACTGTTACATGATAGATTTGTCATGCAAAATTACCTTCAGAATCGACACCAGCAAGCTGCTTCGCATGAAAAATTATCAGAGGACCGAGCAGGCTGATAGTCTGTGCCAAATCTGTCATTCAAGACGCACAACGTCCCCCCTTTCACTTTTGTCATTCTCGCATCACAAAGTCAGGTAACAATTGAGAATGCAACAATTGAGAACGCCATAAAGAGGTCGGAATCGGTATGATCATGGCGGACGCCACGATTGCGTTGCTGTATATGCATTGCAAAAGTAACGTACTAGTATAAATTGCATTACAAATTTTCCTCTTAGAGGAAAAGTGGAATTTGTAATGCTGTTTTACCTTTGGTTTCGGAGGAAGATTTGTCATGCATATTTGCAATTAGTACGAGTGCGATATTACTTTTGCATAGCATACTGTACATAGCGGTCCAGCTGATCCATGTGTTGTCCTTTGAAGAGATGAAGCAGGGTAGCCTATTATTTTGGTCCTCCTCGTCGCCGGAGGGCGCAGAAGTTGGAGGACAACAACAAACAACAACCACTACGTCGAAGAAGCATCCAAGGTCCGTTCTGTGGAAAGTCGTCGTTTTCGTTATCAGTTTTTACATGATCGCCTACGGCGGCACCTACGTACTGCTCGCTTCCGATCAGGCGGACAAGTTGAAGTTGTTTCGCCTCTCCCTGGCCGGTATCAAACTGATCGGAGCTGCTTTTCTGCTGATTCCCGCCTTGCGCGACGGCTGTCGCTGGTACAGAAGTAATTGTTCCTAGTTGTTGTACAACTCAGACTTACGTTTTTGCTCCTGCTGCTGGCATTGATGTGCTTTTTGTTTCCCGCATGGACGAGTGATAGGCTATAGTTAGGTAAACCATTAAAGCCGTAAACTTGTTGAGAAAAGGCTTCTTAGATTCGACGTCCGAAAGGACGAAAATTATCAATCCTGTAGCAAAATTATAAACTTTTATAACTACAACAGCTGTCGCCCGGGGGTCGGCAATGCCATCTACCGGCACTGTGTTTCTTCGATGGGCCAGTTTCTGTATGCCGGGTTGACCTTGTTTATGGTTTCCAACGTTTTGCCGCCCTTGCTGAGAAAGTTTGCGGATTTGTCCGTGCTACAGAAGCTTGTTGGGGAAGCCGCCGTGTGTGGGATTTTTTTCAGTCTCTTTCTGCCCGTCATGGAGAAGTTCCTCGGTGCAGTCATCATTCCCTGGTCTCTGCCGTCGGATAAGGACTACGCCCAGCAGTACAGCGAGCTTTCCCCTGCCCTGGTACAGCACGTCAAGGAGCGCACACAGAATTCTTTCTGCCTGCTGGTCATGTTTTATTTTGACCTCGTTCGGTTTGCCTTTGGCCGCGGTTTGTTCCTGGACCTGGCGCCCTACTCCCTCGCGGTAATCCTGTTGCGCGACCTCGCCTACCACGTTTATACAGTGCAAATATGTAGTCTGGGTCTGGAAGATTGCGAGACTTCTATTTGCGGAACTCGCATTATAACCCTAAGGTCTGCGATGCATGTAGTTGCGGAATAGCGGCGCCAACCCTCTGTCATGCAAAAGCGCAACTGAGTGATCAACCGCTCAGAAACTTTTCATGCGTGGCTGCGTTTTAGGATCAGCTTGTGACGCATGTGTAGCATCACAAGTTTCGTCCCAACGACCCAGACGTGTTTGCATTTGATGTTGACGTCTGGCACTTCGCCATCCGGCAGAAAGAGTCCCTGGTTCTGTTCGCGTGGAAAAGCTCGGAGGTGGATGGGATCGAGCACGTTCCGATGCAATGGAAGCTTCTCAGCACCATTTGCTACCACTCGCAGCGCATCACGGCAACGAGCCGGTACCTGGCCATCGCGTTTGAGGAGAAGATTGACTTCCAGAAACAGTTGGCACTGGAAGCGGAAGCGCAGCCTCTTGGGATCATGGAGACCGCCGCTACTTCCGCAGTGAATGATTGCAACGCGGTCGTGGTGCAGAAGGAAACCACTACCAAGACCCTGGTTCGGCGGTTGAAAACGACCCGAAGTCCCGAGCAAAACGTGGTGGTCGAGAAGCTCCTTACGTACACGATGAAAGCGAGAGAAACGGAGGGCTTGACGAAGTCCGTGCGACTGCACTTCTCTAATGTTCGTGTGCTCATAGAGAATGTGCCGGTGCGCATTTTTCGGGAATTCCAAAAGGCAACCCGCGGTGCGCGGGCGGCCGGGACCATGTTTGAGGAAGTCGTCGGAGAGGAGGAGGACGAGGATGAGAATTTCGTCGACGTGCTGGCGGTAGAGCAGGAGGGTCAAGGACTAGCGCGAGGACCACAAGATGAACTCAACACAGCTGCGACCTACGGCCAACAGGGTTATGACACATAAATCATCAACCAACGATAAGAACCTTGATCCACTCCAAAGATCCAAAGCACACCTAAACGGGCACGATCGTCACTAGTTCAATTCTACTAGAGTAAGATGACTACTGAACCTGAAACAGGCTAAGACGGGCACGAACGTCACGGCAAGAATAGTGAAGGTTCCCGAGTGCCCCAGTTTTGCCTGGGCACGCAGTACCATCGACCTTTACTCTTCCAATGAACTCCAGGGCCCTTGATGCCAGTATTGGCACACACACACACAAATAATCTCTCATGCATATTTGTACCACCTCAACTAGGTGTTGTTTTTACTCGTAGTGGGTTCGACCTCGTCGTTGGTTAGTTCGCATCTTCACAGAGTTATGAGCCCAAATCACCACTAGAATTTACTTCTGATTGCGAACGTTTAAGATTACACTTTGCACCTAATCAGCATTACAAATTTAGAATCATAAATACCCCAACGACAAACCATGGGCGAGCTGACTGCAGCGCAGAAGCAAAACAAGAATGAGAAGTCTGCGAAGGAAAAGGCTGCGAAGGAGAAAGCAGCAGCAACAGCAACTTCTGGCGAGCCTGAGGGCGAACAGCAAACAGCCGGTGATGACGGAACCATCACGCCGAACCCGGACAAGAAGAAAAAGAAGAAGAAGCAAAACACTTCTTCTACCGCCGACACCACACTGACGCTGCAAACCGCGCCGAGCGTTGTGGCGAAGTTGTCGCAAATGGGAAAGCTGCTGGACGATTTGAAAGACGACAAAGGCGGCACTGTCGTTGCCGACCTCCGGAAGCAGCTCGAGGACGTCGCGAAGGAAGAACAACAGCGCGACGCGGATGCGAAGAAGCAGTTGCAGAAACCAGCCACGAAGACCAGTACGAAAAAGAAGAAACAGAAGAAACCGAAGCGGAAGGATTCCGATTCCGACATTCTGTCTTCTTCGGATTCCAGTGGTGGCAGCTGCGACGAAAACTCTTCTTCCGATTCCTCAAGCGGTTCTGCGAGTTCCGAGGAGGACGAGAAACCGAAAAAGCGAAAGAAATCGTCGAACGAAAAAGACGAGAAGAAGATGGTCTTGTCGCAACTCCCGCTCTACCAGGACGACTCGTTACCGTTCACCGAGTACTTGTCGCTCGCGCAGGAGAAGTACAAGCCGAGCCGTATCCTGAAAGGGATTGAATCCAAGATCCAGCACACCACTACCCTGCGGCAGTACTTAGCGGCGAAGAAACGGAGGACCGTGCGCAAGGCGCATAACAGTTCGAAGCGTCTCCGGCGCATCATCAAGATCTTCCGGAACGAGCTGCAAGACCCCGATGCGGGTATGGAGAAGCTGGAAGACTGCAAGCAGGACCAGAACCAAAACCCACAGGAGTGGTATAAGAAGTTCTGCGAAGCTCTTGCTGAATTGCCTGCGGACAAACTGCCGTTCTCGGAAGTCGTCCGCTACGCCGAACGGAACGCGCAAAAGAACGTCAGGGGCATCATCGTCCAGGACAAACCGAGAAACGCGACGCAGCTGGCGGCTGCGATTGGCAAAGCGGAGAAGCTTTTCGGGAAGAAGAAGAAACCTGATGTCGCCTTCCCTGCCTTCCACGACCCGAAGGGCGGCCGCAAGCACAAGGGCGGTCGTCATGGCAAGAAGGGTAGTGGCAAGGGCGGTAAGAAGGGCGGCAAGGGTGGTAAACCCCGGAAGCCGTACAACCCGGACGCCTGGTGCGATTACTGCAGCCGCGCCGGCCACTGGGAATCGGAGTGCCGTACCAAGCAGAATACCGACGGCGGCAAAACTGGGGCACCGGGGAAGCAGTACAACTCGTATGCAGCATCCGGCGACCACAACAGCGGTGGACACCACCATCAGCATGGTGGATACCACCAGCAGCAGCAGCAGCAGGGGAACTACAACCAGTACGGTGCCCAGCACCAACAACAACAAAATCCGTACCCCCCGCAGCAACTGCAACAACAGATGGTCCACCAACCGGCGAACCCGAACTACAACCAGCAGGGCGGATTTTTCTGTGCCGTGGCTGTCGAAATCTCCTGCCCCGACCACCCCCACAGTGCGTTTGCGACTCCCGCGACAGCAAACACGGTGGAGATGTTCTTGATGCTGGATTCTTGTGCGAGCAAGCACATGGCGGGACCGGTGCGGGTTCTACATGAACTCGTGAAAGCGCCCGCAATGTCGTTTAGCACGGCAAACGGACCGACCACCAGTACTACCACGGGTTCTATCTGGTTGGAAACCTCACCGCCGATCAAGCTCCAGAACGTTGCCCATGTCCCCAGCCTCGGCAACAGGGTGTTGCTGAGTTATCCGCTTTTGCGCAATGCCGGTATCCCGATGTCCTTGGACAAGATGCAGTTCTTATCCTACGCGATTCAGCTCGTGGAAGGATGCACCCAGATCAAGCTCCCGGTGCGTATCAACCACAAGGAACCGATCCAGACGGCGTTTGTAACCTGCAGCGAGGAACTCATGCAGGACTTGTGGCGCGCCACCCATGATTACTTTAATTCTTTGATTGGTTTCGATAGCTCTTTGCGTCTTCAGTTTTTCGAAATCGATTGCAAAAATCTCAGCACAAACGAGATAATCGCAGAAGTCGTTCACAACCGTCAAAAACGACTTGCACTACTGGCGCCCATCATCAATGACGAGATCAAAGAAAAACTTCGTATTTTGTCAGCGTATCTCGATGAAAAAGTAGTAGTGCTTGATGGCCCGAGTCACCACCAGCATCGGACATTTGAAATCAAAGACGACGATGTCAGGTGGCTTGCATCTTGTGCCTATTCTTTCCCCGCGCCAGAGGTTCCACCAGAGGACCAATCGCATGAGCCTGAGCCTGCTGTATCTTCGGACCCCACATCTTCAAGCGCGCAACAGGAAGATCGTGGCCAGGATGCAACCCGCAGCGCCTCAAGCGATTCTGAAAATGCCGACCGCTCTGAGCTACCTACTTCGGATCGTCTTGGCTCTGAGCAGCCCAAGGCCAAAAAGAAGAAAAAGGCCAAGAACAAAAAGCGCAAAAAGGCCGACCAGGACCAGGACCAACCAAAGCGAACGCGCCCGGCGAAGAAGTTCAGGCGAACAGATTCGACCGAGGCCCCGGCTTTCGAGCAAATTAGTTATGAAAAGATATGCCAGCTTGGCGCTTGCCTTTTTATGCCTACTTTCCAAAAGTTGTGGGAAATTGTCCGAACGCTTGACAACTCCCAGCGCTCCAGAAGTATGGTTATTCACTTCTGCAAGCACAACTTGACGCGCCTTAAGACCCATGCCTTTCCCCACCATAAAGTCGGAGGAGTTGAAGCCAATTCTTTGTCCGACTGGTGCGCCTTAGATACGTTTTTTCCGTTAGGTAAGGAGTTTAGCGTGCTACATGGGATCAACATCCATTCCCGCGCCAGCACCACCACAACTTTCAAACGAGCAGTCAAGATGCAGGACACTGCTGATTTTTTAGAGTACTTGAAAACTGTTGGCATGATGGGCAAGAACATTCTTTGCGACCAAGGCAAGGAGTTTGACAACATAAAAGTGCGCGAATGGTGCCAGCTGTATGGCATTCAGCTTTTCCTGACGCCTAAGGCTTCTTGGGTGAATGGAACTTGCGAGCGCCGCCATCGTCTTTTGCGTGCTGTTTTGCATCGTCTTTATTACGTTTATGGCCAAAAGAGTTCTATCATCCCGCGCCTGGTACAACAAGCAACAAACGCGGTTAACATGACGCCCACCGCTGCGCTTGACGGGCTTGCGCCTGCGCAGGTGCAGTGGGTCATAAATCCGTTTAAGCTCGAGCCTAATTTTGTAGAAGATTTGACAGAGCAGCAAGCAGTTTTAGTCAACGAGCAAAGTCCTGAGTCCGATTACAAAATCCGTTGTAGGGCCCGTGCTCTGGTCGAAGAGCTGAAGCACGACAAACAGCTTGTAGATGAGATGCGGAAGTTGAGGGAACTTCAGCGCAATTTTTATCATGAATCCGACGAGTGCAAAGTTGGCGAATTGGTAGAAATTTTCGACAAGGACAAAGAAGCATGGTTAGGTCCCTGCGCCTTAATCTATCGCCAAGTGAACAACAACTCAGTCACTTCCGTTGTGGATCATGATGGCAGGTATCGCCGTTCGCATGCGTCTCACGTACGTAGGCACCTGACGGCCACTGCTATGACTTTTCCACCCATGTTACTCAAAAGCCTCTACAAAACGCACAACGTCCCTGATAGCCATCCGGACACGCCCCAGGGCGAATTTCTCGACGAAGAGACAACCATCAAAATAGTTCCGGATGGTAATGCGAAGGTCGCACCAAAAACCCTCGATGCAGCTGACAGCATCAAAGCCGACCCAAAATCGAGCACCGATGCCCCCGCCGCATCAAGTAGCAGCGCAAGCTCGTCATCTCGTGAACCTGACACGCTCCCGCCGCCTGGCAACGGTGGCCCGGCTGTCTCACTTGATGTTGCACCCATCGAACTAGAGAAAAAGTTCCGTCTTACCAAGGACTACTATCAGGGCGTTTTCGACAAACTCAAATCTGAAGAGGTGCAGCGCGTACGCCAGTTGATCGCGACAACTGAAACAGCGCCGGTGCGTGGCGCTTGGATAAAACGCAACGAACAACGTGAGAAAACGCTACTCACAGTGCGCGCGTTAATCGATGCTCAGCCCGAGTATTCGCATTTGAAAGAAGCACAAAAGCACAAAGTCGCTTCTGACATCGCAGAACGATGCCGACAGCTCAACATCAACGACATTAACGACAATACGCTTGCAGCCATGCTTGCGCCCCTCATTTGTGCTGACTGGGAGCCTGGTGAAGTTTGCTACAAAGCTATCGCTGTCCCTGATCACAAGTCTGGTTTTGACACTACAGAGCCCGCTTGGAAAGAAGCCATTTCTAAAGAAGTCAAAGCACATTCTCACGTATTCAGGCCTGCTACACCTGAAGAAGTCGAACGGTTCAAACGCAGCGGCAGCAGAGCAGTACCCTGCAAAATGTTGCTTAGTGTAAAGCGCTGCGGCAAACGTAAGGCCCGGATCGTATGCTTAGGCTTTCTGGACAAAATGTCTGGGAACCAGAAGTATGCTACTGTGCCTGATTTAAGTATTTTGCGTATGTTGCTTTGTATGAAAGTTCAGTCACCTAGGATGTTTGCATTCCCTTCCGACGCTACTTCAGCCTTTTTGCAAGCAAAGTACCCAGTTCCGGTCGTGATCGATCTCGATCAGCGATTGCAAAACGAGCTAGGCTACCGCCTTGGTGTGGTAGAATACGCCATGAATGGCCTGCGCCTTAGTTCCCGCGCCTGGGAAGACCACCGCGATGCCGTTCTTGTCAAACAAGAATGGAAGCGCAACCCCATCGAGGCCACTCTCTGGACTCGTGCCGGTGTTTTGTTGTTAGTATTTGTAGATAATTTTTGGTTTTTCGGTGACAAGGAAGAAGTTTTGAAGTACCACGAAGAACTTAAGCCCGCGCTAAAGTTACAACCCGAAGAGGTTCGCGACGAAGGTACGCACCTCGTCTACGATGTCCTTGGCATCGAAGCCCGCGAAAACAAAAAGACCGGCGACATGGTCTTGAACCAAGACAAATACGTGCAGAAAATTCTTGATCGCTTTGGCGGTGACACAGGTCGCAACACTTCCACGCCAATGGATGCGCCTCCTGATGTCTCTGCGCCTGAAGTGCCTGAATTAGTCAAAACCAAGCAAGAACTAACTGGCTCCTTACAGTATTTGTGTCAAACCAGGATGGACATAGTCGTAGCTTTAAAGATGTGCGCCCGCGTGAAAGCTACTCCCGAGTGCATTTTGGCACTCAAGCGCATCGTGCGCTACTTACGGACCCGCCGAGGTCTCCGATACAAAAACCGAAGTGAAAAGTTTGGAGATCGTCTTATCCTCACCGCGTGGAGCGACTCCGACTGGGCTAGTTTCGGAGATAGAAAGTCTAATTCCGGCGTAGTGATCTGTCTGAACGGAAATGCCATCGCATGGCGTTGCGCAAGTCAAAACAGCGTTAGTTCTAGCGTTTCTGAAGCTGAGCTCTATGGCATGAGCGAAGCCGCGAAAATGGTTTTACGTTTTCACTATTGTCTTGAATCTTTGCGCCCGTTTTGGAAAAAGTTCTTTGCATCACACAGCCTTTTACTGCCTATTCAACTTGGATGTGACAACTCCAGCGCAATTTCGTATACTGAAAACCAAAACGGCACCAAAAGCGCTTTGAAACATATCGACATCCGTGGCATGCAGATGCGCGATTTGCAAGAGAAACAACTTATCAAGTGCGTTTATCACTCGACCAAGATTAACAAGTCAAACGGTTTGACTAAGACTTGTCCTCCTATCGAGTTTCGTGCATTTCTCGAACTAAACGACATAATCGAGTTGGATTAACCGAAAACGTTCCGAGTATGAAAAACACCACAGACCGCCAGCAACCCTAACTGGACACCAACGAACGAACGAACGAACGCGAAGAAATTCGGCGCAAGGGGGACTGCTGATGACTATCGAAGAGAGTTTTATTATGCACCAAATTTATTCGCTTCCATTTACGCCTGCATTCATTTTTCGCAAGTCTCGCAAAGACTATAAACAAAGAACCTGCAATACAGATTTTATTTTTTGACTTTGGATTTGGAGTGAGGGGGACTATGACACATAAATCATCAACCAACGATAAGAACCTTGATCCACTCCAAAGATCCAAAGCACACCTAAACGGGCACGATCGTCACTAATTCAATTCTACTAGAGTAAGATGACTACTGAACCTGAAACAGGCTAAGACGGGCACGAACGTCACGGCAAGAATAGTGAAGGTTCCCGAGTGCCCCAGTTTTGCCTGGGCACGCAGTACCATCGACCTTTACTCTTCCAATGAACTCCAGGGCCCTTGATGCCAGTATTGGCACACACACACACAAATAATCTCTCATGCATATTTGTACCACCTCAACTAGGTGTTGTTTTTACTCGTAGTGGGTTCGACCTCGTCGTTGGTTAGTTCGCATCTTCACAAGGGTCGTGAGCAAGTTGATGTGGGGAAAAAGAAAACTACGGGCGCTACAGCCAAGAATCACGACGAAAACATGAAGCAAACTCCCGACGTTGTGGGTGGTCCTTCTTGCAACACACTGCTTGCGACTACAACTTCTTCCGCTAGTGACCACAATGGAGATGCAGCAGCACAGCAGTCAGGAGACCACGACCAGGCGGTCGGGGTTGTGACGAACAAGACGAGCACTGTGAATAAGTTCCGGAGCAGCTGCAACAACGGCTACACTAGTACAACTAAAAACGAGGACAACTTGTGCGACCACTTCGGCGGGGGCGAGGAAGACGAGGAAGGCGGCGAGGAGCCACTGCCAACGATGAGGCAAACCTTAAGCGCCAGCGTATGGCGCTCTCAACTGTTACATTCTCAACCGTTACAGCATGAATTTGCGATGCAAGAATGGCAAAAGTGAAAGGGGCGACCTTGTACGGCTCGCATGACAGATTTGCGACAGATGCTCAGCCTGTTTGGCTCTTCTAGAATTTGTCATACGAAGCAGCTTGATCACGTCGTTCTCGTTTCTACTTGTAATTTTGCATGACAAGAAATCATGTAACAGCTGAGAATGTAACATTTGAGAACGCCATACAGCGCCCGGTCGATGGTGAGCACGAATCCCAAGCGCTTGACGGAGCTTATGGCGTTCTCAACTGTTACATTCTCAACTGTATACATGAACTTGTGATGCAAGAATGGCAAAACTGAAAGCAAAGGGGGTGACAGATTTGGCACAGATTCTCAGCCTGTTTGGGCCACTTTCGGGATTTGTCATGCGCTGCAGCTTGATCGCGTCGAATCTGATCGGGGTTTTGCATGGCAAATCGTGTAACAGTTGAGAATGTAACGTTTGAGAACCCCATAGAGCAGGGCGGGGCGGTCCTCGGGTACGTGCTCGGCCGGAGAAGGTATCCTGTGCAAAAGTATCGTACTCGTAGTATATTGCAGTCACGCATTACAAATCTCTTCCCTAAGGCAAATCTGCATTACAGATTTTATTTCTTATTCTGAGGAGATTTGTCATGCGATTTATACTAGTACGATGCTTTTGCATTGCATAGAGCGGGCGTGTCAGCATCTTCTCTACCCCCCCCCCAGTGGCGCCCGCGGAGGTGGATGCCTTCAAGAGCTGCGTGACCTTCTACCGGCAGAAAAATTTCCTGCGGTACCAGATTCGCGCGTATGCACTGCAAAAGTATCGTACTAGTATAAATTGCATGACAAATTTTGGCAAGAAGGAAAGTCAAATTTGTAATGCTGTTTTGCCCTAGGAAAAATATTTGTCATGCATATTTGCAATTCGTACGAGTACGATACTTTTGCACAGGATAGCGCGCAAACGCGGCTGATCACGGCTCTGGCGATGATTTTCGTGCTATCGAAAGGAAAAATCCCCCCTCCCCATATCAAAACGGAGTTTCTAATGCTGGATTTGTGTACACAAATCAGCGTTGTATTGCAGAGAGCCATTGCAGCCAGATCCCCAGGCTAGGTAGGGGCGTATGTGTCTAGTTGTTCAGCATAGCAGACGGCTCCCCTTTAGGCCCAGCAGCATGACAAATCGCTTCCATAATATGGCGGAAGCCTCTGCCGTTGTTTTCTTGCAAGACAAATGCGATTTGTGACATCAAACTAGCAACGCAAATTTTCGGAGACATACCTTTTCAATATCGGGAGAGGGGATAACTCCTCTTCTTGATACGTGCCCCTGGTGGGTCTGCTCAACAACGTGTCCGCGTTCCCCGGGTTCCCGAAGGAAAGGAGCGACATCGTGTACGGGCTCGTGGTGTCTCTCGTTTTTTTCGCGAACGATATTCTGGAGTGGCTCTGGATCACCTGGCGGTTTATGTTGTTTGACGACGAGCAGGTGGAGTTCGTTGCTGTTGCCCCCCTTTTGTGCCATGCACAAGCATCGTACTCGTATAAATGCATTACAAATTTCCCCAGCGTGAGAAATTGAATTTGTAATGCGGATTTGACTTAATGTTTGTAATGCAAGACTTGCAATACGAATGCAATACGATACTTTTGCAGTTCATACCCTTCTCGCCTGCTACGATGGGGAGCCCTGGCCGGTGGACGACGAGATAGACCAAGCGGGAGCCGGTATCGCAAGAAAAAACTGTTTCACTCTAAACCTGTAATGCAGAAAATGCATCACTGAAGTGTTTGTCTTGCTACACATGCAGGACAAGTGATTTTCAGCGGTGTTTTCCCTTAGGATACTCGCATGGCAAGTCTTCTTTCTATATGTGTAGCGAACTTGTAATGCAAAACTTGCAAAATCCTTACAGTGAAACAGTTTTTTCTTACGATAGCCGGGTCACCGGGTGTATTATCCTGTGCAAAAGCTTACGTCCCAATCACCATCCCAGACTTGTCATGCAAATATTCTGCAAGTAGCCTCGAATGTTTTTCATGTGTTGGTAGCCCCTCGATGACGAGCATTCTCATTTGGCAAGACTGGTAGATGGCCGTTGGTCGTGGTAGAGGCAGGATGAGATAATCGATTTGTGATGCAATTGCACTAAGTCTAACTAAGTAGTTCTAGTTTAGTACACACGATTGATAAGAATTTACACGGGCACAAGAAGCCCAAACGATGCTGATGCGCAGCAGCGCAGTTGGTACACTTCGTGGGTTTGTCGTGCAGCCACATCTCCATGAGGTCCACTTTATTGGGACGAGGTGACGCTTTTAAATAGTATAGGGCGGTGCCGAAATTTCAGCGGAAAGCGGACGGGAAAACAGCGACTCCAGCATCTCCGCAGGCTCTTCCTCTGGCACGACTTTGCGGTGGTTCGGACAAATGTTGAAAGTTTCCTGCTTCGGCATGGGTTGTTACACTTTGTTCGTTATGACGACGGTCCGGTATCAACCCTACAACTTGAAGTTGCTGCAGGAGGCGACCAGCCAATCAGGTCTGACCTGGGACCACGTTTACGCGCATTGCGGCTTATGATTTCAGTATTTATTTGGAGAGCGGGATAGAAGTAGAACAAATGAGCGACTTGTGGATAAAGAGTAAAAGTGAAATAAAAAAGATCACGACCGAAAACGAAAACTGAATTCTTCTGTGGTAGACTATCAACATAAGTAGCGACTTCAGCCCTTCCGGACGACATTGCTAGTTTCAATCTTATGATGCCTCGCGGTAGCTTCCGAAAAATATATCACTCTCGTTATGTATTTATCCCTTCCAAACCGAAACAGAAGTAAAACGGGCAGGCTGAAAGGACGAGCAAATGTAAGTAGCAAGATAATCTACATGCACAGAGTGACGCACACGAAGAGGAAGATCTAAGGAAGGCGGAGTATGATCCCGCAGTGATCTAACCTTAGTTCGTCAAGAAACCGTTGCTGGCAAGTTAGTGAACAAGTACACGGCATAGTTCAAAACAAGTACATACAACAGTAAAAAAAAACGATATTGAACCGATTTGGATATTCGGCTTGGGCAGACAGGTTGCAAGTTGTATCTATCAAGTGATGAAACAGGAAAGGCAAGGAACTAACTCGTTCCGTAGGAAAAAAAAAGCTGCACAATGTGAACAACTCATGGGTGCAGTGTCAGCAGCAGCAGCCAGGAGGTATTTTTTCTGTTCCATTGAGATCTTCTTTACTTTCACTGCGAGGAGGAGAGGCTACGAAAAGACAAGTCAGAGACGCAGTTGTTCTTTTTGTTGGCGCTGCAAAAAGAAGATGCCGCAGCACGACGTGCGTCGACGTTACTACTGAAGCTCAAATGGTGGACTACACTAGTTTTTCTGCGCGATGTAGTAAGTTCTACATGTTGAGAGGTGTGCTGTTGACCGGGACAGGTGAGCTTTCAGGATCGCTGGCTTTAATTCAGTTTTGCGAGGATGCAGCTAACAACGCAGAGCTGATCTTCTGTCTTTTCTATTCTACTCGTCGTGCCACACGTCTTCTGTAGTTTTGTCACTGAAACAAAAGCTCACGACGCAAACGTGGGATGAACAAGAAGTTATTATACTTCTTCTATATGAGGAGTTGTTAAGTTGTCCTGTGCTGCGGATGTGGAAAAAACAGTATCTTCCACTAGCATCGCGATTTGTTACTGCTTTCCTTTCATGATTCTTGCAATTTTTCTCTGTAGTTTAGAACTGGCAATACTAACAACAAGACAGGAAATCGATCCTGTCCGGTGAAGAACAAAGTTAAAGTAGTTGTTCTACTTACTGACTCTTCCGCACCTGCACTCCTAGCTTGCTCCTCCAGCACAACGAACAACATTATGCCGTCTTCTTCCAATACGCGAGCGTCAGGAGAGCCGCTCAGAAGTGGTAGTCGGAAGCGGTCTGCCGACTGGAAGAAGCCAGTAGACGAGAAGCAGAAGGAAAACGAAAACGAAAAGTTCGAGTACTACGAAAAGCACAAGAAGAACTACAAATGGTGTAAGGACGATGAGGAGGACTATTACGACTACGAAGATCGGAAGAGTTGGAAAAAGAAGGGCTGGGTCGACTACGAGGAGAATGAGAATGTCGACTATTCTTATGATAAGAATAGTCATGGTCGTAGTTGGAAGAAGAACAAGAAGTGGTCCACTTGTTCCAAAGAGCACGAGAAGTACGGTGAGAGCAGCTGTACGACTACGACCTGGGGCCGCGAGGAGGACTACGAAGATCCTGAGGATCCTGAGCAATCTGCATCTGGCTCGGCGCTCACTAGTCGTGCTGCCCGAACAAGACAACACACCAGCCGCCCGACTAGATCTCGATCGCCCCGGACGGGACGAGACCCGGTCGTGCGGGGACAGGACGAGGAAAATAAAAACGACAAGCTGGTCGTCCCCGATAAAAATGAAGATTCGCTTTCCGACTCAGATAACGACGGTCGTACAAACACCAGGCCGCGCGTGAGTGAAAGCATCACGAGCGAAGAAGACCAGGAGGAGGTCCCCGACGAGAGGATGAAGAGCAACAATGCGGATGAACATTTTTACCAGGACAACAACCTTATCAAGTCTTCTTCAAATTTTGTCCAGAGTCAGCTGAAGAGACTTCTGAAGCAGGACCGCCACCACGACCAGCACCACGCGCTGGACAAAAACACGTCGAAGCAGCAGATTGGATGGTGCGACTTTTACCTGGCGTTGCTCACGGTTCAGGTGGAGGAGGAGCAGCGGGGGTATTTAAAAAAGGAAATGGAGTATCAAATGCAAATATGTCTGGGTCTGGAAGATAGAATGCAAAAGTTTGCCATGCAGATTTTGCATGATCCATGAGGTCTGTGATGCATGCCCTAGCATCAGAGATTTTGCGAGGGCTTTCTGATGCTCATACCGCATGAGAAATGCCCTCTCCGCGTAGCGCAAATTACACCTCTTTTGCTGTTCATGCAATGCAGATTTTATGTAGAAGAGTCCAAACGTACTAGCATCACAAGTTGCATCCTTCCAGACCCAGACATATTTGCATTTGATATGGAGGTGTTGAGAAAGAAGCGGGACAGGTTCGTGCGGTTCTTGATATCATCCTCTTCATCTTCTGGAGGAGAAGATGATGGCGCTTTCGAAGAGGACGAGGAATCGGTAAGGAACACCCTATTTCTGGAGCAATGCCGGGAAAGACTTTTGCTGGAACAACGGGAAAAGGAAAAAGCGAAAGGTTGTTTCATCGGTGAGGAGGAAGTGAAGAAAAGCTGCAAGAACATCTTCAGAGAAAAGTCATGTGAAGTAGCTGAAGAACAAAAAGTAGAAGAAAAGACCGACGACCCGACTTTTCTTGCTAACGTCGGAGACCACTCTGCAAGTAATTGCACTACTACAATAAATCGTCCAGCAGCTGGCTCTTGTTCGAACGAGGCCACGATAGAAGAGGTTGGGCAGGATGTGGTTGAGTTGCCAGATGACGATGACGGAAATCAAGACGGGACTGATCACGATGATGATGATGATGATGATGATGACGAAGATGACGATGACCACGACGATGATTGCGAGTCTTCGCTGGACAGCAGTGACGAAGAGCTGGAAATGCTTGAGAGTTTGAACCGCGCTCACAGAAGTAGAGGACAGGAACCGATGATGAATCTCTACATGGACAAGCAGCAGCAGCGCAACTACGTCGCCGCGCGAGACGAGTTGACGCTCAACATGTCGTCCAGAATTTCTTCGAAAAGCGGTGGACCTCCTGGTGCAGATCCACGAGACCGAGCTCCTGCGCCAGCGACGCAAGCCGCTTCGCCAACGACGACTCTTGACGTTCCCGCTACGTCATCAACCGCCGTGGTGCCAAATAGTAAACGAGATCGACAAGATCATGAACAAGGAGTAGAACACATCCAGAACTCTACTGCGAGAACAACGGCCGCCCCTGCCGAGCAAAACTCCGATGAAAAGGACTTGTTTCTCCAGGCCGCAACTTTCGATGAAATTCAAATAGTAGAAGAGGATCGACAACATCGGAGCAGTACTGCAGGAGCTCCTGGTTCTGGTGATCTGCTACCCGGGTCGGACGGAGATATCGTGGTTGAGCCAGAAGTAGATCTTCTCGGCGGTACCCTGGTGTATGATCTGATGGACAGCGTCGGAGATCATGGGGAAAGAACAGGAAGTGATATTAAACTCGCAACAGTAGAACTATCGACCAATCTCAGTACGTCTGTGGGGGAAGCAGACGCCGCGTCCTTGTGTGCAACAGCTACGAAGACGACCAGGACGGAAGGTGGAAGTAGAACCAGCATCACAGCTATCCAGGAAAAAACACCCATCCCCATCCAATTTGTCATGCAAAACATGCATAAAGTCCACTATTTGTCATGCAAAAAGTGGATGGGGATGGGTGTTTTTTCCTGGATAACAGCAAGCTTGATCACCACCCCTGCTCCAGGAGAGGACAGTTGCCGGTCTAGGAGTTGTGGGGGAATCGAAAGAAAGGAAGGAAATCCGCCACAACAACATTCACATTCACCACATCAAACGCGCCCGGAAGCAAGAATCGATGCAGATTCTCTTGTAGAGTGGTCACTGGCAGAACTTTTTCCACCAGGTACGTACTGTTATATACTTTCGACATGTGAAAATGAAAAAGAAAACCCATTCTTGCTTGCAGTACTAAGCGAAAAATATATGACAGAGAATGAAAAGTAAATGAGTGAAAATAGTCAATTATATGCCACCTCAACCTCCTCCTCCCACTCCCTTACAGCGACCACAATCGACCCACCTTCTTTTGATCCCGGGGCCACGAGAACCTGTCCACTTGCGGAGGAGCACGAGAAACAGGATTTGATGAACGATGAGGATGATCTGCCCAGCTATTTCTCCGCCCGTGTTCCCCCACGTCGACCTACAGATGCTGCACCTACAGGTGGAACATCAGCTTTCTCGCGCACCACTAGTACGGATTTGGAAGTCCTCACTGCGAGGCTTCCGGAGGTGGACCATGTCCTCACAGGAGACGCGGGAGATCCAGATCAAGATCCCTACGGGCATCTGTACCAAAACGTCGCACCAAGGAAGGACACCGAAACCATAGAAGAGGAGGAGGATGACGGCTTCGATCGGAACATCCATAACTATCTCGATGCCGATGCGTTCTGGCCTTCGGACGAAGAAGATGGTATAAAAATTCTCGCCCGGGACGAAGAAGAAAAAAACAAGTAGCGCCGAGTGCCGCGCTCGCTCCGTCGCCGCCGCGTGGGAAGAATTTGAACGCACCAGCAGAGTAGGACCGACAAAGACCACCTCCTCCGCCAATGGGGGTGCGAAAAAATTGACTCCTTATTTTCACTAAGACAAACGAGACAAAACTGGTCGGTGAGATTTTCTTGCCCGAATGACAGCTGCTATTTCTCATTCATTTTTTTTTCTCGTCGTTCCACATGAATGTACCATCTTGTTCTTCGTGAATGTGATTGACTCGGTGCTTGTCGTCGTTGGCTCAATGTAGATTCGTTCAGATTGATGTAGCAGGACCACTACTAATACCTTGATAGATCATTGTATGAAAATGAAAGTCTGCGATGATTCACGAGCTTGTGCAACAAGTAGTCCTCACTGTCACTTTTTGATTTCCCTTGCGCACCCGAATAAAATTGATGTCGCATTCGTGCTCGTATGTACATCTATTCACGTCTTGGTCTGCTAGACTCCTATGTATACTAAACGACCCTGACACGACCATGTTTGCCCCAAAACGAACAAATTGAGCCCCATTCCGGGTTATAAAGAGCTTCAGCTTACGAACTTAAGATATCCTAGATCACTTTATTTCTACTTATCGATATCAAATGCCTTCTTCCCGCCTACCGTCCCGGAACGCAGCGGCGATGGGTTTCAGGGTTTTAGGGATTTAGGGTTCTAGTCAAAACTTATCGATATCAAATGAAACTCCTTCACACGACTGATATTAACTAGCAGTGAGCCGGCCAATGCGCCCCAGTTGGGTTCGTGAGACGAGTGCTGCGGTAAGATGGGCGGTACTTACTTATTTGTACGAACATGATAGATGCGCCGAATGTATGTTTGAGCCAGTTCGTTGTTGACCGTGTGTGTATTTGTCGGTTGTGCGAGTGGATCATTAGCATCCGGATGCTCTCCCTCCTAGGGTGTTGATATTGTAAAAATCCCTTACCACGTCTGAAAGAAATTGAACCGGTAAAAGAAAACTGGAGCGCCACGAGACCTGCTGAAGCAGCAGTTTTTTTTGTGGCGCCTGCTGAAACACAACTCAGTTCGGGGCTCCTGCTGCAGTGTAGTTTTACTGTGCTCAGACACTTCTTCTACTCGTTGTTTAGTATTTCGTCGTTTAGAAGCTGCAGCAACAGCAAGAACAGACAGGGACCGCATCGTACCGCAAGTTGAAGTTGAACCTACAGGCAAATCGTGTTTCTCTGTGTAGAAATTCGTACGAAGCGTAATCATTTTCGTCTCTCTTGGATAAAGAGTCTCGTTGCCTGGTCGGCAGGAACAACGTCTCTGCATGGATTCTACATAAGTAGTTCAACGCGGGTTCTTTTCGTACCCTGCTCCCTGTATGCTTCTGAAGATTCTGATCGTGCTTGCTTCGTTTTCAAATTTGAATCTCGTCCAATGCTGGTGCACAAGATCGGTCGATTGTCGTACTGCTCTCGCTGGTTCCGTACAGATTCTCTTCGTCCCAACGAAATATCAATACCTGATGTCGCAGGAACTCCAGCCTGCCTGTGCCTCATCTGAAAATCGTACGCTCATCATTGTATTGTGAGAAAGGAGCCACGCTTATATTTCCGCTCGTCGTGGAGCTACCTTTTTTACCTTAGCGTCCGTCACTTTATTTCACTCGACGACCTCTTTTTCTTTCATTTCCACAGGGAAGCTTACAGCACATTTTTTTCGTGGAAATAGAACAAATCATAATCAACTACTTCCACGGCTGCAGAAATAAACCTATCAATCTATATCAGTATTAAAGTCATGGCGTTGACGACAAGACCCCGTCAGACCCAGCGGCGGCAGGATATCAAATGCAAAAATGTCTGGGTCTGGAAGAATGCATGTGTGTCATGCTTGTCTGGCATGACTCTGAAATCTATCATGCACGTTACCCAAGAGCTCCATTGTTCTGTGATGCAGAAACGCTGTTTGTCATGCAGAATAGGCAACACCTAGAAGCTCAGAAACTTGTCATGCTGAGCCAGCACTTGTGGCCTCATCATGAGACGCCACCCAGCATCACAAGTTTCCAGACCCAGACACTTTTACATTTGATACAGGAACGCCGCAAGCAGCTCCAAGGCGCACTGGATCTGGAAGGTGGCAGGTTCCATGAGCTGCCGAACGTGCGCCGGTATTGTGAGGAAAAATCCCCCCTCCCCATATCAAAACGAAGTTTCTGATGCTGGATTTGCGTACACAGATCAGATTTGTCTTGCTAGAGAGGACTGCAGGCTATGCTGACCCTGAGTAGGGAGGTTTTGGGCTAGGCGCTGAGCATGGCAAACGTCTAGTCTGTAGGGCCACCAGCATCACAAACCGCCTGCAGAACGTGGCGGAGCCTGCGGGGTTGCGTTCTTGCAAGACAGAGACGATTTGTGGTCACAAATCAGCATTACAAATTTCTTGAGACGTACCTTTTCGATATGGGGAGGGGGGATTTTTCCTTTTGATAGCCGGCCGGTGGAATTCCCGACCCGGCGGCCGTTGAAGGAATTCCGCCCGGAAAAAGCCTACGACCTGTCGCTGATCCCCGTCGAGAAGGCGCCGAGAGACCTGACGCAAGTGGTCGCCGTGGCAAAGGAAGGCGGTGCATTAAAGAAGACCACAGAGCAGGGTGAAAAGAACATGAACAACAGCCTGGGCCAAAAACAAGATTCGTCTGTAGTTTCCACAGCCGACGCTTCCACGATGGCGGACGAGCCGGTGCGGCAGCGGCTATCCGATTACGAGAAGCGGCTCTTTTACTTGGGGAAAACAGCCAAGGAGAAGGCGCTACTGAAAGCAGCTGCAAAAGGAGAGGACGATGGAAGAACCTCCAAGCGGGACCACGGGGATGAAGGAACAAATGAGAAGAAAAAGCAGGCGAATAGTAAACCTAGAAATATTTCGTGCTGTTGCTGCAACCTGAGCTGTTGCTGTTGCGCGAAGTCGTTTTGCGGGCTGATTCTGCTGCTCTTTTTGGTGTTGTTAGTCGACGAGTTTCTGTTCTTTCTATGCATTGCAAAAGTATCGTACTAGCACAAATTGCATTACAAATTTTATCAGAAAGAAAAATGGAATTTGTAATGCTAGTTGAGGTCGTAAAAAGATAGGTTTGTCATGCAAGATTGCAATTAGTACGAGTGCGATACTTTTGCACAGGATACTTCCACGGCTACTACGATGTGTGGTTCTACGGGGGAAAAAAAAAGTACGATTACTACCAGATCAAGCGGATCAAAACCTACCCGTCGGGATACCAGGAGGAAGAGCTGTACTACGTCCGCCGGGGCCGCCAGAACGGGGAGGAGGAATACGCTCGGGCTGAGGACTTGGAATACGACGCGCGGACGAGGGATTACTACCACAAGACCAACTACAATTTCGACTACGATGATCGCGGAGCAGGAGCTTCAGACTACTATCAACGAGACCGCGCTTCATCTTCTAGACAAGGACAGCACAACATCAACTCGAGATCATCTACTGGTACTGCTTCCCCCGACGATGTGAAGCGGCCGACCAAGGTGCAGGAGGCGAAACACGCCGCGGCCAGGCAAAAGCAACGTGAAGGGTCGCACGCATTCGCGAAGGAAGTGGGGCGACAGGGGAGTGAGATCGCAAGGGAAAGAGCAAGCACAACGGCGGCGGTTATGGGGGACAAAAACCAAAAAAATGAAAATCCTGGTGCAGCTCCTGGGTTTGTGCAGAAGAAGCAGGAACAAGAACGCGATGATCATGTCGGGCAGAAGCAAGAAAACGAAATTTACCAGCAGACCACAACACCAACTTCGTCGTCCACGTCTTCTTCTCAGCACGGGGACCACACTAGTAGTTCTGTTGACAGCAAAGTTTCGCCGCCACATCCACCGCCCCCACAAGAACTTGCTCCGGGGAGAAATGATCAAGACGGAGCACCCGCAAAAATGACTGCCTCAAGCGTGCAAGGAAGCATTCCCAAAGATCAGGAGCAGAATCATGAGGCGGGGAAAGTATCGCAGCAGCATCAAGTACAAGACCCGGAGGAGCAGCCGATGAAGCAAGAAAATGGACAACATCAAGAAGAAAAAAAATCGGAAAATGATGTCAAAACCACACCTTCTTCTTCTTCGATTTCCAGTACAACCACGACCGTGGGTTCTTCTGTAAACAAGGATCCGACGACGTCGTCCTCGACCTCGTCCAAGGGCAAAAGGCCCGGGACGTGGCTCGAAGGGAAGAGCAAGATGTTTCGGGATTCCGGCACCGACGAAGACGAAACCAGTGAGGACGACTTGGCGCTGTTCAAAGACGACGCTGACGCGTTTAAAACTACCGAAAATTATCCGCACCAGCAAGGAACTACAAGCGGCAATCTCGATGAAGATGGCTTCGCCTTCGGCAGCATCGACGACGATGATTTTATGGCCCAAGTGGACATGTCGGGCGACTTCCACCTGGAGATTCAGCCGCAAGCGGAAGGCGGGGCGATGATCCGCTTCAAAAAATCTGCTTCACCGGGGGCCGACCAAGGAACTATATCTTCAAGCAACAAGAAGGAGAAAAACGATGACGACCGGCTTCACCCGTGGGCGCCGGGCAGCTTCTCCTCGTCGGGAGGAGGTTCTTCTGGAAGAAGCTCTGGAGGTTCATCTTCGACTACATCTACTTCCGGCACTACTGGTGGTCGGAGTAGAAGTGCTGGTCTTTTTCGGGGCCCCGACGGGGAAGATGAGGAGAGCAGCGACCGGGGGGCCGCGGAGGCGGAGCTGCTGCCCTCCCTCGACGCGTTGTTCGGTCTGATGGCCGATGCGGATGCTGAGGAAGATCCTGCGAAGCGGGAGCAGATGATGGCGCAGCTGTTCAAGGAGCTTGGCATCTTGGAAGTGGAAGAACGCAGCCGGGAGGCGGAAGGAAAGGAAACAACATCGACGACGAAAACTACGGCCACCTCCAACTCTAAAAACGGAGGTAGTGGAGGTACATCGCGTACGGCGCAAACGGAGGTGAAGGAGCAAAAAGACCCGCGGCCCTCGTACAACGAGGCGGGCGTGAAAGTTCAGCAGGACAAACCTGCTGGGGAACGTCAAAACAAGAAGAATTGGGGAGAGGCGACGAAGCCAAGATCGAACCAAAACAAGCCGAAAATGACGCAGGATGACTGGACGTTTCTGAACATATTCGGGGGGTTGTGAGTTCTTGCGATGGATTTGTTGACTCGATTTATTTTCAGTCGCTGTCTGCTCCGATTGTTGTTGTTCATTTAATATGTATGAGGTGCTGCTGGTCGCAGTTCTCAAAAGGCAGGTGTCCATTTTTACCGCACAGTATATTCTCACGCAGGTTTACATATTATTTACTTGGAAAGTTCTATTTGAATTTACTTAGAAAGTTTGTAATCAGTGGTCACACAAATAAGTATCAGTATCAGATTTATTTTTGAGACGCATTTACTCCACAGTATTGCCTTCATGATTTGATTACATTTTGCATAGCAGGATCGTTTGTCTTGGATTACATGGAGTCACACTATTCTTGAATCATCTTAACAGGCCCCGAAAAGAAGAGCCGCATACTTACAGAAGGGAGTCCGAAATGTCAGTGCGGCGAAAACGAAAATATGTATATAAAATTTTCTCTTTTCGACAAAAGTTTAGAAACGCACTCCGATTGAGATTTACCATGTCCACATTTACCTCTGAGTTTGTTTTTTTGCAGCAGCCCTGCAATTTTTTGTTTTCGCAAATAATGCAGCTTATGATGTGTGCCCGTTTCGCGCGGGCGTGTATCAGTTTCTTTCATTTTCACCGTGCCGCTCCGCACACGATTATGATTACAAATTTTCAACATTTTAGAAAAAATTCTTACTAAATGCTACAATCCTAGCATAATTATGATTGTCTCATAGCAACAGGACTACCGTGCCCAAGAAGTCGCGGAAGTTTTGATGTTTTCAGTTTTTACCCCGCCAAAAAAGAACAAGGCCCGAATTTCACCATGACTTTCCCAACCTCCATGTTTCTGATTCTGTTTGAAAAGAAAACATTTCGGGGAAGAACAAGGGAGCAGAAGGACAATCAAACCCCCACATGCACATCAAAGTCAAACCCCCACATATCTCAATGTTCAACACTTCTGCTACACCAGCAGGTACTTCCGTGCAGTAGATGAGAGGACCTCCAGCACGACCCGCGCTGTCGGTCAAGAGGGTTGAAGCTCGTGCAGGAAATTGATAGGATATTGACCGTGATAGTACAACGTCTAGATGGGTGCTGGGTTACTTTTCTTTTTTCGTTGGTTGCCTCAAAGGCCACGTATATGTCTATTTCAGCCAAATAAATGAACCACTCTACTGAAGGAGTGTCATCTTCATGATTAGTAGCTCCGCTACTTCCCTACAGCTCAACATGCGTAATATTTTTCAGCGCCAGCCGTCTCTGGTGCCGCCCGTGGAGGTTGTGCACCACACAGTCCCTGCTCTATGTCCTCTAACCACGTCTAGAAGTTGTTGTTTTTGCACTAAGTGTGTCCGCGGAGAAAAAATACCGCGTCCCCCACGAATTTATTCCTCAGGCAGCAGCAGCAGCAGCGGAGTCTCGCTCTCGTCCAGTTGTACGCCTTTTTTTAACAGAAGTGCCAACACAAAGAGAGCAAGAAGCCTCTACTTCTCTACGACGTCGGTCGTGCCGGGAGGTCCTGCGCCAGCTTTTGCGGATCATGGTGGCCAGGTCGCTGCTGCTTCGGTTCTTTCCAGCGATCATCCACTTCCTGGGGATTATCCTGGGTGTTCATCAAGGAAGCAAACCCGCACAGTAGCGGCACCTGTGGCCCCCCCTGTCGTACCGCTGTTTACGCACAAAAACCGAATCTCGCAGTATTTGTCTCGTCTTCATCACGATGGTGGTACCCACACCTTCGCGACGGAAGACCTGTATGCTGGGAATGACGATCATGATGATCAGGAGGCTAGGGGAACAAGGTATGGTCGTGCCTGTAGTCAAGAACCACATGATGCTGAACAGCAAAAGCCTGCAATGAAGCTTCCTGCCCCTGAGGGCGGGAGGATGGAGGTTAATATCGGGGAGAATGATGTGAAGGTACTAGAACAGGGACGAGAAATCTTCGATGGTGACTCCGTAGTAGTAGTTCCTGCTCACACGACGACCAGAGCAGTGGAAAGAACTCAGCGGACAGATCATGAACTGCAACAGCAGCAAGAACTACCCCAACGACCCCGAGAACCCCCGTGGATCGAGCCGATGTTTGATAACAACAAGTCGCGGAAATCGGCAACTATGTTCGAACTGGACTCCGGGGAAGACCTGGAACGGCAAATGTACGTGCACCTGGTCCGGCACCGAGACGGCAGGCACCGGACACCAGTGTTGACGATAAGATCGGGGAAAAACGGCCGGAGTCTGTTGCACCTTCGCAAAGAGGAACTGTTGGCACTGAAGGACGTCATTTTGAAATTTCGCCAAGACGGACTGAAGAAAACTTTTCAGGCGTTTCGGAAGGACTGAAAATGAGTGGTATTATTTTTGCCGACGTCTTGCAGCAGGCGAGCTATAAATAGTGTTTTCCCCGTCGGCCATGGCGTCGCAATTGAGAAGATTTTGAACGGACGTTTTCAGCTTGTGCTGGAGCATGGGCGGAGTGCGTGTGCTGCTGTTTTGCAGTTTCTTGTTGTAGTTCAGTGGAACGAAAAAAAACTTGAAAAACTGTAGCAAGCACTTTTGCTTGGATCAACAAAGCTGTACAGAAGCGGGCACGAGATGAGCGCACTTCGGGCAGAGAGATACTTACTTACTTTGCCGCAGAGAGTTGAAATTATTCATGCAGCCACAGTATCTATGTAAAAGAACCGACACGTTGACGTCGCGCGATGGCTTTGTTGTGTTGAGCAGTAGTGGTTTGCTAGTTTTTACTTTTACTTTTGTCACGCGACGCATCATGCAGGTCCAAAACCAAAGATAAAGGTTACATTCCGAATCAAGATAAAGCAATAACAACAAGTATTTTATTTTTTCAACTAATGCTTCGACCCCCGTTTAATTATATTTACTCTCGCTCCGTCCCCGTCGAGAAGATACATGGCTTCCAGTATCTAGTCACTCTTTAATATAAAAGTTTTTCTTCTTGTGTGTGTGTGATGCTAATAAATATGTAAAGCTCTTTTTTGTGTACGTCTACGCTCTTGATTGCTCCTACTAGTTTGTTTTTCAGGTTTCCAGTCTATCAGCAACAAGAAGATGGCCTCCGTTCGTGTGTCCTCCACCGCGACCTTGTCGCGGCGCCTCGCGCCGCACTTGTTGCGTGCGCACAATGGACTACAACAAAAATCTTCTGTCTGTAACCAGACGAAAATGTCTACAACTACGTCGTCCTCGTTTCCTCCTGTTCTTCCCGTCCTCACCGCCGCATGTTCTACTCCTGTCTACTCGGGTACTACTAGTCGTGGGGCAGCTGAAGATATTTTTTTCCCTCACAGGAGCCCACCGACCCCCTCTTCGTCGTCTACCTCGAAGCTGCCGTTTGCTGCTGCAAGAAGCGGGACGAGCGGTGGATCAAAATCGAAGTCCTTCGTTCTGACTAGAAGCTGCAGAACAAGAACTTCTACTGCAATAAACATGTTTCGAAATAAAATCGGAGGACCGCCGTCGAACTACAGCAAGAACGTGTTTCAACATCAAACGCAGGCCCGTTCCTACACCTCGTACTCCGAGCTTCCTGAGGAGGTCCAGATGATTCGCGAGCAGGCCAAGCATATGCACTGCAAAAGTATCGTACTCGTATAAATGCATTACAAATTTCCTCAGCGTGAGAAATAAAATTTGTAATGCGGATTTAACTTGAGAAAGAAATTTGTAATGCAGGACTTGCATTTATACGAATGCGATACTTTTGCACAGGATGAAGCAGTTCACGGAGGACGTTTTGTTTCAGACCGCGGCGTATCAAATGTAAAAATGTCTGGGTCTGGAAGATTGCAACTTGTCATGGTATATCTGAAGCATGCAAAAATCTGTGTTGCATGAGTGCCAAAAGCTGTACACTTTTGACCATGCTGGAAGGGAGTTTCTCATGCAGGATAGGCATGGCAGAGACCTCGCAGAGTCTGTCATGCTGAGGCCCGCATTCCAGACCTCATGGGTCATGGAAAATCTGCATGACAAGTCTACACTTTTCCAGACCCCGACATTTTTGCATTTGATACGGCGAAAAATGACGTCCTGCACACGTTTCCCAAGGACGAAATCAAGCAACTGGGTGAGCTGGGCTTCCTCGGCATGAACGTCCCCGAGAAGTACGGCGGGCCCGGCATGAGCGCACTGGCCTACGCGGTGGCCATGGAGGAGATTTCCCGGGGCTGCCCCAGCTGCGGCCTGCTGTTGTCGATAAACAACAGCCTGTACTGCGGGGGTCTCGTCTACTTCGGCTCGGAGAAACAAAAGGAAGAAGTCCTACCCGGCTATCTGTTCGGGGAAAAAATCGGCTGCTTTGCGCTGTCGGAACCTGGTACTTACTACTTGCTAAGTAGTTTAGTACCACAGGGAGTTTTTAGAAAGAACAGTTTTTTACTTAGAGCAAGATCCTAACGCTCGCACATGCTGAGTGAGCAAGATTTTGCAACTTAATAAGCGTATCACCCGCGGCCGCGGCGAAGAACCCAACGTCCGAAACCAAAAACAGGAAACGGCAGCGACGCGGCCGCGGCGGCCACCACGGCGGTCGAGAAGGATGACCACTATCTGCTGAACGGCACAAAGCAGTGGATCAGTAATTCCTACGAGGGTGCCAGCACCCTGGTCTTTGCCACGACCGACAAGCAGAGGAAGCACAAGGGCATCAGCTGCTTCCTCGTCCCGCTCCCGAACTTTCCTGACGAAAACGTCGCCGGGTCGTTTTCCAGTAGCGGCTATCAAATGCAAAAATGTCTGGGTCTGGAAGATTGCAACTTGTCATGCTGTCTTCGGATTCGAAAAAAATCTGTAATGCATGACCGGCGAGAGGAGTCCAGTTTTTGCCACGGCGAGAGGCCATTTCTCATGCGGAACAGGCATCAGGAAGCCCTCTCAAAGTCTGTGATGCTAGACCATGCATTACAGACCTCATGAGTCATGGAAAACCTGCATGACAAATCTTCCACTCTTCAAGACCCAGACATTTTTACACTTGATAGCGGCGTGAAGCTGGGGCAGAAGGAAGACAAGCTGGGCATCCGGGCGTCCTCCACCGCCCAGGTGATTATATGGATTGCAAAAATGTCTGGGTCTGGAAGGTTGCGGCCAGGTTTGTCATGCATATTTTGCATGACTCAGGATGTCTGTAATGCATGATCTCGCATCACATATTTCTAGAGGCCTTCCTGATGCCTATCCCGCATGACAAATGCCAGCGGTTTTGCGGCTGCGGCCGGGTGGTAGCTAGGACGTGGAGCAAGTATCCACCTAGGGGTATCGGCAGAGGCTAAATCTGTTCTAACGCCCAAGGTATCGGCAGAGGCTAAATCTGTTCTAACGCCCACCCGCCAGGAGTGAAATGGTCACTACTACTACTACTACTACGCGTAGCACAAACTGGGCGCCTCTTGCTGGTCATGCAATACAGATTTTTTTAGAGTCGGAGTCCAAAGTTAGCATCACAAGTTGCATTCTTCCAGACCCAGACATTTTTACATTTGATAAATTATGGAGGACTGCCAAATTCCGAAGGAGAATCTGGTGGGGCAGAGCGGCGACGGTTTCAAAATCGCGATGAAGCTCCTCGACGGGGGCAGGATCGGCATTGCGGGCCAGGCGCTGGGGATCGCGCAGGCGTCGCTGGAGTGCGCCGTGAAGTACGCAAACGAGCGGTATGCGTTCGGGGAAAAGATCGGAAAGTACTACGCTGTGCACGAAAAATTGGCGGACATGGACCTGCAAATCTGGTCCGCGCGCCTGCTCACGTGGCAGGCAGCCTGCATGAAGGACCGCGGCGAGGAGTTTACGCGGGCCAGCGCGCGGTGCAAATACGCGGCGAGTAAGGCTGCGACGTTCTGTGCGAACGAGGCAATACAGATTTTGGGCGGCATGGGCTATGTCAGTGACATGCCGGCGGAAAGGTGTGAAGTTGTGAACAAGTCCTCAGCCACTGCTTGTTCTCGTCAGTGGGGATTCGATTTTTCATATTTATCGTTTTCATAATTGCATCATTCGCGTGCTGCTGGCAACAAGGGAAAGGGCCTAGATTGTTTTGCGACTCGCATGGCAATGAATTGCGCACAAAATCAATATTTGGTTATCAGGTATTTTCGCGACGCTCGCATCACGGAGATCTACGAAGGTACCAGCGAAATCAACAAGATGGATATCCCCGGCAGATAAAAAAGGGTGCGCGAGATGTTGTGTATAGTCACTAAGCAAAAAATGAAAAAGGGAAGGCCAATGTAGTTGAATTACACGTCATTCTTCCATAAAATTGATTTGCGATGCTGCTGATGAAAAAGTGTATAAAGATGATGAATATCAATCAACATGCAAAAAGGAGCGAGAAATAATGACAAGCACACAAGAAGGGCAGCTGCACTCGGCTGGCTTACACACAACCGTCTTGCGCATCCCCCCTCATTTTGCCTTCGGATACCCTTCATTGGTCAGAAGGTTCTCAAAGAAATGACCGAGGTGGACATCGTGCTTCCGGCGCACTACCGGGCGCATTAGCGAAGAAGTCGCGGAGAAAGTAGTGCAGGCGACGTGGGGAAAGAAGAAGAAGAAGAACAGCTACGACGGTTTCGTGGTCCTTTAGCTTCATCTGCACCGGCGTGGGCGTGCTAAGAACGAGGGAAATGGAGATGGAGAACCACGCAAAATGAGCCATTGCTGCGTAATCAACAGCTGCACGGGGCCTCGCTTTCCTGTTTGTGAAGATAGAGAACTTTAACTTTTTGAAAGATCATGGAAGCGGCGTTTTTTTTTCGTGAGTTTCCCGCATTGAAGTTGAAGAGCGGTGCAAATGAACCGTCTAAACGAGCTCGAAGTTGAAAGAATAACAAAGGAAATGTATGGCAGCAGGCTGTAACTGGTCTAAGTTCAATTTTGAACAAAGAAGCATCCAGGCACGCTTGTTCGTTCTCTACTAGACTACCAGACACTGATCGTGTCATCGGACTACCAAAAATTCAAACTCTGGGCCGATCCTCTGAGTGACTTCCTTCCCGCAAATCTTTAGACTGTTTGATCCCGATCCCAGCACAAACAAGCACGAGAAGAAGGATTAAGCGTAAGATCTAGAGCGAATACCCAAACAAATTGCACACCCAACCACAACACACGCGCTGAAGATCTACCGCCTTGAAAACACTCTCTACACCTGAATGGGAGCGGGCGTGAATGTAGTGGCAACCTTTTTCGATTTTTTACAGGCTACGGGAACGATCGTTGAGCTAGGTGCTTTCTCTATAAATATCTTATGACGATTAAATGAATTCCCGCTGTGTCAATTTCGTTTTTAGTCCGTCACACAGCACGCACAGAACCAAGACCGTAAGGGCGTAATCGTGTTTGGAATGGTTGTTAAGGATGCGTGAAAAAAGATGATGACTGAACGTGAAAGCCGATGCGGTAGTAGGCAGCTCTCGGCGAGATTTTACGAGAAAAGCAAAAAAGCAAAAAATAGGAACACAGCCAGCCAGCGAAACGGAAACAAGGCGCAACAAACACGAAGAATGTTCGCCCAAGGATGATCATCATGGCCCGGAAATGAGAAGGAAAGCGTGATGAAAGGATAATGCGTAATGCGACTCGTGAAAAGAGTTCTCTTCACGAAATATACGAAGGAACCTCTGGGACGTCGACGTTCTAGAGCATTGATCTGCTCGGTTTTCAAGGAATGAGGTTGAGCAAAAGAACGGATCAAAATCACCCCACTTCAACTTCATCTTGGCGATTTTCTTTTCAGTACAGAAAAATGTGAAGCTCGGCGACTAGAAGTATCGCACTGAGCATAAAAATAGATCTTAAATCTCTATTCATGTTCGGTTGCACCCATCATTTTTTCGACAGCGCTGTCGTGATCGGTAATCAATCGTTCTTGTAGATAATTGTGATTAATAAATGTGAATGGCACGACGATAACCCAGAAAATTTCCTGGTTGTCAGATCAGACGAAGATTCTGAGTCATTTTCCACATCGGAATGTTCCTGCTCCTCGTTGGAATGTCTATAGGTCGTTCGGTTCCAGTGTATGATGAAAACCTCAGCGGCGCACAGTTCGGCTGTAGTGCCGAGAAAAGTGGTCGAGAGATTCACAAGAATGCAGCAACTTGTTGTCAGGTAAAGTTGTAAGAACGAAGTGAGAAGTAGACCAGCAACGGTCAGCACTGTTTTTGGTCTCGTCTATGCTAAGTACAAGAAAAGAAGCATCGTTTCCCTTTACTTCGATACGTTTTCTTCTGCTACAAGTATTAACTTGACTTTCTCCACTCACATTTGGGCACATCATCATCAGTTACTGTGTACTTTTTTTCCGTAAACTACGCAACGCACAAATCTGCTATATCTGACCTACCGGGGGTTTTGGCTATTGCATTGTACTATTCCCGTTTTGAATATTCCCGTTTTGTTGTGCTTTACCAGGCGGCGTTTTGACTATTCCCGTTTTGTTGACTTTTGCACTGTACTATACCAGGGGTTTTGATTGTTCCCGTTTTGCTGTACTGATACCGAAGCACTTCAATTTCTTATATTCAAATCGCCATAAACATTTGGACAAGACGAAAATGGCCCCGGTCAACATTGTCCTCCGGCGTCCTCGCGCAGCAGCGCTTCCTTTGTTCTTGGCCAGCAAAGCAGGTACTGTCGCGCAGCTGAGTATTAGCTTCCCGCCTCTGGTAGCAGGTATCTTCCACAGGACGAACGCTCTCGACGAAGAGGATGAACCAAATGGACTATCGCATGCGGATGTGGCAAACGAGATCGGCCGCGCTAATATTTCTACATCAACATCGTCCGCTGGTGGTGCCTTCGAAAAATCCGAACCCGAAGCCAGTCAAGTCGACACGCATAAAAATTCTGAATCGCTTTCGTCCAGTACTATCAGTGTCAACGACGCGGCGACCAAGAGGAGCCCGCATTTTTCTTCTGAGGAGGCGGGCGACCACGACCTCGACCACCTGGAGGACGTCGTTGACATAGTCTGCTCGCCGAAACAAGCTCCCCAACATGATGTTGAAGGTACTAAGCATGGTGAGGATCATCAAACTGTCGACACTTGCACCTTCGACTTGCCTTTTCAATGTCCCGGTAGTAGTACTACTAGTGCTGCTGCAGCTTCTTCGACCACCCCACCTTCGTCCTACCCTCGTAAGTTCGACGTGATTTACTCCGACGGGTTTATTGACCACTGTCGAGGTGGAAATAAAGACAAAGTTCTCCCGCAAATTGTGGTGGACAGTCATGGCTACATGACCGAGAGCACTGAGTGGGAGCGAGACTGGACCAAATTGTCGACGAAAACCAACCTGGCTCTGTACTCCAAGCAGCTGGGAAATCGCCCGGTCATGTACATCACGGCGTGGGGCGCCGAGGACACCATGGACTTGGACAAATTCCAAGTTCCGCACCGCAAAAACATTCCCAACACCGCCGGGTGGAACGGGTTGGGCTGGGGGGATTCTTTCCAAGGGAGCTTAGAAGACCCGTATTTCTGCCAGCTTCCTGAGTTAAACCCCTTTATCGCCGGCCGGGTTTACCCTTGCTACGAAACGCATTTGAAGTGCGGTGGAAGTTGTTACCGGGCTCCACCGAATGAAGAGATGGGCACGTTCGCGTATTCACCTGAATTTTGCGGGACCATGTCAGTGCAGGACGATCTAGCCTACATGAGAAAAGTGCTGACCTGGGCAAGAAATCACACCGCGGAAATCTGCGACGCGAAGAAGTCCTCTGCCGAAGTGCTCTTGTTTGGCCAGTCCATGGGCGGGATTATGTCGCTTGAAGCTGGGATCAAACTGCGCAGCGAGGGGCTGGTAGACCTGATTGCCCCGGTTTCGGCTGGTGCGGCGCGCGGGTACTGGAGTGAGTTGAGCGGGTACAAGAAGTATGGAAATGATAGTAAGGACATGACGGAATCTTCTACTGCTGCTTCTGCTAGCGCTCCTCGTCCGACAGGGAAACATGATGTTGACGTAGTTGGCAGGAAAAGGAAAATGAACACCAAAAGTGAAGAAGAAAGCACGATGGAAAAATGGATGCAGAATCTGTCCGGGCTGAAGGTTCTTCTTTTGCACGGGGTATACGACGAGACTATTCCGCCCTGCCTGGCAAAGGAGTTTACAACAGCCCTCTTCCCCGGGCTACAGGTGCCTGCAAACCGGTCGATTGACGTGCAAAACAAGATAGACAAATTTCAGGACGGGGGAAAAGAGTATATCAACACGCTGAGGAACAGAATAAATGGCAAAGCACGACAAGATTTTTGTACTGGAACTACACAGGAACAAAGAACCTCTTCCTCTACAACAACGTACACTGAGAAGTACTGCGTTGATGAAAGTGGGTACTTCCACCCCGGTACGGAATCTTCCGCCGTGTTTCTCACGGGCAATGAGGGCGGTCGCGCAACGCGGACGTTGTTTGACCCGGAATCTGCGAACGAAGTGTACTACAAGCTGTATGTGGGGAAGTACGTGGTCGCTGCACAGGAGGATGAAATAAATGGTGGTGAAAGCAGTGTCACTACGCCGCGCGGCGGGCCTGGAGATGGAAAGGGAACTGGGAAGATGAAGGAAGAACGACTGGGAGAAAACAAGAGCGTCGGCGACATTGGAGCGCTTTTTGTCCGTGAATCCGCCGACGGACAAGGGATCATTCTGACGCCGGACAAGGTCAGCATCTCCCGTGCAGGAGGTGGTTCATCATCTCCTTCTGCTGGCGTCTCGGCTTCGTCGTCCTCTGGGGCGGTCCCTCTTGACGAGTCTACGTGGTCTTCTGCCACAGCACAGTTTATAGCCCCCTTTTTCCTGGGTTGGGAGAGCCTGGGAGAGGAAAATCAGCAACGCCAACGCGTCACAAAAAAAAAAAACTCGCTGGATTATCTAATCCCCAGCGTATGGTGATTATTTACTTACTTTCATTGATGGTAGCATCCTGATTAGGTGTCCACACGATGGAACTACGACTTGAATTATATATATTTATACATATACGCACTACGGGCACACCTACTAAACAGGTGGCGCTGCGCGTCATATATCTATGGTTATATATATGGGCAATGCCACGCGTCTTGTACTTCTACCCCGCCCAAGGAGGCGGCGCCACCGACACCAGTTCTAGTCAAGTCCGCGCGTAGCCTTTCTTAGATTCAGATCTGACGACTTGTTAGAACTCGGCTTTTTGCACTAGTATACATAGTGTGGCGAGGATGGCATCTAGAAAGATCCACGACTTTCGTGCATAGCGCATTCATTTTCTTCGGCCGGTTTATTGATTCACTGAGATTCCCACAAAGAACTGCTCGTTTGAAGTGACGTTTTGTTCTTGTTTTGCATGACCTCGGTGTGCGCGATTCCGTGTTTCTTCAGGTACTTGCATCCTGAGTAAAAACGTCCCCACACCATAGTCAAGTTGTGGAATCGGCTAGACAAATCCACAGGCTTTGGCTGTTTCGCATGACAAATTTGGACTCGTAGTGTAGTACTGTTTGAGCTAGCTCAGCAGCATCACAGATCTAGCATACCATGCTGATTGGAGCATGACAAATTTCAAAACACGACTGGAGAATGCTTTTCATGGGGCTCCGCATGCGAAGCATTTTCAGCATGCAGCTTTGCACTAAATACAGCTATGGGGTGGGGGCGTTTTTAAATGGGGCAACTTGTCGTCCTTGGTCATCCGCGCCACATAGGTCAGGCCCGCCTTCCTGTCCTTTCCGCGGACGCAGCGGCGCGGCTTCTCGTAGAGGTAGTATCCTGTGCAAAAATATCGCACTCGTACTAATTGCATTTATGCATTACAAATCTAGTTCCTAAGGCAAATCCGCATTACAAATTGAGTTTTTTAATGCTGAGCCAATTTGTATTGCAATTTATACTAGTGCGCTACTTTTGCAGTTCATAGGTAGGCGTCGGCAACGATGTAGGACAGGTTCCGCTTCTCTTCGCGGTCGAGGCCAGCCACATACGCCCCCGCGACGAATCTCTCGCAAGTTTTGTTTGCGTACTTCGTCCGGACGCCACGCAAGAACTTCTGCGCCCGCTCTGCGCCGCCAGAAGAGGCCGTCATCCGGTCTGCTACGTAGAAGAACGACACCATGGGCGACTCGATCTTGTGCGTTTTGGCGTAGTGCAGAATGGCTGCGTTGCTGTTGCGCTGTCCTCTGGTGCACCCGTGAAAAGCGGCCCGGAGCGCGTCGTACTTGCTCTTGAGGTCCGCGAGGCACTCGGCGTACTTCGAGTTCTTGCCCTTGTTGATGTCCCCCTCGGTGCCCCCGCAAATATGCGTCGCCAGGTGCATCAACATCGTTTTCCCTTCGTTAGTATCAGACGCAAAAGGATCGCACTAGTTAGTATATATATATATAAAAACTGACTGCATTTCAAGTAGCCCAGCGCTACAAATCAAACTTGTAATGCTGTTTGCACTAGGACTAGTATAAAAATAAACTGCGTTTAGAAATCTGCCCAGCGTTACAAATCAAATCTGTAATGCTGATTTGCCTTGAGAAGAGATTTGTAATGCATAAGCGCAATTGCTACGAGTGCGATACTTTTGCACAGGCTAGTTAGTGCGGGAGGATTTGTCTTCGGTGAAGCAGTCGAGGAGATTCACGCTAACCTCGAAGAAAGACGAGCCCCCGTATCTCTTGTCGATGATGGACTTTTATCAAATGTAAAAATGTCTGCATCTTTGGGAAGAATGCAACTTGTGATGCTGAATTAATCTGTATTGCATGAGCAGCAGAGGGCATTTGTCATGCGGAGAGGGCATTTGTCATGCGGAATAGGCATCGCGAGGCCCTCAAAAAAACTGTGATGCTAGGGCGCGCATCACAGACATCATGGCCCAGGCAAAACACGCATTACAAATCTCGGAATCTTCTAGACCCAGACATTTTTACATTTGATAACTTGAGGAGGTTCGCCATCGTCTTCAACTCCTCGAGGGCCTCGCGCAGTTTCACCTGGTCAAAGTTCAGGGTCACGCTTTCGAACTGCCCGCTGTCGTCCTCGACCTGCAGAGTGCAAACGCCTTGACGCGCCGCCAGGTTCAATTCGTCGCACATCTTCGCCGTGTGCTTGCACATTTTCTTATCCTTTGCCGCACCAAGGACCAGTGGCTCCAGCACTTCGGGGTCCTTATTTTTATTTTTGTATCCTCTAGAAAGACGTCCCTACTCGATACATAGCCAAGATGGAAATTTTGCAACACAAATCCAGAAGCTTTGGGTGTCACGCATGACAAGTTGCAGTCTGTAGTTAGAGTCACTCAGTGTAGTGCAGGTTGGCTAGGACAGCCGCATCACAAATCCATCTGACTGCTTATGCATGGGAGTATTGCAAATTGTTCCGAAACACGACTAGAACTGCCTCCCAGGGGGATGCACAATGCAAGCGCTTCTGTACTTATGTGCGAATTAGCATGCGCCTATGTATGGGGTGGGGACGGTCTTTCTCAGGATATTTTGGGCGCCTTCTTCATCGCGGACGCGCCCGCACTGTCGTCATTGCCCAGCAATTTGGCCTCTGTCTCCGCCCAGAAGGTCTCGACGTTGTTGAGAAATGCGGGGATGGACTTTCCGAAGGCCATGGCCTGCCCCTGGGCCTCCTGTGTCCTATGTAAAAACGCCCCCACCCCATAGCCAAGATGCGGAATCGGCTAGACCCTAACCCACACGCTTTGGTTGTTTCGCATGACAAATTAATTTGGACGCGTAGTGTAGTGCTGTTTGAGCTAGTTCGGCAGCATTACATACAGATCTAGTGTCTCATGCTGATTGGAGCATGACAAATCTCAAAACAACATTAGAAGACGCTTCTCATGGGGCTCCGCATGGGCAACATGAACATTCTAAGCATGCGGAGTTGCGTGATAACTACGGCGTGAAGACGTTTTAACACAGGATACCCTGGAGCCCGAATTCGTCACCTTCCGTGATCTTGGTCACCGTCTTGCGCTATAAATGGCAAAATGCAATTTATAGCGCAGGACGGTCACCAAGATCACGGAGGGGATCTTGGAATTTGTCATGCGGATTTGTATTCAATCGGGATGAGGGGACTTGTATTGGTATTGCCGTCTCTACGGCAATACAAATTCCCTCAGCATCCATTTTTAGAAATGGAATCTGTAACGCGGACATCAGCATTAGAAACGCAGTTTGCGGATTTGCCTCAACAAGAAGAGTCTTTTACTTTTTCTTGAGGCAAATCCAAACTACAGACTCCATTTCCAATGCTGAGGAATTCCATTTCTTGCGGACTTTCCTCAAGATTAGGACTTCCGCATTGGAAATGGACTCTGTAGTGCGGATTTGCCTCAAGAAGACCCTTTTTCTTGAGGCTGGCAAATCAACATTACAGACCCTCTTTCTATAGCTGACGAATTCCGTTTGCGGACTTGCCTCAAGACTCTTCTTGAGGCAAAGCCGCATTACGTCCTCCACTTCTAGTGCGGAAATTTTAAATTTTTTTCTTGATGCAAGTCCGCAAATGAAATTGCTCAGCACTACAGATGGAATCTGTAATGCGGATTTGTCTCAAGAACACTTCTTGAGGGAGATCCGCGTGCTAGTGCTGAAGTCCTAAAGGGGGACTGCGGTCCTCTGGGGCGGTCCCTCTTGACGAGTCTACGTGGTCTTCTGGTGCCGGTATTGTGAGGAAAAATCCCCCCTCCCCATATCAAAACGAAGTTTCTGATGCTGGATTTGCGTACACAGATCAGATTTGTCTTGCTAGAGAGGACTGCAGGCTATGCTGACCCTGAGTAGGGAGGTTTTGGGCTAGGCGCTGAGCATGGCAAACGTCTAGTCTGTAGGGCCACCAGCATCACAAACCGCCTGCAGAACGTGGCGGAGCCTGCGGGGTTGCGTTCTTGCAAGACAGAGACGATTTGTGGTCACAAATCAGCATTACAAATTTCTTGAGACGTACCTTTTCGATATGGGGAGGGGGGATTTTTCCTTTTGATAGCCGGCCGGTGGAATTCCCGACCCGGCGGCCGTTGAAGGAATTCCGCCCGGAAAAAGCCTACGACCTGTCGCTGATCCCCGTCGAGAAGGCGCCGAGAGACCTGACGCAAGTGGTCGCCGTGGCAAAGGAAGGCGGTGCATTAAAGAAGACCACAGAGCAGGGTGAAAAGAACATGAACAACAGCCTGGGCCAAAAACAAGATTCGTCTGTAGTTTCCACAGCCGACGCTTCCACGATGGCGGACGAGCCGGTGCGGCAGCGGCTATCCGATTACGAGAAGCGGCTCTTTTACTTGGGGAAAACAGCCAAGGAGAAGGCGCTACTGAAAGCAGCTGCAAAAGGAGAGGACGATGGAAGAACCTCCAAGCGGGACCACGGGGATGAAGGAACAAATGAGAAGAAAAAGCAGGCGAATAGTAAACCTAGAAATATTTCGTGCTGTTGCTGCAACCTGAGCTGTTGCTGTTGCGCGAAGTCGTTTTGCGGGCTGATTCTGCTGCTCTTTTTGGTGTTGTTAGTCGACGAGTTTCTGTTCTTTCTATGCATTGCAAAAGTATCGTACTAGCACAAATTGCATTACAAATTTTATCAGAAAGAAAAATGGAATTTGTAATGCTAGTTGAGGTCGTAAAAAGATAGGTTTGTCATGCAAGATTGCAATTAGTACGAGTGCGATACTTTTGCACAGGATACTTCCACGGCTACTACGATGTGTGGTTCTACGGGGGAAAAAAAAAGTACGATTACTACCAGATCAAGCGGATCAAAACCTACCCGTCGGGATACCAGGAGGAAGAGCTGTACTACGTCCGCCGGGGCCGCCAGAACGGGGAGGAGGAATACGCTCGGGCTGAGGACTTGGAATACGACGCGCGGACGAGGGATTACTACCACAAGACCAACTACAATTTCGACTACGATGATCGCGGAGCAGGAGCTTCAGACTACTATCAACGAGACCGCGCTTCATCTTCTAGACAAGGACAGCACAACATCAACTCGAGATCATCTACTGGTACTGCTTCCCCCGACGATGTGAAGCGGCCGACCAAGGTGCAGGAGGCGAAACACGCCGCGGCCAGGCAAAAGCAACGTGAAGGGTCGCACGCATTCGCGAAGGAAGTGGGGCGACAGGGGAGTGAGATCGCAAGGGAAAGAGCAAGCACAACGGCGGCGGTTATGGGGGACAAAAACCAAAAAAATGAAAATCCTGGTGCAGCTCCTGGGTTTGTGCAGAAGAAGCAGGAACAAGAACGCGATGATCATGTCGGGCAGAAGCAAGAAAACGAAATTTACCAGCAGACCACAACACCAACTTCGTCGTCCACGTCTTCTTCTCAGCGCGGGGACCACACTAGTAGTTCTGTTGACAGCAAAGTTTCGCCGCCACATCCACCGCCCCCACAAGAACTTGCTCCGGGGAGAAATGATCAAGACGGAGCACCCGCAAAAATGACTGCCTCAAGCGTGCAAGGAAGCATTCCCAAAGATCAGGAGCAGAATCATGAGGCGGGGAAAGTATCGCAGCAGCATCAAGTACAAGACCCGGAGGAGCAGCCGATGAAGCAAGAAAATGGACAACATCAAGAAGAAAAAAAATCGGAAAATGATGTCAAAACCACACCTTCTTCTTCTTCGATTTCCAGTACAACCACGACCGTGGGTTCTTCTGTAAACAAGGATCCGACGACGTCGTCCTCGACCTCGTCCAAGGGCAAAAGGCCCGGGACGTGGCTCGAAGGGAAGAGCAAGATGTTTCGGGATTCCGGCACCGACGAAGACGAAACCAGTGAGGACGACTTGGCGCTGTTCAAAGACGACGCTGACGCGTTTAAAACTACCGAAAATTATCCGCACCAGCAAGGAACAGTTACAGTTGGGATCGACGTGCGTTTACTGGTGAGATCAGTCTCTATGTGCGAGACAAATTTGCTAGAGCTTTTACTTTTTCTTGTCGTTCTATTGTCACTGAGTTTGTTCTTTCATTTACAAATAAGTATATTCACAAGGAAGTAGATTTCTGTTGAAAACGATTCTCTAAAGGGGGACTGCGGTCCTCTGGGGCGGTCCGTCTTGACGAGTGTACGTGGTCTTCTGGTGCTGGTCTCCTGCATGTTGAGCAGTCAACGGAACTACAAAGTAAAATCGTCCCAGCCAAACTACCGGAGGGCTTCCGCATCAAGTGTGCCGACCTGCGTGAAGATGTTGAAGGCGGTAGTGATAGAATCAAGAACGAGAGGAGCTGCGAGGACACACCACTACAAGGAGTTGTGGAAAATATTAAGGGTATTGACGGGAAAACTTCCAAGATCTGTTTTTTTACGGGCGCCCACCTGCTGCCGTTTCAGGGAGAGAACGACACTTCTGCTTTCGAGGACAAGAACCACGGCGCCATGGCGTTTCTGCATTTGCTGGCAAATTTTGTGAACGATTGGAAGGCCTATAATAGCGTCGAGGAAATGCGGACGGATGTTTCGTGGAGGAAAAAGTACGACTTGGAGTATGACCTCCTACATCCAGTAATTATGTAATTAAAATTATCGGATTGTAATGTAAACCCTAACCCACAAATCTAAATCAATAAAGAAGACTGCACCCTAACCCACAAATCTACTGACTGCAAGGACAGCAAACAACAGGAGTAGGACGCGGGAAAGTGTATGATTTAGAGTCGAACAAATATACAAATATCATGAGCACTGAAGTGATGGCTTGTGCGCTAGCAGTCCTGGCGCCTTAGCTGTGTACGCTTTTTTCTGCGCTGTGATTTTACTCAGGCGCTGAGGATGAATACAGATTTTTGGAGATTCGGAGAAGACTTCATCTCAAAGTAAGGTACATATCGTGATCTTGCAGAGTGAGAGCTCCACCTCCACTCTGGGATCTTTGATACTCAATCACTTCACTTCCACTTCACTTACACTTTATCTTCAAGCAGAGGATAGTACAGCTCGAGTTGATTATATTTGATCTACCGTGAGGTCTGAGTTTGACTCTGATGTGCTAGATCGGGGCGAGTCCGGGTCGATCAAAATTGGGAAGATGATCGACCTCGAAAAGTCGCCCACTTCCCCTGGAAGTAAGTATCAATATCCCGATAAGATTGATGACGCAATATCATCCCGACCACTACAAATAGGACTCCTATTTTTAGCCGACACAAGGACTAGTACTTTCAGCAGAGGATGAAGTGCTAGCATTAGTCCCAGGAGTCATCAGGATCATTCAGGATTATGTATGATTTCACAAGCAGGATGGACACCAGGTTGCTCGCTCCTCACTTCCTCAAGAAGTTGAAAACGAAAACAAGAGTGGCAAACGCTTTCTCCAGCTGCGACCGCGTTCATCACTCAGCAATGGTTTCCAGTTGCAGCCACGGTTCTGTTCAATGGTTTCGTTCGTTATAAACCTCGCCGGATCAAACTAATTTATTAATTGACAATCTAGAAACACCGAGAATGATCATGTTAGTTGAATACCCGAAGATCATGTTACAGAAGATCGCAAGCACCATGAGTTTCACGATATTGGTTGAAGAAAAGAAGGGATCAGAGATCGACCCCGAAGAAAAAGACAGATAGATCGGTTGACAAAGACTGTACACGTCGTCCTCTCGGTTGTTCCAAAGAACTCGGACGTTTCTGCCACGAAAAGTATCTGTCTTCGAGTACCAATGAAACTAAAATATCGACACGCAACAGGTTGACCATGTTCGAGGAAGGCGGAGGATCATCGGTGTGGTGAGCTTGTGAGACAAAGGAAAAAGATCAGAAATAGATGTTGCACAGATCATTTCGATGCACGAAATATGCTCAACAATATCAATAGAGACTAGCGCAGGCGACAAAATAATTACCAACACAAAACAAACGCTGTCACTGCTGCATCTCCGACAGGATCACACACGGATACTTCATATCCCTGTTGAAAATCAAAATCAATACGTAAGTATTTTTGAAACTGAAGAAGGACAACTACCTTCTCTTCACGAGACTTTACTCCGGGAAGTAGCTTCTTCATTCAAAGTTCTACTGAAAGAAACTGGTACAATACTTTGTTGTTGGATCAGTCGCAATAGAACAAGTTTTGGTACAACCATCTTTTTTTCCGCGCATTTGTTTTTTTTTCAACATCAACAATCTGAGTGCAACTACACTATCGTAATCGTTGACCACGTCCAGCAAAATGTTGTCGCTTTCATCCTCTTCGACCTCTGGAGTTTCTCGTTGCTCGCCCTCTTCTACTCGTCGCGGCTTGAAGATGTTGGCCGCGCACCTGGTGCTGACCTTCACCGCGTTCTCTCCAGCGGATCGTTTCGTCGCTGCACACAGTTTTTGGTGCGTGGGCGTCTGTGGCGAGGGGGGAGGAGCAGGAGCAAAGGGCAGCACCATCAAGCCGCCGACGCCGATGAAGGTTCTTCCTACCTCCGTCGGCCCGAAGAAGCTGTTTGTCATGCGGCACGCGGAGTCGACGGCCAACGCGAAGTTGCCAAAGTGGGGCGACCAAACCGATCCCCCGCTCACGAAGAAGGGCGAGGGACGGGACGGGCAAACGGAGGCTAAAGACGGTGGAGCGAAATTCGCCGAAGTGTACCCGGAGCTACTGAGTGACAACGACCGCAAGGATATCGTGTTCCTCGTCTCCCCGATGCGCCGGGCCATGGAAACGGCCAGCTTTTTCATCCAGGGGCTCGTGAGCTCGGGCAAGTACGGCACGGAAGCCGACTACGCTGGACGAGAGAAGATCATCCTCACTCCGGAAATTCGCGAGACGGGCACGCCGGGCTGGGATCCGACCAAGCTTCCCAAATCCGAGTACGGCACAGAAACGGACAAGTGGCCGTTGACGTCCTCGTGGAAAGACATAGACGGGAATCCTTTCGTATTCACAGGAAACGAAAAAATAACCGCTGTACACGGCAGTAGTACAAGCGATGGCTAATGCTAGTAGCTGAGCATGAAAGAATTCTTTTGCAACCAACATGCAGTTCGGCATGAAAAATTTTGATTTTCATATATAAGCGTCATTTTTTTATTTCGGCATGAAGATGAACATTACAAACTTAGCATTGCGCCGTTTTGTACTACAACAAGAGCCTACGTGTATGGCCGATGATTTGTATTGCATACCCGAGTGACAACATCTTCTTCCTGCAAAACGCGGATGATTCGCAGCACAGCTGGTTCTACGGGGCCGAAGACAAATATGAAAGAATAAAACTGTCTCAGTCTCAAGCCTTAGCCTAGCCTTGCAGACGCAGCATCAGCGCAAATCATCATATCATAACACACCAAATCGCTCCTGTGAGGCTTCAACCAGCGAGAGAAACATAAAGACAGACATGTGAACGGAGAGGCCCCTGTGGCTTTCTCGCACGCTGAGCATGATGACAAAAAATATTCAGTGGCTCAGGAAAGACGAGTGTCCGCTGCATTACTACAAGTTGAGACTGCGGCAGCTTTTTCGTGCGATAACGCAAAAACCTGGCCCAGTGACGACAACGACAACAAAAAAGTTGGCGTGAAGTTCTTGGAGCTGCAAAAGCGCAGCTGGCGCATGCTCCGCAAGGCGCTCGCCGGGGAGCATTTTACGCAGCAACAGGGGGCCTTCGACATGACCCAACTTGAGGGAAAGATCGTGTTCATGGTGACGCACTCCACTACCATGTTCAACATATGAGAGTGCAAAACTCGTTTCCTTGGTCCCCCTCACTTGTATAGGATGTCTATCACAAGCCCAACACACGTGCACGTGGAGGACACTGTGCATGACAAGTTCAGGCGCCGAGTCTAGAACTCCAAACTTGCACGGCTTCTGGACGAGTTTGTAAAATAATAAACAAAAAGTAAAATAAGCTGAAGTAGCAAACAGAGCCACAAGGCACCAACTGGATTTGGGATTTTGCATTAGGTCGCGAGGGGGAGTTGTGCACTCTTATATTCCAACTTGGGACTGTACGACCCGAATACACCGGCCGACCCCACGAAGCCAACCGGGGCCTGGAAGGCCCTTGATTTCTCGAAGGACTGGCTATCCAGTGCAAAAGTATCGTGCCCACTAGTACATTCAAAAACTGCATGACGTCGCATTTGCTAGCTCAGCATGAGAAACGAAATTTGTACTGCGGGTTTACAACCTCGAGAAAAAGAATTTATAAAGTTGTGCATGCTTCTTGCGATGTTGACGATTAGTTTTAGTATGACTACGATACTTTAGCAATGCATACTAGAAACCAAGCAACGAAAAGTGGAAGACGTCCGTGCCTTTCGAGGTTGACCTCACGACCCTGCACGACGAGAAGCCAGTCGCGAAACTGTGCTGGAAGCCGGAAGAACTAGTACCTCCATAATTAAGCTGGATGCTCGCAGTTAGTAGCAGGGTGATGTTGCCAAGGGTGTGACTCACTACACTAAGAACCTCACTCAGCACTATGATCTTGTTTAGTTATCAATTATACGATTACGAAGACCAAGACGAACACGAAGCGAACGATGTTGAATCTATCTCGAGGCGGAAACCTAGTAAATTGTAACAAGTTCGGAATAAACTACCTGCAAAAGGTCCTACTAGGAGCTGCCGTATGCACTATCTCGTTGGACTTGAATATCATGTGAAAAAAAGAAGAGCAGCGGAAAAACGCGAAAGATACGGGTTGGATTAGGGGAAGGAAGATATAGGATAGAGCTTATGCTTCTATCGAGGAGCTGCAAAAGTACTAAATTAATACACCAGGAGGTAGTTGTAAAATTGTGAGCTGTATTAATGACTGAACAAAACTTGCTACGTTACTATTCTTCCACTGCTCGTCTGGAAGAAAAGCAACAAGCACAAGACAGGAAGGTAAGGAAAAAACCTTATCAAAAATGTAGAAGTGTGCCGAAAAAGATAAAAAAGTCTTGGAGCCATAGCTGAATCTGGCGGCTGCACTTCCCGCCTGCTGCTGGTCTAGGACTTTTCGATGGATCAAATTCTAGCATCAGAGCACTACTCTGATGAGTCTTCTTGATAGGTATACAAGAGGATCTAGATCTACAACTTCATGCGGCGCGTATAGAAACATTACATAAAATATTGCACCCGAAAAAAGGGTGCTCCAGAACTAAAATCAAAAGAAAAAAGTTGTTGGCCCGTTTGCCGGAAGATTCGCGAACTATTCTTGCGGGGAAAAAAAACGGTGTTCACATTTTTTTGTTGATGCCGCAACCATTGAGTTTTTGGACCAACAAGGGGGTTTCAAGTAGAAAAAAAATACTTTTCACTTTATCCATAGGTATCATCGTGTTGAAGCGAGGACGAGGAGTTGATAGACTTTCTTTGACTTTGTTTTATCTTGCGGTTTTTCGTGATGTCAATGGACCAACGAAGTTTTGTTTTGTGAAGGCAATATCATCTTGATCTTGTTCCACGAGCAGACACAATTGGCAAGAAAAAAAAAATATGTCTAGCAAGGACGGCAAAGACGGGGCCCCAGGAAGTATGGGCAAGGGGGGGAAAAGCATCCACAATGCGGAGGAGATATGGATGTGTCAGGTTTGAAATCGTCAAAGTTGAAATACTTTGTCATGCATAAAACGGATACCAGTTAGACTTACAGTTTGTAGTCGGTGCATGACAAATTTTCCCGGTCACGGAAGCGAGTCTGTCATGCGGTTTAGGGCAAAGGAGCTGCCTTCTGTCATGCTAGTTGGCAGTCCAACTTTTGACCCTTACCAGGACTAAAATCTGCCTCCCGTGGGTCCTCTGCAATAGAGTCACTTTTTGTATCGCATTTTATGCATTACAAATTGAAATTATTTCAACTTTGACGATTTCAAACCTGACGCTTCCATAGGAGAGCGGGCAGTGGTCGATGTCAGTGGAGCAGGCGCAGGCACAATTCCTGGGGGACCTCATGAAGTCCACCGCCTGGATGCACAAGTACGGATGCGTCCTCTCGGCGGTGGAACGCGGCAAGGTGCTGGCGTACCAGGAGAAGTGGAAGAAGCTGTACAAAATTGAGGGAGACGCTACAGGCAAGTCGATCAAAGAGCTCTGTTCAGCGACTATCCCACGAAAATAAAAGTGTTTACAGTTACACATTTGTTGTCAATTCAGCAACACAAATTTTCTCTGAATGGGAGAGAAAATAACTTGCAATGCGCAGACCATAAGGGAAAACACTTACTTATGACATGAAGGTCGGAAGCATTTCTGGCATGACAGAGGTTCTTGTCTGTCATGTTGAGGTTGCAAAGCAATGTGTAACAGTAACTGTGACTTTTTCTTTTCTCTCACATGATAGCGACCCCCGACCTGCCAGTGGAGCAGCCGAACGGGCTGGTGGAGTTCGTTTCGGACCCAGTGAAGGGTACGGACTTCGTATCCTATGTAAAAACGTACCCACCCCATAGTCAAGATGGGGAATCGGCTAGACAAATCCACAAGCTTTGGCTGTTTCGCATGACAAATTTGGACGCGTAGCGTAGTGCTGTTTGAGCTAGTTCAGCAGCATTACAGATCGAGTCTCTCATGCTGATTGGAGCATGACAGATTTCAAAACACCATTAGAAAATGCTTCTCATGGGGCTCCGCATGAGAAACATTTTAAGCATGCAGATTTGCATGACAAATATGGTGTGCGAACGTTTTTACACGGGATACTTCGAAGGGGTGCCATACCGTTGCCGGCGGACCGGAAAGGTCCGATTTTACGTGCGGCGGACGGTTTGCAAGTACGCACCCGGGGAGCTCGACGCGGCCGCTCCGGAGCAGTGGGACCTGGGGACGGACCGAGACGGGAGGACCTTGCTGTTTCACAACCAAAACGTGCTGTCTCCGGCGGGCGATCCTGACCACCATGAGCAAGGTGCGGAGATGGAGATTCGGCTCTCGGTGCTCACCTCCAGCGACCCCTCGGGCAAGCAACCGCTCACCTACTTTCTGGAACCCGATCCGTCGACGATCCTCTCATAAACAAAGACGAAGGGTTGAAGTGGAAGCTAACGCGGAAGATGAACTACAGCAATTTTGCTGCATTTCTTATTCTTTCCATTGTAGTTTCTCATCATCTGTGAGGACGTAGATCCGCCACAGCAATGCAGAGTCCTTCTATCAGGGATCGACTCCGTAGTTCGATGAAAACTCTCCGCAATGAGCACGAATGAAGCTGGTCGTCAACAAGCTCGACCTATTGCAGAGACGAGTGGAGGACGCCGATTCTATTTTGCTGTTACTTGATTTGTTTAACATAAAGACTCGAATTGATGGGGTGCACGTGCTTGTACTAGACCGTCTAGCACCGAAACCGAAATCGTGGAGGAAGGTGGAGATCACGTGCACGTGCACCTGAAATCACTCTAATTAAGGCGAAAGTCCTCATGTCGTGTGTTTACTCAAGAGGACCAACGCCATCGGTTTTGACGTGATGCGATGCTGCGCCGGAGCGAAGTTTTCACAAAGCCGACGATCTTCCAGCTCGAACTTGGTTCCCCCGCGTTTCATCGTGCACAGTTCTTGCAGGAGATCTTTTAAGAAAGGATAAGGATCCTGTGCGTTGTCGATCTAAATATAGTATTCATAACTGCTCGCGCGGACGTGGTGAAGTCTGAAGTGTGTCCCAGTACGGGAACAAGTGGCTTTTTGTCCCTTGATCATCACGAGATAACGTAGTACTTCACCAACTACGAAGATCAATTATACGGATTATAGATACTTGTTTCTGTGGCCATTCCTCCGTCCAGGCTCTAATCTTACTCGCAGCATTTCATATTTTTCACTGTATGATGTAATATTACAATTACACCCTGTTGATGGAGTATAATAATAATAAAGAAACCCAAAGCCCCCATGAGACGTTTAATTTTGTGAGATTTTTAGACGTTTTTGAGAATGCGCGTAAGTGTTACCTTCAACTTTTGAGCCCGAAGATTGATCATCAACTATCACCAAACTTGTTGTGATGTGTGTCACGCTGTCTGGTTTATTTTTGGCAACTTTTTTTCCTTCTGAATGGGAATAAACTTTGATTTTAACATACCTCCCCCAAAAGCAAAAACAAAGCATTTCTTAACACTCCCAAGTTTCATTTCTAACCATGAGATTACCGGAAAGAAAAAATCTGCTAAGGCGGGCCGCGGGCTGTCTCGTGATCCACGTGCTGTGCGGTGTTGCGGAAGCCAAGAAGTCCGGCTTCTGGTCGTTTGGAGGAGGAGCGGGCGAGCAGGAACCGGGTGAGCCGCAGGTCGTTCCAGACGCTGACCGTGCAGGAGGGGGTGGAGCCCCATCTGCGGAAGCAGGGACCACGACAGGCGATGGTGGGGTAGAAATACTTCTTTCAGGAGCTCCAAGCACAAGCGGTCCACCTAGAAGTACCCTAGGTCTAGGAGCATCGTCCTCTAGTGCAGTGACAGTATCACAACAAAAAAAGGAACTGTGCCCCACGCCGGCGCCCATCTTGGACAACTTTCAAAAACAGCTAGGAAACAGCGGGGCGCTGGTGAATGTGGTCACCAGACAGGCCACCGCCCCAAAATGGCCGGCAGCGTGGTTCGATAGTAGTGTGTATCGCCTGATGATCGGCTTCAAGCCGCAGAATGAGGATATTAAGGACGGCAAGGGCTACCTAACCGCGTTGCGGCAGGCTCTTCCTGGTGCGGCGGGACTACTCTACACCGGTTCCTCAGCCTACCGCGACCCAGTGATACGCATAGTTGATACTGTATTCGTGTCTAACTACTGGTCTTGTTATGCATAGAAATGTTAACCACACGGTAACGCTTGTGATGCTAGTGAAGATCATTCGCCCGGAGCAACCAAATGTAAATCATCTTGTGATCATACACAATCACAAAGACATACAGACTGTACTAAAATGGCAAGAGTGCTGACAACTTACTCGTACTTCGTCCCCCGTGCTCTGTGTGTGATTGCATATTATAAACGAAGGCGATCAAAACAAAAAGTCGTGCGATCTTCGCAAGAGAGATGCAAGCGCAAGCCGCGACGCCCTTTGGAAAAATTTATCACAGATTCTAGAGCACCAGGAGCCATGACTGAGGACGATATCTGCCATGTGACGAGAATAAGCATGAAACATTTCAGCCTGAATTTTTATACGAGGACCAGACCGAGATGAAGACATGTGTTGGCAAAAATGCATAAATGTCTGGCGTTTGCGATTTCTGTCGCGAGGTAAACACCGCTTGGACCCAGGCTACTGGGTGGAACCAGGGAGAGGAGCATTTCTTTCGCCCCTACACGGATCCTGAAACATCATGTCAGGCTTTGCCGGCGGTTACTAGTAGTACAACTGCGACGACAACCTCTGCAGGAGCAGCTGCACCAAGTAGAGCAGCAACAACTCCAAAGAGCCCAGCAGCTGCTGCTGCGCGGCAACCTCCAGGTCTAGAAACAAGCCGCCCTGCTTTATTGAGTGACGCGGACGCAGCAGCCGGAGCCGCTGCAGGAGTTCTAGCTTCTCCTCCACCACCTGCAGGTCGTTCGGAGCCAGATGCACAAACGAACCCGGAACTGGTAGCCGCGGCTGACGCGGAACGGCGGGCTGAGGAAGTCACGGTCGCACACGTCCTCCACCAGCCGATTCACAGTTCGCTGAAGAAGCGCCGGGAGTTTCGGCAGGCCTGGAAGAATTCCCGATTGTCGTACGAGCACGAGTACGTTGTTATCACGAGAAAAACGTGTTACAGTTACACATTGCTTTGCAAGCTCAGCATGACAGACAACCTCTGTCATGCCAGAAATGCTTCCGCATTGCACGTTTCCCCTCTCATGCAGAGAAAATTTGTGTTGCTGAATTGACAAACAAATGTGGAACTGTAACACTTTTTCCGTGGGACAGTCATGGAGGATATCTTGCTGGAAGGGAAAAGTCGTGCTCGTGGCTCAGGTTTTTTATCCCGACTTGCGGCTTCCAGGACTGAGTCGCTCGCGGACGGAACCAAGACGTCAAAAGAAATCCGGGAGTCAAAAGCTAAGTTGGAAAAGGAGTTTGAGAATCTGCAGCAGGATGGTTGGTGGTTTTTTGGCTCCGCGTGGACGGATGACAGATCCAAATCCACTGTTTTTCCCGAAAAAAATTTGATCCTCTTCGGCGAAAAGAAGATTTCCCAGCACCGCTACGTCACAAGCTTGGAGGCCATGCTGGAGAAGCTTTCGCAGCTTGTGCTCAAAAAACTGGTAGAAAACAACTTCAAAGTTGGGCGGTGGCTCCGAAAGCTAGCTCGGAATGCGCCTGAAAGACTCAGAAGGCAGCTGGGAAATCTGGGAAATGACTACGTCGACCCGGACGAGGTACAACTCAACTAGTGAAACTAGAATCGATAGCAGGAAGGGAATTTTGTTTTTTTTGCAACGCTATGTACAAGAGGAAAACATATAAATATCAATATGTACTTACGTATGCATATGCAAACGGAAAAGAACTAAAAGACAGCTTGTTCACAAATGAAAATTCACATCAGGTGAACCATGTAGTTCTGAACAACGATGCGGTGCGCAGGGAAGTTTTGGCGTATGTGTCCAACGAAATTTCCAGCCATCTGGCCCCCAAGACCCTTCCTTTTCTCCCCGCGCTCGCCGGTGTGTCCGAGGACGGTTCGGAGAACGAAAACATCAACCAAAAGATGCTGCCCCAGTGGTTCTGCTACCTCTCGCACGACACGGACGGGGGTACCTTGAACCTGACCTTTCGCGGCACCGGGACCCGGCTGATGGACGGAAAAACCGCCTACCTGGACGACTGGGCGACCAACGTGGACGCGGCGGGAGACGACTACAGTCCGGTCTACCACTGGTACAGCGACGCGACGACCTCGTTTTCCGAAGCCCAAAATCCCGAGACGGGGCAGCAAAACTATTGGAAGACTGTGGTCGGATCTTTCACCTCCGCCGGGGCGAGCTACTTGAAACTGCACAAGGGGTTCTTCGACCGCGTGGTCCTGGCATTGGCAGAACTGGAACTGAAGTTGCGGGAGGAGTGTCAGAAAGAACTGCAAGTAGAACACTGCGGTGACAACGAGGAAAAAACACAACTTCTCGATGACCAACAAAAAACCTACCACGCGTCGATTTTCGCCGCCAAGTTGCAGATCAAAACGAATCGCGAGGACATCCCGGCAAACCTGCAGCATTTCTACCCAAACAACCTCCAAGAACTGGCACGGAACGTTTTCGACAAAAACCGGCAGCTCGGGAAGCAGTTTGAAACTTACTTGGAGCAACGCTTGCGGCAAAACTTCAAAACCATCCTCGTCTCCGGACACAGCTTGGGCGGCGCGCAAGCGCTGGTGCTGCACCGCCTGCGGTACGACTCGGCGCTGATGAAATTTCTGATCCGCGGAAAGTACGAACAATCTACTACTTCCGGAGCGGGTGCTGCATCTACTTCATCTCTTCGTGGTGCGCGGCAACAAGCGCATGATCTTCCATCTCGGAACTACAAAGAGTTCCGCACCATCGTGTTTTCCGCGCCGCCGATCTACTCATCCGAGGGCAATCGGGCGGTCCCCGCCCAGGAATATTTGCTCACCGGAAAAGTTCCGTCGGGCACGCCGGTTACATTTTTGGGAGGCCAAGATAAGTACGATGACACCGAGAAATTGTTGATGGCCAACACTTATCAAATGCAAAAATGTCTTGGTCTGGAAGAATACGCGATTTGTCATGCTGCTTTTCCATGACCCATGAGGTCTGGAATGCAGGACCTAGCATGGCAGATTCTGCGAGACCTTTCTAATGCCTATCCTGCATGAGAAACTACTTCCAGACTTGGTAAAAACTGGACGACTTTTGGTAATCATGCAACACAGATTTTTGCATGCTGCGGATTTAGCATGACAAGTTGCAATCTTCCAGACCCAGACATTTTTACAGTTGATAACACTATGAATGTCTTCTACAACCAGGACCCCGTGCCGCGGCTGGCGTTTTTGAGTTTCACGGACGCAAAAATGGTTGTGCCCGTGCTGGAAAAAGTGTTTTGGATCCGCCAAACGAAAATGAAGTCGGCGTATGAGACAAAACGGCTCCTCCGGAAGCAGGAAAGGAAAAGCACCGCTCCGCCCGGAGCAGCGCCAGCGTCGAGCACCGCTGCAACCCCGTCGTCCTCATCGTCTTCTTTCTTTTTTACAAGGAGGTCACAATCTGCACCGGAATTGGGAGAACAGGCCACCGAAGCATCTAACTCAAGGACTACTTCTACCTCCAGTACTTCTGGAGAAATAAAGGGGAACAAGCGGGACGACGGGAGTTGTGCGCGAAGTGATAGCAGCACCCGAGCGGCAAAAAGAAGCAAGAAGAACCCATCGCCACAAGAAGGGCCGAGCGCGAGTGATGAATCTTCGGAAGATCCTTCTCTCCAGCTTCTGAGCAAGAAGACGCGCGTCCGCCGCACGGTGTTTGCTGTTTCCGGTCGCGCCTGGGCTTGGTTTATCAAATGCAAAAATGTCATCTGAGTCTGGAACGTTGCCAGGTTTGGCATGCATATTTTGCATGACCCATGAGGTCTGGAATGCAGGACCTAGCATGACAGAGTCTGTGAGGTCTCTGCCATGCCTATCCCGCGCGAGAAACTTCCTCCCAACTTGGTCGAAAGTTGACAGCTTTTGGCACTCATGCAACACAGATTTTTGCATTATTCGGATTTAGCATGACAAGTTTTAATCTTCCAGACCCAGACATTTTTGCATTTGATATGGTTTCTGTCCCGCGCGGACGAATTCTGGGGCATGGGCGTGCCGCTCACCGAGGCACTGGACGCCCACCGCATGGAGTTCTTCCGGGACCCGGTCCTGGACCTGGCGGCCCCGGTGGGCGACAGCGGCACGCCCGGACCCTTCAAGCAGCCTCGGGAGTTTCTCGGAGAGCAGGCGTGTGCGCACTTTGACGCGGAAAAGTTCGCACAGGGAACCACGGCGGAAAAAGCCGAAGGCGTAGAGACACAAGGTGATAAGAAAGCAGGAGCTACATCTTCGACGTCCCCGGTTGTGTCTCCTCCTGCATCCCCGGCGTCTCCTCCTGCATTGCCAGCTCCTCCTATCAGATTGCACAACTACTGCTAGTACTCCTTTTCATTAGCTTTGTGATTTGTGAATGTGATGCAAAAGAACGTCAAAGCTTCGAAATCCACAACACACGTTGCCGTTCTTGCCGCCTTGAAGCTGCATTGTTCGCATGACCACACCAATCGTTATAAATACCCCAGAGAAATTTTTCATGCGGACGAGGCTACATTTTTGGTGGCTTTCCTGTATTGCTGTTCGTGCCCTTGTTCAAATGAGGGGGACGAGGTGGGGGAGTTGTGCACTCGGATACCTCCGGAGGAGTTTGACTGCGATTGGGTACCGCCAGCCGAGTTTGTGAAGCTTCAGGCCGAGCAGTTACGGGCAAAGCAGTAAGGGTCTTGGCCCTCAAACGCTAAATAATCGGCTGTCGCCGTGCGTGAAAAGGAAGGGATCCAGACGCTGCTCGAATGTGCTGCTTCATATAAATATTTATACACAACCAAGCCGGATCCGGATCGCGGCAGTGATTGGCCGCAAGTAATGCTTTTTGAACCCGTTCATCTTCATCGGGGGTAACCGTAAGGGAAGCTGGAAACTGAAAACTGTACCTACAGCTGACAACACTATAAATATGAAAATGAATGTTAATACTCGCACAAGAAACTGAAAGATTGAAAAATTTCCATTTCGTGATTTTTGGTGTTGCGCCGCTCCGTCGACGAGGTAAGCTGTTTTACCGAGATAGAGCAGGTCAACGTGTAAGACCGAAATACTTCTAGGTTAGTGACAGAAGAGCGCGCTGCTCATGAGAACGGATGAAGTGTGTCGTGTGTGATATACTATTTATTTGTGAATATGAAACAAATATTTCAGGAATGCATTGTTCAATGCACGCACCATTTACACAGGATATGATAAGCACAGCAACTACATCTGAGGAAGTTCCCGCCCTGTACCGCTCCTCGAGAATTCCGCCAGTTCAACAGAAGCTGACTAAGAAGCTGTCCGTTGTCGTGCACCACGGCGTAGCTGTAGCCCCCCCTCAGCGGGTCCTCGTTGCGGAAGTCTAGATGTCTTCTCGTGGACTGCTCTGATCATGCCTGCGGAATCCTAGCATGACGGCGCTCTAGACCGAGGCTGGTCCAATGCACCGGGCTAGGATGGGTCGCAGTGCCCTGGACGTTTGGCGCGGCCTGGCGTGGGGCAAGTCGTTTTGCTTTGTTTTTCCTCATTTTTTCCTCATGCACTACCCTAGTCCGGGCCTTGCGCGAGTTTGCGAAGCTAGTTTTTGACATGCTAGGCCAAAACGCTGCGGCGGACTCGCCTAGGCTAGGACAGTGACGCTAGGTCGCCTAGCCTACGGCGGAGAGCCCTAGTTTTTGCTTCTGCCCTGTCGGCTTTTAGTGTGCCTTCTTCGTTCTTGGGGGTTGCCTCTGTTAGTTTGGCCGCCAGGCCCCCGCACCAGGAGGCGCCCGCGCCTCCGACTGGGGCCACCGCCCGCGACGGCGCCGCCGAACTCGTCCCGCAGCCCGCCGCGGCTGCTGCAAGTGGGCACCCCCTAAGGCCCCACGCACCGGCCTGTGCAGGGCGCGCGGCGTTGCTTGGCTGCGTTGCGCGGTGCCCCCTGAGTGATGTGGCTACCCTCCGCCCCCCCCTCACTCCACTCCCGTAACAGCACCCACCAGCACAGGCTGGCGCCGCCTACCTTGGTGGCTGTGAGTGTGTGGCTGTGTAAGAGCATGGGCCCGCGCCGGGGGCGGGCGCTTCCCTTCGCACGCTGTTAGGCCTGCGGGGGTGCCCGCTGTTTGTTTCCCCTGCGCCCAAAGGGGGCCCCCAGCTTTGGTGCCCCGCGCAATGTTGTGCTTGCTTGCGCGCCAGCACGTCGGCGCGCACTTTGTTCAGTTGTCTCTCGTGGTACAGTTGTTGTTTTTCATGTACTAGATTAAGATAGTACTTTTGACATATGAGAATAACTAACATATCAGTAAAAGTCTAAAAAAACAACAGTTCATCGTACCAAGAAACAACTTTTTCAGTAAAAGTCTAGATGTCTTCTCGTGGACTTCTCTGATCATGCCTGCCTGCTTCGGTGCACAAAGAAAGGATCATCTTCGTTTTCTTTGACTTCGCTTTGATGATGAAAATTTTTTTCGTATATTAGAGTCGTACAGCTCAGTGCAAAGATCAGAGTTTGGGTTTGGTCCACCAAAGAAGAACATCTACACATTTGACAGTGTTGTTAAAGCTTGACCACTTGTTGCTTCATGTAGTTGCGTGTCTGGCTATACGATTGCCATTGCAAAAATGGACCACGATCATCGTGGTCCATTTTTGCAATGGCAATCGTATAGCCTTCGTGGCTACGATGCAAAAAGGCTGGAAAAACACAAAGCGCGAGGTCCCATGCAAAACTTTTCTTCTTGTGCTGTGTGTGTCACAAATATCTGAATCTCAAAAAACATTAAGTATACGCACGAAGATCTAGATCATTGATTCTTGAAAAGAAGCACGTTTGTACTCTTGATGCCACCTCGTCTCAGACTCTTGGTTGGTCAAATTATTGTAAAAAAGACGTCAACTTGAACTTCTACGGCGGAAAAAAAGAGGAACGCAAAGTTTGTAGCGCAGACGCGTCCTAATATAATGTAGATTCAGTACGGATAAAGAATTATTTGATTTTTTTCTGCAGCGATTCTACCACAGAACACAAATGTTTTGGCTAAGTAAGTATTGAAATTGGGAACCGGTCTAATCATAAACCCCTCGCCAACATTCTGTCTTTCCCACGACAAAAGTAGAGCGTCGTAGTCACTAAAAGTAGTAACCCTAACCGCCAAGAAGAAAAAATCTCCAGTGATTTTACCGCTATTACCATACCCTCGGCCCAAGTGAAAAAATTACTTCGAAAAACACTACACAAGTAAAGCGAATATAAACAGTAACACACCATGACGGCCCCCAACGGTACTTCTACAACTACCGCCGCCGCGGCAGTTCCCGCGCAGGATGAGAACGAGCAGAAGTTCCTGGATAAGTTTTCCCGGCAGAACGCGGCCTTCGGTGCGGAAACGACGCTGAAAATGACAAAGTTGAAGATTCTCGTTGTCGGCGGCGGAAACGGGGTCGGGATCGAGACCTGCAAGAATTTGGTTTTACAAGGATGCGGCGGTCTGACGATTTTCGACGATAGTATCGTGAAGCCGAAGGACTTGGGCGTGAATTTTTTTCTCCAGCAGGAAGACATCGGAAAGAAGAAGCACGACGTAATTCCACCGAGATTACAGGAGCTGAACCCGTTGTGCAAGATCGCCGGGGGACTGCCAGATGTAACAACTTTGTCCGAAAAGGCAGTTTTGGAGAACAAATTCTCCGTGATGATCATCACCGACAGCAGCTTCCGTTTTGAAGAATTGAAAAGTTACAACGAATTCTGCCGCAAGAACAAGATTTCCTTCCTCTACGCCCGGTCGAATGGCGTGTTCGCCACCATTTTTGCGGACCACGGCGACGACCACTTGGTAAACGACAAAAACGGCGAAAACCCCCTGGTGCGGATCATTGAGTCCATCGAGAAAGCGGACCAAGACCCCCTGGTCCGGTTTTCCGTGCCTGAGGGGCAGAAGCCGGAAACCTTCCCGGAAAACAGCTACATCGAGCTTTCCTCCGGGGACATTGTCGGGTTGAAGGGGATAGAGAAGCACACGGAGGAACTGAAACTCCCGAACGGGCGAGTAGAAAAGCTCGTCAACTATCAAATGTAAAAATGTCTGGGTCTGGAAGAGTCATGCTGTTTTTGCATGACACAGAAGGTCTCTCATGGAAATTTTAGCATCACAGGTTTCGAGAAGCTTCCGCAATGCCGAATCCGCATGAGAAGTCTCCTATTTTGCTGACAGAAAGTGGGCAGCTTTCGGTACGTATGCATGAGAGACTTTTCTGTGTTCTGAGATACGCATTACAAGTTGCATTCTTCCAGACCCAGACATTTTTGCATTTGATATCAACTGCTGGAAAACGACGCAAAAATCCGGGGATATCCTGAGTAAAAACGTACCCACACCATAGTTGTCATGCAACTCTGCATGCTTAAAATGTTTCTCATGCGGAGCCCCATGAGAGATTTTCTAGTGCGGTTTTGAAATTTGTCATGCTCCAATCAGCACGAGATACTAGATCTGTAATGCTGCTAAACTAGCTCAAACAGCACTACACTACGCGGACAAACCTGTCATGCCAAACAACCAAAGCTGGCTGATTTGTCTAGCAGATTCCCCATCCTGACTCTGGTGTGGGTACGTTTTTACTCAGGATAGGGGACCCGTCGAACTCATTGCGGTTGGTCGGGAGTACGATGGAATACGAGGGGGAGTATGTGAAAGGAGGAACATTGACGGAAAAGAAGGTATGATTATGCGTTGTTGAAATAACTATCAGGGAAAATAAATTTCTTCGCTGTATAATTATGCAGCAGAAATGACTTCTTGTTCTTGTTCGCAGCGGCACATGAACGCTTGTGCATCCCGACGTTCAATCATATTGCAACATGACGCGCACCCCTGCTACGTACATAGGTTCCTTCGCCCTATACATTTAAAAATCGGTAAATCCAGGTAAACGAACACGTTCCCTCGCATCCATTTTCCGCGAAACTGGCAAACCCGGGCATTCCCTTCATGGACATGACGGGCACGGACATGCTGGACTTCGGCTCGGAGTTGCAGGTCCACCTCGGCTATGCACTGCAAAAGTATCGTACTAGTATAAGTAGCATCACAAATTCCCTCAGCATTAGAAATGGAATTTGTAATGCGGATTCCCCCAAGCCCAAAGAAAGGGATTTGTAATGCATGACATCGATTAGTACGAGTACGATACTTTTGCACAGGATATCGGCATGGCCACCGTTCTGTACTCAAAGCCGGAAGAGAAGTATCTCCTACCCGAAATGCCGAAGGAAAAAATCGTGGAAAAGGCGAAGCAGCTGCTGTCCGGCGAGGGGAAGAAGCTGGACTTGGACATAGAAGTCAACGAGGACCTCGTGTACGAGTACGTACGGCAATCCAACATCGAACTGCAGCCCTTGTCCGCATTTCTCGGCGGGGTGCTGGGACAGGAGGCAGTGAAGGTATGATTATTTCAGAAATAATTGGATGCCTTGCAAAACTACGAAGCAACTAGAAGCGGTCCTCGCAAGCTTCTTGGCTCTATCTTGTTTCGGTAGACGAGGTACCTGGAGCAAAGAAATCGACGCAGATGCAGAATAATAATCATGGAGACTATAAAAGAGAAAAAACCACTACACAGATCACGGGCAAGTTTACCCCCATCCCGGGCTTCCTGCATTTCCACGCCCGGGAAGCGCTTCCGGACAGCGAGAAGAAGCCGACCGACTTGCCCAAATCCCAAAGCGAGATCGACGAATCCAGGTACGGCGACCTGGAAGCGCTGTACGGAAAGCAGTTTATCGCCAAACTGCAGAATCTCAAGCTCTTCATGGTCGGCTGCGGGGCGCTTGGGTGTGAGTTGCTGAAGAACTTCGCGTTGAATGGGATTTGCTGTCCTCCGGATAGTAGTCCAACGACTTCCAGTAGTGAAGTTGGAAAACAAGAACATCAACCAAAAGGAAAGTTGACCGTGACGGACGCGGATCGAATCGAGTTGTCGAACTTGGCGCGGCAGTTTCTATTCCGCGAGCACAACGTGGGGCAGCCAAAGTCGGTCGCGGCCGGCGAGATGGCGAAGAAGATGTCAAGGTGGCAGAAGAAAGCGGGAGGCAAAAACGAATTGAACATCCGGTCCCTGGAGATGTTCGTTGGCAAATCCACCGAGGAAGAGTTTGACGACAAGTTTTGGATGGATTTGGACCTGGTCGTCAACGCCCTGGACAACATGGAGGCCAGACTTTACGTGGACGACCAGTGCTGCAAGTACGAAAAACCGCTTTTGGAATCCGGTACCATGGGACCGAGCGGAAACGTGGATCCCGTGGTGCCGTTCATCACGAAAACCTACAGGGACGGCGGGCAGGCGTATATCTTTTTTCGCCGAGTTGTCTGTTTGTGTTTTGTCTTGATGTGTTTGTCGTGTCCTCTCACTCTACTGTTGCCAGCATTTATTCTTGTCTTCTACCAACATTTTCCCTGATTTACATCTCTATTAAAGTACGCCCTAAAAGTAAAATGTTAACGACCCAACTGATCTACATGAACAGTGCCCAGGGCGGCGGCATTCCCATGTGCACGCTGCGCAACTTTCCTCACCTGCCCGACCATTGCATCGAGTGGGCGCGCGACTTGTTCGAGATGGTGTTGGTAAAGACCGTGAAGTATTGCGAGGAAAAATCCCCCCTCCCCATACCAGACGCAGACCGGGATACTTCTGAAAATTTGTGATGCTGTTTTGAGACCACAAACCGTCGCTGTATTGCAAGAAGGCAAATCCAAAAACCTTGGCGCGTCCTGGTCCTGCAGGGAATTTGTAATGCTATACGGCCTACGGAGGATATACCGGCCTTGCTAGACGGCTACACCAAAACGCCCCTGCTCCGGTTTGGTATCCGCCTGTACTCCTTTACTGCAAGACAAGGCCGATTTGTGTACACGTATCCCGCATGGCAGATTTCCATTTCGATATGGGGAGGGGGGATTTTTCCCTTTGATATGAAACAGCTCGCAAAGTGCATCGAGGACGTCGACAGCTTCGTGGAGGAGGCGAATCTCGAGGCCACCACAGACGTCGCGCAGTCGCTCTTTGAAGCGAGGATTCTCCTGTCCTTCGTCACTGCGATCGAATCCCCCTCTCTGAAGGCCGCCGGGCAGGTCGCCTTCGACCTGTTCCACTTGCTGTTCCGGGACAAGATTTATCTCGTGCAAAAGTATCGTACTCGTACATAATTGCTATCATGCATGACAAGTATCCCTTTTTAGGTTGTGAATCAGCATGACAAATTCCATTTTCTTTTTGAAAAAACTTGTGATGTGATTTAAACTAGTACGATAGTTTTGCAATGCATAAGATTAAGGACCTCGTGACCGCGTTCCCGGAGAGCCACCGGATGATTGACCCCGAGACGAAGGCGGACAAGGGCCCCTTTTGGACCGGGCACAAGAGGTTTCCGAAAATTGCTGCCTTCGACGTGGAGAACAAAACGCACTGCGAGTTCATGATCGCGGCCACCAACCTCATCGCCGTGACGATCGGTGCAAATCCAGTGAAAATCGACGGGGACGACAGTTGGGTCAAGGAGCAAAGGACCAAGGACTGGCTGAAACGAGAGGTGCTAGGCGGCGGAAGTGGAGCAGCATCGTCACCTCTAAAAATCCCGGAATACATGTCCGGTGGGGTGAAGGTGGATGACGACCCGAATTTGGCCGACCAGCAAAACACCGCAAAACTGTCCGAAACGGAAGACAAGGAGGGCGCAAGTTCTTCGGGGAAGGCAGTCCTCGCCCGAGTCGTCGCGGAGTTGAAGCAGAAGTGCAAGGCTTTGGGAACAACAAAAAGTAAATCAAAAATCGCGGATGCCCTGGAGGAGGCGGATTTTGAGAAGGATGATGACTTCAACTTTCACATTTCGTTCATCACGCAGGCCGCCAACCTCCGGGCCGACAACTACTCGATCACCAACTCGGATTTCCAGAAAGTGAAACTAATCGCGGGCCGCATCATCCCCGCGATCGCAACCACGACCGCGGCGGTCACGGGCTTGGTGATTTTGGAGCTCTTTAAGGTGTTGTTGAAGAAGCCCGTCACCGCGCTAAGGCAGCGATTAGTCGGGCTAGCGACCAACACGTACACGAGCTTTGAGGCGGACGAGCCGAAGAAGTTGAAGTCGGGGGAATCCGTGGAGAAACCGGATCCGACGTCTTTGCCGAAAGACGCGTTCGACGAGGCGGGGAAGATCAAGTATCCTAAGGAAAAACGTCCGCACCCCAGAGTCAAGATGTGGGTTTTGCAACACAAACCTTGAAGTTTTGGGAGCCACGCATGACAAATAGCAGACTGTATTGTAGTGCAGGTTAGCAAGGGAAGTCGCATTACAAATCTATCTGCTTATCCTGTTTACAGCTTTACAAGTTCCAAAACGCGATCGCATATGCCTATCATGGGGATGCGCATTACAAATGCTCTTGTGCTTGCAGATCTGCATGACAAGAACTCGGGGGTGGGGATGTTTTTGCAGAGGATATCAAGGAGGAGTTTTTCATCAAGGAAAAGTACGCGGCCTACCCGAACTATGGATGTGTCAGGATCGAAATCGACAAAGTTGAAATGATTATGATTTGTCATGCATAAGATGCAACCCACAGAGTGCCTGTCTTGCAGAGTAGGCAAGTGAGGCAGGTTGTAAGCCTGTTGAGGGGTAGACATCGACATGGAGCTGCTAAAGTAGCACGACAAAAGGCGTCTTCCTTACCCAAACGGCATGACAAACTAGATTTCGGCTCTACCCAGATTTATTGTCATGCGCCACTGGGAAACTGGGTTAACACTGGCATCCATTTTATGCATGGCAAATCATCTATTCAACTTTGTCGATTTCGATCCTGACCGTTCCATACGAACCCACACTCCGTTTGGGACAAACTGACGGTACCGACGGGGGGCGCGATGAAAATGAAGGATTTTATGTCCTGGCTCGAGGACGACCACAACTTGGTCATGACCAATATGGCGTTCTCAAATGTTACATTCTCAGCTGTTGCATGAATTTGTGATGCTAAAACAGCAAGAGTGAAAGGGGGAAGATTGCGCCTCTTGCAATACAGGTCTGGCACAGGTTTAGATACTGTCTAGCCCTTCGAAAACTTGTCATGCGAAGCAGCTTGATGGTGTAGATGCTGATGAGAGTTTTGCATGACAAATTATGTAACAGTTGAGAATGTAACGTTTGAGAACGCCATAACCAATTGGGCCTTCATCATCGGACACAAGAAAGGTACTGTGTAAATGTGGTGCTCTACGTACTTTAATTCTTGCGCCACGACAGAATCGCTGTTTCTTATTCTTTGGGAGGTTACCTATACCTCCTCAATCGTATTCGTAACACAAATTCTTAGGTGGTGACGACGGCAAGGAGAAGATCCCCGTGTCCACCCAAGTCTATCCCTTCGCCATCGCGCTCGACCCGAAGCTGATTCCCGACCTGACGCTGGACCAGCAAACTGCGATGTCCAACATCATGAAATCCACCACCATTCCGCAGAATTTGAAAATGAAGTACATGAACGAGTGGAGGAACTTATCCTGTGCAAAAGTATCGTACTCGTATATTATTGCAATCATGCATTGCAAATCTTTATCTTAAGGTAAATCCGCATTACAAATTTTATCTCTCATGCTGAGGAAATTTGTAATGCATTTATACGAGTGCGATGCTTTTGCAGTTCATAGAACTGCAAAGCCACCGGGAAGCTTCCGGAGCCCGTGAACGCCGAACTGCAGATCAACAACGACACGCCGCTGGAGAAAGTGCTGCGCGTGATGGCGACCAAAGCGGAGCAGGCGGTCAAGGACGGCAAAATTGACGCCAAATTGGGGGCGACGATCACGCATACGCAGCTGGACAACGCGAAGTTCTGGCTGATTCCCTCCGAAGAAACGCCGAGCTGCGAAACCAACCCGACCTACGTCGACGGGGACGACGAGGCGGTGGATGTGAAGTATCTCGCCGCGATAAAAATCCCCTTGGTGACCGAAGGTGCGGGGTCGAGTGGCGACATGAAGGTGGAAGACGTGGAAATGGCGTAGAGTGACGAAGATTGGATCATATGATGGATGATATACACTCTGCCATTGTTTATGTTTGCTTGCTCAATCATGCTCATTCAAGATAAATTTTATACCGAAAGCGAAAAGTAGTAGATCTAGATTTAGATTTTTTGAAAGCTGTAATTATATGAACGCTGCCGCTGCGCTGCCCTTGCCTGTAGTGCCGTAATTCGAAACTGAGAATACAGCTTTGGCGAGGTGGACACACATGAAAAATACGCCAAGGTGATGCTCCAATGGTGGCACGCCTTGCGGTGCAAACAGTGGCTATGGCCAATCGCAGATGAATCCAGATGTTCACATTCACTTCAACTACTTGAGAAAAGGTTTCGTTTTGTGCGCTTCCATATCGAACCGGAACCACGACCACCTGAATTATACATCATGCTGTGGTTTTCTCGGTAAAACAGTTTGTCTCATCATGTATATTGACATTCATATTCTCGTCATCCCTGCTCTGGAGTGGAAGGACAACCTTGTGATATTGCGCAGGTACTTCTTTGCTTCAATTCACTCAAAGCCTATTCTGGAATTTGGGTCTCGTCCAGGTAGTAGCGCTTCCCCGCACATCAACACCTACAGTACTGAGTAAGAACCTAGCTTTCGTCATCATTGATGGTTCTCGGTCGGCGAAGAGAAATCCGTCGGTTGATGAACAAGAGGAGGCCTTTTTCGGAATAGATGAAATGAGACATATCGGTGGTCTTCCTCTTCTCGCGTGATACCCACACGGTAATTGGGAAACATCGGTGGGTTCGTGCCAGTCTGCAGTTCCGTGAGTGCAGCTTCTGGCAGGTACCGAAATTATTATCGTCTCGGGTCGTATTTTTGATCGACAGACACACATTGGTTCGTCCAAATATGGAACTGCTCGGTCAGGAAACGTTGAACATGAAAGTGTTTTTTTGTTCTTGCCCTATCACAGCCGGCATTTCACAACAAAAATAAATTCGTCGGTTGAAATGAATAAGTATGTCGCACAGGAGTTGTAGCAAGCACAGTTTCTTTTTCAACACCGCAACCTTCTTCACAATTGCTTGTACTTACGTCCCCTCTTTTCAAAGGCATTTTGATCTTGAGAATTTTGATCTAAAAAAGTACTTATGAGGTTTTGAGCTCTTATCTGTTCGCAATTACTTACTTTTTAAATTTTACTTTTTTATATTTTCCACGTGGGGTGAAGAACGTGGACAGTGACCATTTAAGAACCATTTCGGAACGTTGACAACATAAAGACGAGTTACTCTCTTTGGCTCAACAAGTGATTTAGGAACTCCCGAAAATTTAAAGATGGCAAAATCTTTTCGCTCGCGGCGTGACCCAAGTAGAGAACATCTTGTCGCGGCTAGTAGTGAAGAACATGCCGGATTTGGCGCTGACCACACCGGTGACTTCAACAAATCGCAAGAACAAGCTGAGACTTCGGTCTCCTGCTGGGCCAAGAATCCGGTTTTGTGGGTAGTTCTCACCGTCATGGGCTTCTCGCTGGTCATCTTTCTCGCGATCTATTTTTCCGTGACCGCGGCAAAAAGTCCTGGCAGCGCGAACGGCGGGGGCAACAATGGGAATAGTAACATCCCCAACCAGGGGGGCAACAGTGCCGGAGGTCGCGACGCCCGGATTCTGGCAAACCTCCCTGCGCACTACATAGCGTTTTCCTCGGAGGAGCCGCAGACGGCGGTCGAAGTCCAAGATGACGCGCGGCTGCGGGGCCCGAAGGCATCGCGAGAGCGGCAAAAAAAGTTTGTCGCGTTGAGCCCGGAGGTAGTAGCTTCCCAGCCACCTACTCCGCCACGACAGCTCGCGGGGCAGACGGTCGGGTACTACAGTTTCGCGTCCATTCCGGGCACGATCACCGTGAACGGCGAGACGCACGACAAGCAGTGGCTTCTGGATAACTTGCTGGTAAAGCAGCAGACGGAGTTTCGCACGGTTTTGCAAGAATTAGAGAGGCTCGGCCGCAAGAAAGGCCACTATATTTGGTGGGTGGTACCCAGCGATCGCTGGGGGCAGTTCGAGGCGCGGAACGAGCGGACCGCCGTGGCGAAAGACGCCTGCAAGGAACTGTTCGTGCGGCAGAAGTACAAAACCTTGGTTCTGTACGAGAAGATTCTGGAGAAATTTCTGGAATTGCTCCAAAACAACCCGACCGGACGCACAGACCCGGCATCCGGGAAGAAAATCCCAAACGCAGAGATCATTCCTGGCATCGACTTCGGGAAAATTCGGTTCTGGATCCTGTTCTACCAGCGGAGCTGTGAGGATGCGGATTGGGTGCCCGGCTGGTACAAGGACGTGGTGGCGCGCTGGGACCAGTACAAGTTTTGACGAAAAATCTTCTCGAGTGTTTTTGACATGCGAGGGGACCACAACGTCACTGGCTAAACTGGGATCGAAAAGTAGTGCTTGCTGTGGACTCATCGGAAATTTCCACGGTCGGGAGAAGCCTTGCCACGGAAGCCCTTATTGGCGCTCTGTTTTTCACTTTCTACCTCTTTATCATTTTCGTCTTCACTGTTGTCGTATTTACAACAGTGTGGTAAATTATCATTATATATAACTTAATATAGAGGTCACACCGACTGTCATCCTTGTATCTCGCTCTACTTCTACAACAGCCTTCTTTCATATTGCCAGCTTCATCGCCCCGCCACGTTTTTTTGTTCAGTCGGAGAACTAATAATATTGTTTATTGATGAAGATGATCATGACCCCTCGCCCTACCTTCTCTTATGATTGAATGCAAACACATACGCATCTCACAGTTCGCGTCCCTTCGGTAAGCTTCATCTGAGTAGAGTCGACAGCGCCTCGATGCATGACTATCCGCATTCGATTTTGTTTCGCCGCAGTGTTCCTCCTGAGCTTTGCTTAATTGTTCCGAAAAACAAAAAGGATCTTCTTTGGCCACGACCAGGATGATAGTCAGATGGCCAGTGAGATCTGCGGACAAGTAGAAGAAGTATCTCTCCGGTGCCGAAGATACGTGAGTGATGTTTCTTTTTTTGCAGATGAGTGATGTATAACTCCACTGTCATGGACGCCGGCGCACCTGGTTTGACGTTTTGGTATCCGTAATTGGCGAGTTGTCATGCGGGTCTGTCTCCGTTTCCGTTACACGTGACGAAACAATCTGTCGTCCAAATCAGAGTGGAGGTTTTTTTGGCTCTTGTCATTTTACCACGACCCTCCTTCAAGATGTTCTCCTCTGCGTCGTTTTTCACACGCAGCAGGAGGACGAACAACGGACCGACTTCTGGATCCTTCTTCCAACCCCGAGCGACATCTTCAGTGGTCAACTGTGAGGAAGTATCCTGTGCAAAAGTATCGTACTCGTACTAATTGCAAATATGCATGACAAATGTTCTTCCCAAGGCAAAACAACATTACAAATTTAACTTTCCTTCTTGCCAAAATTTGTAATGCAATTTATACGAGTGCGATACAATACTTTTGCAATGCATAGGAAGCCGGTACCGGAGCCACTAGCTCGTCGGATTTGTTTCAAATCACAGGCGCTTTCACCGAGCTGGGCAAGGGCGTGCCGCTGAACCCAAAGTACGACAATGCGCACCACATGGGGGCGCACAGGTGGGGGTACGAGAAAGTGCCGGACTCGCAGATGGCCGGGCAGAGGCAACACGGGGAGGTAAGGTGTGGTTTTTGTTTCCAAACCTGCATGCAAAGTAATTTTTCAGAGCCGACAAAGCACAAGAACTCGATCACGTTTTTAGATGTACGTGACGACGAGGAGATTCAGGTTCGTGGTCGCACAAATTCAAATCGACCATGTGTCTTTCTTCCTAGAGTCATGTTTGTAAGCTCACTGCTGCAAGAACCATGTTGTTTTATGTGTCACAAAAAGCAAAACAGCTCTTCGATACGAAGAACCATTCGACGCCGATTGCGCCCTACCCTTCGGACAGTCGTGGGTTCCATGCCATGCCGCCCTCGGAGGATCGTATCTAATTTGATGCCTCAGGAGAGTGTAGCTAAAACATCTTGAGCGTCATGATACGATGGTCATCATGTTGTTCACTTGTGAGAAATTCAAATTTCATCAGGTTTGCTACGGGCTTTGCACGCTTACTGTTACTACAATTCTTGCAATTCGAAAAATTCCTGACAATAATGTCATCAACAGGTATCAACCTGAGTTACGAGAACATGCTTGGTGACGAGATGTCGCTGGCCCCGCCGACCGCTGGGAAGTTCCAGTCCGAATGGCAAAAGAAGATCGCATACCGGTACGGGCTGTACCAGCCGAGCTCCATGAATGCGGCAAAATCCGCCGATGACATTCGATTGTCAGTGAACGAGTTTTCCGACAAGGTGCTCGCGGATGACCCGAAGGACGCGTGTACTAAGAGTTGTTTCAGCTACATTTCTTGAACAACAGAGGGCAAGCGCAATAAGTATAAGAAAATTTGGCATGCGCATGATGCGGAAATGCATATACAAATTCAGGTAAGTACCTGCTGATTGAGGAATACCGATGCTTGCAGACGTACCAGTACGAAAAACAGCCAGTGTATGGGAGTGTCAGGATCCAATTTGACAAAGTTGAAATAACTTGTAATGGATAAAATGCATAACGCGGAATACGTGTGTTGCAGAGCAGGCAAGTGACGCCGATTATAAGCCTGTTTGGGGTTATTGCTCGAGCTGCTAAAGCAGCAGCATGAGAGAACGACCAATCTTCTTCGCCTAAACAGCATCACAAACTGGATTTAGGCACCACCAAAATTTGTCATGCGCCACTTGGAAACTGGGTTCCAAGTTCAACTGGCATCCATTTTGTGCATGACAAATCATTTCATTTGCATGACAATCTCCTTACATGTCATTTCATTTGCATGTCAGGCTAGATCTCCTGCGTCCGAAGCTGCTTGCGGCGACGGTGCAAAGGTTTTTGATGTGGCGCAGTCGGGTATGCATGACAAATCATTTCAACTTTGTCGATTTCGATCCTGACGGTTCCATAAAGTGGACGCCAGTAAGCGGTGTGTGAAGTGGTACGACGAGTTTCAAAAGTGCAAGTGGGACCAACACAAGTTCAACAGTGGATACACCAGCGTCGAAGGACCCGCATTGAGCACGAAGCGCCGGCCCTACATCTTCTACCCGGACTTCAAGTACGCGTAAAAAACTACAGGGTATTAAAGCAAACAGGACCCGGTCGCATTCGCAACGGACCTAGAAGGATAGTTTCCGAGCACCACCCCGAGGTGATTGTGATGAGTATCTATCACACCTTGCTGTTGCAACAGCGTTAACTGTTGTGACTTGTCTATTTGAAGACAAGGTTTGCTCCTTTCGAGGAATAAAGAACCTGGAAGTGCAAGAACGTGGTAGCATCAGACAGCTGTTCTTCTTCTTCTTCTTCACAAGAATTATGCAGTCTTCGTTCCGCTGGAAAGCTAGCTGTCGGCGAGGACGAGAACCCTGCGAGGACACAACGTCGGGCTTCTTGGTTTCATTCATTCCGTACGGTGTTCGAACTTGGCTATTCTTTAAGTTTAAGTTTAGACTGGCGATGCAGCACGCCCACGCAGAGAAAGGGAACGACTGTAGTTGCGTGCAGTACAACCTGAAGACTACGAGGCTCGGCTTTTTTCTGGCGGTTCAAACAAAGTGGTGAAAGATCCAACGTCGATCAGCATCACGATGATTCTAAACCCCTCGGGGATTTCCATTCCGCGGCTTGGTACTGGTGTAAGAACGACAATAGTTGCAGCATTTTACATGTTGATCTTACACACAAGCAGGAATAGTGTAACACTTTTGTAAAGAAGCGCGCCGATGAAGTAGAACCAGTAAAGTATTATCTTCGTTTCATCTAGTTTATTGTAGCTCTGCAGCAGAGAAAGAGAAACTGGAATTATGGGTGGCGCTCCGTCCCGAGTGCTGGACGACGTGTGGCTCGGCGGGTCCGACGCCATCAAAAACGCGGACTTTTTCACGAAAAACAACGTCGGGTTCGTTTTGTCCGTGTGCGAAACGCGGCCGAAGGATTTCCTTGTGGAGCAGTGTGACCTGAAAGTTTTGCACATCAACGTACAGGATGTCGAAGAGACCGGTTTGCTGGAGTACTTCCCGCTCATCAACGCGTTCTTGCACACTTCTCGGAGCTGTAATTGGAGTCGTGAAAAAAGAGAACACGAGGAGCCATTACGACCAGTCGCAATTGCGGGGGAAATAGTTGTTGACGCAACAGATGATCGGGGCAGCTGCCCAGTTGCAGTTGGAGGAGGTTTGGCTACAACAAGTTCCTCAAGCTCAAATTGTCCACCCGAGCAAGAGATTTCAACCTTATCAAGAAAATTTTTCTCGCACCTGGGCGACGAGGCAGCCAGTGTCTTTTCAACAACTACAGCGCCGCAGCTTGTTATTTCACGGAAAAACAAGCGTCATGAAGATCAAGATTCCTCGAGGCAGGACGAGGACAAAGACAATGCGAAAAGTAGAAGATCACGAGGACGAGGACGCGCTGTCTACATCCACTGTCAGGCCGGCATTTCTCGATCCACGACGAGTTTCGTCTGTTACCTCCTGCCTTGGTTGAGAATCTCACTCTCTGACGCCCTGGGTCACGCGCACCGCTGCCGGGACGCCATTTGCCCGAATCCGGGCTTCATGTCACAGTTGGCAAAGTGGGAACACGCGTTGAGAAAAGCCAGGAAGGGAAGAACAATGAATCCCGCGCGGCCTTTATCTTCAGCTCCGGTCGGGGAGAAAAGTCCGAGTACAGCTGCCGCGTCGTCCCCGCCAGGCGACAATTCCTCGTCGCTGGGTACAGCCACGTTTTTCTGCAGAAGAAGCAACATGGAAGAACCGGGACGAAATTCTACCTCTAGCTCCACCCGAGAACTGATTGTGCTTCGGACGGGCATTGACCATCGGCCCTTCACGCTGCAGGACGTGCTCGACACATTGGATCAGGTCGGCACTACCACAGTGGACACCACCAACGCCGAGCTAAAGCAGCGCGACTTCGCCTTTCTCGCGAAGACACTGGAAGACCACGAGGGGGAGGGGCTGATGTACAAGCGAGCGAAGTATCTGTACTGTTTCGGCGGCGAGCCGGTGGAGAAAGAGTTCGAGAAGCTGGTGCAGGAGTTCGAAGACAAAGACATGGCGCAGTACGGATACGAACCCGAGAAGTACCTCGCTTTTGTCGAACCGAAGACGAAAAAGAAGCATCGCGTGGTCAGGAAGGACAACCCGCACGAGGACCCGTATTTCGGGCTGCAAAACCCGTCCATGCGAAGAATGGCAGGCGTGCCGATCACTTTCGAAGCCTCCACGGGGGGCACGACTACGACAACTTCATCAGGTGGATCGGGTGGGGGCGAGGAAGAGGAAGAAAGCGAAAAAGCGGTAGACGTACTGTCCGAAGACACGTATGGCACTGCTTTTGGCACGAAGGATTTTGACGCGCAACGGAAACGCCTGCGTGAGTGCGTGATGTCTAGTTACGAAGGGAAAGTGCCCGAGGGCGTGGGCTTGCAGTGGTTGATGAAGGAAGAAGATTAGGAGTGCGACAGTGAATGCGAAGAGACACGATATCAACCCTGTTCCTGCGCTTTCTGTGCTGGGTGTCGAAAAAAGAAAATTTCCTGATACAGAACGAGAACTGGCGACGAAGATAACTGACCTGACAGCAACTGCGGTGGTCAGTGATCTTCTGCCCCCCTGGCCGGTCTAGCTTTTTTTTCCTCCAGGTCCTTTATTCACCCTGCTTCTCCGCGAGGTGTTTTTTTCGTAGCCTTCCATCTGAGGCTTTCTTGTGAGACCGACTGGGAGCGGCAGTATCGATATGTTGAGCGAACATTTTTTTTAGTGTGATGCGGTAGAGCGAGAAGTTGGCTTTACTCGAAACATTCAAGAAACGTGCCAGACCTGTAGAAGCTTTACTTGTAAAAACCAGAATATATCTTTATCTATGAAGTGCCGAATCTTCTCGTTTCAAGTTGAAGTAGTTCCCGCAGCCGTCGATGCCGAGGCCGGGCATCAATGAGGGAAGGATCACAACATGACAAAAGGTGCGGCAGCCACACCACCTGGGTTGGAGACCGTCCCGTCGGTTTCGGTTATGCCACTGCAGATGAAAAGGGACTTTTTTGGAGGTACACCGGATTTTTGTGTTTGCGCTTTTCGTTGTGAGTGCCCACTCTTTTTCTTGTACCTCCTTTTCCGAATCAGTATCATGCACAGGTACTATCGCATGAAGATGTTGAACAACAAAGTACACACCTAGGTGGAATGTCGTCGTATGACGAAGGAACTCCGAACGCTAAATCTTGTTCGGTGTCTGGTCCTCTACCGATCAACGGGGGAGCATGCGCGGCAGCACATGTTGAGGGCGAAGAACCGTTGCAGTACGACAGCGGGCCATTCCAATTCAATGCCAGAGCCAGTCCGTCGAACAGCTGCATGAAACCGAAACAGCATCCCGACGTTCTTGACCAGGCCACTACAACACGGGCAGCCAAATCTGCGTCGCCGGCAGGAGAAGTGAAAACTCCGAGCGCGGCTCCCTCTTTGAGCAGTCGACGTCCGTATCTTTACGCGGCGGCGGCGGGAAGTAGCACATCCGGGCGCGCAGCTGATCATCTTCGGTTAGGAGGAGGCTCACCGAACCTGTGGCGTGATGAAACTTCGAATCACACACCGACGCCGATGATGTATCTGTCCTCTAGAGGTGCTGGTAAAAGCCCTCGCTCCGTCCTCGGCTACGCCCCCGGCTGCAGGAACACCAACACCGCCAATACCAGCGTATGGACGAAAACACGTAAGGAGGAATTACAAGAGAGTCCAAGCAACCGTGACAAAACGGTCTCAACTACGAGAAAAGCTACGACGTCGTGGGGGGGCAATAGCTTTAAGACTGGCACGACGAGCTTCGGCCGTTTATGGGCGGAAGAGACGGACCGGCTTCGGCAACAGAAAAATTCGACTTTGTTCAACCGAGAAGTAGCTTATCTGCCGACGCTACTGAAGGAAGACGAGGATGCGGAGCGGAACAACATCAGCAGAGAATTGCCGGGAGGGACTGCAAAAGATCCTCTGTTCTTTTCCAACAGCTTCTCTACTTTGAAGGGAAACAATGACCAGATGGAAAACGAGTATCAGTGGCAGCTGTTGTCGCCGCGCCCTCCGTGTCGAACGAAGCAAAAACCGTTTGGTCCTCCAAGTGGCGCAGCAAGCACTTTCCCGTCTTTCGAGGCAATGCGGGTCAATTCTGGCAGCTGGCCCGCAACTTCTACACGGCGTCCTTTGCAATGCGCAGCAAGATCTTCGCGTTTCTCGTCGATTCTTGCGTGTTCCGACACCTCCGGGAATAGTGGAGCAACCGCATCAGAGGTCGACGAAAGCGAAGCTCCGTCCGGTTCAACATCCTCAAGATCCAGGTCGTCTTCTTCTGGTCCCTCTTTCGGGCGGCGGTTTAGGAAAGAAGGAAGCGTCGATGATCAAAAGTATGGAGGCCGCGGCCAGAAACCACCACACCGCATCAAGAAGCGAGCTATCTGCTGGAAGCGGGCGGAGCGCCGGGTTGCGCGACTGCAGCGGTGCGTCAAAGAGGCGCAGATGCAGAGCGAGGGTGACAACTTGTTTCGTCTGGCCTCGTCGAACACGAAAAATTCTTTCGGAAAGAACACTAGCCACAGCACTTTCGGTCGTACTACGGGGCTGGATTTGAAATTCAGCAGCAATGATCGAACAGGAACAGGCGATCACTGTGGTTTTGCTGGAAACAAGGACGACAGCAACCTGAACCACAACGAGTCCTCCGATTACCCGGCGGACGTTCGGATTGGCTACGACATACTGGGCGAGATGACCACTGGCACTAGTGTGTTTCAGCCACCCAATATCCACAGAATTTTTACCGCCACCGCCAAAAGTAGCACTTTTTCATGGAAAAAAAAAACAAAAATTTAAAAAAATTCCCAACTCATTCCATGCTGATCATGTGGTAAATCATGTATCTATGCTATGAGAGTAGCTAGAGTGATGCCCTAGTGGAGCGCAGTAAAAGATATTTAACTAGCTAGGCCCATTCGTCAGGAGGTTCGTCAAAAGCCGCAAACTCGGTGGACAGGAGCTGGTTGGCGGTGAAGACGCCAGCCATGAGCTTGAGAAAATGCCGCATGGCGGTAAAATTTCTGGGGCCGTAGCGCCGTGTTATTTTTACCGCCACACTCAGTTTTCGACTTTTTCAAGAAAGCTGAGACTTTTCTGAAATGATCTCAGAACTTTCTCAAGTCTGCTTTTTTCCACGAAGTCATGTTTTTTTCTGGCGGTGAAAATAATCACGGTGGTATGGCCTCAAAATTTTTACCGCCATGAGGCAATTTCTAAAAGAAAGTGACGACTTTTTGACTTTTCAAATCCACCATAGCATCGGTAGAACTTTTACCGCCACGATTTTAATGGAAAATCAATGAAAAAGTGGCGGTAAAGATTCCACCGGTGCTATGCTGAGATTTTTGAGTCAAAAACGAGCATTTTCTAAAAGAAAAAGCGTCGCGGCGGTAAAAATTTTGAGGCCCTAGCACCGTGATTACTTTTACCGCCAGAAAAAAGCATTACTCTCCCACATTTTTTGATTTTTTCTGAAATTTTTTGCGATTTGTCCTGTCGCAAAAGATGACAAACAACAACTTTGTGCCAGCTGAGCTAGTGCTAGACCATCAAGTGAAGATGACCAACTCCGAACCCATAAAAGCCAGGCCCTTCGCTTTCCTCCCATGTCGCCACGCGGTGGTCTACAGCGGCGAACAGGTGCTGTGGGCCTCGGGCGTCGCCTTCTTCACCCGGATCGCTGTTTGGGCCTAGCTAGTTTATCCTCATTTACCTAATGCGCTTCCACTGGACATCACTAGCTACCTCGAGCTACTAGATTACGTCAGACAAATCTTGCTACGTAGCGCCTGAAATTTTTTGATTTTTTTTTCAAAAAAAGCGATGCTTTTTTGCTATTTTTGGCGGTGGCGGTAAAAATTCTGTGGATACCCAACATGGTGTACGAGACCGACACTAGTCTACCAACAAGAGTGTTGCGGAGGTCATTTGCGCAACCAACGGGACGGCCGCAGGGACAAGAAACAAGAAGTGTTCGTGCGAGAAGGGCGGCTTCACGAACAAAAAGTACAGGGAGAAGTAGGAAAAAAAGGGAACAACGGAGCTGCAACACTGCACATATATCTGGCAGTACGAAATCGCGTCGGCGATCGCAGTCTTCGGGAGGGTTGTCTTCGAGGACATCGCGATCGAGGAGCACAGTCTCGTTTTCTGGCAAGGAGCACGCCGATAATACGACATCGCGAACAAGGCGAAACAAAAAGTGCAGCTCGTCACCCGCTTCGCGGCGTCGGGCGGACCGGAGACGTTCAAACTGCAGGTTCGGATCTTCTAGTAGAAACGGCAGAAGGAAATTCACAGACCACGACAAACATGGTCGTCAAGATGTTCATCTAGGCTTCAACGATTCATCGGAGGACAAGATCAAGAAGAGCAGGGATGAAGATCAACAAGCTGCGATTTGTTCCGAGTTTTTGCGCCGGACCGGCAGTTTTCAGCCGTCAGGGCCAGCTGACACCAGCAGGATTTCGCCAAAAGAACGGTTGTTGTATGTGCACCAGCCGCGGCGGTTGGAACAAACACAAATATTTAAGCACGAGCACAGGAATCGAAGTGAGCATGATCGAAGTGAAACAGCAACGCCGCGCGAAGGACGAAGGGTGCCTTCTTCTGTTTCGCTCACACCAGCTGCTGCGCCACACAACAGGGACTTTCTTCAGCCAGATACTGCTATGTCGCGGGGAGCAATGCGTGCAACTGCAAGTGATATGTTGAACGGCTCAACATCCGCACAAGCATCGTCAAGCCGACATATGATTTCCGCCCGCTCTGCTGCTCCCGCGGCAGTGCCGAACGCCAACGTCGCAGCGAAGGACGAACTGACACACAGCGCAGCCTCAACCCTGATCACCACGAAATGCTGCTACGAGGAGGATATGTTGGGCGATGCAGGTGCAGCAGCAGGAGGACAACGAGGATATGGACATCAACAACACGAAGTAAAAGCGGTTCCTGCATCATCTTCAAAAGCTGTGTTCCGCCCAGACACCGCGACGCCGGGGGATCACCACGTGACCATCGATGATGGCATTTTGAACTCTTTCAATCTCCCGCTTCCAGAGCAGAAGTTGCTGGGCTGCTCGGGGGATGACGAGCATCTTTTCCTCCGTGGTGTCCAGCAGCATCAGTGCGCGCAACTGCCGTATCCGCCGTTACTCGCAGAGCAACGGGGATTTGTTTACAAAGACGATCAGCAGTGTCTCTCGGTCCTCGGACGACGAGGGTCCCCCTCCTTGTTTCAAAACACGAATATTGGTAACCGCGTTTTTCATGATGAGGACGCGATTTTTCCTTCAGGACCTGACACTTTTTCCCCACTGGGTGGGAGCAACATCATGATGTGTATGGGCGGACAGCGCGATGTCGTCCACAACACCGATTTCTATCCGAAACCGCTGCCGGATTACATCAGCGCGGACCTGCTGGACCTGTTGTCTGAAGATGCGGACTACGACTACCTCTTTGAAGGCCCGAACGGCGGGGCCGCTGTTCCGGAGGAAGTAGATGGGATCCCGGCCGCTGCGCTGCCCATGGAGCATTACCACGGGAACAACCTGTTGAACGAAAATTTTCAGGAAAAGCACTTTCATCACACTAGAACAAATAGCTGCTCCTACTACCCGGCCCGCCTGCAGATGAGCATGGCCAGCAACCGCCCAATGTCGAGTCCGAAAAGTAGATCTGCTCGTCCCAATTTCGTGTATTCTCTTCCACCGTCTCAGCACCCGCAGCGACAGCTGCGTGCGTCCACGGGTAAGTCTTGGCGTGAGGACTCATTGATAGAGGACAACAAGCAGGAGATTAATCTCCACTGGAGCTACCGAGAGGACGTGTTTGATGAGCAGGCAGTTGAAAAACCACCTCAGCGCTGCACCAGTAACGAAAACTGTGCGCTTTATTTGCACGACACGGACAGCATGGAGGACCAACACATACTCACCAAATTACAGTCCCCGACGGTCCGCGTTACCGAACAACGGTTCCACTTCCGGAAAGAGGAACTACAAGAAGAACTACCGCGAAGCGATGTCGAAATACATCAGCAGGGTCGCGGTCGTGGTGCTGGTGGTGCTTTATTCAGTGTCGCCCCCGCACACGCACTAACTCCAGGTCCCGCTGCGTTCAGTTATCTTCACCAAAACTGCAGCACTATTGCAGGCGCTCCTTCGGGAGGTGATGAACCGAACTGGATCACTGCCTTCGGCGCTCGTGGCGCATTCGTTGATGGTACCATCGGTAGAAGCGGCGTTTCATCGATCGGTGCCGACACGACGTCACGGTTTCATCTTCATGGCCTGCGCGGCACGATAGTACCGAAAGAACCGCTCACGGGCAATTTTTCCACGCCGCGATCGGGTGTTGGCAAAAGCGCTGCGAGGCGATTGCGAGTTCGTGAGCTGGAACCGAATCCGAAGTGGCATGAGGAAGGCTTGTGTAGTTGAAGGTTTTCATGATTCCACAAGAGAGTGAAAATATAGAGGAATGAATGTACGTTTACGTAGGCCGCAAATTTATCGAGTTTCAAAATCACTCAGTAGTTCCATAAGTGTTAGTGTTTTCCCAAGGCGCGCACAAATGCAAGTAGTTGTGTTTCAATTTTCTCCACTCAGTTCTAAATCAAAATGAAAGTTTGTTTCAGGAGTAGTTCCTATGTAGAGCTGTGCTGCTGTACATGCGAGGAAAAAGTAAAAGTGCATATAGTCTTTTGTACATATCGTCGATCGGTGGAATCGGAAAGCAAGGGTGTTGGGTTTCTCATGACTGGATGAATCTGTGAACTCACGGCTGACTGCCATATGTACAATCTTGTTCTGACAAGTGGTTGCGGTAAGTAGTGAAAAAATAGTTGAGAAACCGAAAACGCAACGCCGTATTGAACTGTGCGTCCGTCGCGGGTCCTATGGCTGGTCAGAGTGATGTCTTGACGCTCCGGGCGCAGGCACTTCTTGCAGCTGGAAACTACAACCCGGCTCCACCTAGTATTCAGTGGGCAGGTCCGAGTCCTTGTACAAGTTCGCGTCTGGTTTATCGTGGTCCCATAGTTGTTTGCGCAAGGGAGCAGGGCGGATAGATCGTTGGCACCAACAGTTGTTGTGATCGTTCTTGACGATGGAGTCGTGGGACGTAAGTTAAAAAAAAAACAGCGGCCTCTGCCGTGGATATGCAGTAAGCATTGCAATGGTAAATAATTATGTCGTCATCGTGGGATGAAGTGGTCGTCTCGCCCTCGGCTTGGCGTTTATGGTTGATTTTTGTCGTTGTCGTCGTCGTACTTTCCATCCCGCCACACACCGCTTCGTGCAGTGATGACATGATATCGAACATGATAACGGGGAAGTGGTCTGCGACGCTTCTCAAAGTTCTTTGTGGTTGGCGCATCTTCATACAACTTGATGTCCTCTTCGCTTTGTGAGCATACATCAGGCTAGGTTTTTTTCAACCGTGGTGCGTGGTGCGCCGTTTTTTCAAAGGAAATTTTCGGAAACTTACTTGTTTATCCGCATATTGCCTGTGTATCATGAGTCGAATCGCTACTGCTGAAACTCCCGGCGTTTCCGCCTCCGGTGCTCCGACACCCAAAGCCAAGCAGAAAAGCGTCAGTTTTAGTCGGGCTTTCAGCTATGAATTTGCGGAAGAAGAACCGGAGCTGTCCCCGGAGGAAATCAAGAACCTTCCCGTGAAGGATACCGGGCCGCTAGCCGGTGTGTTTGAGCGGGTGGGAAAGTTGCAGACGCTTGGCGGCACGATCATAGGCGCATTATCCCCCTCAAGCTCAAGAGGAAGATCATCTGGGGAGGCGGGTGGAGAGCCGAAACTAGATGTCACGAGGCTACCAGAGGCCAGGAAGACGAAAGCAGAGGAGGCAGTGCATCCGGTATCTATATCTAATCATGTGGCGACAGGAGAAGTTGTGAAATTCGAATTTGTCTAGTACTAAATCTTTTCGAAGAGCGGCAAGTGGATTCTGAAGTGCTGAATTGCCATGTGTAGTATGTTGCGTTTGTAGCATGTAGATGTGGATGACGCGGGGACAAAATTAGAATAAAAACTCGATCAGGTGCTAGCCTTCTGCGGGTGTCCTCTTTTCTGTGGCTATTTCTGTTGTCTTGGCTTCGTGAAGGGTGTGCTCGCGAAAGAGGCTTACGAATCACAGGAAACCCTGGCAGCTGCTTCTGGTCCTCCGTCGCCCGTTGTCATGATAGCACCGAAGTCGCCTGTAGGAGGTGCTACATAGCGGCGGCGGTGGAGTGAAGCATCGATTTTTGTGAAGGTTATGGACGCGAGACAGCCGCGAAGAGTGTCATCATGAACCTATTTTTGATTGCGAAGTGCGTTTCAATAACTGCTTGCGCCGTCGGCGTCGTGTGGTGCGATTTCGAAGACAAAGCAAAGCAAAGCAACCAATGTCCTCATGCCACTGCATCTGCTGCGCCGCAAGCACAAGCACCAGCTTCTTTTCATGCGTCACTGTCGGTCCTCAAACCCCCGACGTTGTAAAACCAAAATTCGTGTAAGAAGGTCGAGCGTGTTTTGAAAGAGGCGAGGGCTCTCGTCATCTTCACTGTGAGAAAAAGTTCATCTCTAGAGTGATTCTGATTGCGCTTTGAGGGCAAGGGAATCGAGGGATTCCTACGGAAATAATCCGTCCACTGGTTACACCTAATTTTTCCGGAAGAAACGAAGTTAGAACCAAAGACCAAATAACACCAGCTATGGGCGCAGGTAGCACCGACGGGCCTCATGTCACCGTGAGCGTGAGCTCGAAGGGTGGCGGGGGTGGAGGTTGCTGCAGCGGTTCCACCTCGTGCAAAACCACAGCCAGTTCCTCTTCAAGCCGGGGTGCAGAAAAAGTCCAGTTCGCAGCAGCGCCCGAAACCGTCGTTTCGCCAGCATTGACAGCAGCAACGTCTTCTTCCACAACAACAGCGACTGCTAATGCAGGCACAATACAAGAACCTTTCGAGTCCTCGATAGGAGCGCCAGGTCGCGGGGTCGCCGGAAGAAACATGCACGAAGCCGCACAGTACAGTAAAGCAGATAAACCCACATCTCAGCTTACTCCACTATGGGCCTGCAAGTTCCTGTATTTTCTCCAGCTGGGGTGTGCAGCGTCGCTGGTGCGGTTCCTGGTGGTGCTCTACACCGACCTCGGGATTGGGCCGAAGTTTATCGGGTACCTGATGTGCCTGGATCCGCTGATGTGCTTCGTTGGGCAGATTTTCTGGGCTTCCATCTGCGACTTCACGAAAGTACACAAGCTCGTCTTGTCCATTTCCTCCGGGCTCGCGGTGGTTTTCTACCTCGGGTTAAATGCGTACAAGGAGAATCTAACCTGCGTCTTCGTGTTCGTGGGGCTCGCCGCATTCTGCCGGGCCGGCGCGCAGGGAATCCAGGACGCGCTGTGCCTGTCGGTGTTGAAACAGCATTCTGGTAGAGATTTTCAAGTTGCAACATGAGCATTTCTCGCAGCTTCGTCACGATGAGAAATTTATTTTCGGCATGTAGGTATAAGACAAAGGCAAAGCGAAAGACCACAGCTGGGCCGCAGTCTTTTTCCTTGTGCGCACCTCCACCTCGAGACGTTTAACACTGCCCGCGCGCAACAATTTTTGTTTCCAGGTGCCGAAGACGACGAATCTTACGGCGGGCAGCGCATGTGGGGCGCGGTGGGGTGGGGCACGATGGCGTTCTTGACGGGGTTTATGGTTGACCACTACGGCACTGGGTACATGTTTGTCTCCTACACGGTCGGGACACTGATCTCCATCACGGTCTTGCTGGTTTATTTCCCCGGCGGGGCGCCGGGCGACTTGGCGGTCATGTCCCCGACTTTCACGCCGGCTGAAGCGAGGAGGAAGAAGCTGTTGCGGTATTAAGGCGAGTTTTGGGGTTGTATGATTGAAAATGATCTTCAAGACTTACACTCCATGCGCGTATGAACATGAAGCGCATGATCTTAGAATACGGCGTGTGTGAAGATGTCCTTGATCATCCGCAGCACAGTCCTGCTCTTATCTCGCGCGTCAGCACAACACAAACACAATTATGTCAGGTTTCGCGCCATGTGGTTCTTCGCGAACCTGGTTGTTTACGGCACTTGCATGGCCATGGTGGAGACCTTTCTCTTCGTCTACCTGGAGCGTGATTTCCAGCCGCCGGCGGAGAAGTCGCTGCTGGGCCTTTCGATCGCGGTGATGTGTTTGTTCGAGCTACCGGTGTTTTTCTACTTTAACCGGGCCTTGGAGATCCTCTCCGAGAGGACGGTGTTGAATCTGTGTCATCTAGTCTTCGCGTTGCGGTGCCTGCTCTACGTGATGCTGCCCCGCGACCAGGTGTGGACGGTGCTGCTGGTCGAGCCCTTGCACGGAGTAACCTTCGCCGCCATGTGGACTGCCAGCGTGCACTACGCCCAGAACAACGCGCCACGAGGTACTTTTTTATTTTTGATCATCATGTCAGAAGAAAAAGAATAGAACTTCTAAAACATCGAAATCCTCATGGTAAGCGTGTTTGGAAATTTGTTCTCGTCTTGATTTACTGCCTAGTGTAAGCGTGCGTGGTGCAGCTGCTCCGCAGACTGGCAGTGCCATAGATCGTTATTTTTTAATTTAGATTCCTATCGCGCTGGTCCTGGTCGGCCAAATTGAAATCAAACCCAAAGATCTTGAAGATAGGATTCATTTAGAGATGTAGGCGCTGTGGCCGCTACTTGCTAGCACCTCCTTCGCGTCAGTACTTCTACCTGAATTTCACCACTTCTTACAATGCAATGGTGATTCCTCAGTCTTCCAGCTTGAGATCGGATCGCAACGCTCTGAGACAAAATCGCAGTTCTCATTCGGGATTCTAGCCACAGAGGGAGAGCCTCTTTCTGAGCGGGCCTCTTTTCTGCCATAGTTTCCCAAAAATACTGATCCAATACACAACCGCTTTAAATGGGGTGTGGCGCTAATGAAATGCACCTCACTCTGGCGTTTGAGAATTGGGACATTTACTTTTCAACCTCGTCCTGCAGCGATCTACTTCACCTTGATCGGTCGCTGAAACAGAGCAAGTCGAAACCGCGTGATGAAAAATTGTGTGTCTGGTGAGGTTTTTCAGACCAGCAGATGGTTTCTTCTAGGGAAGCTTGGAACGCCCAGAGTGGGTCTACGCTTTCTCAATGAATTTTGGGTCTGCGTCCCATGCCTGCTTTGGGTCATGTACAAGTCACTTTCTGGTGGTGACTGTCTGCTGGTCTGAACTCCGAGGATAATCAACAAAGGATTATGAGAGCTGAGACTGGTTTTGCGGTTGCTCAAGTCATTGACACTGACTTCCACTTTATTTATTAGTATGAAAAGCAAGGGAAAGTCCACTATGATGACACAAACTAACATTTCCAAAGTTCTTTGCTGAAGCGCTCGCGCTCAGTGTTGAACAAAAAGTAGGGTAAAAGCTGACAGTAAGCAAGAATGATATATCGTGCGCCTCGTATGACAGAGTCTTTGGCCGTGCGAACGGAGTAAGTGCATGAGTCATGTTTCTAAATTCGACCGGTCTATTCTTTGTATTCTTGCTACTGTGATGACAGAAACTATAGAACCTTCAACAAGTTCTGCGTCTGAAGCGCTCGCGCTCAGTGTTGAACAAAAAGTAGGGTAAAAGCTGATCAAGCAAGAAGGATGTACTGTTGCGCGTGGTGCTAACGCATGACAGAGAATTTAGTCCTTGCGAACTGCGCTCGTTGAGTAATTCATTGTTCTAGAAGATACTGGTCTATTTCTGAAATTGTGATGACAAAAACTATAGAACCTTCAACAAGTTCTCCGTCTGAAGTGCTCGCGCTCAGTGTTGAACAAAAAGTAGGGTAAAAGCTGACACCACAGAAATAAGCTTTACAACGAATACTTTACCTACTAGATGCAGCAGCTACATGTTGACAAGTGCTACATTGAAGCGCAAGTCCGCATGAGAAATGACTTCTCTCAACACCTCTATCAGGGCTCGAGACCACGATGCAAGCAGTGTGTAACGGACTTTACCAACAGCTTGGTTTCTCTATCGGCTCCCTCTTCTGGGGCCGCGTGATTGATTCTTACGGTTTCGATTTTGCCTACTACGCCTGTGGTGTGGTGGTTCTCGTGTGGGGCGCGGTGTGGGCACTTGGGTGGAGAATCCACGAGAAATACGAGGTGCAAAACGTCGCCCTGCAGCGAAAACTGCTGTTCGACGCGTGAAGGAGCGGAGGGACAGCGCAGCTACCGGACGAGCGCTTCAAAGGCGCGTGTCAGTACCAGGACCGCGGTTGACCTCTTGCGAGGGTACGGCTATGGAGCTTGTCCTGGCTTCAAAAAAGACTCCCGATGATCGAGACGGATGGATCAATCCGACAGGATGTGTCAGTCCGTTTCTTTGTGAAATCTGATGGATGCCGCATTTCTGCGATCTTCACTGGTTGGTGGTGCCACGACATCTGTATGAATTGTTTCAAGATGGTACTACGTATGTATGAACTGTTTCTAAATGGTGCGATAGCGGCCTCTACTTACTATTTTTTGAAGATTTCATGATATGATAGGTATAGGATGGTTCGAGCGCGAAAAAATCGACTTTCAAACTGTTTCCGTTTCGATGTAGCAACGAAATCTGCATTTGGAAATGCGGAGCCAGGGGCGCAGCCGTTTTTCCGTAATTTTTCTGTGTTAATGACTTTGTGAACCTGCGCATACACTTACGTGCAGCTGAAGCTGTCGATGCAGAGCACCGTGATCCAAATTTTCCAAACTTCAAATAATCCAAACTTCCGTATTTTTTGTATCATGTAGTCGTGGATCTCTCAAAATCTAAATCACGAAGCAGATCTGCCGGAATTCTGTCTGATCCCCTCACATGAAATTGCACGAACGATGGGATCTGGTTGTCTCAAAGATGTCGGCATTCGCAATGACCCACATCGGAAGTAAGAAGATCCTTCTCATCTATTCCTTATGAGATTTATGGTACCGCTGCACTAAGCCTAAAGCGAAACCGAAATACCTTGCTTGTTGAGCAAATACGTACCGTCAAAAAAAACCTGCCCAGTGTCGCTCTTTGATTAAGTTCATCTTAAGCTCATCCTAAAACTCTCTTGTGACTTTTCACAAACACCACCCAACAAAATGGCGCAGCAGGGAACCGTCAAGTTCTTCAACTCCGAAAAGGGCTTCGGTATAGTTTGTCTTAATTTCTGGTGAGTATGCATCTGTAATGCGAATGCCATTTATCTTGCAGGAGTAATTCGCATATCAAGATGACTTAAAGATAATACAAAATAAATCAGGCTTCATCACTCCGGACCAGGGTGGCGAGGATGTCTTCGTGCACTTTTCCGCCATTGAGGCTCAGGGTTACAAGAGCCTGAACGAAGGTATGCTTTTTTTGTTGTGTGAGTTTTGCATAGCACACTTTCATCTCAAAGGCGTGTCGTGTGATGACATAAACTTTTTTGCTTTTGATAGATTTGTGCAATACAAATCCTAGGTGAGACCGTCAACTTCGACACCGTGTGGGATGATCGCAAGCAGAAGTCTTCCGCCGCCAATGTCACCGGACATGGCAACGGACAGCCGCGCCAGAAGGGCGGAAAGGGAAAGGGCAAGGGATTCGGTGGTGACTTCGGCGGAAGCTACTGGTAAACGTGTAGTTTGTTCTCGTCGTGCGGAGAAAGTGTCGTCGTGATACTCCTTCATTACCGGGGGAGTACTAAACGACCCCTACTTTGTTTAAGAGGAACTACTCCTTTGACGAAATGCCGTTAGGTTTTGACAAGCGTATGTTTATAGCCGTTGTTGTGTTTTTCAAGTTCAACAGCGCAGTAACTTTACCCTTCGAAAGACTCAACTTTGTTTCATCAAAAAAATGCAACGAATTCTGTCGATCTAGTACTTGTTCTACTACACTTGTTTTTCACTCTTCTGTATACGACATTTAGTTTTTAGTAGTCTTTGACAAGTAATTTTCAAATTCACAAAAAATTAAAATGGTAAAGGATACGATGAATTAGAATTACACCAGCACCATTGCGATCGATGTAAGAATTGGAGGGATCCATCCTCCAAGAGCAGCCTTCCTTCGAAGAAATTGCGTGGGTGGGTAACCCGGATTTTTTGACCTTTGAACCACTTGCAGCCACCTGAGACGAATCGAGCACAGGTTTGCCGTCAGATACAAACTTGTGCGAATGTTGAAAGTCCGGACATTTCATCCATGCAAGCGAACTCGTAGACGATCATTTTGTTTTCGGACATCCGGAGCCCATCTGCTCGCGGAAAAATAGCGTCCCTGCCTCATGTTCTTGCGTAGGTGTTCGCATTCTCCGTCTCCCTCTATCGGGTACGCGTAAATTCAGATCCTGGTCAGCGCGGTAGCAGATCATATGGCAGTGCGGCAGCAGGTCTAATTTCTTGGCGTTGTACTTGCAGATCATGTGGAAAATGAAGTAAGTGTAAGGCCTCACGAAAAAACGGATCTAGGATACTTTTTCAGAAACCCCCCGTGGTGAATCAGTCAGCGAACTCTATAACACTAGCAATCAGGTGCAATTTAGATCGACGTTGGAAATAAAATCAGAAGCCGAGCAGAAAGAAAAGATCTAAAGCGACAAGATGAGCTCAATATTTCCACGCTAGGTCCGCACTTTCACGCAGAAACGTACTGAGAGAAAGCACCAAACCAAGCTGTCGGTCCGATGCTTCATGCGAAGCCAACATACTCTTGAGTCTGCCCCAGTAGTTTCCAGGATCCAATTTACCAAATCGATCAAATAATGCTGTGCTGTCGCTGTGAACACATGAGATCGACAGTTCTGTTGAGAAAATGCGGTTTTAAAAGCAAAGTCCGAACAAGAACCTGAACAAGATAGGATCCGCTAGACAAGATCCTATTTCACAAAATTAGATCTTCTTTACCACAAAGTTCACCTCTCATTCCGAATAAGAATTTCCACATTTCTCCCAAATCTTCGCACCACAGGGAAACGATCTTAAGGACCCGTTTGTGGTATCCTCATAGCACCCCGTATAGCTTTTCAGCCACACAAAACCTTACCACAAGATGATGGGTGACGATTCTCACTTGACGGAGGCCCAGAAGAAGGCCAAGCGCGCCAAGAAGTTCCAGTACCGTGGTGTCGAATTGGATAAGCTGTTGGACCTCTCCAACACCGAGCTCATGGAACTCATGTGCGCCCGTCAGCGCCGAAAGTTCTCTCGCGGTATTGATTTTGATGTTAGTTGTGGCTCTTTCCGCGCGTACAAACCAATCTAGGATGAGCGCGTTTATTTACGCTGAAAATGAAAAGGTTTGTGATGCGATACCCAATGGTACTCGTATTGCGGTATTTCTATTTTTTTGTGCATCCTCGTCCTGCACTACAAATAACCTCTACCTCAACCATCCAACAGGTATCTCCCGTGCCCCGACGACCCTGTTGAAGAAGCTGCGTGCCGCCAAGAAGGTGACCCCGTACGGCGAGAAGCCGCAGGCGGTGAAGACCCACTTGCGCAACATGGTCATCGTTCCGGAGATGATCGGGTCTGTCGTCGGCGTGTACAACGGAAAGTTGTTCGTCAACGCCGAGGTGAAGCCGGAGATGATCGGCACCTACCTGGCCGAGTACGCCATCACCTACAAGCCGATCCGCCACGGAAAGCCGGGTATGGGCGGCGCCGCCTCCCGCTTCGTGCCGTTTTAAATACTTTTCGTATTTGGGATGGACAGTTTGCTTCGGAGCTTAGATGATGGGTACTAGGTTTAGAGAGCGCTTCGCGAAGTAATTCTCCGGAAAAATCTTCGGCAGTACCAATTATGGGGCTCTGAATCTACAGTTGTACTTCCACTCTAGGTAGAAGAAGAACAAGCAACACGACGTCACAGTGCTGAATTGCTATGAGATAATATGGGGATGTGAGCATGAAGCTTGCACTTGTGCAAGTCTATTGTGGTCCAATTTGAAAAAAAGTCGCTTGGGTGCGTGCTGTGGCTCGCCGAGGAGGTGCTGTGGGTGTGGTTCCTGATTGAAGTGAGCCGTTGTGTTTGTAGCTATTGCAGTCGTTTTCATTGTTGAGATTCAATTTCTGTCGCACCACGAGTTCCAGGAGAAGATGAGAGGAGAAGAATGAGTGCAAAAATGCTCGCACTGTTGCTGCTCAGAGCGAAGCAAGGAGAGAGAAAAATGGCAAATATGCTTGTGTTTACGCTAGTAGTAGTGATAATTCATGCTCGTTGTTGACGAAAAGGAAGCAAGATGAAACAAAAGGCTTTTCTCGTTTGATTGAGCGATGACGAGCAATGAGGAGAGCGAGAGGGGGCCGTGCGGCGCTTCGGAATGGACCGCATTCTGCTTTTCTTCATGCTACTCTTTTCTTGTTTCGTGGCTTGTTGCGCCACGACTGGTCGTGATCCGGTTGAAGATGTGATAAGTTTCTTTTCCCAGGTGCAGCGCCATTCAGGAGTTACAGCCTTTTTTCCACGTCAGGTAGTATTCGCATGCTCTCGAAATTACTAGTATCTAACTATAGTTGTAGAGTAGCGAAATCCGGAACCGGATGGCTCGTCATCTAGTGGACTGTAGTAATGCAGTTGGAGCCGCAAACGGAATCGTCGTGTGTCAGCAGAAGCAGGTAAAAGTCAGAATGCCACTCGTCTACAAGGGCTTCTGAGTGAGCGGTTTCAATACCCACGAAGATAATCGTAGTATCAATTCGAGAGGAGACCCTCCTTCTCCGTACTGTGAATAATTTCAACAAGAAACGAGGATGTTACGTATACGTTGAGAAGCGATTCCTTGCGTCGAGGCAGGGCCGTACCAGTCGCATGCTCTTCTTGCCTTCAAGATCATGGACCCGTTGTCTAGTAGTTTTTCCGGAAAATAAGACCGGAGGCTCCTGATGCCCTGCCGACGTGCGGCCTCTTTTTAGACACGAGGCAGCGGTGCTCCTGTTGTACGTGGTGGAAGTGGCACCGTTTGTTCTTGCAAGAAGATGAATGCAGTACGGCTACGGAAAGACAGAGACGAGATGTAAATCCGGCGGGTCGGGGTCGTGCCACGGCGGTGGGACCAAATTTCCTAGACCGACATCATCATCATCATTGAGCAGGGGTCGACCTCTTGTTCATCATTCTCCTGATGGCGCGGGCGTGTACTTCGAACGACCACTAGGGTCACAAGTCCGCCAGCACTTTGAAGCAAGTAGGGCAACGACCTGCTGACAGGGTGGACGTACGCGTACCGCCACAGAAGGACAATCTTTATTTTCATGGCCAGATCCGTGGTCAGGCGGACGCAGAGGTCGAGGTGGAGCTGGTGACAACAGTTGGCGCGGACGAGTGCTGGGTTGTACTACGTCCGCTGCAAATATTAAAAGCAGGGCACTTGTTGGAACAGGCGACGACGAAGTCGAAGGCGAGGAGCGGGTAACAAAAAACACCGTATGAACTGGCATAAGTGACACCGTAGCGGAGATTGATAAAACGTATTTTCCTGCGTTGTCGAAAAACAAAAGCCGCATCGAGAAGATACAACAGATAGAAGATGCCGCGTCGGCAGCAAGAAGGCATTTTCCGTGACGCGGATGAAACCAAGTACGAGCCCGATGACGATCCGGAGATTCAGGAGGTGCACGCAGTCCGGCAGGAGGACAAGCTGCAGCATGAGAAAGCCCGGAAGTTCCGCGAAGATGCCATGGTCATCGTGGGCGCCTGGCGCACGAGTGAGGACCCGGTCTGGAACCGGGTGTACTACTACAACCCCTACACAAAAAACGCCACTTTCGACGTGTATGAGGTGCTGGCTTCGGGCGGAATGGAGGATCTGCTGCGGAATTTGGAATGGACCCTGTGCATCCTGGATCCCAAGGACTACCCAAGGCTGTACGACTTGGAGAATTGGGTGATGGATTATCAACAGAAAAAACACCTATAATCCCCATCTACTTTGTCATGCAAAAAAGGCATAAAGTCCTGTGCTTGTCATGCAAAACAGGCATGAAATCCTGTGCTTGTCATGCAAAAAATGGATGGGGACGTGGTTTTTTTCCTCGGGATACGGACCTGTATGACAACAGCAAGTGTGCGGGCAAGTCCTGCGGGTTCGTGTATTGAGAGGAAAAATCTCCCCTCCCCATATCGAAAAGGTATGTTTCCAAAAATTTGTGTTGCGGATTTGAGGTCACAAATCACATCTGTCTTGCAAGAAGGCAAACGCAAAGAATCCGCCGCCTTATGGAGGCGATTTGTAATGCTGCTTCACCTACATGGCCGGCCTCTCTTATGCCAAGCGCCTACAACAAAACACCCCTACGCAGGCTGAGGCTTTGCCTGTAGTGCCTCGCTGCAAGACAGGGCTGATTTGTGTACACAAATCCAGCAGCAGAAGTTTCCGCTTCAATATGGGGAGGGGGGATTTTTCATTTTGATATCGTGGAGAAGGGATCCGTGCTGGTCGTGATTCGGACCCAGTTCGACAGCAAAAAGGGCATCCAAATCGCCCAGATCGTCAATCCCTTGAACCCGCGGAAATTCGTGTACGCGAAAATTGGGGAAGGCTCGGAATTGAGCTACTTGCGGCCGATAATTGGGGTTCGGAACGACAGGAGAGAGGCGATGATGGACGACGCTGGAATCGACCCGGAGAGCTCGATGCGACGGATCGATTCTATGATGAATCGCGTTGGCGATAAAATCGACCCGAATGACCCCTACAACGTACTACCTTCATCTATTTGTGGTCCAGCAATAAACAGGTTGCCTGTTGTAATATGTCCGCATACTGGTCCCGCTCTTTTGGTTGTAGTAGCCGGCGGCCTGCTGCTTTTTCTGTTGCGTGCTACAGTTCTGATGTTCGCTACAATAACGTCAAATACAGGTTGTCGCCTACTTGGAGCCCGAAGCCCGGTACTACGTGTGCACGCAAAACCGGTCGGAAAATTTGGTTCGGCGCGGGGGTTGGTACCAGTCGCGGGCCGAAAGAGACTATCCTTTGCAAAAGTCGCACTGTGGTCGTAGTATGTAGAAGGCATTGGAAATCGCACGTTGTGAGCGATCTTTCATCTTACTTGATCAAATTTCAACGCAATTCATAGTGCGATACGACTCAAACTCAATGTGTTACTTTTGCAGTGCATAGGGACAAGAAGAATTATGCGAAGCTGCAGATGACGAATCACCACACGCGGAGACGGAAACTCGGCGCCGCCGCGGTGCGGTGTTTTTTGAAGGGGACAAAACGACCGACCGACGAGCCGTTTGTCCTGGTGTACCAGTTTGAAGAAGCCTACGGAGATAAGCTGCACGAAATCGAGCACCATTTTAACGACGAGGGGTCGTTTTTGGTCCTACCGACCGAACTGAACACCAGCATCCCACGAGAAGCCCTGGAAAATTCCCAGGGGAACCGCTTCCGCACGGCTCTACCCCGTCCGAGCACGATCACGCGGGGCGCGAAGGTGGTGAACAAAAAAGGCGCTGCGGGAACACAGCAAGAAGATGCTGATCTGGTAACCAAATGCGTGCGCGCGCGCGCGCAGAGCGCGCGCCGGCCCACGAAGCCGGCGCGCGCGCTCTGCGCGCTTGCGATATTGCTTAGCAAACGCAGCGCGAAGGCAGTTGCCGTTACCATATAGGGCAACCGCCGGGAGGCGTGAAGGTCAGGGAAATGGCCAGAAATGAAGCGGGAGAAGGGAAAAAAAGTGGATCAGATGGGAAAATGGCCAGGAGGTCAAAAATGTCGCAAAAACGGCAGAAACCAAGCGGGAGAAGGTGGAAAAAGAGCACTTTTGCGGCTTGGCCCACTTAGTATCTGAAAAAAAGACGGAGTACTTTTTGCTTCGCCCGCTGGGCAGCTGCGTTGGAGAAGCAGGCCCGCGACCTGTCCGGAAGCCTTGGGCCGCTTCGTAACTGGAAAAAATTGGAAAAAAATGGCAAAAAGTTGCTTCATAACGTGGGTGGAAGCAATCGTCGGATTTTGTCCAGATCACCCGGGCCACTTGGAAAATGGGAAAAGAAGAAAAATCTTGCAAAAGCGCAATCCCTCCGCAGGCTTCAAAACTGCCACCCAGGTGGGGGCGGGGAAAATGTGCAGATCGCCCGGGCCACTTCAAAACCAGAAAAAAGTGAAAAATTGCGCAAAACCGCAGTCCCCCTCCAGGCTCCAAGACTGCCAGTCAGCTGCGGGCGGTGAAAATGTCCAGAGCCCTTCGGCCACCTAGAAACTTGAAAAAAAAGGCGAAATGGGCGAAAGTCGAGAACCCTCGGCAGGCTTACAAACTGGCCACCAAGGGCGGTCCGGCGGGCGCGTGGTCGCGCCATAGTTTCGGGATTGTGAAAAAAAAAAACGCACTAGAAGCGGGCGGAGGGATGTCACAAAGCCCCCATTTGCCCTGGTTTGTGGGCACAAATCCTGCACCTCCGCCGCGTCTGAATTGCCCGATTTTGGTGGCCCGGAAGGGACCGCGGAGATTCGGCTTTCCGCATACCTTCTTGGCCAGGAGGCCAGTTTGTCATGCAGGGGGCTAGAAAGGATGCCCCGTCGCGAAGGTGGATGGCCACATACCTTCTTGGCCAGGAGGCCAGTTTGTCACGCAGGGGGCTAGAAAGGATGCCCCGCTGCGAAATAGCAGACCGGATTTCGCCTTCAATGCTTATCGCAGGAGCCTGCGGGCCGCCGCGGGCGACAGTAGTTGTCCGTGGCCCTTTAGGGCCGCGGGGAAGTGGTGGAGCCCGCGACCCAAGAAGAAGAAGTGGGATTCTAATTAAAAGAAATGGTGGCGGCTGGTTTGGCTTTCGCGCTGGTTAGATTTTCGCGCACGCATTTGGTTACCAATATCGCCCTCCGGGCGCGATCTTCATAAGAATTCCGAGATCAAGCAGTTGGGGTTTTACGGCCGGGGGGACACGTTTCCGGGCTTCATAGATGCGTTTGACAATCCGGTGTACGCGACCGACAACGAACTCGGAGAATTGGCGTCTCTGGGGATCCTCGTCATTGGCAAGTCCGATGAGGAATTCGACACGCATCACGCGGTGCGGCGGTTGCGCACAATTTTGAGGGAGCTCTCGCTGGTGCAAATGCCCGATGGAGAATTCTTGAAGGTCGTGGAAAACGAGCACGTCTGCAGGCCAGGGCCGGTAAGTGAGTATAGTTTGGGAAAAGAGTACTACTTCTTCGTCCTCCTACTGTGTTTGATGACGGCTTCATCTCGAAGAAGATTGACAGTAGAGGAATTGCTCTTCTTCCAGCATGTAAATGTGCCTATTTTTCTGAAATACCATGAAAAACAAAAACTGTCATCGTGCAAACAGACAAAAAGCAACAAACGCAAATTATACGAACAAAAAACAAGAACAGCCAAAGTCCTTCACGGGCCCCATCATTCCCTTCTCCGGCGTCTACACGCAGCAGGAGGTGGAGGAAGCCGCCGAGCAGCTGCGGCAACAGCAGGAAGCGGAGCGGCTCGAGCAGGAAAGGCTGCGAAAACTCGAGGAAGAAAAGGCGAACGAGTCTTCGGAATTGTCGGAGTTCGATCCGGATGCCAGTTCTACGGACGAAGAGGAAGATTTCGATGAAGAAGATCTTCTCGAGGAGGAGCAGGAAGAGCTCGCGAAAGCTGCTCAAGGCACGGAATCCGATGTGGACTCGGATGACAGTGACTACAAGGAAAGGAATATCCGCAGTGAAAACTAGTACTACGTCACCACCCCATAGTTTTTAAGTGATGCGAACTCTGTTTCGACGACAAAGAAACGCAAACCCAGGCGCTTGGATATTTTGCAGGGCAACTACATTCGTGTGTAGCTAGAGTCCAGGAGCCGCACTACAAATCAAGTTTCACTTTCATCCTATTAGGATGAGAAAATGGCTCTCCTCATGGTGAGCCGCGCGAGTAGAGATGATCTTGGCATGCAGATTTACATATGCATGACAATGAAGGTGTGATGACGTGTTTACAAAGAATACGGGAACGGCTCGAGTTGGAGGAGAAGGAGCGGCAGAAAGAGGAGATGAAAAAGCAGCGGCGAAAGGAAAAGAGGCAACAGCGTGCGGCAGAAAAGGCCGCGAAGAAGAAGAGAAGGGAAGAAAAGTTGGCGCGAAGGGCGCAGTATGCATTGCAAAACTATCGTACTGGTAGTAATTGCGTTTGCAAACTGAAACTTTTTCTGCTTCTTCCTTGAAAAGTGGAATTTCAATTTGTAAAAGTGCTGAAATTGCTTGGAAACCAGATTTGCATTCGTGATGCAAAATTGCGAGCTTTTCCAGTCGAGTGCGATATTTTTGCACATGATACGCAGCGGGCGAAGGACGAGGCAGCGCGGTTTGAGCGGGAGCGGCTGGAAGAGGAGTGGCGGATCAAAAATCAGCTGACATGGTGCAGATTTTTATTTGCGTTTTTTTTATCACCATCTGATTCTGAATTCTGATGTTTGGAAGTTAACTAATTTTCATCAAGATCAAGCTGATAAAATAGTTCCACTTGTTCCTTCACAACACGAACTACGCTCTCGCGTAGATGGAAACGGATCTTCATATTCGTACCAAAAAAATAATCGAGCAGCTCATAGTACCTACCTCCTCATTACTTTCCTTGGGAGGCTTGCTTTCCCGTGCCTTCCAAGGTTCCAAGCAGGAGAAAAGTGAAATAGAAGGTTCGCAACGTGCTTGCTTCGACATCGTCCTGTGAAGCAGAGCATCTTTAAACCTTCTCACAATCTTCATCTTCTACAAAGTCTAAGGCTCCTTCAAATGTTGAAATTCGCTTTCGCTAGCTGGCGGCATACGCATAGCTAGCTGCGGCTCTCTCTACAGAAATACGAATCTGTGCTACTATTCTAAAATTCGCTTGGCCTGCTTGCTGATAGCAGCGACTCGCTTAGAGCAGTTGCGCCTTCCAACGCTGCGTGGATCTCACTGTTGAGTCTCCGGACAGAACACGTCGACCAGCATGCCAGGGTAATATTGGCAATTAGGAGCGAAGATGAAACAAACAAAGAAATATTGAAAAATAAACTCCTCCAGGTTCGACAAGATGCAGATGGCGATCAAGGCGAAGCGCGAGGAGAAGGAGCGGTTGGTGCTTCCGATGCTGAACAAGTCCCCGGACCGGCGGTCCTACCACGAACTGGAAGCCCGTCGGGACATTTACCACGATCCGGTGGACCCGAACCACCACGGCCTGACGGAGGAGTCGCAGATGAACATCTGGCGGGGCCCCCCGAACAAGGTGGACCCGCTGTCCCCGAACCGGCGGCGGATGGACTTCCGGCGGTTGGAGCAAGCGTATCCTGAGCAAAAACGTCCCCACCCCAGAGTTGTCATGCGGATTTGCAATGACAGGAACATTTGTAATGCGCATCTACATGAGATGCATTTCCAGTCGTGTTTTGCCATTTGCAATGCCAATGCTGTAAACAGGATGAGAAGATGGGTTTGTCATGCGACTGTCTTTGCTAACACTCACGCTCACCACACTCCACAGACGAACTTGTCATGCATGGCTTCCAAAACTCCTGGATTTGTGTTGCAGAGTTCGCAACTTGACTATGGGGCGGGGACGTTTTTACTCAGGATAAAGCGCACCACCTCGCTACGGTCGCGCAGGTCGGGGAGCAGGGGCTTTCTCTGGAAGAAATCCTGACCGAAAGGGCCGTCGATTCCGGCGACCAGGCGGCGCTGCAGGGGCAGTGGAACCAGAAGCGGGGGTCGGGCACCGAGTCGCTGTTTTTAACCAGCCAAATGGAGTCGCCGGACCGGAAGGACTGGGCCAACGCGAGTAGCGAGTTTTGGGACAAGGAGCGGAACCGGAAGAGGGCGAAGTTGATCCCGTTGCCCGGCGAAGTTGGGTTCGGTGACCCGAACGCGGAAAAAAGGCGGCTGAAGCGGCTGCAGAAGGACAACAAGACCTCGACGGATGTGACGTATTCCCTCCGGGAACTGGAAATGATGAACTCCGTGCTCGAAGCGTGGAAGTTCAGCCACCCGTGGAAAACGGGAAAGGTTGCCGAACCCGAAACCGGACAGCTGATGTCGACCCAGATCATGGAGCTCGGACCAGGGGTCCGGTTCAAGTCGACGAGCAAAGGCGGCGGGAGGAACAATAACGAGGGAGAGGAAGAGGAAAACAATAAACCTGCCGTGAGCTCACTCTCTTTACACACGGTCGACCGCCTCCCGCTGAACGACCCGCCGATCCGGATCGGGCGGATGGGCCGCATGCTGAACTACGTCCCGACGGAGGATCTGCACGAGAACGCGTTGCGTTCCCGGTGGGGCCGGGTGGTCGGCTGGGAGCCGAAGCCGGAGGACTTGGCGGACATCGCATTTCCCGACCAATTTGACTCACCGACAAGTCCGAAAGAACGGATGCAGTTGGGGACGGCCAGGAGGGTGTCCTTGTCCGAGTTCGAGGACGATGACCAGGGATCGGTGACCATGACGGCGAAGGCACGGAACAAGGTGTTTCAGGAAAAGCACTTTGGAGGTGCAGCCGGCGCTGGTGCTGGAGGAGCTGCTTCCTCTGCAGCGAGAGTGAAACCTGCAAAGCCAAAAAGAGGTGCGAACAAGTACAGTTACCTTGCGGAGCTGAAGGACGTGCCGGGGATCACGGAAGACGGGTGCGTGCTGGTCACGGAATCCCGGGATTTCCACCACAGCCGCGTTCTCGGCCGGCTCCAGCCCAACACGCAGCTGTCCTTCCTCCAAATCGTGGGGTCCCGAGCGCAGATCGCGCACGTTTATACCGAAGTGGACAACCCGGACTACGATGAGGAACTGGATCTCGGCGACGCGCGCGTCGCGAAGTTATCGGTGATTGACATCGAGGCGGATAATTTCTTTCGCGGCGGGTGGGTCTCTCTCGTTCTGTTCGAGACGGGCGAAGCCCTGTTTTCGAAGATTTTGCCTTTGTCCGAAGTGGAACAATCAAAGAAAGACATGGCGCGAACCGCGTTGAAATCCGAGATCGACATGAAACTCGCGGCCGAGAAAAAAGCGCAAGACGCGGCGAACGCGGACCGGAACCTGTCGCAAGCGGAGATGATCGCGAAGCAAACGAAGTACAGCGGCTTTACGCGGAAGCAGATCATGGAAATGCAGAAGGAAGCCGAGTTGGAGCGGCAGAACATCCCCGAGTACGAGCAGGATCCGAAGCAGCGTGTGTACAAGAGCGATTTTCAATACGAGACCGCCGTGCACGCGAACAACATGGTGATTATCCAGCGGGAAACCGTCACCGGCGGTTGGCGGGAGGCGCGAGACGTGATTTGGAACCGGACCTACTACTTGAACCCGGGGAGTGCGGTCCGGGCGACCTGGGATCTGCGGGAGGTGTTGCACGACGGGGGTTTGGAGGACTTGCTGATTTCCCAGACCTGGCACTTGGGCATCGTCGGCGAGGCCAGCGAGGGGGTCGCAAAGGACGAGTCCTGGCAATTGGAGGTGTATCCCCTGCAAAAGTTCGATACTATCGCGTTCGTACTACACTTGCAGTTGTACAGCATCTTCATAAAATTTTCTTTTTTGGTGAGTCAGCATTACTAATCGCTGGAGATGAATTTTTGTATTGCAATTTCTACAACTACAACTACAACTAGTGCAATACTTTTGCAATGCATAAGGTGTTTGACAAACCCATCCGGAACAAAAAGACAGACGACTACTCGCTGAAACTCCCGGGGGAGCGCATGAACAAGCGGGAGATCGCGGAGAGGCGGGCCAGGCGGGAGGGTCGCCTCCCACCGGAGGGGGCGGTCATGGACGAGAACGTAACGCCAACCCGCTTGGTGAAGCAGGGCAGAATTATCGTGCTGACGGAACTGAATCCGGAGACCGGGGTGGCGAAAATCTTGCTGCCGCAAATCCCCACGAAGGAGAATGTGTACGCGTCGAAGGTATCGAAAGGAAAAATCACCCCTCCCCATATAAAAATGGCAATCTGTGATGCGGGATGTGTGTATACAAATCAGCTTTGTCTTGCAGTAGAGAACTGCAGGTGCAGGCAGATACAAAGCCCGGAAGAAGCTGGCTAGAGGTGGGCGCTCAGCATGGCAGACGTCTGCCCTGTTTGCGCAGCGGCGTTACAAATCCCCCGCGTAAGAAAGCGGCGGAAGCCCTGGCTTGGCTCTCTTGCAAGACAGACCTGATTTGCGGGCACAGATCAGCATCACAAATTTTCAAAAGAAACCGTTTCGATATGGGGAGGGGGGATTTTTCCTTACGATAGAAGGAGTTGATGGATCTCTGCGACCCCGCGAACTGCACGGTGGGGTACACGAAGGTGTATTCGTTGGATAAGCGACCTCTGGTGAAGAATCTGGTGTTGGACGAACGCGGGACGGCTATTTCGGGCGTCGTTTTCCTCGCGGATTTCCCGGAGCGGGTGTTGCTGCCGATCCAGGAGGAGCAGGACATCGAATCAGAAGACGTCGCGTTTCTACGGGGTGGGGATCTCGTTCTTTTTTCCGTGGTCGCCGGGATTCGCGCCCGGGTCACGACGGTGCCGAAACTGCCGGGCATGCCGATCGAGGAGGGCTGGGTCACGCTGATGCTGCCGGACGGAAAACCCTTGTTCCGGGAGCAGATGCAGCAAGACCGGATAGTCAAGGAGGGGGCGGAAAAACAAGGAAGCAGGTTTTTGTTTTGATTAAGCTACTGATAGTAGTTTTTGCGGGCGTGGGCTTAACTCACGTAGATACGGATCGGATATTAAGTATTACCCTAATTCGCCATGCACGGTGGATTGAAACTGAAAGTCGCTGCTAGTCGTACTAGGCAGCGTGTCATTGTTATGTTGCACGGGGGCCCAATGCTCGGTATAGGAATGGAGGTTTGACGTGACGTAGAGGTAGATGACGAAAAGCCTAAAAATTATGCTCTTCTTATGTATCTTCAAAACAGCGTTTCCTCCCACTCGACCTCCACGCAAATCGAGAAGCAGATTCCCACCGTCCAAGACGGGTTTGTCCTCCGGTGGGGCGACCGCATGCGCCTGGCCCCGAACGAGTTGCAGAAGGTTGCGGAGCTCGTCACGGACGATCACTACCAGGAATTCATCATTCAGGACGTGAAAACGCTGAAAACCCTGTCCCTCCCCTACGAGAAGGGGAAGCACCGGTCGCACTTGCACATCACGAACAAGGATCGAGAACTGTACAACATCGAGCAGATGCTGAAGCTATCGTGTGCAAAAGTATCGTACTCGTATTAATTGCAATCATGCATTGCTAAATCCGCATTACAAATTTTAGCTTTCATTCTGAGGGAAAAATTTGTCATGCATTTGTACGAGTACGATACTTTTGCAATTCATAGAAGTCCGGACGGGGCGAGGAGCGGAAGATCGGGGTGCAGAAATTGGAGGAGTTGGCGAGGAAGGATCTGGAGGAATCGAGGCAAAAGCGCATCGATATCCTGTGCGAAAGTATCGTACTTGTAGTAATTGCTATCAGGCATGACAAACATCCTTTTTTAGGTGAATCAGCATGACAAATTCCATTTTTCCTTATGAAAAAATTTGTTATGCAATTTATACTAGTACGATGCTTTTGCAATGCATAATCGACAAGTGGGAGCAACGGCGGCAGGAGGAGATGGCCAAACTATCCGCGTTGAATGAAGAGGAAGAAAAATTAAAGTCCGACGACATGGCGGACAAAGTGGAGGGCAGACGCGGCGTCGGCGGGCAATCCGGGGCGGACAAGCTCCAGGAGGCGAAGATCCAGAACGCGGAGGACGCGGCTATGGCGTTCTCAAATGTTACATTCTCAACTGTTACATGAATTCGTAATGCAAGAATGGCGAAAGTGAAAGGGGTGACCTTGCGCGTCTTGCAATACAGGTTTGGTACTACAGACTTAGATGCTGTCTAGCCCTTCGGAAATTTGTCATGCGAAGCAGGTTGATAAATCTAGATGCTGATGAGGGTTTTGCATGGCAAATTATGTAACAGTTGAAAATGTAAGAACATTTGAGAACGCCATAGCGGTCAAGCAGGTGGAAGAGGAGAACGCGAGGTTTTGGCAGGAAGAATTTGAAACCGCGCACATGAAAAGGGATTACTGGGAATCGGATCCGGAAGTCGTGTCGACCACGTACGATTTGCAGTACCCTAAGGACCGGATAGAAGACGCGAACGTCATGTCGTCCCTCGCCAAGGGGTATCTGAACAAAATCCGGAAGGCGGCCCTGAAATTCCGAATGAAGGCCTTGCCGATCGAGGAGCTGCCCTACCACGAGTTGGGCGGGATCGATGACCGACACCAGGTGTTCCAAACATTACCCGAGTTAATGCAAATTTTGGACCACGGGCGGCAGTTGTGCGATTGGAAGCTGACGTTCGATGTGACACCGGCGACGGGGAAAAAACCCTATTGGAAAAATCTCTGGACCGACACGCGGGCGACGATGCAGCAATTGCTGGCGTCGGGGGCTTATGCATTGCAAAAGTATCGTACTTGCGGAAGAACTTTTTGCAAGACAAATTTTCCAGAAGAAAAACGTGAAATTTGTCGTGCTGATCCAGATATAGAAAGCTGCAGTGATATGAATAGATACTTTTGCAATGGATAGCGGTTGGAAGCTGCACATTGTGACCAACGATGTGGAGGTGTTCGAGGACGGCACCTTCGAGCCGGAGAAAGCGTGCTATGGGATTCTCAAACGTTGCATTCTCCACTGTCGCCTGATTTGTCATGCAAAATCACTATGCTATCACTCTTCTTTCACACGATCAAGCCTTCTTCGCATGACAACTTATCGATGCGCTAGATGGCACAGGAATCCGTCCCAGATCTGTAATGCAAGACGCGCAAGGTTTCCCCTTTCACTTTTGCTGTTACTGCATCACGGATTTATGTGACAGGCGAGAATGTATATGTAACGGTTGAGAATCCCATACGTGCTCCCGATTCACGAAGGGGTGCGTGCTGTTAGTGGAATGGGTGCAGAATTCGGACCTGCTACCCCCAGGAACAAATGCAAACGACGGAAAAAACCGGCAAAATCAGGACGACGTGTGCCGGGTGTTGTGTCCGCCGCTGTACTCTTTGAGGGACGAGTTTGAGGATGACGACGATCGGCACGAAAACTGGGTTCCACAGCACGGCTACTGCCCCTTCGTCGGATTTTTCCAGCCGCTAGCGGTGAGCAGTCAAGGCATGTTCCGCGCGTCCATTATTGACGAAATGCTGGACCACCCGGGAGACTTTGTGGACGACGAGGAGGTACAGTACGACGAGGACGGCAATCCGATACCGAAAGAAGAAAACGATACAGGCGATGTGGAAATGGGGACGACCACAACTGAGCACGACCCCTCGTCTCGTGGTCCTGGTCGTGTTGATCCAAATAGTAGTAACTCAGCGCAGGAGCAGCAGCTCCCACCAAACATCATCCCACCGGGGGTCCCACAAGAGCAAGCCGGCGGCAGTTCAGCGTCGAACGCCCATTTGTATACGGAGGAGAAGCCAAAAATACAGCCGATTCCCAATCCGTACGACCAGCCGATGGATTCTCTTTCGCAGCTGATGATGATGAAAGACGGAAGAGAAATTCCGCAGAACGCGAATCCGGACCATTCCCTCGACCCCTCCGCGGTGGTGTATCGCGTGTGCCCGTTTGGGTCCCACGTCTCGGATGAGGAAGTGAATATCATTTTGAACAACGATTTCCGGGCGAGACTCACGGTCGTGATGAAGCTGTTCCCGACCCGAAAGTCTTGTTTGAGACACACGGAACAGCAAAGGAACAGGAAGACCGGGAAACTGGAGCAGGTGAAGCGGTTTCAGGAATTCCGGTGGGATGTCAATAACAACCCAGAGCACTTTGTGAACAAAGATTCCAATTATTTGGACGATCCGGAGGAGTGGGAGGGCGCGGCGACCCTGCCGAAGATTGGAAATTTGCTCCACGACGACGAAATCATCATTCAACATGTGGAAGGGCGGTACGCTTACGTGTTGATCGTGAAGATGAAGGCGAAGCACGGGTATTCGGCAAAATCTGGCTGGGTGGAGCTGGTGGACGAGTTCGGAAACTGCTATGTGCGGATGATCCCCCCCGAGGAGCGGCTGAAGCAAAAAAACCCGTACTTCGACCAGATGCTGCCGGAAACCCAAAAGGACTCCTACATCCACATCAAGGGGGTTTCCCCCCCGCCCACCCCCTCTATCCAAGAAGAGGAGGACGAGGAGGAGGACGAAGACGACCTCGATTCCGTGGACCGGGTCACGACCCCGGCCATGAGCGAGAACGAGCTGGATGGTTTGGACGTTACCCAGGTGGAAAAGTTGAAGCGGGAGAAGAAATCCGCTGTGTTATCCACGAGGAAAGCGGAGGAGGAGCGGCTACGGAAAATCCAGGAGGAGGCGATACGACAAGCGTTTTTGGACAACATGGAGATGCTGCGGCCGCACATTTTGCCGATACTGCTGCAGATGTCGGAGCTGGTGGACAAACCCGTGCAGCATTTGTCCGATTACAAGGAGTATCAAATGTAAAAATGTCTGGGTCTGGAAGAATGCAAGATTTGTGATGCAGGTTTTCCATGACCCATGAGGTCTGGAATGCGAGACCCAGCATGACAGATTCTTTGAGGTCTCTACCATGCCTTTCCTGCATGAGAAGCTCCCTCTCAACTTGGTCAAAAGCGGCCAGCTTTTGGCACTCACGCAACACAGATTTTTGCATCATTTAGATTTACCATGACAAGTTCAAATCTTCCAGACCCAGACATTTTTGCATTTGACAAGGAGTGTCGGGACCCCATCTGGGGCCGGAAGTACTTTCTCAACATCTGGACCTCCGAAGTCTGCTACAATTTGCAGAAGAAGCAAAACTATCCTGTGCAAAAGTATCGTACTCGTATAAATGCATTACAAATTTGAATTTCCTCAGCATGAAAAATGAAATTTGTAATGCTGATTTGCCTTAAGACAGAGATTTGTAATGCATGATTGCAATTACTACGAGTGTGATGCTTTTGCACAGGATAACAACGTCCCCTTTGTCCGCATGTTTTTGTCCTTTGTCCCGTCGAACATCCACAGCGACTTCTTCACGTCGGATATCCAAGAAAAAAACTGTGTAAGTGTAACTTTGTGTTGCAGACGATGCAAGACAGTCACAACTGTCATGCTGGACATGCAACAGAGGCACTTTTCGTACGTGTTTTCACATACTAGCTACGCATGACAGGTTTTCTCTGTCATGCAGAGCAAACTTGTGATGCTGTTCCTCCAAGAAAGTTAAACTTACACAGTTTTTTTCTTGCATATCGGACCACAAGGGTTGCCGGAAAACCGCGTACCAGCGGATCCAGAGGGTGGTGGTGAATAACTTGGAGATCAAATCCGCGGAGGAACACTTGGTGAAAACAAAAATCGTTTTAGCCCTGCAAGGAGGGCTGCAAGAGGAACTCGGGGAAAAGAACGAAAAGTCTTTAACACGGAAATCCAAAGACGAGGACAAGAAGCCAGGAACGCCGGAACTCAAGAAACGGGGGTCAAAAGCAGGAGGGACCACCGCGAGTCAACAACAAACGCCGGACAAGGGGGGCGCGAATAATAAAACAACGCCCGGCGGAACGAAAAAGGAAGATGAAAATCAAAATGCATCCGCTTCCAAGAGCAAAGGCACTCCGAAGCAGGATCCAACCGCGGGTGGGGACAGTAAAGACAAAACCTCAGTAGACCAACAGCAACAGGCACCGAATTCAGAACAGAAAGCGGAGCAGGGAACAACAAACCAAGAGAAAAGATCAGACGAGGAAGAGTCCGACTCCGGGGCCGCGTTTCTGAATTTAAACAACGAAGACGCCTTGCCGGATTTAGACCCAGAGGCCAACCTCCGGGTGGTGTTTGAAACGAAGATTGACCTGGGAGCTCTGAACACTTTGTACCCCGCGAGGAGGAACGAGTTGGAGTACCTTTGCGGGGAGGAGCAATATCTCCTCCAGGGGCAGTTTCTCGCGGTGTTGGCCGGTCTGCCGGAGATTATGCGGTACCGGTTGGATCCGAATTTAAACGTCGGAATCGAGGAACTGAGTTGCCGGTTCGTGGAGTGCCCGCGCTCTCTGCTGTACGAGGAGGCGAAGCAGGAGGCCGCCGCGAACGCACCGCGAAGAAAACACGGGAAGAAGCAGGCGTCCTCGGTTGGCGGGGACACCAGTCCAACCACCGCGCCCCCCTCCACCGCCCGGTCGCACGGGGATTTGTCTTCCGTGCACGGGAAAATGCCCGAGGCGCAAGCGCTTGCGTTCAAGGAAGTGACCAACAATTTGAAGTTCCGCACCCCGAAGGTCTTGAACCTGAGCAAGAAGCCGTTGGGGCTGGAGGGCGCGGTGGCCATTCAGCAGGGGTTCATGAACAAGGGGGGCAAAATTCTCCAGGAACTGTGCCTGTGGGGGTGCGGGATCGGGAACGAAGGCGCGGAGATCATCTTGGAATACCTGCCCGAGACCTGCCGCGTCTTGTGGTTGGACGACAACGACATCGTGTCGATCAGCGACGGGGTGATCCCCGAGGGAAACTCGATCGAGGAGCTCTATCTCGCGAGCAACCGGTTAGGGGGAGGGGAGTCGTTGCCGTACATCCTCCGGGCCTGCCCGCACTTACAGATTCTGGATGTCGCGCGGAACGAGATGGGGAGCAACCGCATTGTCCCGGTTTTCGACTTCATCACGGGCGACAACCACATCTGCCGACTGTTGCATTTAAACTGCAACAGCAACAAGATCGCGATCAAGTGCGTGCGGCAATTTCTGGACGATTGGAACCGAAAACGGGGGGAGGAGCCTGAGTTCAAGTTCGAGTATCTCGACGTCCGATACAACCAAATGGACGACCAGGCGAGGAAAAGTCTCCACTTCCAGTTCACGCAGAAGTCACAATTCCTATCCTCCTACGACTGTGTCTTCGAGGTGCTCAACGACCCGTTGGAAGGACTGGAAGACGACGAAGACGGCGCGCAGGCCGCAAAGGCCGCAGTGGACGGAGGTGGCGGGGACAGTCCGGCGGGGGAAAGTGCGTCGGCCGGGGCGGACTCACCGGCTTGAGGAGGGGTGGTGTTGTAGAGGTGCTTGATTGATAATGTTAATGCGTGGGATCGCTCGCTATAACCTCTACGTTATCTGTATGATGAAACCGAACAAAAAAATCGCAGATGAAATAATGTAAGCTGTAACCCTTTGTTCCCTTTGTAAAAACCTAAACCTCAACATCTACCTCTTGTTTTTCACAACTACAGGAACGTCGGTCAACAAGTAAGTACAACCGTGCTGAAAAAGGAAACACACTTAAACTTGAAATTCACACTAGAGCCACTCGCTCACTACCATGTCGATAACAACGAATATGCTGGTGCTACACGAAACAATTTAAGAAACAAGTCACACGCAATTTGAATTTCAACTATCAGCTGCATCATGATCAGATTTCTGAGATAATTCGTACGCCGAAAAAATGCAAAAAACTTCGCGGATCTCCTTTAATGTTTCGCTCTGCCTCACTTTCGTGAGGCTTCAAGGACAGTCAGAATGAAAGAATCATGTAGGATATGGTGCGAGTGGTCCACCTCCACCTGGCGTTGGACGCCACTGTATCAGTAGCTTGGTTGGTAGAGCTGCAGAGCAAGGAGCTAACCGGCTCATCTGCGAGATCGGATTAATGGCAAGAATGAGTAGGAAGATGTTGTTCCCCTTTCCCCCTGAAAAGCGATTTGATAAGGTCTCCTACGAGCGATCCATCCTTATGAAGAGCGACTACATGTGATTGAGATGAGCATCAGATGACAGGACGACCTTGCAACTGAGAAAACTGCACATAAACCAGGAACACACAGGAGCTGGTGCTGAAGAGTTTTTTTTTGGAAAGGTTCTGAATGAGGGAGGCGATTGTCTTGATGTGAGCGTTCGTGTGGTGAACCGGAATTTCTCGCGTGCGAAACTGACGCGGGAGAAGTTGTTTATCCAAACAAACTTCAATTTCTTGTTTCCAATCATTCGATTGCAAACAGCATCCACTCAATCTTTTTTTCCTCCTCTGCACGCACGCGAAATTATGACGATGTGATCTGAAAACATACGCTTCGCGAAAGTCAAATCGTATTTGATTTATCGGTGTTATCATGATTTTGCTTTTGTTGTTTGAGTTTGTCTCTTAACTTTTACGCTCTCATATACTAGTTCACTCATGTTGTAAAAATTGCTGTCAGTCTTGTTCTCTTGGCGAGTGCTAGGCCAGCCCTGTCGTTGTTCCTTTTCCGAGACGACGAGAAAATGCTCTCTACTTCCAGCACCTGTCTGTTGGCACGACTGCTCTGCTGCGAGACAACGACTACCAGGTGGCACGGGGCGAATTCACAGCGTTGCATCTGCACTCCATCTAGGTTCTTGTAGCATGGACGAAACGCTTCTTGTTTTTCATCGGCGAAGAACAAAATAATAGGAAGAAGCCGACCTCAACGTCATGTTGCTGGGTTCCACCTCTACAACTGGTCCAACATCTTCTAACCTTCCCACACTAAAGAAAATCTCGGACACGCGCATCCCGGAATGGCAGGGCGTGGCGGTTTTCGGGTCCAACGGGCCGCCATTGAACGCGCTTGCTGGTGAGGAAGTGGAGTTTGAGGACATCAACTCTCTCCCGAGAAAGCTCCAGTTCGTTGTCCAGCGCGAAGAGGAACAGAAAAATTTGTACTCGTTCTACGGGAGTACAAGCGGCGGGGGCCAAATCGGAGGTGGACTGCGAGGTACGTTTGGCGCAGTTTTTTCTGCTGGTGTAGTTGGTGGAGCAAGCACAACAAGCTCAGGAGGCGCAAGGAAAGATGCAGCACCAGGACGAGGAGACGAGAAGAGCAGCGGGGCTAAAAGTAAAAGTACAAAAGCTACAGGAGCTGCTGCGTCAGATAAACAAGATTCTCAGCCTGGTGGATCTGGAACCACGACAACGACCACCACATCCCTTGTCGGTGGGCTCTTTCGGAAGTTTTTCTCTGGAGGAGGTACCAGCGCGCATTCTAGTTGTACTTCAGCACAACAGGACCTGCAGCACGCCGAGGTGGGTGGCAACTATGGTGGTGGTGGAAGCAAAAGCCTTGTGGGCACCACCAGTGTAAGTCAAGACGAGCATCTTGGTCGCAACGTCGCGGGATCTAGTGTTACAACTTCTTGTTCACAGCAGTTGGAGTCCACCTCAAAAAATGTGTCGAAAACCATCAAGCGCCCGGTCCTGGCGATTATTTCGGACAGGAACGTGATTGCGGTGGATGCGAAGTCCGGAATTCTCCTCTGGAAAACGAACGTGGGCCGGCGGATGAACACGATCCAGTGCATGCAGCACTCCTCCTGCTGGCCGGACAAAGGCCCGGTGCTTCTCACCGTCGGCGAGTGCGGACGGATCTGCTTTTTGGCGTTGAAGACCGGTTCCATTCTCGCCCGCGCGGCAAATCTGCGGCGGCGAAGAGTCGCGTTGCTGAAAAACGACCCGAGTACCCTCGCGGAGACCGCAGCGGCAGACGCGGTCAACGCGGAGCACGTGCATCCGGAGTCGCTGGAACGGTACCCGGATGGGAGTCGACCGATGTTCGAAAACACTACTACGAGCGTGGCTCATTATCGTCCGGGGGGACCAGCATCCTCGTCGTCCTTTCCGGGAGCACCGATTCTGGATGCGAGTCATGATTCGTCCGAGCAGCAAGCGATTTCCACCCGAGCGCGACTGGGAGGAGGGTCTAGTACTTCTGTGACGAATTATACTAGCTCGGGGGAAGGAATCTCTAGGGAAAATAGTGCGGTCGCAGGGGCGGGGGGGGAAGAGAAGAACTAGGCGAGGACGGGAAGGAGGGGCGACGGCGCGCGGGGTAGAGCGCGGGGTCGCTCATCGCAGAGTCTAAAGCTTGAGCGCGGTGCTCCCTTTACTGGGGCGGACGGACCTCACTCGCAAAACGCTGGGGCGGACGGACCTCACTCGCAAAACACTGGGGCGGATGGACCTCACTCGCAAAACACTGGGGCGGATGGACCACGCGCGCAAAACACTGGGGCGGATGGACCACG